TCCCATGTATGGCCTCCCATGACACACACACCCAGCCTCAGGCCTCTCACCTGCAAGTGCTCGCTGACCACCCTGCCCGGATCTCTCGGCCTGCGGGGTAAACCCAGGCAAACAGGCGCTTATTGCGTAAGCCTGGTAGTCAAACACAACGACAGGCCTCCCTAGGGGCAACCGTAGCAAGAGAGCAGGCGGCTGGAGGCCCCTCCCTCAGTCTCCCCCGCCCTCAGCAGCCCCACCTGTGTGCAAGGTCCCAAGCCAGTATGGTGGGGTCGTGTCGCAGCTGCATGCCCGTCAGGCTGTTATTGCGCTGCGTGAGGGCGGTCATGTAGTCGAAGAACAGCGCCTAGGGAGCAGTGGGGGGGGGGTGTAGGGGAAGCAGGGGAGAGCATTTGCAGGTGTTGTTGAGCAAAGGTGCTGTAAGGGCCAAACCAAGGCAAAGCAAACCTCGCTAGCGAAGGGAACCATCTTACATGCCCCTCCCCGCCCCATTTGTTCCTCCGCCTTACCTTGTACGTGTCATTGGAGTAGAAGGACGTGACGGTGTCGGCCGCATTGATCCACTGGATGTACTGCCACATGCCGCCGTAGCGGTTGCTGCTGCCGTCGGTTAGTACGGGAATCAACCGCAATCCGTAGCGCCGAGCCGCCGCAACCACCCAGTCTAGACCCTCCCTGGGAGTGGTTTTCACATGGTTTGGAAGGGGTGAGAAGGGGTTCGGAGGAGGAGGGTATGTGGAAAGGAGGAGCGGCCATGTGTGTATGACCCATGGGTCAGTTGTTGAGAACATGACATGTTATGGCTGTGTACTTAAAAGGCCATGGAATGCATGCACATAGTTCCCAATTTGCTAGCGTCCTGTAAGGCATGATTTTTAAGCATCCCAGACGTTCCCCGGGTTCTACGACACTGGGTTCCACGGGTTATACAACACCCAATGCAACAACACCCCCACATACCTCAACGCGTACTCGTCCAATATGCCCGGCCCCAGCTGCACAGCTCCCGGCTTCGTCGCCCCGTCCATAAACGCGAAGAAGCGAACCGTGTTGAGCCCCAATCGAGCGGCGGAAGACAAAAGGTCGCGAGCGAGGTGTCGGGTGCCCGGCTGCGCGGCCCATGCCATGAGCTGAGGAGCATCCAGTCCCAGCACCCGGAAGGGTCTCCCGTCCGCGAGGGAGAGCCTGCCGTAGCGCGATACGATGAACAGCGCTGCGTCTCCCACAAGTCCGGAGGGCGGGTGTGGGTTGGCGGCTAGACGGTTGGGCTCGGTGGGCTTGCTGTGACGCCACGAGCCTGTGGCAAGGTGGGCGAAAGGGGACAGGATACGGGGAAGGATTCTAGGAAAGGCTGGCGCCCGTAAGTTTGGGGCACAAGGGCGGCTGATAACGTAGAATGCTGGTAACATGACTCGACAGGGAAATAAAGGGCATTGTTCAGTCGCCTTGCTTCGAATCAATCAGTATCTTATCGTCTGTATTGTTTGCTGTCTCCGTGCCAACTCACCAATGTCGATGTAGCGGGGGTCTGCGGACGCATTGAACAGCGCCTTTATATTGGTGAGGTCCGCCGTTGCAAAGCCGGCGGAGGAAAGGCAGTCCAGGCCGCCGCCGCCCCCAGCGCCTGGCTCGGCCTTGGCGGAGGCAGCAATGGCGGCGGCACCGGCGCGATGCGGCGGAATCCACGGTCGACGACGCAGTCGGCGGTCCAGATCACGCAGCGCCGCCGCCGCCAGCGCGCCGTCTGTTGAGTACGGCAACGGCTGCGGCGCTAGTGGCGGCAACGGTAAACGGCCTTCCCAGTCGGTGTTCAGTTTGGCTGCCGTACTAACGCCCCCGGCGCCGAGTAACGCCGCGGCTGCGTTCGCCAGGTGCAGCGTCATTGACCCTTTCTGAATGGCGATACTGCCCTGCTGTGACGCTGACGCGCCGTCGTCGTCGTCGCCGCCGCCGCCACTGCCGGCGTCGCCGTCAATGCCATTGCCCAGGTCGTACGCTGCCGTACCAGACGCGCCGAGTGCCGCTTGTAGTGCATTGACATCTAATGGCGTCGGCTCGCCTGGAAGTGGCGAGTCGGGCGACTCCGATGACGACGGCGATTGCGACTGCGGCGGCGGCGATGGCGGCGATGGCGGCGGCGACGGCGTCGGCAGTGACGACGGCGACGAAGGATCTGAGGATTCAAGCACGGAAGCGCTGACAAGAGTCGCGGTGGTCCGCGCCCTTTCGACTTCTTGATCGTTCCGACGCTTACCAAAGAAGGGTGCTAGTGTGCTAGCGAACCATCCCCGCCAAGACGTTCCCTTGCCGCCGTTCTTATCACCATCACCGCCGCCGTTGCCGCCACTGACGGTTGGCAGCCTCGCCATTGCCGACGGCGGCAAGCGACCGGCGAATAAAGCAGCGAACTCTGCGGCGGCGTTAACGGCGGCCTGTCGCACGTCGCCGACCCGTCGTCTAATTGCAATGGAAGGCGTTCGTAGATCGCTGGCTCGTGACGTCTGCTGCGATGATGAGGACGAGAGAGCGCTCGGAAGCGATTCGCCGGAACTGCTTGTTGATCCGTCGAAGCCCCCGCCGCTACCGCCTTCGCCGCTGCGCCGATCGACATCTAATACACCGCCGCTTCCGCCGCCTGTAGTGACGTCACCGCCGCCGCCGCCATCGCCGCCGCCGCGACGGCCACCCATGTAGTTTGCGGCGGCAATGGCCGCGGCGGCGCTTCCGTCAGTCGGCAAATGCCCGCCGCCACGCATTGCAAGCGCGACGAATCCAAGCATTGCAACACCCATAACGAGCAAAGCGGTTAGGACGTACCGAGCTGTCATACGACGTACCCTTGCCGTACTGCTGCTTGCACCGCCGCTACTGTTGACGCCGTTTGCCGTATTTCCGCTGGTCATTGAAGCGCCGCTGGCAATGCGGGGTAAGAGGACGCCGCCGCCGCCGGCGCCGCCGCTGGGAGAGGCAAACTTTCCTGCCATACTTCTACCGTACATATCGTACGTACCGGTTACGAACACGTGATCCTTGTAGACCGTCGGCCTACTGCTTACCCCGCTACCGCCGCTGGCGCCGCTACCTCCACCGCCAGCACCCGCGTCGGCACTGCTCCTAATGCTGCGCTGGGGAGCGCCGTACAACGGCCCACAGAAGTCGTCTAGATCTGAGCTTCCGTACGATGACGGTAGCGGAGCGTGTACGGATCCCGACACCGCAGCCACCCGCTGATGTTGTCGCTGCTGCTGTTGCTGCTGTTGGCTACCTGGCACGCTGGCGGCTTGCCCTCGGAAGAAGGCACCCACACGGCCGGGAACACCGGGACGCGAAGGTGACGGCAAGTCATCCCATTCGTATTCGACTGTTTGCCGCCAACGGCTGTCGTACACATCAGGTCCCCCTGGAGCCGCTAAGTTGGCGTGTAGCGGTAACGTAGCTGAAGTGGAAAGACACTCCTCACCGCCCAGAGTTACCGTCACCTCATCCTCAACCACATGGGATTGTACGGCAGCAGCGGCAGCAGCAGATCGTGTCGTACGACGGCTTGCCGTACGGCGCTGCGTCTCCGCTACGTCACCTCCCATAGCTGATGATGGGTGTCGGTACATGGCACCCGTGAAAAACGCTATCGGCACCGGAGCAGCAGCAGCACCGCTGCCGCCACCTCCACCCACGCCTCCGTCAGCGTTCACGTGACCCCGTGTCGACTGTCGTACTGTGCTGCTACCGCCTCCGTTGCTGCTGCTGCTGCCGCTGCTGCCGATAGCAGCAGCCGATATCCGGGCTGTTCCGTCCTGCGTGGCACCAGCCTGAGGACTCTTGGGCCAAGAAGTGCCACCAACCCGGCTTCGAAGCCCTGATGACAGGGCAGCGGAGCCCCGGTGAGGCCCTGCTGTGAACCCAGGGCCTGGGCCTTGATGGCGGCCCGAGCTGGAAAGGCTTCCTTGCAAATCTTCATCTGCGGACCAATCCTCCAGAGGCTGCTGCGAGGACTGCGGAGACTTGGAGGAGCTGGGGCGAGCTGCTGAGGAGTGGGACTGCGGCGGTTGCCGCTGCTTGGCGCTAGCAGCTGCTACGCCCTTGGCGACGGCAGCAGCTGTTGCTGCTTTGCCGCTGTAGAATTGGTAAAGCTGCGATGCGGCTTTGTCAGCAGCACTGCTGTTGCTGCTTGGTAGTGAGCGTGGCTGTTGGTGGTGATGAGGCTCCGGAGGCTCAAAATCACGGCGTGCTGTGTTGTTTTCCTTTGTGCCGTTTCCTGCAGTGTCGGTCTGCTGCGGTGATGATGGTGACGGTGATGGTAGCACGCTAACGCTGTTGATGGGCTGCTGGCGATGAAAGGTGGCTGGACCGCCATTACCGGACATTGTATGCAAGGTATATTTGCACGCGTGTAAGAGATACGTAGATGAAAGAGTGGGAAGCTAGAAGCAGCCGGGCGTTACGGCGATGCGGCAGCACTGCCTATCGATCGCCTGAGTGGGAACCCTTTTTGAAAGATGGCTAGCCGCTTGGCGAGGCACATGGCAACTAGACAACTACAAAGACGTTCATAACACTGCAAAAAAGTGTGTTCTAAGAAGGAAGATGCTTTTGTTGTTGCTAGCTTTTTACTGCAGGATTGCCGGACAGCAGGACCTAGGCATGACTGCTGCTTTTCGCGAGCCCTTGGACGCTATACCAGCGGGTACGGACGGCAGGCACATGACCCGCGGGTCATTTGCCTTGCAGCTACGTCTTCTTGAAGATCAAAATGAATGTAAAAGGAGTAGATAACACTAAGCGCGGAATGCACCGCCGAGGTCATAGTGGGATGTAAGGTTTTTGGGCCAATGTGATTCAGCGTCCGAAGCATTGCGTTTACGGTCCCTTGTGGGGTATAGAAGCAGGATACTTGATGATATTGCATACCTCGATAGGCTACTGATGCTGTGTTGGGCCGGGGCTTTTTTCAACGCTGACAGTCACGATCAGCCAACTGTGTTTGTGCCTCCCGTGTCGCGTACTCGTCACAAAGCATATTACAAAGCGCCGTCAGTGGCTCAATGTTCCCTCATCCTGTTGAAACCGGTATATCGCCCTTCGTCGCCATTACCACAAAACCATATGTACGAAGCACGACGATACACAGGAGTGAGAGGTGCCGCTCCACCCGTCTCACAATTAAATCACACCGGCAGGACACCTCCCATCTCGGGACGACCAAACTGCCACAGATATACGCATCGCGGCTGCAAGCTCGCTGCCTGCTCAAGAAGTGGCCGGCACCCATTATCTCCGTCTTGCGTGATAGCTGTTACATTGTGCCAAGAGATCACACGGGCCATGAGCCCCAACCCAATGCACCTCATGCATCCCAAAGTAAGGCAGCATGGCAGCATCAAGGCATCCGGGCAGCACCAGCATCAGCAGCAGTCAGCAACCTCTCAGATGCGCACAAACTGCCGTTTGTCGCCCGCCTCCCGCTTGCCGTACGGGTTAGCCGCGCTGAACTTGTGCCCGGTGCCCATACCCCGCCGGTAGTCCGCCTTGCCGCCTGCTCCCCCGCCTGCCCCCCCGGCGCCGCCCGCCATGCGAGCCGCCTTGCGGGAGTGGCTGGAGTGGCTCTCCAGCTGCAGGTTCACCCTGCGAGGAGGGAGGGATGCGGTGTAGCGGTGAGCGTAGCGGGTGGGGTGAAAACTTATGTCAGTGAAACAACGAGTCCGGGTGGGGTGAGAGGTTCCCGATGTGCCTGGTCAGTTCCGCTCCTAAAACCGGTAAAGGTCACGCTCCGGTTTGTGCAAGTATAGACACCGGTAGCAACCCGGTGACCCGCCTGGGACCCGTACCCCACCCCCACCCCAACCCCAGCACCACACCTCCCTTCCCCCCCTCCCCCTCCTTGTCATACAGCTCGTCAGTTGCTTCGTCAGTGTCTCATCATCATATATATTTTTTTTACCTCCCCCTCCATTCCCCTGGATGCTTTACCATCAACGTATACGCCACATTGCTATCTTCTGCTGGACGCCAACGGGTCATCCTATGGTCACGGTCAGTGGTTTCTCGCGGCTCAGTATATCTAATCCTCCCCCCCCCGTCTTTCAGTTCGTCAGTTTTCCTTATTTTTACCCTCCCTCCCCCCCCACCTGGGCGGCACCGCGAACCCGAACGACCTCGCCACCGCCTGCAGGTCCAGTCGGTGCACGTTGAAGATCTCCTTCAGCGAGTGGCTGTTGTAGGCCAGCAGCGTGGCGCGGAAGGCGTCCTTGGCGGAGGAGTGCAGGTAGTAGTTCTTCTCCACGAGGCGCTCGAGCTGCGACTGCACGTTGGCCAGCTTGGAGGTTGGGAACTCGTACTCGTTGAGGGGGACCTGGGGAGCGGGAGGGGGTGGTGGGGTGGGGCATGAGGGATGAGAACAGGCGATGAGAGGCGGTAGCGATTACAAAGGTCCCTCAAACCATACTGCGGCAATCCGCACCCACATGTGTCTCCTCTCCTCAACCATTTCCACATTCCGTGGCTCACCCAGACGGTACTGACGCTGTAGGTACCGTATAAACCCATCCATTCACCGACAACAACCCTCACCCCACCCCCACGAACCCCAACTACACCCCCATCCCCCCACCTTGGCATCCTTCAGGTAGCGCAGGAAGCCCAGCTCCTCCGGCAGCAGCAGCAGCAGCGCCCGCCCGCGCCCCTCCTTGCCGCGAGCCGTACGACCCACTCGGTGGATGTACTCGCGCGGGTCATCCGGCGGGTCGAACTGGATGATCCAGTCCACTGCGGGGATGTCCAGACCGCGAGCCGCCACGTCGGTACACAGCAGGATGCCCTTCTCGGCCTGGCAGAACTCAAAGAAGGTGGTGGTGCGCTTCTGCTGCTTCTGCTTGCCGTGGATGTCCTTCACGGGGATGTCGATGTAGTTCAGCAGCTCCGCGTGGAACTTGACACTGTTGCAGCTGGAGAAGAACACCATCACCTGGGGGGGGGAGGATGGGGAGGGAAGTGCGGGGTGAGGTGGGAGGGCAGGAGCGGTGGGAGGGCAGACTCTGCCAACCATGTTCCGCGATCCACTACCGGTACTCTTCATTCTACTTACCGGTACTCAATGTGATCCTCCCCTGGCACCCCAAACATGGTCACACGGTCAGTTAGCTGTTTCCTCTTTACCCACTAATCACCAGCCGCCCCACCTTTTTGTTCGCGTTCTTCTTGAGGAAGGTGAACAGCAGCAGGAACTTCTTGTCCGCCGGCACCACGCAGTAGCCCTGCTCCAGCCCCTCGCGGGTCGCCACCGCCCGCCCGTCGTCCACCCCCACGTACAGCGGCTGGTGCTTGAAGGAGATGCGCGCCAGGTCCTCCACCTTGGTGGTCTGGGTGGCGGAGAACAGCATGGTCTGACGCTCCTTGGGCAGGATCTTGATGATCTGGGGGGGGGGGGGCAGGTGACGGGGGAGGAGGGGGGAACAACTTATTGAAAAGCGAAGCCACGGAGTACCCCACAACAAACGCTGCACACACACACACACGGCAATCACAGTGCGTTCCGACTCGTGGCCAGTTTCTTAACAGACAGCCAGTTTTACACCACACACAACCCACGCCCCTCCCCCCCCCCACCTGTCGCATCTCCTCCTCGAACCCAATCTCCAGGATGCGGTCCGCCTCGTCGATCACCAGGCAAGCCAAGTTGCGGAAGTTGAAGCCGCGCGTGTTCTGCAGGTGGTCCAGCAGCCGACCCGGGGTGGACACCAGCAGGTTCACGCCCTTAACCAGCTTCTCGGACTCGGTGCGCCTGAGGGAGGGGGAGGGGGGGCGGTGAAGTGGGAGGAGGAGGGAGGGAGGGCGAGGAGGAATAAGGGGCAGGAATAAGGCGAGAACGAAACATGATAAACGCTCCTCCGCCAGGCTACCATCAGCGCAGACGGCACTCTCCGTCCCGCTGTCCTCCCCGGTCCGCCCACGACTGCTCCGCCTTTTGCACCTCCTGCTCCACACCCTCCAGCCTTCCCCATCGCTCCACACCATCCCCCCTCCTCGCCCGCTACCCCCCACTGCTGCCCTCCCTCACCTGTTGGCCCCTCCCATCACAATGCCGTGGGTCTGCGTGTGGTACTTGAGCAGGTCGCGAGCAACGCCGTAGATCTGCGGAAGAGCGGAGTGCGGAAATGGGCAACCAGGGTTAACTAAACTGTGCCGCGATCAGGGTTATACACTAGGGACGGACGTATCAGATAACGAAAGGCCGAAGAGGCGCGCCTTCTAACCCCCACACATGGCCTTCCCCCCTCCTCCCGCCCCCGCCCCCGCACCTGCAGCGCCAGCTCGCGGGTGGGTGAGATGACGATGGCGCCCGTGCCGTTGCGCGGCATGAACTTGGCGCGGTAGAGCAGCTCGGCGCAGGGGATGAGGAAGGCCAGCGTCTTGCCGGAACCTGGGGGAGAGTGGAGGAGGCGAGGTGGTGAGACAGTAGAGTGGAGGAGGATCAAGTGTGCGAGTGTTAGGGAGGTGATGAAGGCACAGCAGACAACCCAACCAATACCGCTATGACACTGTGTTAAGAAAACTGGCCGCGAGTATGCAGTGATGCAGGCTCCCAGTGGATCCCATGAAGAAGGCATACGGTCAGAGAACTTTGAAGACGTTAGCCCCTCAGCCGCCGTAGCGTCGGGTGCTAGGATTGCTTCTCATCACACCGTCTGTCCGTGTAAGCGTCTGAACGCATGAACGCATGCCGCAGTTGCATGTGCCTTCTGCCATGCCTCATGAATTCAATCACAAGCAGCCCCCATGGCCTGCCTCACTTCGCTCGCTCATCCAGTTCTGTAGACGTAGGGGCCCTCCGAGCCCCACCCCTCCCGCCGCCCCCACCCACCCGTCCTGGCTGCTCCCAGCACGTCCCGCCCCGTCAGCAGCGCGGGAATGGTTCGCGCCTGCACCTCCGTCATGTGGCTGAAACCCATGTCGGCGACAGCCTGGAGAGAGGGGGAGGGGCAATGTGTTACAGACGGAGGAAGGTTGAATGGAGGGCTAGGAGAGGTGCCAGCGTGGGGATACCCGAGCTGCCGAACAGCAGCAGCTGCTACCTGCCTGCATGCATGCCTCTACCCCTTTCCATGCCTCTACCCCTTCGCCATCTTTCTTACACCGCTCCCTTTCTATGATCCCCGCCCCCACCTTGCTGGTGTTCTCCGTCAGCTCCAGGCTGCTGAACTCGGAGGCGCTCATGATGCCCGCCACGGTGGCGGTGTGCCGCTCCACCTGCAGACCACTGCCCGAGGCGGCTCCTCCATTGCCTGATGAGGCACCTCCAGCCGCCCGGGGGGGCAGCTGCACGTTGTCCTTCTCATCGTTGTCCGCGGAGGCGTCGGACTGCTGGAGGGAGCGGGAGGGGCGGTAGGGGAAAGTGAGTCGAGTCGGAATCCCAATCCAGTAGGCGTGAGAAAGGGTTTAGGCGTGAGTAAGGGTTTGTGTGATGAGGGCAATTATCTTCCCCCCAGGACGAAGAGCGGTGCGAGGTGACGCAGGGAGGCTAGATGTGTTGGTGTGGGGTGGCGGTGCGAGGTGACGCAGGTAGGTGAGGTGTGAGGAGGGCTGTGAGGTGGCGGTGTTGCGGGTCAAGCGGTCAGAGAACTTTGAAGACTGCCCCCAGTCGCACCTCTCCAGCAATGCAGCTGGGAAGGCTACATCGGGTATGACATGTTTTCTCAATCACTCCGCTGTCCTCATAAACAGCCGCATGTGTAGCGACACAAGGGACGTGCATGCCTAGAACACAGACGGTCAGAGAACTTTGAAGACATTAGCCCCTCAGCCGCCGTAGCGTCGGGTGCTAGGATTGCTTCTCATCACACCGTTCACTAAAGTCCAGTAGGAAACGACACCATGCCGTGACTGTTGCCGTGGGGATTCAGCGGCAGAAAAACTTCGTGATTTGAGCAGCAGCAAGGCCGAACACAAGTGTAATGCTCCCCTCCACAACACTAGGCCCCTCCCATGCAACCCAAGGGTTGTCCCGGCGCCTCCGCACATGCCCGATGGGAAGCTCCCTCCCTCCGCAAACCCCCACCTTTTTCCGTCCTTTCCGCTGCTTGGCGTCCAGCTCCTCCTCCTCCTCGTCCTCACCCTCCTCGTCGTCGTCCCCCTCCTCATCCTCATCCTCGTCCTCCTCCTCCTCGTCCTCATCTCCCTCATCCTCATCGCTGCTGCCGCCGCCAGCTACCATGGCGTCAAAGTCCTCACTGTTGAAGTCCGCAGCGCCCTCCTCGTCCTCGTCATCATCGTCAATGTCAATATCCTCCTCGTCCTCATCCTCATCGTCGTCGTCAGCTGACTGTTTGGAGGCCGGCAGGGTGCGGGCCTTCTACAAGGGGACCCGGAAGGAACGGAGGGACGGAAGGGAAAGAGTTAGGGTTGAACAAGTCGAGGTCAGAGCGGCAGCTTCACAGCTGGGTACGGCACCAGAACGCTTTCAGACGTACGGAACAACGGGGCAACTTGCCTTTGCTGAGGGAGCCGGTTGCTTTTGGGGCTGCTGAGGCTTTCCCTTGCCAGCGCTCTTGGCCGCTAGGGCTCCAGCTCCCTTTGCGGGCGGCTGTTGGGGCTTTCCCTGTTGGAGCTTGCCCTGCTGGGGCTTTCCCAACACCACCTGCTGTTGCTGCTTGACTTGCTTTGGTGAAGCACCTGAGACGCAACGTAAGCGGGCGGCGAGAAACAAAGAAAACATTAGCAACAGAATGCAAAGGAGCCCGAACGCTCGAGCCCGTAAAATGACCAGCTATCAAAAGAATTGTTGAGCACAAAGCGAACAATTACAGGAGGTCTAGCAACGTGGCGAACGAACCTGCGTCATCGCCGGCGCCGCCCGGCCCTTCGCCACGGCCGGCCTTGCTCCGGCTGCGCTTCCTCTTACGTTTATGATCCTCCTTATCCATGCTCAGCTGAGTCGCGCTGAAAACGTTCCTGGACAGACGTCCGCTATGCCTAATGTCTTGCTTGCTTGCTGTTCACGGTCCTGGAGAACTCCTCGTAGCACAGTGGGAAGCGCAACACGTGTAATACGAGTTAAGAACTAACCCTAACGATACAAATAGAACGTCGTTTGCCTTAACTATGCTCTCCATCAACGGCGCCGTACCAATGTTGCAGCCCACTCTAGTACCCTGGGAAAGGATGACAACAAAGAAGTCTATATACGTTATATGCGCAGGAACTACCACCTTCTGGCTTTAAACGCACGCTTCCGCCGCCCCCGTATGACATGCACGCCTGAATAATAATCAGGGAATGCGGTAAAGGGCAACTAATATTCATATCTTTGCTAAACTATGACAATTATGTAGTAAATACCATGCGAATGCAGTCCAGTCCCGGATAGAGCGAACCGGCGGTGTTAACATCGCAGCGGTGGCTTGGACGACTAGCGCTGCTTCGTCAGGGCCTTTCCTAGCTTATAGCTTACAACTCGCTGGGCATCAGTGGAGCGGCACCAAGCTAGCGGCATTAGCAACGCCATGGCCGCAGCTAAGGGCGAAAAAGCGCTGGAGGAGGAGCTGCTAAAGCTCCTGCGGCAACACCCAGATGTAGGCACCCGTGACGCCGGGGCGGGCGGGGGAGAAGGAAGGGAGTAGGGAATAGGGAGCTCGCAAGGGAAGAAACCTAAGCCTCACCCGCCCTTTCTGGCTGCGCAATCCGATTCCTCGCGATCCCTCACTACGCTGCCACCCGCTGCTTGCCTCTCCATGCCTCTCCTTCACCTCGTCCCCCAGGGCATGACGGATGATGCGCTGCAGGCCGCGCTGCCCTCCATCGGGTTGCAGGAGCGAGTCCACGCAGTCAACTCGCTGCTAGCAGCCAAGAGGATCCAGGTAGGGGGCGAGGGGGTAAAGAGGATCCAGGCAGAGAGGCGCTATAGTGGAGGGCTATAGGGCTGTAGCTTAGGCTTTACAGCTTAAGGGGCATTGGGGGTTTGGGGCCGGGTTGGGAAAGGATGATGTTTGTATTGCGTTGGCCTGGAGCTGGGCGGTGGGTGCGCGCTTGGTGCCGCTGGAGGGCTGTAGGCTGGGATGCGGGTTTGGTCGCGGTTTCCTGGTATGAGTGTGGTGTGGATTGGATGTTGGGGCTTGTTTCCGTCCGAGGTTGCAGGTACTGGTACACCCCTCCACCCGCGCCAGGCCCCCTCGCCTGCCACATTGGGGTACATGGTCCTGACCCCTTGCTCCCTCCCACCTCCACCTCCCCCCCCCCACCCGCAGCTGCTGCGCACCAGCAACAACAAGATTGTGTATAAGGAGGTGGCGGCGGAGGAGGTGGCCAAGTGAGACAGGGCGGGGCCGGAGGGCAGCGCGGGAAGGATTTAGGGCACATGTGGTGCATGGACGTGACCCGTGGGTCAACCGCCACCCTCGGGTTGACCCACCCCAGACAACCTCCCCCCTTCTTTACCCATGATGGTTGATGGTTAGTACACCTATTTATTTTTTTCCCCTTGCCCATGCGCCCCCAGGTTCCGGGGTCTGTCCACGGAGGAGTTGCTGCTGTACCAGTGCATCAAAGCATCCGGGAACACGGGTGGGTGGGTGGGTGCGGGTTAGTTGGGGGGGAGGCATGTGGGGGGGGGAGGACGCATGAGGGACGATGGCACAAGCAGGTTGTCCGACGCTTGGCATCGCTCCGCCTCATGCATCTTAAGCAGCCATTTGCGTTCTGAGCTTCTCCTCTGTCGTCCGTGTGATTGACGGGCCTTCCTTACCCCCGCCTCCCCAACCCTCCCTCTCTCACTCCCCCCCTCCTGCCTCCCCCCCTGCCCTGCCCTTCCTCCCCACCGGCCTGCCTTACCCTGCCCCTCCTGCCCTGCCACCCCTGCCAGGCGTGTGGACCAAGGACATGCGCATCCGCACCAACCTGGCTCAGCCGCAGATCACCAAGATACTCAAGGTAGTGCCCATGCGGGGGGGGGGGTGATGTGCGCATGCCTGCATGCATGCGGGGGAGGGTGGTGCGCATCTGTGTGCGCACTAGCGGTTGGGAGGAGGAAGCGGGTGCAAGCCAGGGGGGAGAAGGGGGCCGAGGGATAGCGAGGGAGGGGACCAGGGGGATGGGAAGGATCGTGGGACAGCAGCAGCAGCGCCGCTTGGGCTGCCTCGGGCACTGCGGGGCGTGCTGATGGCGCCGGATACTGCTGCGTGGCTGCTCCCGCTCCCACGCACTCTCATGCGCTTCCTGCCTGCCTGCCTGCCCACCTGCCCGCCCGCCCGCTGCCCGCAGGTGTTGGAGGGCCGGAGGCTGGTGAAGAGCGTTAAGAACGTAAACAACCCCTCCAGAAAGGTGGGCAGCAGCAGCGTAGTGCGTTGGCACAGACGTAGCAGCAAAGGATTGCGTTGGTTGGCTGCCGGAATCTGTGTATACATGTCGGAAGGAAACAATCCTCCCATACCGTATCTCCTCACCCCCTCCCATGCGGTCCCCTCCCTCCAGGTCTACATGCTAGCTGAGTTGGACCCCAGCCGGGAAGTGACCGGGGGCGCATGGTGGGTGTGGGGGTGCGGAGGGGGAGGGAGGGGAGGGTGGTGTGGTATTGAAGACTGGTGGAGGGGGGTGTGGGAGACTCTCCCCCCGGCCCGCACAACCCCATCCTGCTTCCCCTTTGTCCTCCATCCCCACCTCGTCACCACCCCGGCCCCGCCCCACCCCACCCCACCCCCCTCCCCCCCACCTCCGCCCTCCCCAGGTACACGGAGAACCAGTTCGATTCGGAGTTCATCCACGTGCTGCGGGAGGCGTGCTTCTCCTACATCCATCGGCAGGGGGACGCGTCGTTGGGGGCCATCGCGGCGTTCATACGAGCAAAGGGCTTCTCAAAGGTGCGACGGTGTTTTTCTCGTTTGTGCTTTTCGCGCAGCATCCATCTCTATGTGCAAGCCTTCCGCCCGTACCGGTATACGCCGCTTCTCCTTGATCGTTCTGTTGAAAGCAAAAACAGCTACCGCGGTTCGAAAAGGACTTCACCAACCGCAAACAGTTCCACGACCACTTAACCACCACTGTCAACCACCTCCTCCCCACAGGTGGAGTTGCGTACGGAGGACATCCAGACTATCGTCATGACGCTAGTGTACGACGGGCGAGTGGACGAGGTGGAGCCCGAGGGCGAGGACGACAACGAGGACCACTACCGACCCGCGGTTCTGTCGGTGCCCGACTCCACGCCGCTCACGGATGTGCCGTGCGGCGTGTGCCCGGTGGTGGGGGAGTGTCAGGAGGGGGGCGTCATTTCGCCGCAGGTGAGGGGGATAGAGAGGGGGGCTGCCTGCTTGAGGCGGTTTAGGTTGCGGGGATACGGTCGGTAGCGGGGAGCTGGGTCTGGCTGTTGGGAGGCTCGTGAATGCCATTGAAATATCGTAACCGAGCCACAGTCCTCTCCTTTTGTTCTTCTTTTAGTGTCACTGGTGTCTCGTTAAGGCATAACCCCGCCCTGCCGGCTGCCGCCCTGCAGACGTGCGTGTACTACGACAAGTGGCTGGAGTTCTGAGGAGGAGGAGCCGCGTCCCGACGCTGTGGGAGCAGCGAGGAGGGCAGTCAGGGGGGCAGTCAGGAACAACTAGGGTGTCCGCCCGTGCCCTGTAGTCCGAGGATGACCCGCTTACCGGTATGCAGGGGCTGTGATGCCGTACACGAAAGGTCGTAGCATGCTGGATGCGGGTAGGTGTGCAGCCGTAAGCGGCTGCATAATCACCATTGGCAGCATCCGCGTGGGTGGTAATGACGATGGTGGTGACCGAAAGAAGGGAACTTGCCTACCTGGCTTTGCGAAGGCCAGTCTCCGCACAGTTTTTAGGAATGAACAAGAAGTATATCGTTTCATGGAGGGCTGCTGGCCCATGGGTCGCAAGGTGCGCATGCACACCCTCCCTCCAACTTGGAACTTGCTGTGCGCAGCTGGGGTGTGTGGAGGGGTGTTAAGAAAACTGGCCGCGAGTAGGAACGTACTGTGAGGAGGTGTGTGTGTTTTGGCTCTCGGCGGGTTGTACAATTGCTGCTGTTTTTTCTGTACGGTGGGTCCAGGGAAGGCTGGTGAAGGGGAACGAGGCCCGCCTCCTTGGTGGCAGCTCAAGATACATCGCAGGACAACAGGAGGCGCCCCGCGTCTGGCCGCACTACTCCTATGGCAGATACCAGCAGTAGAGGTTATCCTGGCTATGACAGGTACTTTTAGGTGACGTTTTTCAAGCATATTAGTCACCTACCTACGGCGTTTAAGAAGCAAGGGGCTTGGTAAAGGCTTTGCTGATGGTGCGCCGGTGCCTGAGGTGCAAAAGCAGCTACGGAGAAAGGAGAAGCGGACGAGGGGGGGAATGGTTGTGTAATTGGCAGTACCGCCCAACACGTAGTCTGGGAGGAGTAGCCCTTGCTTTGCGGACAGAGCGCCTAACCATGCACCTCAACAGCAGGGTCTCTATCCTGCCGTGTAACCATCCTCTTGCCATTACAGCGCTGTTTGACCCTTCAAACGCTTCAATTCTAGCATGCAATGCTGTCCAGCGATGTCACAGCTGGTAAGCTCTGTAGCAGGCAAGCGCAACACGTGGGAACCTGCTGCCAGGCGTGCCCGTAGATCATGCAAAAGCACAAGACCGGACACGAACGCTCCAACACATCCGAACACCATCACCCTGCCGTCGCCATCCATAACGTTAGCAAAGGCGCTGAGGACCCCACAAACCAAGGAAGCATGGGGATTCGGAAACCCGGATCAGCAAGACCGCGTGCAAAACTTTCCCGCCTTCTCCATCCATGTCCGCTCCAGCGCAGGTCGTGTGCAAGGGTACGTGTGCATATGGTTTAGGATTCGCAAACAGGCACCAAAGAAGACCGTGGGCCCTCACTTGGATTCCAGTCCGACTTTCATCACTGCCCCATCCTGGCAGTCCACACAGCCCATTTTCGTGGTTAAAGCATGAATGCCACCCGTGTATAGCTGAAGCGTCATCACAGCGGTACTGCGGTTCGACCTGAATGCTGGTGCATGTCAGCTTCACCCCTCTTAGGCTACTCCCTGACAATACTCCGCGAACACTCTTACCCAATCAGCGGTTCAGCACATGTACGAACGGAACCCAACCGAAAGGAAACCGAAACCGAAAGGCAGCCTTTTAGAAGAAGCCCTTCTGAGTGCTCCAGAAACGCTTGTGCAGCGCCATCTTCCTGTCCTCCTCCTCCTCCTCCTCCTCGTCATCATCATCATCCTTGTCGTGCTTCTTCTCGTGCTCCTCGTGCTCATGCCTGTCCTTGTGGTGCTCCTCCTCCTCCTCATCATCATCATCATGCTCCTCGTGCTCCTCATGCTTGTGGTGCTCCTGCTCCTCCTCCTCCAGCCGCTCCCCATCCTCGTCGTGCTTGGGTCCGCTGTCCTCGCCCTCATCATCATCAGGGCCGTGCGGCGGCTTGTCGGGGGTGTCAAAGTAGTAGGTGATGTCGGGGCCGTCGTAGTTCTCCTCGTCCATCACCTGCAGCAGCAGGGGGTGGGAGCAAATAAATGGTAAGTGCAGCAAGGGGGGGAGAGCGGTGGAAAGGGCAGCAGCGAGGGCATTACAGCAGCGACAGCGGTGAAATGAGCAGTAACTCGTAGCTCAGCACAGCACAGCATTAGAGCAACAATAGTACGTTACCCGCAAAGACCAGTTGGCGTAAAGGTGTTGCGTTCTTTCCAGCAAGGCGCTTGCTAAGCCAATGACGAACCCCCCAAACTCCACATCCCCCCACCTCGAAGCGCGCTGAGAAGATGGGTGCGGTGCTGTAAATCTCCATGGCCAGCTCCTCCTCTTTGGACTCGGGCGTGTGCGAGGACTGGCGCGCCGCCTCCATGAAGACGTTGGACAGGTGCTGGCTGACGCGGATGGCGTCCAGGCTGTGCGGCACCTCCTCCATGCCGAACTCGAACGGCGGCTTCTCGGGGTGCCACTGGGTGCCTGGGGGAAATTAAGTTAAAAGCGGGGGGCGGGGGAGGAGAGGGCAGGACGCAGGGAGGTTGGAGGAAAACGGGGAAAGGCAGGGGATGAATAGGAGGGGATGGAACAGGTCATGACAGGGCATGCAAACTACGTAATGAGTCCCAGCGGCATGGGTGTCGGGCTCCTGACCCATCCACCCCAGTCCGTGCTGCAAGCCTCCTCATGCTTCCCGTGCTCCCTACAAGCCACCTCATCCAGCCTCCTCATCCACTCCGCCTCCTCAACCACTCACCGAAGAAGGGGTACTTGACTCCCTCCATGGTGCTCACGTACTCCAAGCCGTTGCGGTCCTTGGTGGTGCTCAGCGGCTTGTACCACTGGCCCAGCACCGGGAAGCGCTCGTAGTAGGAGGGCGGGATGCCGTACATGTGGTTCTGGAGCGCGATGTTGTACTGCGGGTCGGCAAGCTTGTCGTACAGGTCGACCTGAGGGAGAGGGAGGCGGGGGAGGGGTGGGGTGGAGAAGGAGGGGAGGAGGGGTGTCACCAGACCTTCTCAGCAACTATCAGGTAACGCCGTATCCGGTACCTTCCCTATACAGTTCGGCGGGCGGGCATCGCCTCAGGCGTCCTCGGAGTGGTTGCGGTTGCTCGCCAAACCGCAGCCACTGGTGTCAGCGGTGATCCTGACCGCGTGTGAGTTTGCCACGCCCCTGCACGTCCATGCGACCCCCCTTTGCCAGCTGACGGCCCGGTACTGCCCGCGCTCTCAGCGGTCGGTCAGCCGGTCACCCCCTCGGCTCTTGTTCCGTTGTTGCAGTGCATCTTTCCGCACCTAGGTGCCCGTGCTGCTCTCCTTACCCAGCCAATCCCACACCCGTCCCCTCCTGCCTTCCCTCGCTGCCCCAGCCCACCCATATCGTGGTCCCTCCCTCAGCCCCTCCCTCCCCGCCCCTCCTCACCGGCAGCCCCCCGAACCAGGCCGTCAGCCGGTGAAGCGGGGCTGCAGATTCCGAGATGCGGCCCTACCCTGGGCGGTCAGCCGGTCACCCCCTGGTTCCTAATCCCGCTACTCCCCCACACATGCCTTCGTGCCTCAACTCACCGGCAGCCCCCCGAACAGCCTGCTGGTGTTGGCCGCCTGCTGCCAGATGAGGGTGGTAGGGTGCGCCACGGAGTCGGTGTCCACCAGCAAATCGTTGCGGGAGACGTTGGAGGCCAGGATGTGCAGCAGCTGGAAGCCCAGGCAGGTGCCGTGGATCTGGGGTTTAGGGTGGGATGGGTTGGGGGGCGGAAAGGGATTGGCAGCGGACTTGGATGACGGGGTTTGAGTGGACGCGGTTTGATGAGTGTTTGCGGTGGTGCGATGGTGCAGGCGGGCGGTGAGATGATGGCATGGGCAGGATGAAAGGCGGTGGTTGAGCATCTGGGTCAAGCCAGAAATTCACATGAGGCCGCGTACAGGCCATGGCAGTGCATGGTATGCTAGTATACAGCAGCTTGGCGTACCCAGGCGGCGGCTTGCGGCCCGATAGATAGTTAGGGCTATTAGGGTTTACCTCAATAATCAATATTTCAACACGGACATGCAAAATGGTAGGAATATTGCTTACCGGGAAAGAATCCCCAGCATCGTTAGCCTCCAGGGCCCAGTTGAAGAGCTTCCGAGCCGCAATAACGTACGGAGAGTCGAGCCACAACCACGTGAGACCACCCTGCAATACGTTGAGTGCACGTGGTTAGCATCATAATGGCACATTTGGAGGCCATAAAACGGTTTTACGTTACGCAAAGCAACATCGCAAGACTGGGCATAGCCAAGCACCGTTACCAGCCGATGGCACAAGCATCCTCACCGGGAACACCAGGCCGTTCAGCGACTTGAACAGACGGCGCAGTTCTGAATCCGAGGCATAAAACCTTGCAGCACAAAAAAACATATATTTGTAAAAAGCGTCGGCGCATGTTAGGGCGTGTGTCGATCAAGACAACACCTTCCCGGCCACGGTGGTAGCTAATCAATTTGGCACTGCAAGGCCATTCTTCCTTACCTAACAGGCACAGCGCGGCCGCCGCCCATCTCAATCCACTTCACATAGCCTGCTGCGATGTAGGACCTGCACGCAAAGCAGCAGGATATCGATTCTGAAGCACCTAGGGGACAGCAATTCGTTAATACTCTACGCGTACTTACTTCCCGGGGCAATCGTGGCATGGCTGCGTCAAGACGCCAATTAGGGGTTTGGTATTCTTATACTTTGTGGGCTCTGCACCCGCTGACGCGCGGCTTTGCGGCTTGGCAACTACCCTCTCAATCCCTTGGCGAGCACCCTGAGCCACAGCAAGGGCGGCCAGAAGGGCGACAAGCCCGACAACGGCACTTCGTGCCATTTGCTATGTGACGACCGCGGCCTCAGCACGTGGTCGATCCCCAACAGCGATGTGTATTAAGAAGGTGGGCTTGACGCCCTGCTGAACGTATGATGGCCCACTGTGCGTCAAGGCTCCCATGAACGTGACGCAGTTCGCAGCTCCAGAACCGGCCTGCTCGTCCCACGTGAAATCGTGAATACGTGAAACAAGGTCATATTCCGTAAAGATTCCTCTGGAGGACATGTCCTAATCAGATGTTGTGTAAACACGCCATTTGACAATCTGATACGTGGATCGTCTCCAGCCTGAAGGTTGGCTGGCAAATTGTTGCAGAAGCCTAACGATGGCCGAATACCCTTTGAGCGTCTCCTGCTTCTTCGTGGACATAAAGAGTATAAATTGATAATCCTGGGGTTTCAGATGTCAGCCCTACACCAAGGGTATTGGCAACATTGTAGCCCATTTCCTTAGAGCATATTCACTTCAGGGCTGGCCTCTTCAGTCCTAACCTGCCCCTACCATCAGGTACACGCAGCTGGGTCCACACAACCCCCTTGCAAACCTTGGATCACGGTTATGTGATCCAGTTGATGAACAGAACCCCTTGCGATCTCCTTGTCCATTTACTCTTCTGGGTCAAACTCTTACCGCCCTTATGCACTGCCAAAGCCACTTTGCACCCTCTTTCTGCTCCGCTTTTACCCTCACTTTTCGTTCCTACTTGCGGCCAATTTTCTTAACCTGCAACCCTGCAACCTCCACGAGCCCTCAACACCTCACATCCTCCTTAAGAGCTAAAGAAGCCGCTCCTGGCCAGCAGCTGCTCCACCTCCGCTGCCGACCCGCACGCCTCCAGCTCCGAACCCAGCCGCCGTGTCGCACCACCTGCAGGACTCCATGCCAGCAGCGTGGGAATGCCCGTCAGCTTGAGCTCCGGAGCCACCCTGCATGCACATAGGGCATAAGTACGGCGGTTCATTCCCTTCTCTGCACAATCACATGCATGGCATTTTAGAGTTGCTTTCCGGGCGGTAAAACACAACCAAGATATTGCTTGCGAACATGCCTTGTGAAAACACGCACAAGGGCTACGCAGCCACGCGGCAGATGCACTGCAGCCCTCCACACGCAGTCCCAACACAGCTGCCGGCACCTGAAGGGGTGGCTGGCGTTGCCCTTCCACGCCGACCGCGGCCCCACCGTCACCTCCAGCAGGGTTCCGGAGCTGCGCGCGGCTGCTGCCCGGATGGGCGGCACTGCCCTCACGCAGTCGGGACACCAGGGCTGTCCGGTGTGGGGGTCGGGGTCGGCGTTGAAGAGGATGTAGTGCGGGGCGGGGGACTTCTGGAGCCTGTGGGGAAGTAGGTGTTGGGGTCAAAAAAGAAATTCCAAAGTGTAGATGTTGGGGGAAGGAGGGTGCCGGGTGGGTTAAGGAGAGTGGAAGGGATGGTGCTAGAGGTGTAGTGCACGTGGGGCAAGGTTGGTACGGGCGCGGTCGAGCGGGCACGGCGACCAAATGTTGCGTACGCCTCTTATGAAAACTTACTCAGTGAGAGCTGTTGCAAAGGTTTGCACGTCGGCTGTCAGGGTCTTGGCAGCAGCGGCAGCCATCACGGATGCCCTCCGGGCTCCCCTGCGGGGGCAGCGGTGCCAGAGCAGGGAACGGCGATGAAGTGCTTAAAAGCCGGTTGTATATGGCATTGAAGCGGGCAAGGCCAGTTTGCCGCGCTGAATCGCCCCACTATGCAGGTAGAATGCGAAAGTTACAAGGGGGACCGGAGTTCCTGCGGGTAGGGCTTGCACGGCATGGTGACCAACCTGCCGTTGGTAGAAGGTAGCGGAAGTCTGTTGGGAACAGCCTGCACGTTGTTCACAACATACACATTGCTTGTTGGTAACGTCGAGGATGCAGATAATATAAGTAGGTGCACAAAATCGCATGGCCTACCAACGAAGCGCGATTACCGAGATTTGCGCAATGTGCCACGCCTGCCCTCGTCGCTTGCATATTGTATCTAACTTGTTACGTTAATTAATAATCCCTGTCCAGTTACACTTCCCTGCGTGGGCTTGTTTCCGGCAAGGATACCAGAAGCCGTACAGTTGCCCTCTCCGAAACCAATCCAATCTAAGCCTAGGAAGTCATAGGCTTAGATTAGTAGGAGCTCTGACCCTAGGTTCCAGGTGGCCATCTTGTAGCCACTCGAGGGCGCCACCAAACGCTAGCTGCTTGTTTAGCTGTGTCACTGATGGTAAGGAACGGTGACCGGAACCCAAAGGCTGCACCCTAGGGAACCCCTTGCAGACACGGTAACGCGCGCTGATGCAAGAAATCGACTGTGCTGCGGGGACCACCTTACGTCTTCTGCACTAACTGCCTCACGAGTTGCATGTTTGCACGGGGACGTCATCGAGCCCTGCTGGGACCCAGCAGCACAGGCACGCCACCGGGTGCCGTATGGATGACGTCGGGTTAAATTCTCGTTTCCGCGACAGGACGGTCGTCATTACAGACCAGATTCCCTTATCATACCGCATCAGCCTGCGTCCCTGAACTGCTAAACCTCGGATGAACTCGCCGAGATCTCCCCCTCCACAACCATACGTCAACAAGCACTCTGTTTCTCTACACGTGGGATCACACAAGCGCATGCATGATCGGCAAAACACAGTATGTTACTTCCCTGCTGCTCCGGTGCCCATGCAACCAGCCGACACCTCTTCAAAATAATACACTTAAGCCTCGCCTCAAGTTACGAGGCGCATCAGCATTTGTACGACAATTAAGATAACCGAGGTTAACCAAAGCCTTCATCTCACTCACGTTTCCAATATCCGTGGGCACAGCACATGCTGCTTGTGCGTAAGAAATTTACAAGAGACGCTCCCAAGGTGTCAAAACAAGGAGGGCCAATGCGATGTTAAGATGTTCCATTCCTCTCTCTTGTCGATGCATGTCCCTCAACTTTGCCAGCAATTATAAGGCAACCGTCCACAACTTCACCCAGTCTAGGAGTGTCACAAGCACAGGCAAACCGCGGTAAGGCAACGGCAGCCATGCTAAAATTCGGATAAAAGCTCCTAACCCCATGTCTTATGCCTACTGAAACCCTAAAGACCAAGCACTCCAGGGGTTTCACAACGTCGTCTGCCCTCTAGCACGCCCTCTTACCCTAGCCCCCACAGCCATTCCCCTTCAAACCCCAGGCAGGCAGAAATCTCTCTTCTCTCCATTCATGCTAACAAGGTCCATATGCTGCGTGCCGGTACGGCAGAGGCCTTCTACTGCAAGGCGTAGCCCGAAAGGAAGAGGAGGAAGGCGACTGTCATAGCTCCATAAATGAGTAAGCTCTTTTGCTCCTCAGTCATGGAGTTGCCACCCAACCCATATTGTTGGTTCTCCGCGAACCCGGCGAGGACTTTTACGCGAGATTCGAACTTATCCTTGGATGAACCGCAGATGGGGCACGCGTAGTCATCAGGCAGCGCTTGAAAGGTAATGCCAGGTGGCACCGGGAAATCAGGGTCTCCCTTTTCCGGCTTGTACTCGTAGCCACACCCTTTGCAAGTTGCTGACCCAGAACCGACGACAAGGAATTTTTCCGCGGCTCGCAGCTTCTCCGCCTACAAAGGTGTCCTTGCGTTTAGTACAACGTAGATAAGGCACATGTTCTAAGTGCACCGTGAAGAAAGTGTGAAACCTACCTCAGCCTTCTTCCGCTCGGCCTCCGTCAAGAGTTCCGTATCCGTTTCAGACGTAGAGCAGACGCGTACTTTGCGCATTACTGTAATGCATGGTAGTTGAACAGGGACAGGACGCGCGGCAATCGGCCGACACACCAACTGCGATCGAAGCGACATTTGTGCCATTGTGACTGTGAACGTAACCAGCTAAAGTAATTACAATACAATAGCTTGTAGCTCTAAGCGTGAGTGTAGCAGGAGCTGTGTAGTAACGAGCTATGAAAAGCCCATGAAGATCGTGTGACACAGACGTTGCTCCGGAACCCATCATTCATAACCACAGAAATTTGTGCGTCCACTTCATTCGTGTACTCGGTACACGCGTCGATAGCATATATCCGCGTTTCCTTGGCACTGTTCTTCACATCATTATGTAAAGGAATGTATTAAGGCCGCCGCTAGAATTTAACGGTCTGGCGGCTTGAGCTCTGGCGGCTATGACCTAAAGTGTCCATCAACACTTTTACTGCTCTTCCAGCACCTCTGGAATGGTATCGGTTGGGCCAGCATGGCTACGGTGTGCCATTCTTGGGCGCACTCAGTGGAACCCGGAGGCTTTCGCCTCCGTTTAGACCCTCCATGCGCCTGTCGTCCCAACCAGTGTTCAACCATTACTTGATTTGACGGCGGCTGTGGCCGTGGCTATGGCTCTGATGCCGTGTGACATGGAACTACCAAACTGAGCAGTACCGGTAAGTCAAGACGGCCGCGAGCCTTTTTCATGCGCGCAAATAGTTGTGATGACATCCCCTTTTGCACGTTTGATAGCTCCTTCTCCCTCACTAATCACTCCTGTGGCGGCGCGGTCATGCCACCGTCTTACACTGTGTTTCAGTTACTAGCGGCGCAATAATTCATGCTTCACTCCTCATTCAGGTTATCTTCTGCGGACTTGCGCCGACGCAGCCCATATGGTTGTCAGCTCACGGCCCAGCAACTCGCTTGCATCATGGGCCGGCTCTTTCAAGGTGGGTTTAACTTTGTTGTTGGGCGATGGTCAGCATGTCACTTGCGAACCCATTATGATGGTGAGCGGCTACTTGGGTGTTGCTGCCGATGATGCTTTTCAGTCAGGTTATCTGAGTTACTCCGCCAGGGGAAATCTCTTGACGGGGACTGACAGACAACCTTTTTGCATTTTTGCTGAGGCAGCACAACACCTGACACACCTGAATCATCTACTGCTATTCTGCTCCGTAAGGGCCATTGAGCCGTATTAGGGCTTGGGGGACAAGCTTGACACACGCACTTGCCGTCGCTCATGAAGGATGACCAATATTAACCATATCTTAGGACACCTTCATAGGGGGTACAGCCACCTCCGATGAGACGAACTTTGGTTCTGACATGAAGCGCACGGCGGTTTCTTGAGTTGGGTTGCATGGTCCGTGCACACTCGCATGCGATACACATCGGGAATATGAGCATGTATGTTCCAACTGCATTTGTGGCAATTCTGGTGGAGGATGTTACAAATACTTTCGTTCTACCGAGTCAGGGTCGGCACAGCCGCCCTGTGGGGAGACAAATTGGAGACCTGAACTGACACAAGAATTGCCACCGATACATGGAGATTAATTCATGATTCATTATCTTTTGGGGCGGGGATAAGCATCGCCGGTAGCATGCATGTGCACCTGTTCTGTACAGCCTTACAGCACTCAGTGCATGGCGGCGGAATTGTGGAAGATGCTAAACAAACTTTCGTTCTACCGAGCTAGGGTCGGCAAAGCCGCCCTGTGCGGAAACAAGTTTTGGAGACCTGAACTGACACAAGGATTGCCACCCATGCATGGAGATTAATTTAGAATTCATGATTTCGGGGCAGGGGCACGCATCGCCGGTAGCATGCATGTGCACCTGTTCTGTACAGCCTTACAGCACTCATTGAATGGCGGCGGGAATTGTGGAAGATGCTAAACAAACTTTCGTTCTACCGAGCTAGGGTCGGCAAAGCCGCCCTGTGCGGAAACAAGTTTTGGAGACCTGAACTGACACAAGAATCCCGGTGCCGCTGTCTGCTTAGCACAGATGTCAAATCGTATTACATGTTGCCTCATATGTCGTGAAACTTACCCCTCCTTCCCTCTCCCCTGTCATGCTGTTTCCTCCACAGGGAACTTCCACCTGCGTTTTCTAGCGTTGGTCCTTATCAAGACGGTCTCCACTAACCGTTAGCGATCAACAGCGGGACTGGTTGATTAGATGCTTAAACGGCTTAAGGGATTGCGAACCCTCCATTCTGAAGATTCTCATGATGACCCATGGGTCATCATTTGTTCTATTTACTACTGTACATCAGGCGCCACGCTGTAATTGGCGTCCTAAGTTGTTAGGTTGGTTTTGGAAGTCCGTTGTGAAATACACTGCTTGTACAACGATTTGTATGTGGATAGCCTATTTTTTTACGAAGTATTATATATGCTATGCAGCGATGTGCTTATGCAATTCAATGCATCATCGTGCCTTTCTTTTACTGTACAACATTCTTACATTTGCGACGTTGTGATGGCATGGTGCCGGCATTGTGCGGGGCACTGGTTTTGGACCAAGAAGGAAATCGCTTGGGGGGCTATTGCGTACCAAGGGTAAGGTGGTCGTATACAACAAAAAAACGGTGCACTTACATGGATTCCCTGATCAGTGACGTTGGTGTGCAATCACATGTACGTAAAACAAAGTTTGATGCTTCCGCCGCAAGGCGTATGTGTAAGGGCTATTGATTGTGGGATTCACATCGGACATGCTTTGTGCGGTACACAGCATTAGCACGTTTCACTTCTCTCTTGGCATTAGCGGAGCACCTCCAGCAGCCATATAACCGCTACGTGTATGCACGAACACATAAAAGTAATGCGAAGCTTAACGCATGGGACAAAACACATACCCCCGACATAGCCGCCCACACATAGTAAGATACCAATTCCTGTCATCGATTGCCATAGATGCAGACACCTTGCTTGCAGCCTTTAGCCGGCGGTTGGAGCGCCGTATAGCTGGGAACGAGCAGTGTTTCTACGGTGCAGCTGCGGGCGCAGGAGGCTGCGATTGTGCCTCCGTTTCAGCAGTCTCTGAGGGCGGGTACGAGGGCGGCGGGCTCTGGGACGACAGGTAGGTAGGAGGCGGGTACGAGGGTGGCAGCAGGAGGGGCGAATAGTAAGGAGGCTGCAGCAGCTTGGACGGGTAGTAGTTAGGGGGCTGCGTGGCCGGCAGCAGGTCTGACGACACGGATGTTGACGCCGACGACGGTGGTTGTGTTAGGTCCAGATCTGATGATGGGACCAGACGCGATGGCATGGGTTGGGGATACGGAAGCGCTCCAAGCGATCGTGACTTGGCAGGTGAAGGTGGACGTGGGAAGGGCGGCGAGGGCTTGGGGAACGGCGGACGAGGCGACGGCCGCGGTGGCATTGGTGATGGGCGTGGTGGCGGCGGCCGTGATGGCTTCGGCGCCGGAGGCGGCGGCTTCTTTGAAGGCGGCGTTGGCTTCGTCGATGACAGCGGTTTCGCGGGCTCGCCGCCGCCGCCCGGCTGCAAGACCATGAACTGGCAGACAGCGCTTTCCGACCTCGCGAACTTCACACCGCCGCCGCAAACGTACACTCCCACGGCACCCGCGCTGATAACCGCTGAGCTGGGAGAAGTGGGGCTGTTGTCGCCACCGCGGCGGAACACGGAATCTGGCAGCTCGCCACCCAGGGCTCCTCCTACTGCTGCTGCAAGCACCGGCCAAATGCCGTGCCTTGGAACCGCCATGCCGGGTTTCACCAGGTCCCATGTGTTGGTTAAGGGGTTGTACCTGGTGCGGGGGTAAGATGGCACGCATGCATGCATGGTGGGCAACCGGGTCGTACGGAGTTGCAGGACAGCTATTGTTATGGTAACTGACATGCATCAACTGCATTGGTTTCGGTGCTATATCGGTAATCACCATCGGTACGGGGGCTTGTCTTGTTTGCCGTCCCTGTTGCCCTGGCGTGTAAGTCCGGAGCTCCGCACCATCATATTTGTCATCACGCCACGCACCTGTCAATGCGATTGTACACGCCCCCAGCCGTGAGGCCCAGCTTGCTGTCAGGACAGGACTTGGGCGTGCACCTGCGGGGACACAGGGTGAAGGCAAGCTTGGCCAGCGCACCCAAGGATTGAAAGTGGGCTTAGGAGGGATGAGGAAGCAGTCTTCGTGCACATACAGCACACACGCACGCACTTGTTTGTTTCCCCTCCGATGACGTACAGCTGGCCATCCAGGTAGAACGCAGCTCCCATGCCGCCCCGCCCCTCCGGCAGTGGAGCCGGGGCGCCAGTGCGGCTGGCTGTGCTGGACTGCCAGGTCTGCGGGGTGGGGGATACCGAGGTAGGGGAAGAAGCTTGTGAGGACGAGCTGCATGACATGTAGGCTTCACCAGGGGGTGCAAACATGGTAGCCGGCCGAGGGCCGGGCGCCGGGGGCTGGGATAACGTTAAGCAGCATGGGGCGGCAGCAGCAGCAGTGACAGCAGCTTGGGGCAGCAGCAGCGCAGTAGGCTTACGTTGGTCCTTGGGTCGTATATCTGGGTATAGTTAACGCCGGGCGTTACGACGTTGTTGGCGGTGGGGCGGCCGCCAAAGACGTAGATGCGTTTGCCGTCGGTTCCCATGGCCGCATGATGTAGTGCATGGGGCATGGGGGAGATGCGGGTCCAGGTGCGCTTGTTGCCGTCGTAGCGCCTTTGGGGGGGGGCAGAAGAATACCCAATGTGGTTTGAGTGAGAATGGCAAGCAAGACGACGGGGGGGGGGCAGGAGGTGATGGTGGTGCTGCATGTTTGGGAACGGTAAGGGGAAAAAGATGGAGCAGAGGAGGGGAAGAGTCATGCAGGCAACTAATCACAACATGCCCGCTGGTTTCGCCCCTCCCCACTACCGTACTCACGCACAGTCGTTAATAGGCGCGGCGCCCCTGCTCTTGCCCTCCAGGATGCCGCCGCAATAGTAGATGGTGCGGCCCAGGACCGTGCCGCACGCCCCTCCGCTGGAGATGGGCGGGGCGGGCCCGTCCGACCAGCTGTTGGCAATAGGGTCGTACATTTGCATCTTGCCTGGGGGTGCAGCAGCAGAAAGCGTAATAACACTAAGAAGAGGGGTGAAGACCTTGTCAGGGTTATCGCGCACGTGCAAACGGATGTCACGGCGGTGACTATCGCAGCTGCGGGGCACTACTATGGGGCACTACTATGCGAGAATTACAGGGGAATCAGAGCAAGGTTCAGAGCAAGGTACCGGTAGCAAGGGGCGCGTGGGGGACTTGTAGCAGAAGACAGACCGCTTCGTCTCCACCGCCCCCAGTGCAACCTTACCCGGCGAGCCCCCATTGAAGCCCCCGATGAGGTGCAGTCGGTTGTCCAGTACGGCAGCTACCGTGTGGTCGCCCGGGTAGGGTCGGGGGGCCCGCCTGGCGGTGGGGGAATAATATAGAAAGCAGGGTAAAGCGGTGTTCTCACAGGCCAGCGTCTTGATGAGTATTGGTGCAGTGGGTCTTGGAGCCGGTCGGGTTGGTTGCCTCCTTGGCCGTACGTACACAGGCGGCACACAAGTACACTCACGTGCCACAGACAAGCCGTGCAGTTGCTGTGCTGCCAAGCAAGCGCGTACAGGAACATTGGCGAAGGACCCATGCAGCCTAGCGCTCCTCGCCATGCATTGGCCAACTCCCGGCATACTTGTTCAGCTTATCAGCCATATGGACAACGCATGCAGCAGCACAGGGGCCCATCTACCGGTATCTAGCAGCCTAGCTTGATCCACGCATAAGGGAGACAATGTGGGTAGGTATGGTGCCAACACCGCCCCACATACTTGCTCAGCCAGGTGCCTCTGCGCAGGTCGAGCACCAGTGTCCTGCCGCTGTCACCCGGGCTAGCCTTGGAGCCCTGACCCACCACCACCAGCAGCGGCCGGCCAGCAGCGTCCTGGGGGCGGGGGCGAGGGGGAGGTTTGTGGGGGCGGGGAAGGGAAGGGGGGTTTGCAATAGGGCGGGGGCGGGAATAAATGATAAACGCAGCAACTTAAGTCCCAATCCCATATCCCGAATCATGCAGTGGGGGGGAGGAAGGGGTTTGTGGGGGTTTGCTAGGCAGCAAGGCACGGTTTGGATCCATGGAGGAGGTGGGAAGAAAGAGGTATAGCAAGGCACCAAATAAAAATTTGGAAGAAGACGATGGGGCACAGGGAAGAGCAGGGAGGGTGTGATGCGCGGGCCTGCTGGTGTACGATCAACACGGCACTTGTTCAACAAACGGAGGCGCCTGTGGCAAGCGGTGCCCCTGCTGCCTATGGTTGGTGGTCTGCTTTTTGCCCGTCCATCTGCTTTCCCCACTCCTCACTACCGTAATACCTAGACCCTCGTGCATGCATGCATGTGCTCATCTTGTGTGCTTCCCCTGCACACCTGTAGCATGCCTGCAGCCACCTCCCCAAGTCGAGCCGGCATGTCCGGCAGGTCAAACCAGGCCACCACGTCGTCTCTGGCGGTCTTGGAGGGAAGGCCGTGTTTGTAGCTGCTGCTGGCCACCGTGACAACCCCATCATCTTCACACATGACGGCAGGGGTCCAGCAGAGGAGCTGGAGGAGGAGGAGCAGCGGCAAGGCTGCTGCGGCTGCTGATGCCGCCAGTTGGGGTGCAGTTGCAGCGGCTGCTGGGAAGGCGGGTGAGGGTGAGGGCGATGATGGACGTCTGCCGAAGCGGCGACGACGGTGCTGTGGAGGTGGTTGCATGGGTCGGGTGCAGTGGTCGCCGCTAGGTTGCTATGTTGCCGTCAACAGGTGTATTGTGGTGGGTGCGTGGGAGGATGAGCGGTTTGGTGGTGGTGGTGGGTGCGTGGCAGGATGAGCGGTTTGGTGGTGGTGGTGGTTCTCCGTTTGGGATCCTCTAGTTGCAGGGTCTCTACAGCCTGGGTGTTTTAGTGTCAATTAGTAACGGGCCCTTGGGCTGCTGTGTAAATGAGGAGACTGCCGGGTGACTTGTGTTTTGCAATTTCGGTAGTGTAGTGGCAGTAATGAGTAATTTGTTTTAATTCATTGAGAGGAGGTTATCTGGTTATCTTCAACACGCGCGTCTGTGGAAGTACGGGTGTGTAAGACTCGGAATGTGCCGAAGAGAGCTGCTCCCGTCCACGTCCCAGCGTAACGAAACACCGGCCAGCCACAGCAGCCGACGCCGACGCGGCTCCCCTCAACTTCCCGACGCTAGCTAGCTTTCCACTGCTGAATTCAATGCGCCCTAGAAGCACTGACTGTGTGTGTTGTGACACGTTCTCATCATCCCACAAAAGTGACTGACTCATGAAAAGCCGTTGTAATTCCGTTAGCAGCGCACCCATTTGTCGGACTGGCAAACAGGTACAAAGATGAACCGTCCCATATGGGTTTTGTGCAAAGTATCCTACAACCTGACGCTAGCAAGAAACCTTGTGAGCAGCATCCTTCACATCCCATCTCGCATCATACCTGCAACAGACGCTTTCAGCACCAAACCCGGTCCGAACAAGAAAGTACGGTAAAACGTCATCGCGCGCCAACCCCAAACCTAAAACCACTCGCACGGCCCCACTAACCCGCTCCAACGGTACCCATTGTTCGCACCCTCATCCCAAACCTAAAACCACTCGCACGGACCGACAATTCCCCTCTTCACCGCACTACCCTGCTACACCGATACCCTAGTTACCTGTACTAGCCACACCCTCACCGCTCCTCCTCCTCCCCCCGCCCCCTCCTGCCTCCCGCCATCACCACCACTCCTCCCAACCCATCCTCCTCCTGCCCCCTCCTCTCCTCCCGCTCCCTCCTCTCCGCCTTCTTCGCCTTGTGCTCCTTGCTCTGCGCCTTGGGCAGCAGCGTGGACAGCCCCGGCCGCTCAAACACCTCCGCGTAATCCGGAACCAACGCTGCATGCGTGGTCACCGCCACCCCGGGCAGGGTCCACAGCCGGAAGCGCGCGCGTCCCTTGCAGCCCACCCCTACCCAGCCCAGCCCCGCAACCGCGATATCCACAGTGCTCTTCTTCCAGTCGGAACCCTCCACCTCCACGTCAATGGGGGTGAGGGGGGGCAGCGCAGCCAGACGCTCGGGTGAGTCGGGTGGGGAGAGCAGGCCCTGGGAAACAAGCCGGGGCAATCTCTCCGCAGCACCTGGAGGAAGGGGGCGCGAGGGGGGGGGGCGCGATGGAGGAGGTTGAAGGGGTAAGGGAGTAAGGAAAACCAGCATGGGGTATGGGGAGGAGCAATTCCACCCCTGCCGTGACTACCGTTACTGCATGCTACTATAGGACTTCTCCCTCCCCTCCTTCGCCCTTGTTCATCCCCTTCGCCAATACCAGTGCACAAAAACCCCTCCCCTCACTCAGTCAGTTAGTTGTTTCCTCTTTACCCCCCTTGCGCACCCCCCCATCATCACTCACCCTCCGTCTTGCCCATGTGCAGGTGCACCAGCTGCGACACGAAGGCGGTCAGGTACAGGGTGGCGCCCGGCGCCTCCACCACGTCCAGCCGAGCCAGCCCACCCCCCAGCAGCAGCGTGTGGCCGGCACCCACACGGTAGGTGCGGCCGCGGAGCGGCTTGGAGGGGAGAACCTGGGGGGGAAGGGAGTGAGTGAGTGCGGGGGCCAATGTTAGTCGAGTGAATTGCCCGCACTACGGTAGCCATGCAGCGCTTGGAGGGAGCGGGGCAGGGGGCCCCTGGGGGGGCAGGGGGCCCCCTTCCTCCCTGCCCCCTTCCCTCCCCTTCCCCCCTCCCGTCCGCTCCCCCTCACCTTCTTCACCTCCTCCAGGCCCAGGTGGCTGGTCAGCTGGTGGCTGTGCGGCACTCCGGGCGTGTCGAATGCGCGGTGCTTGGGCCCCAGCGGCAGCCCCGGCACCTGCAGCAGACCCAGCGTGGTGCCGGGGACGGGGGCCACCGTGGGGTCGCCTGATGGAGGGGGGGAGGGGGGGAGGGGGGGAGGGGGCGGGGAAAGGACGGGGCTTGCGTGCATGAGGCTGGCAACGCAGCCAGCAGCGAATAAAGCTCCCGTCGGCCCCTCACACCAACACCATAAAACACATGTGTCCCCGCGCAAGACCCTTCCCCCAAGCCCCAACCCCTTCAAGACATCCCTTGCACCGCTGCCCGCCCCCGCCCCTCGCCCCCGCCCCTGGCTCTCACCCTTCCCCGCCGTGCCCGCCCCCCCCCCCCCGCCCCTCTCACCCTTCCCCGCCGTGCCCGCCCCCCCCCCCGCCCCTCTCACCCTTCCCCGCCGTGCCCGCCAGCCGCTTCATGGCGGCGATGAGCGAGCTCTTGCCCGCGTTCTGCGCGCCCACCACCCACAGGTCGCCGCGGAAACCCAGCGCGTGACGGATGTCCTGCAGTGCAGGAGGCGGGGAGGAGGAGGGGAGGAGGAGAGGAGGAGGAGCGGGGACACGTTAACAGGCGCCTGCCAAGGGGGATACAAACATACTGAACATATGCAAGCTTAACCACTAACCAACGGCAAACCAACAAGTGAACGGGCTCGTCCCATCTTGTTGCCAGCCTTGAGGTGGCCGAAACACACACGATATACCACCTCCCTCCTCCTTGCCTCTCCCCTCCTTACCCCGCCTCCCCCCCCCCACACACCTGCACCATGTCCTTCACTCCCAGCCCCCGCGTGGCGCTGACCATGAAGACCTTGTCAGGGGGAGGCAGACCCGCCTGGACCAGCCGGGTGCGGACCCAGTTCTGGGGGGGTGAAGGGGGTATGTGTGAAAGGGGGTGAAAGGGGTGAAAGGAATACCTGGAAGATGGAACGCCAGTAACGAAAGGTAACGGTGATAGCAAAGGTGGTGCGGTGGGGACCCTCCCGCCTCCTTTGTGGCGTCCTGCCGCCTCTTATCCCCATTGCTTTGCCCTTACCCGTGGTTTCCTACGGTGTAGCATTGTCTTTTGAACCCCTCCTCCCCCCGCCTACCTGCACCCGTGTGGGAGTTGCCTGCGACGGCAGCAAGTCGAACTTGTTGACCGCCACCATGAGACGGAACTTGGGCTCGAGGGGAGGCTGGTCGGGGGGGCTGGGCGGGAAGAGGGACCTGCAGCGGAGGTGGAGAGGAGGGGGGCAGCGACCCATGGGTCAGTGGGCGGGTCAGGATTGCGGCTACGGTAAATAGGGCGGCTAGAGCACGAGTGCTGCATGAGGGCATGAGTTTTACATCTGGGACATTTTCCCAAAATAATTGTTTATTTTCGCGCGATGATATTGTGAAGGTACGGTATACATGCCGTACATACCGTACATCCCGGCACGGTTTTCAGAAGCCAGCTCTCCCCGCCACCGCAAACCGTATGCAGATATGCAGTACCCATGCAACCCCCGGGCATCTCTAGCTGTTCCTAGTTTGCGACCAGCTAGGCAGAGCTAGAAAGAAGCAACAGCCCGAGCGGCAACACAGCTACCCAGCCCTCTGCAACCACTTCTCTCCCCCCCAACCCAACCCAACACCCTCGCCCCCCCCCCCATCATATATATTCATCTCATCATATATATTTTTTTTACCCCCCCGGCACCCACTTGATAGCCAGTCGCGGCAGTGATCCGTCGAAGTCCCACACGTCCACCACACACAGCACCACCGCCCGCCGGTCCTTCTGCAGGTGGATCTTGCGACCCACCTGGGGGGAAAAAAGAAATTCCAAAGTGTGGTGTGGTGTGGGGGGGGGGGCGGCATGCAGGTGGAGGAGGATGGGGGGAGGGTAGGATGGTAGCACAGTGTCATGGAGTATACATGCGGCATGCGATGATGTATACCCCGAAGGTCAGGGTAAGGTGTACAGGAGAAGAGGCACAGTAAGGAGGCAAGCGGGCAGGAGGAGGGGGAGGGACAAGCACCCTACCCACCTTCTTGCCCAGATCAAACTCCGGAAGCGCCGACTCCAGGGCTTGAACCTTGATCTTCCTGCGCAGGAAGGACATGTAGGATGTGATGTGACGTGATGTGTGTCAGGCTTGCGGCTGGTGAACCCAAACACATCGTGCGCTAACGTGACAATGGCCTCGTCTCACCGGCACCACACCGTCAGGCCCCTCCCTGCTCCCTCCTTCCCCCCAGTCGACGTCAGTTTCCTCTTCCCCCCTCCCTCAGCCCTCACCCCGAGTGTTTGAGTGAGAAGCAGCGCTGACACAGCACATCCGGATCGTCCTCCCCGCGACCCGGACCCAGCGACGCAACGTCAGCCTGGTGGGGGTTGGGGGAGGAGGGGCAGCGGGGCGGGGGCAGCGGGCACACACATGTACAGCCAGCCGTTCACCAGGTTCATTAGTGCTAGTGTTAGTGTTGCGGCACTCAGTGTTGCGGCACATGCAGCAGCAGCAGCACCCAACCACCCACCTACCTCCGCATCCTCATCCATCTCCCTCCGCGCCGCTTCCAGCACCCTCAGCTGCTCCGCCTCCTCCCTCTCCGCCTCCTGCTCCCCAGCAGCTGCTGCTGCTGCCGGCCCCTGCTGCTGCTGCTGCTCCGCCTGCTCCTCTAGGCGAGCCTCCAGCAGGCGGGAGGGCACGATGAAGAAACTGCGGTTTGGATTGTTTGGAAAAGGGTGGGAGGGGCGGGAGGGGGGGCGAACACGGCCATCGAAATGGTTTGACGGGGCGGCAGAAAGAGAGAGACAGCTGGAGGCAAAGACACACGACTGTGACCCGGTTGCCAAACACACACGACTGTCCCTCCTCCCCTTCCCCCTCGCCCCTCCCGTTTCCCTTCTCACCCCGGCGCCTCCGGGTCCCGCCGCTGCAGCCGCATGCCGCAGCCGCAGCAGTGGCTGGGCAGCCGTACACCCAGCGCCTTGAGAGCTTCGTCGCTCAGGAGCTCGGCACCCCCAGCTGCTAGCTCGGAGAGGCGGGGAAGCGGGGCGGGGGAGGCGGTTGGCGGTTGTGGTGGTGGTTGTATGGCGGGAGTGCTGCTGGGGGTGCTGGTCTTTTCTTGTCGCCTGGGGTTGGCTGAGGGTGCTTGTGCTTTAGATGCGGCTGCTGGGGAGGTAGCTGAGGAGGCTGAGGAGCAGTAGCCGCGCTGAAGGGTAAGAAGAGCGGCCGGTGTGGCTTTGGGCGCGAGGGAGGAGTGGAGGGAAGAGGCGTGGCTGGCTGTGCGGTGGCAGGATGTCCCGGCGGAGGACATGAGCTTGGTGAGCCTCATGGTTGACGTTTGGTGTCCAGCAGCGGCAGGGCCGATTGGCGAGTAAGGGGATGCTGAGAGTGGAGTGAATTGAGAACGCTTGTAGGCTCCCTCAAACGCCGATGTAAAGGGAGGCAGGGGTAATGCCGGCGAATGACCGGAACTGTAATGGAATTGTGTTATAGTCGTTGCGCGGCGGCCTTTCTGATTGTTCAAATTAGAAACTATGGATCGCTGGGCAATTGCGTACACATGGCTAACGGAACGACGTATGGTGTTTGCAGCCGGGAGGGCCAAAACAGGTGGTACAGGCGGCACGACCACAAATAGTCCGAGCATGAAGCTCCACGTTAGTTAGGCTGACGTCGCAAGTAAAAGTATGCCCTCTAAGCAACGTTCAATGCTTGATAGGTTACGGTAGTTGATGGCCATCCTCAAGGTGTCGTCGTACGTTCTGGTTTCTCTAGCCCGGATCGCTTTACGGGCATCCTGACTTAAAGGTTGAATAGCTGATAATGACGCGTGAATACAATCCTACGAATAGACTGAAGCTTTCCCTTTTGGGTTAGTTAGAATGGCATTCTATTGTAAATGATAGCAAGCAGGGGGCCAAGTCTCGGTTTGGTGCTTGCGCCCTGCTGAGCTTGTTTGCACGCCCTATTCCATAATTGGAAGGGCGGAAGGATTGGAAAAGAAACCTACTTACGTCCCGCGCTCGTCTCGCTAGCTTTTTCACTTGAGCACCACTTTCTGGTACCAAGCATCCACTGCGCTTATAGACAGAAGTCATGGAGCGCTTGAGCAAGGCGCTCGCAGCAGTTGGTAAAGTAGGCGAAGCTATTAGCCGAACCGCGCAGTCAGCACAAGAGCTTTTGCTGGACCAGGACTTACGGAGGTAACCCCTTTGCTCTTATCTGCTAAAAGCCGTAATTATCACGCTGACGGGCTGCAATCTCCGGTCCTGAATCCCCACAGCAAAGGTATACAAACCGTCTTTTCCGGCGCTCAAACCAGACTCCAGGGCATACAAAACGGTGCGTCATGCTCCGTGGGCCAAATTTCTGCTGCGAAACGCTTTGCCAAGTTCCGCACCTGCTTACGGCCCCTCCCAGCGGTCCACTCCTGTCTGCACCCGCCCTCACCTCACCCTCCTCCAAGCGCCTGCACGGACCTGTAACCCACTCCGTCCCTACCCCTCCCATTCCCCTCCCACCTCCAGGTATCGTACAGCGAGCAGGCCGGCTGGTGCTGGACAAACAGCGACAGCTGCAGGTATTGTAATAAGCTAACCGCACGCTGCTCTCCTCTAGCAGCTCTTCCCTGCGAGAAGCAGTTCCTGTTCTACCCTCTGCCTACCCACACAGCACCTACCGTACTCCAAATCCATATCTGAGATCCTGCCAAATCCACATGTATCACCAACCCACAACCAACCGCCCCCATTTATCGTCCTCACCCCACCTCCTGTTCCCCTCCTCCCTCCTCCCTTCCCCCCAATCCCAGTCCCTGCTGCTGACCCTGGAGGAGCGCCTCAGCTCCTCCCAGCGCGCCCAGCAGCTCCTGGCCAGCCGCAGGGCCCGAGTGGATGTGCAGTTCGGCCGGCAGCTCTTCGCGGATGCACCGCAGGAGGTGCGGGCTCGGCTGTGGTACGTTCTGCTGGAGAACCCGCACTTGGCGGCACCGTTGAAGGTACGACACAGGGTGTTGTACGGCAGGAAATGGATGGTGTACGGCAGGGTGTACGGGTTGGGGCATGGCATAGGGGAAGGTGTACGGCATGTGCATCTGATGGGTGAGTCCCATGTGGGTCGGCAGCGAGTGTGATTCAGAAGTCAAGTGCATTCCGTTAATATCTCGTCATCTCGGCTCCCTCTATCTTCGTCTCTGTCTTCCTAACGGGACTTGTAATTCTAGCACCCTACTGTTAACTCTTACCTTCGTAGCGTCTTATTGCATTACCGGTACATTACCCTCTGTCCTGTCTTGCTTTGTCGTACAGTGTGAGCAGCCCGGGCCCATTCCCAACCGCCTCTCCGACGACGACGAGGACGTGTTGGGTCACCTCGCCTCTGCCTTCAACGGCTGCAGCCTGGAGGCGCTCACGCTGGCGGCGGCAGCCGACTCGGACGACGGCGCCGTGAGCGACGGGCGCGCACGGGCCCGTGGGTCGGTGGTGGGCCTGGAAGCGGGCGGAGGCGGAGGGGGAGGAGGGAAGTTTGCGGCGGTGGCTGCGGCGGCGTTTGGGCTGGGCGGAGGGCGGACGAGCACGGGAGGGAGCTTCAGCAGCAGCCCCAGGTGTGAAGTTGATGAGGGGGGGGCCGGTTGGTGTGATGTGGGTAGGTGGGCAGGTGGATCGCTTTCAGCCGGGTAGCTGTAGTGAGGTGTGCTCCCTCTCCCTACACACTCCATCCCTCCATCCCATTCTCCCACTCCCCCTCAGCGCCCTCTCCCTGGGCAGCCACTCCCGTCGCGAACGCGTCACCAGCACCGCCACCACCACCACCACGGCTGACGGGCCCTCCGGCTGCCTCACCACACCCCAGCAACCTTCCGGCCCCCCGCGTTCCCCCTCCCTGGCGGCCATGGCCTCACAGCAGCAGCAGCAGCAGGCGGGGGGCTTGGCCACACCGCTGCTGGGCGGCAGGGGCGGCGAACCCCGCGCCTCCTCCTGTACTCCCACCGCCGGGGCCGCAGGAGCCGGCACCTCCGGGGCCTACGAGGACCCCTCCGACCCGGATGGTTGGGAGCTGGTGGTCGGCATGGGCATGGGCAGGGAGCAGGACGGTGGGGCTGGGGGCAGCTGCGGAGGAGGAGGAGGTGGTGTAGCTGGGTCGGCCTCCTGCTCCTCCGGTGCTGGAGGGGCGGGTGCCGCCGCTCAGCCTGAGGCCTTCCGGCTCATCATGGAGCGGCTGGAGGCGCTGGGTGAGGGGGGGGAGGGGGCAGGGAAGGCGGTGAGGGGGAGAGGGGGGGAGAGAGGGATTCGCACTCATCCCAGGCAAGCCGCTTTGCTAGTAAGGAGGGGAGGGAGTGGTGAGTATAGGAGGATGGGGAGGATGAGGGAGCGTGAGACTTCAAACTATCACCGAAGGCACTTGGTCTCCTGCCCTCCCCCCCCGCTGCAGGTCCCCTCCCGCTGGACGAGAGCGGCAGTGACCCGGTGCTGGTGGCGCAGCAGGCGGTGCTGGAGGCAATGCTGCAGGTGGGGGGGAAGGGGGGTGTGGGTAGGGGGGAGGGGAGTGCTGGGGCGTTTGGGGTGCCATGTGCTGCATGATGTGCGTATGACGTCCAGCATGACAAGTGATGTGTGTGTTAAGACAGCTGATGTGTGTGCCCGCTGTCCCGCGCTTCTGGGCTGTCGGGTGGTGATGTGCTGCCCATCCGAACACGCCGTGTGTGTACCACCCTGTGTGCCCGCTGTCCCTCCCCCCCCCGCAGGTCCCCTGGATGGCGGGTGTGGGGCTGCCGGCGGATGTGGCGCCCGACAGCCGCTTCGCCATGCTCAACGAGATGACGGCAGGTGGGGGGTCGGGGGTGTGTGTGTGTTAACAATACTGGCCGAGAGTCGGAACGTACTGTGCGAGGTGTGTTTGAAAAAACACTGGCCACCCCCAAACCCCCCCAGGTCAGGAGGAGGTAGACGAGTCCATCCTCCGCGACATCCACCGCACCTTCCCCGAGCACCCCTACTTCGGGGGGGAGGCGGGGCAGCGGGCGCTGTTCAGGGTGCTCAAGGTAGGGCTGGGGGGGGGCTGGGAGGGGCCAATGAGCTGGCATGGGGAGATGGGTATCGGTAGTCTTGCTGCGGGCACTCTACTCTTTCCTCTTATAACGTCGTAAGCCGTCACATCGTAACGGCTTGGGAGCCTCTTCCTCCCTCCCTTCTTGCCTGCCTCTTGCCTCTCCTTTTGCCTGCCCATCTCCCTCCCCACCTGCCTCTCTCCCCCCCTCCCCCCGCTGGAATACTAACCAACACTTTGTCTTGTGGCGCCCTGCCAACTCCTACTCCCATTGCTTTGCCCTAACTTGTGATCTCCTATGGTTTGGTATGGTCTTTGACCCCCCCCCCGCAGGCCTACTCGCTGCATGACCTGGAGGTGGCCTACTGCCAGGTGGGCTGCAGTGCGGGTTACCTGGGGGGTGGAGCGCGGAGGAGCGGGACGAGCCCGGCATGATGGAAGACTGGCGTTTCCCGGCTTCCTTACCCCTGTTTCCTTCCCCCCCCCCGCCCCCCTCCCCCCTTGCAGGGTATGGCCTTCATGGCTGGCGTGCTGCTGATGTACGTGCCGGAGGAGATGGCGTTCCGGCTGTTCTGTCGCCTCATGGACGCGGAGGGTCCCAACCTGCGCAGGCTGTACCTTCCAGGACTGGAGCCGCTCAAGGTGGGGGGAGGGGGAGTGGAGGGATGGAGGGATGCGGGTAGGAGGAGAGGAGGAGTGACGGAAGAGGGGTGGGGCTGTCGCACCCTTACCCACTGCTGTTGTAGCCTTCAAGCTAGCTACTGTAAAGGGGCTACACCAACCCGCCCTTACCTTGTTCGCCATTCACATTCAACTTATTGGAGGTTCTGCTCTCTCACTCACTCCAACCCCCCCCCCCCCAGGCCGAGCTGGCCACCTTCGAGGTGCTCCTCTCCTGGCGGCTGCCCGAGCTGGCCGCCCACCTCTCCGAGTTCGGGCTGCCTCCCGTGCTGTACGTCAGCCAGTGGCTCATGACGCTCTTCGCCACGCCCTTCCCGCCGCCCTTCTGCGCGCGGGTGATTGACGTGCTGCTGCAGGTGCCGGGGGGGGGGCGGGGGAAGGGGAGGTGGTGGAGGGGGATTAGTGGGACGGTCACGACCGGCTGCTGCTGCTCCTTAATACTCTCCCCCTCCCCGCACACTAACCCGTCCCGCTCCCACCTTCCCCCTTAATCCCCTATCCGCCCCCCCCCCCGCCCCGCTCCGCTACCTCCCCTCCCCTCCCAGGACGGCCACGACCGGCTGCTGCTGCGCTGCTCCTACGCCGTTATGGAGGCGCTGGAGCCGCAGCTGCTGAGTAGGAGGGACTTCGAGGCGCTCATTACCTACCTCAAGGTATGTTGGGGGGGGGGGGGGCGGGGGGAAAGAGGTGTGTTGTAACCGTGTGGTGGCTCTTCACTTTAACCGTTTTGCAACCGTGCTGAAACACTTTTTCGTAACCGTTCTTGTAACCGTTTCGTAACCGCCGTGCGCCACACACACACACACACGCGTGCAGATGGAGCCCGTCAGCTGGGGTCTGCACCGCCAGCGAGCCATCATGGAACGCGCGCTGCTGAGCCCCATCACGGATGAGGAGATCGAGGTGGCGCGGGAGACCGCAGCAAACAGACAGTTCCTAGCGGCGGGGGAGGCGGCGGGGGAGGCGGGGAATACGGCCTATACCAGCGGCAGCGGCGGAGGCGGGATGGCGGCGGCGGCTCCGCCGCCTTCGGTGCCGGCGGAGGCGGCGGCGCCAGCGACGGCGGCGGTGCACCGAGGGCTCACGTTTGAGCATGAGGTGGAAGCGGCGCTTGTGGCGGCGGCGGCGGTGGCGGCTACTGCTGACGACGACGAGGGCGCCGGCGGTGTGGGTGTGGGTGCTAGGGAAAGGGCAGCGGCTACTGGGGGGAAGGGGAAGGGGTGTCATTCGACAGGCGACGATATGATATCCTTTGAGGAGGAGGAGGGAGGACAGCTGCAACACAGCCGTCAACAATGCCCAAGCAGCACTAATGGTAGTAACTATAACAACAACAACATCAGGCAGCAACACAGCGTGAAGAACGACAGGAGTTCCTCCTCGTCTTTACTCGACGAGCCGCACGACGCGCCACACCGAGCGGGAGGCAGCAGCACCAGCGGCGGCGGCGGCGGCGGTGGAGGACTACTAACCGATTCGTACATGTACGGCAGCGGTGCCGCTACTGGTCGGTGTACGACACACGGGCCGGCTCCGGATCCAGATCTCGAGTACGGAGAGTACGGCGAGATGTTGCTTGACGCCGGACTGCTGCTCCCGGAGCTAGGTAGCTCTGCTGGGGCTGGGGTGGCGGCGGTGGGGATGGGTGAGGGGTCCTTTGGCTTGCTGCATGGGCCTGCTGTCATGGGGGGGCTGCTGCCGCCGCAGGGGGGTCCCGTGGGGTCAGCCCAGCAGCAGCAGCCCTTCCAGCAGCAGCAGCACTCGCCCATGGCGGATTTGCTCCTGGATTAGCAGCAGCACGGCCCCATGCGCCCGGTTGTGTCTGTTAGTCTGCTTTGTAGATATAGGCTAGCGGTTGCTGCCTTTCTCTAGCATGCATGGCTTTGTATCGGTATACTCCTATACAATGGCAAGAGCCGAGGCTATACCGGTAGTCGTCAGCTTACATGTTGCTAGTCGTCACCCCACCCTCATGGCTGCTGCTGCGGCATGCGATGGAGCGGAAGATGTGTAGCGATGGCGACATGCGGTGTGGGCATTTGCATGGTACTGCAGATGATGAAGGGGGGACCGTGAAGAGGAAACCAAAACTGTATGATGGCTACGAAGCGAGCCAACAGCTGCCGAATGCGGCGGCGAGGGGTGCCGTAGGTGTCGAGGCGGGGGCGTGAGGGGTGCCGCTTAGGGCTTTTGACCAAAGCGCGAGCTGAGATTCTGAGGATTGGTATGAGAATTGGGAGAATTAGTGCCAATTGGGTGGGTAGACTGGCAGGACTTCACCAGATATAGCAGCACTATAGCCCCAGAACGAGTGGGGCGTTGGGAATGGGATGAGGCAGGCGCGCAGGCATATGGCGCAGGTAACGTGGGCCGCCTGACAGGGGTCTTTGGTAAAGGGACCTGTTTCTTCCCGGGGCGTCGCATTAGGAAGGCATTAGGTGATGATGCGGCGCATTGGATAGGCAATTCGTCATGCGGTGGCTGCGGTGTGTTGGGTGCCTGGTGCTGCCGATAATGTGTGAGCTGATACGGCAAAGCGGGGAGGTAGCGTCCAGAGAGAAGCTCTCAAGGTGCTGGCGATCCGTTTAAATGCGGTTAGCTACGGTAGGTTGCAACGCGGCTGTGGCGGCACAGGGATGTGCGCTGAGCACACGAGGGAGGAGGAGAAGGGCGTGCGGATTGATGAGGGGACTTCAGTCTGGCCTTGTCTAAGGGCTATAGACTGCTTCAGCGGCTGCTGCAACGAAAAGGTGTTGTATATACCATCTGTTGATGGTGAACTGCAATTGTTACAGAGGACTTGCAAGCCATAGCCTGCGAGACGACATGCGGAGACCGTCCCTTGGCAGTAGCACCTTCCGCGCTTTGTGACGTGCCGTACTCTTTTGTACACTTGTACGAATATACAATAATAATTGTTCACAATCGGCGTGGGAGCCCCGGGTTCCCGCCAAGTTTCAAGTCTGCCTCCCTAGTCCTCACCCCTCTCGCCATGTTCCCTGTGTGCTGCACGGTTATGCCATGTTTCCCCTGAACCCGGTACTGCTGCAGTGTCTGGTCGCCGCCCACTTGATGATGTAGCTCTCTCCATGACGCTTGTTAGCCACGGCACGCTAGCCCTCTTCAACCCGTACCTCCAGGCCCACGGTATCATGCTTTGCAAGATTACAACATTGCGCAGACCCGTTGCGGCAATAACAGACCCTAACAAGTACAGGCACCCCAGAACCCCCCACCCAACCTACGCAGCCCCCTTCAGGTGAGCCGTGTTGTTAATACACCGCACGGTCGCAGGAGTGACCCGCGGGTCACCCGAGAACTCCAACACGGACAGCCCGCCCGGCGACACACGCACACGCGGCGGCAACACCGCTGCCGCCTCCGCCGCCTCCTGCGCCCCGGCATGCATCCCCCCCAGTGCAGCCCACAGCGTCCCCACATGCGCCCGCTCGTCCAGTATCAACAGCACGTTGCCGTACGATTCCCCTGCCGCATGACTGCATGTTGCTGCTCCTGGAGTCGTATAAGAGCTGCTGTTGCTATGCGGAGGCAAGGCCGTGGTCCCGCGGCATGCATTCGACGGCGCCTCTGCGGGCCCTGCCCCCGCTGCTCGTGTCCCCGTCTTGGCAGCAACTGTCGTGTCAGTAACGGGTGCTGTTACCGCTTTCAGGGCATGTTGCCAGCAGGCGAGTGGGGAGGCGGCCTCAGCGGCGTCCAGCAGGGCCACTGTCACCGCGTGGTGCTCCTGTTGCTGGTGCTGCTGCCCCTGTTCCTGCTCCGCACCCTGTCCCTGCTGCGGCTCCTTGTGCCCCTGCTGCGGCAGCGTCGGTGGCGGTTGGCCCGGTAGGAGTTGCTCCAGGGTGTGGTTGGAAAAGGACGGAGCAACCAGCACGTGCGTGAACTGCGGCGTGAGGGGGGGGCGGACAAGGGCGCAAGGCGGAACCGGTGAGCAGCTGACATACAAGTCCTACATTGTATGATATGAAATATCATGATTTTAATATCCGGCACACCTGCGCGTTTGCTCAGGACACGCGCCCCAGCCAGAACAAAGCGATACCAGGGGGCCACCTTGTCTCCACGCACCTTGAGCTTGCTGAGCACTGCAGCCAGCGACCTCAGCCCTCCTCCCGCTGCCGCCTCCTCCGTCTTCTCCTCTGCATCACCAACAGCAGCATCGCACTCTTCCGGTGACGTGTCCGGTGCTCCCGCTGCCGCCCCGCCAGCTGCCCTCCCCGGTGGCGGTGTGACGAGCACCACGTGAGCAACCACCTTGTCCGGGTTCTTGAAGGGATTGTCCGGGGACTTGGGGGGCGTTGGGGGGGGGGTTGGGGAGGAGCACAAAACACACACGGTAATAGACGTGGGCAGTTCGAATGCGCAATGGGTTTGTTGCCTGACGTTTGCAAGCTTCAGTTGGTGTGACCCATGTTTCCATCTCCTGTTCAGCTAACGGTAGGGTTGTGCCTTGTACTATGGGATAGCCGGATGGGTAGCCGGAAGAGTCATTGAGCTTCTGTAGTCGATGCGATGTTCATCGATTCACGATGAGGCAATCACAGTAAGTTTTCACCTCAAGATCAGTACAGGTAACACACCTGATTGAGGCAAGCCAGCGTCACCTCCGGCAGCGAGCCCCCATCAGGCGCGGGAGAGAAGTCCAGCACGCTCAGCGCCGCGTTATTCTGCGCTAGGCGTCTACCAGGAGCGGAGGGAATGGTCCAGGAGCGGAGGGGGTGATCAATCCTATCATGGCTTGCGGGAATACCGGTATACCGGTACCGTAGATGGGGAGGGGCAACACCGCTACGGACCCCAGGCCCTGGCAACTCCAACCAACCATGTATTATCCTTACGATACGACAAAACATACGACAGGGGCACGACAAACAGTAGACAGTGACACGACAGAAGTACGACATACACTCTCGCACCTGAAGTACGGCGGCGGTAGTCCCAGTGCGGTTGCCAGCAGGGCCTGGTTGACAGCGTTGTGAGCCACCACTAGCAGCTGGCGGGGAGCTGGGGAAGCAGCGGAGGAGGAGGAAGAAGAAGGAGAAGAGGAGAAGGAGGAGGAGGAGGAGGCGGCGGAGGAAGAAGGAGAAGAGGGGGTGTGTGGCTCCAGCATGCTGTGCCAAGCTAGCGACGCTCGGTACCAGAGCTCCCTGATGAGGGTGGATGACGGGGAAAGAAAGGAGGGCAGGAAAGGAGGGCGTTAAGAGCAAGAAGGGGGAAACCCGCTTCGGAGGAAGGCCTTCGTGCAGGTACCAAGTGGGATAACGGCTACTTGGCTTTTGTAGCCCGTTGTGAGAGAGAGAATGAGAGCGGCAGCAGCAGATGGCGCACCACCCAAGGTCCCCACCCCTCTCCTCAGTCCTCACACCTGACGGGTGCATGACCGTCGATCTCGAATGCGTGCGGCTCCCGCTGCCATCGCGCGTACTGCTGCCCGTACAAGTGCTTTCCCTCGTGCTTCAGTAAGCCCTGTACGACAAAACAAGGTGATAACGTACGGCGGCATAGGAATAAACGTTGTACGGCAGCCGATGCGGCATGAAGCCAGTCAACTGTCGCACCCTATTAGTGTCGGTAGGTTGACAAATTGACAACGGGACACGCAGCACCGCACCTGAAAGGAGTAGAGGTCTATCTCACGAAGCGAGGGAAGGGTGACAAGCTGAGGAGGCGGAGGCTGAAAATGAGGCAACCCTTCGCTTCCAGCATGGCTGCTGGCATTTGTGGATTCCGATAGCGTGGCACCCGTGGCACCCGTCGAACCGCTATTCGCTACCGGTATGCGACCCTAAAGGACGGGTGGCGATGTGGGCATTCGTAGACATGTCTTCAGCAAGCAAAACGGTCCAGGCAGCGAAGATATCCAAACGAGGCATTAGAGCAGCGCCAGAGGGCTATCAAGGCTTGCCTGGAGTATGATGTCGGCCGTTTGCTGGGCTCTTTTGAGTGGACTGTGGAACACATAATTGAAGGCCATGGAGGCCAGCTGCGTTGCAATGCTCAGGGAGGGCCAGGTCGCAAGGTATGAAATAGCACCCAACAACGCATTTGTAAGGAAAAAGCTCGGTATTCTGGTCCATTGCCGCAAACGTGCGTGTGCATTTGGGCTCATCCTTGTGACCCATCAACCATCCAGTGCTAGCTTACCATCTCACGAGCCTTTTCCGCTTGACATATGCCCTTTTCAGTAAGCTCTGAGTAGTTTGTGCTGCCCTGAATGCGGCCCTCGGCGTTCCAAGTGCTTTGCCCATGGCGCACAATTACAACGCGGACCGGCTCCGAGAGCGCTGGCAGCGGAAGCGGTGGAGCGTCTAGACGGTCATTTATATGAGTAAACTCATCCGAGCCGCTCCACAAGGACGTCGATGTGCTAGTCAAGACTGCGGTTGGGGCTTGCAAGCATCTAAGCGGTGTCATCGGCCCTAACCTCCGATAAGTATGTCGAGCAACCTTTAAAGTAATGCACCGGTGCGCGCATTTGCGGAGTGAGGATGAAGGCATGGCCAAGGATGAACCAGCTGTTAGGCGATGCCGCATCCTACTACTAGATATCTAGCGCGGCCCTCCAATGCTATAGTACTATATCAACGAAGCAGATAAAAAAGACAAGAGAACTTATGGTCCAACATCCAACCGGTAGCTCGAAAACGGTTGCGGTTGGAACTGCGCAATCGGACTACGAAATATAGCTGCAATGCCTTTAGCCCCGCCGACAGCCATCTGCTGTTACTGCTGTTAGCGAGCAACGCGAGCATACAACAGCCTCGCTACTTTGATCCAGTCATCTGGGATGCCAAAACAATCAAACCCTAGGTACGACGAGGCTACTGCCGCGTACGGCTTATTTCTCAACGTCTCAAGCCATACACCCGTACACATGTCCTTGCACGGCCGTACGCCGTCTGACTGTACGAGCAGACAGACATCATCGCATCAGCCACAACCACGAAGAAGGAAGCCACAACCATTGACTTCAACCAACCGTGCACTAAACACGGAAGGAAAACACACCAGCTCTCAACTCAACTGAACTGGCCAAGAGCGGTCTGTTCCCGACACGATATGCAGATCGGGGCAAGCCAATATCCTAAAGGCATGTACATAGTTTAAATTTTCCAGGCCCCGCGCAACGTGAAAAGTACAACCCGCAATGTGGGTTGACAACCAAGTAACAACCAACAGTCCAATACCCTCAATCAACGGCAAGCAAGCATGTGACAACCAACCATACACTAGGAAAGAATCACGGTAGGTCCCAATCCAACCGTGCCGGCCTACCGTTTTCCAAAGCTCGATTCCGCCCCATGCAACAACCAACCACCAACTGCTGCACATGCGGCGACAACGGCCCCCAACGGCTGCCGGCAATCGCCAACACAGCACCTTTTTCGCACCCTTCCCCTCCTCCTCCTCATCCTCCTTCACCGCCCCCACTTCTTCCACTTCTTCAAGCCCACTCACCCGTCTCCGCTGGCTCCGTCACAATGCCTGCTGCCCCACCCTGCCCCTCACCCTCCTGCCCCTTCCCTCCTGCCTGCCCCTCGCCCCTTCCCCCAGCACCCGCAGCTGCCCCCACCTCCTCCTTCAACCTCGCAGCCAGCACCCCCTGTGCCGCACCGCTGACACTCACACCCCCGAGCCCCTGATCCCCACCTCATGACCCGCCACCACCGCCACCACCGCTCTCCTTCTCACCCCCCTCGCCGCCATCCTCGCCTCCACCACCGCCTCCGGTAGCTGTCGCCGCCAGCTTGGGCCTCTTGGGGCTGTGATGCGGCGGCTGCTCCGCTGACTGCTCGCCGCCTCCTTCGCCGCCGCTGGTTTGGTCCCTAGAGGGCCTGGCATCCGCCCCCCCTCCGCTGTCGCCGCCGGTGCTGCTATCACCCTCCGAACGCTGCTTTTGTCCCTTCCGCTTGCCGGCAGCGGCACGCGGCTTCTCCTCCTGCCCCGCTGCTTCCGGCTGCGCCAACTTCACCCCCTCCTCCCTTACCTCCCCCTCATCCACCCCCTCCACTCCCTCCTCCTCACCCGCCTCCTCCTTTCCCTCCTCCTCCTTTCCCTCCTCCTCCTTCTCCGCCTGCCGTACCTCCCTCCGAGTTCCCTCCACCAGATGCTCCGCCGCCGCCTCACCCGCGGCTCCCAGGCTCTGCTCCCGCGCCCCCACCAGCAGCAACTCGCATCCCACCACATCCAACAGACTCACATCCGCCCCAGCGCCCACCCAGGCTGTGCCCCCGGAGAAAGCGGCGAGCTGGGAGTCGCTGTAGGCGGGCGGGGGGCCGGCGGAGGGCCGGCCGGGGGGCTGGTTGGCTGGGTTCTGGAGCGGGGGGGGGAGGTGGGGAAGAGGTGGGGAAGGTGGGGAGTGAGTCGGGGAAACAGGGAGGGGGAGAGTGAAGGCGCTGTCGCGTGTTGTTGTTCAAGACATCAAGAGGTACGGGCTTGGCAAGCAAAGCAAGGGGAGGGCCGGTAAGCTGCGAAGCAAGAGAGCATTCATCATGAGACCCGCAACATGATGTCCCCATCCACGTAGCCGCCTTCCCCCCCATGCAAGCCTTGTCATACAGCTCGTTAGTTGCCTCGTCAGTTTTCCTTAATCCGTCCCCTCCCTCCCCCAGGCTACCTTGACGCTCAGCACGTATCGCGCACTAGGTGCGATAGCCAGCTGCTGCTGCACGGGGCCCGGCGGGTGCGGCAGGTGCAGCTGGTAAGCCAGCTCGGTGTGCGGGCGGGAGTGGCCGTGCAGGCTGGCGGAGGGGGGTCAATTTTTGGACCAATTAAAACCATAGAAAAACCAAAAAAAAGAAAAAAGCAGGCATTCACAAGGCAGAGGGAGGGGGGGGGAGGAGGAGGAAGGGGGCGGGAGTGATGGTGAGAAGAGTGGAGGAGATGGGGGCGGAGGTGGGGGGGTTTACGGCGGGGTCAGCACCCTGCAACTGCACCATACATGTGGCCCTATCCATGTGCCATTCCTCCATCACCAGGCATCCCCAACACAACGGACTCAGCGGCTCCCAGCGCTACCCCGCACCCAACCCTCTACACCTCTACCCCTACGTCGCCCGCCACTACCCCCGCACCTCCTGCCCCACCCCCCACCCCGCCACCCACCGCTCCATGATGCAGTACGTCCCCCGCCCCGCCGCCCGCGCTGCCGGCTGCAGCCGCTCCCCTCGGGTGCGTGTGGAGTAGCGCCGCTCGCCCAGATCCGCTGTGAGCTGATCCACGGTGGGGGCGACAGCGGCTGGGGGGAGGGGAGGGAGGGAGGAAAAGAAGAACAGACAATGTGTGGTGTGGTAGTGGGGGGAGGGGGACGACGGGGAGGTATCTGCAGGTGTTATGCCATGCATGCATGCATGCGTAATGCATGCAGACAGGCAGATAGCGTCAGCAGAGGGCCTTAGGCAAGGAAAAGGGCCGCAAATGCAGTAAGGCAGAAGCTACCGTACGTACCCCTCACTCTCTATGTGTGTCGATCTGCCGTACGCAGCTACCCAACCAGCACATACACAGTGCCGCCCCCCTGCCCCTTCGCATCCCCCCCCGCCGTCTGTCGCTTGTCTCACCCACGAAGCCGAAGAAGCGCTCATGCCTTCGAGCGTCAGGCAGCCGCTTCTTGCCGATCACAATCAGCCGGCAGGGCAGCGACGACTCGCCGCCTCCGCCGCCTCCACCGCCGCCTCCGCCGCCGGACCCTTCGCCACCCTCCTTTCCTCCCTCCCTCCCTCCCTCCTGTCCACCCCGCCCTGCCTCACTACTTACAACCGCTCCCTCCGCCGCCGCTGCCCCCTCCGCTCCCGACGCTGCCCCCTCCGCCGCCGCTCCCCCCGCCCCATCCTGCACTGCCCCCGCCGCCCCCGCCCGCGTGAGGTGCTCCTCTTGGGGCTTATGCGGGGGGCGGCGGGAGGTGGGTTGCAGGACGAGGTAGAAGCGAGCCACGTCGTCAAGACCCTCGGGATGCTCCTGCTGCACCTGTGCGGGGGGGAGGTGAGGTGAGGCGTGGGAGCAATGTAAGGGCGTTGGCAGGAGACAGTTCTTGTACGGTGTGTAGAGGAGGGGAAGGTAAGGGGGAGAAAGTGAGTCTGCGGTCGTGCATTCTCCGAGCACGCGCTTTGCACCGATGTGCTCTATCTTCTCAACATGCAGTAAGCCGCTGGAGTGTTCCCTTCTAGGAAAGCATCCTAACTGTCAACCGAAGGTCAAACTTGCTAGCTAGCTATCAAAAAAGTGCTATAGGAGGGAGACCGGACCTTGGGTCTGTAGAAGAAATAGATGTGCCCCTCCTCAAGTGAGCCCGGCGGCAGCGTGTGAGGTGTCGCAAGGTCCCATTCGGATTCCGATTCGGGGCCTTCCTCGCCGCTAGCAGGCTCGTAATCGAGGTATGGAGCCTCCTTAGAGGTCTTTCCGCTTTGGCTAGCTGGAGTTTCGGCCATTGTTGGATTGTGAGGATGCTGTGGTCGAAAGATGCGAGGAGACGAACAGACAGTAATGACGCGGTTGCAACTTTGCAATGGCTGCGGCGAACTCCAAACTAATTCGCTATATTGTATTGCGTGTGAAATTATTTCCTTTCTCCGTGAGGAAGCGGCGGAGCGGAAACGACGCGCGCGGCAAACGGCGGCTTTTTGCTGAAGTCGCCGACTGCGTGACCCACGGGTCGATTTAACACTCTAGGGCTTTGTGCTTTCCGCGTTGCTTTGCGCTTACTTGCTTGCTGCGCTCTGTTCCTGGCAAATGCACTCGAAAGCTTCCATTACAAACATACAACGAGCAACATTTGCGAATGCGATGTACCGGTACGGGAGAGGCACCTCGGTCAATGAAGCCAGAGCCCTCTTCGCCACCCCCTGTGCGCTTGCACATTACCTAAAGTGCGTTCTTCCTGCCTCTTTGCTAGAGGGTGTCACGCTCTTAGGAAGGAAGCGGCCACGGGATAAAACAAGGCTCGAAAACAGCATTTTTTGCGTTGCTGTGTTGTCGGCGCTCCTTTTAGGCAAAACAAAAAATGCGGCCGCAGCTTCTCCGCTTCCTTCAGCGCGCCCCTGCTGGCTTTAGCAAGGAAAGCCTGCAGCAGGCGCTGCGAGCGGGCTTGTCCTCGGGCGAAGCTTCGGGCCTGCTGCATTCCTCTTCTTCCTCCTCCTCCTCCAGCGATGGCAACCGCTCTGCGCTTCCTAAGGGCCTGGGCTTCTCCAAGACATCAGCCATTCCTCTCAGCCTTCAAGGCCATTTCCTGAGCACCCTTGCCAGCGCAAACAACGACGAGCAGAAGGAGAAGGAGGTCATCGGAAATGCTCCCATTACCGCGCTTGCGGCTCTGCCGCCGCGCCCAAGCCGGGCTATGGCAACTGCTGCTGCTCACGCTGATGATCACCACCATATGAGCGCCAAGGAAACCTACATCGAGCACGTTGCCAAGCGGCACCCTTTCCATGTTCTGCCGCCCAGCCCTTGGCCGCTGTTGGGCGCCTGGGGAGCTATGGTGGTGTGCCTGGGAGCGGCCGCATTTTTTCACGCGACTCCTGGTGGTGGCGAGTTGCTGGCGTTCGGCTTGGCCAACCTGACCTGGACGGCTATGACCTGGTGGCGCGACTGCATCATTGAGGGCGACATGGGGATGCACAGCGAGATTGTACGCCGCAACCTGGTTCGAGGCATGTGGGTGTTCATTACCAACGAGGCGATGCTCTTTTCGGGGCTGCTGTGGGCCTGCATCGACCTGGGAATGTCGCCCAGCGTCGCGGTGCAGGCGCAATGGCCGCCAGTGGGCATCGAGCCCATTGGCTGGGACAAGCGCGCGCTAGTCATGTCGGCCGTCCTGGCGGCTTCCTACTACAGCGCGAACGTGGCCATGGTTGCCAAGGAGCCCAAGGTATTTCATTGATACGCAGATGGATGGGTTTCAAGGAAGCGCATTGGCTAGTTCCGAAAGCGTGGCTTCACAGGTGCCAACACAACAAAACAAATTATAGAACGATATGGTGCAATTCAGAGTAGCTACTTTGTGTTGTCTGAAAGGAGTCAACGTTCGCTGAATGTTCCCTCGCAATCCTTTCCCCTTTTCCGCAGACCGTCATCACCGCGATGGCCACTACCGTCGGCCTGGGCGCGATGTTTGTCTTTGACCAGTACATCGAGTACCACGAGACGCCCTTCACCATCACCGACTCTTCGTACGGCACCACCTTTTTCGTGACCACCGGCTTCCACGGCCTGCACGTCATCATCGGCGCCATCTACCTCGCCTGCGTGCTGGGCATGTACATGCGCACGCACAAGAAGGGCGTCGCGATGACCACCTCCATCCTGTACTGGCACTTCGTCGACATTGTGTGGATCGCGGTGTACGGCATTATCTACGTCGGCCAGTTCTAAGTTCCGCATAAAGTGAGTTAAGACACGGTAAATGTCTTTAAGTGTTCCTGGTAGACCTGGAAGTGCTTACGATGCTAGCGGCTGGCTTGGGCGACTAGGACTCTGGGGATGGCTAGATGGACGGATGGCATGCGGCCATGTGCCAGTCAGACCGGCGTAGGCGTGCATACCGAGGGTGGGCGGCCAGATACGTAATTGCGGCATTGGGAGTTGGTGGGTGCCTGCATTAATGGTTCGGTGCTAGTCGTGCAAGGGCCTTGCAGCGCGCTAAAGCTTAACAACCTGGATTGGATGAAAGGGATGTTGCAGTCCTCAGTTGATTAAACTGCGCATGTACACTACTACCTCTACAATGAGGACTATGCAAGAGGAGGAGTGACGGTGTTGGATGAGGTCGGAGCAGAAGGTTTGTGGTTTGTGGGACTCGTGGTGCAGGCTAAAGGGGACACGATTGCGGTGTTCGTAACAGAGTACGGCACAGGCGTACGGACAGGCATGTTTATGGAGCGGTGTACGGTTTGGTTTGCAACGCGAAATGCATAACGTGCGCGGCTGCGGAGGGGAATGGCTGAGAAGGCAACAAGGGAGCGCGTGACAGTCTCGCAGCCAACACAGCACGGCCGCTAAAAGGACCAACGGTGTCGCAGCTTTGCCGCAACACCCATTCCTGGATCTTGGCCAATGCCCAGCCTGTCACAGCACTCATACAGTTGCCACAGCCTGAACCCAACCGCAACGCATGTCGTACAGCAACCGCATGTACCCCCACCACCTCCACCAACCAATTCCACCCACAGCAGCTAAGCAAGGGACAACGTCTCAACAACGCCGTACAGCTACCCAGCAGACCAACTTCGAGAGCCTAGCGCTCCCAAACGTCCTACCTACCATCCTGCTTGCGACCACCAACAGCTACCGTACGACTGCAACCGCTGCTGCTTACCCTGCTTGCCTCTTTACCGTTGCGCCCCTTCTTCTCTCCAGCCTCCCTCACGCTACCCTTGCCCCTGCCTGTCTGCATGCATGCACCCCTGCCTGCCTGCCTCCTGCTACCCCTGTGCCTGCTGCAGTGCCGCGCTGATGGCCGGCGCCCCCGCCACCAGTGCCGCCCACTGCTGCGGGTTCATGCTGAGACCCTTGCGCCCCGGAACCAGCTCGCCGCCGCCCTTGTCGTAGAACTCTCGTACCCCCACGTAGGTGACGCCCTTGAAGCTGCTGAGGGAGACACGGCGCCTGGGAGGGGGGGGGAGGGGCGGGAGGGAGGGAGGGAGGGAGGGAGGGAGGGAGGGAGGGAGGGAGGGAAGGAGGGAGGAGAGGTGAAGAGACTTCACCAAAGGAAGGACTACGGAAGCCATCATGTGTTCGCGTCACAAGGCTCCACACCATGTGAGGTATACGCGGGAGGCCAGGGGAGTTGGCAGGCAGGGAGAGCCGGGCGGAACGAAAAGCAGCAGGAACAAAACCCTCCCTCCCTCCTCTCCCTCGCTCCTTCTCTCCCCTCCTTCTCTCCTTTCCTTCTGCCCTCCCTCCCCTTCCCTCCCACCACGTTACCCACATCCCGCTGAGCTGCAGGCAGTAGTTCATGTCCTTGCGGTTTAGCGCGTCGCACACCTCCCGCAGGTGGGAACACAGGACCGACCAGTCGGCGGTGGGAAGCGAGATGCCCTTCTTGCCTGCAGCAGGAAGGCATGACGCATGAGCTGCAATGAGGCCCGCTGGCTTGAAGCACATAATGCGCAGGATATGGGCTTATGAGATGTGGGCATGAGAGTACAGTAGCGGGGCACGCAGAGGCGCAAGAGAAACACGCACCCGGTGGTAATAACCACCTGGCAATGCGGTCGCATGTTTCACTCATGGCAAGCTGTTAAAGCAGCGCGAGGGAAACGAACCAACCGCAGAACGCACGGTTGGGTGTACGACAGCGGCGCTCACCGGGAAGGATCTGACCGTTGTCCTGTCGTACGTCGTACGGCGGCGCCAACCGAAAACCCGCCGCGGCAGCGAAAGATGAAAACGTCGCACAGCCAGAAAGCGTCGACAGCACCAGCATTGATGGTGTTAAAAGAAGCGGCAAAGAAACGAAACAAAGGGGAGGGGGGCTACTCTGGTGGAAACATGAATGCATAGTCTTTCGCAGCTAGCAAACTACAGAACTTGCAACTTGCCGCGAGTCTGGACGTGATTGTGTGCCCCCGCAACTACCCCGGGGTGACCAGCCTGCAGCCAACCGACGAATCACAGCCAGCCCCCCTCATACTGCAGCCAGCCGAGTCGGCCCAGCCCCCCTCCCCCCTCCCATACAAGTCACATGGTCGCATGGTAGGTACTTCCTACGCCACCCACCCACGCACTCCCCCCTCCCCTTCCCACCTCATAAAACTCCCGAAGGTCAACGCTGAGCCGCCCGCCGAAGCGACTCAACGACAGCCGCTTGTGGGCCCCCAGCTCCACAACCTCGGCAGCTGGGGCTGCGGCACCTGCACCTGCACCGCTGCCACCGCTACCAGCGGAGGGAGCAGCAGCAGCAGAACCACCAGCGACCGGGGGTTGCTTTACGGCGGCAGGAGCAGCGGCGGCGGCGGCCGAAGTCCGAGGGGCTGCTGCTGTCGCTGTCGCTGCAGGCGGTGGTGGTGGTTCCTGCGGCTCCTGCGGCTCCGCTGCTGTGTTGATGCCGGCTGCTGCGCTGATGTTGGGTGCGGCGGCTAGCAGGGCCTCAGCCTCCGCTAGGCCCAGGTTGACTCCCTTCTTGGCTGCGGGGGGCGGAGAGGATTGAGCGGAGGGAGGAGGGGAAGGGTAAGGAGGAAACAACTAACGAACCGTGAATGGAAAGGAAGGGTGAGGAGGGAGGGGGGTGGCAGCAGCGTGCGCTGGGTGTTGTTACGCTCCTTTGCTGCAGATGATGGACGCAAGCAGCGTGATATGTGGTGTTGCTCAGGTTGCGTTTTATATTATTAGACACGTCTGCTGCTGCCCCGCTGGTGGGCTCCGGCGGCACTCACTGGGCGCCAGCTGGCCGTCCTTCTCGTAGAACTCCCGCAGACCTAGGTAGCTGGTGCCCCTGTGGTGGTGGTGGTAGACGGGGGGGATCCGGGTGAAGAAAAGCGGGAAGAAGAAGAAGAAGAGTGCTTTTGTCAGCAGCGGGAGCCTCCCCTCGAGGCAACACCGCCCCTCATCCCCAGCCTCCCGCCACACCTGAAGGAGCTAATGGAGGCCAGCCGCGTGGTCGACAGCTGCACCGGCGGCGCCGCCTCGTCCCCCGCCCGCTGCGCCGCCAGCAGCCGAGGCAGCTCCCGAGCCAGGCGGCCCCACTGGCCGGGGTCCATGGAGAGGCCCTTTTGCGTTGGCGCCTCGCCGCCCTCAGCCTGTGCGACAACAGGAAGAGATGGAGGGCGGCAGAGAGGGGGGTCAAAGTAAACTCAAACCATAGGAAGAGGGGAAGGGCGGCAGCTGGATTGAATGGAAGGAGAACGCCCTCCAAAAGACAAAGAAGAAGGACAGGAAGAAGGGAAATGAAGAAGGGGCCAAAGGGAATCCGACACCGACCCATGGGCCAGTCTTCTCTCTTTCACACAAACACACACACGCGGCCAGTTTCCTTAACACACGCGCACAAACAAAACCTCACCTCGTAAAACTCCCGTACATCCACGTACAGTTTGCCCTCCCATCGCCGTACTCGGGCCTTACGCCGGCTGCTCAGATCGCGACTAAACAGGAGCTCCTCGCCTCCGCTGCCCCCGCCGCGTCGCTTCTTCGTCGCGCCTTCCTCGCCATCTCCGCCGCGTTTGCGACCGCGTTTGGTGGCGGCGGCGGCAGTCGGCGGCGACGGATCGTCTTCCTCGCCGCCGCCATCGGCGCCGTCGCCGTCGTCGTCGAGTGTGGCGAGGAATTCGTCAATGGTGTTCTGTTGTGGTGGGGTGGGGTGGAAAGTGATGGCAGGTTGGCTCTGGTAACAAGTTAAGGGGAGAGTTTGTTATGGTGTTGGCTTGCGGGACAAGGGGGAGACGAAATAGGAGAAAGGGGAGAAAGCCGTGCCTGGTGTGTATGGTGAATGAGCTGGAAAATGGAGCGCGGGGAGGAGGAGAGTGGGGGAAAAGCATGATTGGGACATGTGGACTGGCAGCCGCGAAGACAAGAGCGCCCATGTAAGAAACTCCCTCCTGCAAAGACATACCGAGACGAGGGGCTTATACTCCGCAACCGGGCGCTCGAGCTGAAGAGTGTCTTGGACGTGCTTCAGAACCGTCCTCTCCGTGACCACGGCCCTGCGGTGGGTACACAGCGCGACCGGCTTTGCTGGAACTCAATTCCTTGCCCAAGTAGCTGTGAAAGTAATGTCCTAAAGTTATCGAAGTGGACTTACATGTCAGCGGTCTTCAAGAAATCCAGCACAACCTGCAAGCGCGCAAGGGTGGCCATAGGGCGTTTGTTTCAGCGAGCTGTCGCGAGCTCCAAGCCGCCAAATTTATATTACCTGCTTAATCTGTTCATCCTCTTGGGCTGCCATCGCGTTCGGGCTTTTGGAACTCGCTACTATACGTTGGCGAAAGGAAGCACTACCTTGATTCCGCAGCCTAGGTAGTAGGAGGCTTGCGGCTATTCCCTGTCTACTAGTTGCAGCGTTGGGAAAGCGAGCAAGTGTTGATCCTTTGGGGCTCCTGCGCGCAAAAGCGCTCCACGCACTTCGACCTTGGAAGGACAAGGCGGACAGCATGAATCAAGTAGGGCCTAAGTTTGCGATGTAACCAGCAATTGCGGCTTATATCGATCTATACTAACGCAGTAACAAGCGGTAGAGAGAGCCATGATGCCGCTATGTGAAGCACAGCACGTGCTGTGCCTGTCATGTCACGCCTCACGCGACGCTTTCCCTAGCAATCTTCTGTACCATGCCACCACGGCGTTGCAAGTCAACAACAACACCCCGGTCACTTTCACGTTCCATACATGCCTTGCCGGACGCTTTGGGCGTGTTCTCGCCATGACAGCGAAAGTCTAGGGGCCGGGTGAATGATCACCAACATGGAAGTGCTCCAGGGCGCCTCCTCAGGATTTTGCACGCATTCACGAAAGGCACGTTCACCCCTGTCGTATCGCCACGCCACCGTGCATTAGGGACGCATGGATGGAACATGGAAGGCGCGGCTTGCTGATGGTAAAGGCCGTCGCTGCAATGGGTTACTCCCACCAGCGGACAGCTGACTACAGCTGTAACGTGCATGTTGGGCCGTCAAGGCATCTGGTCAGAAGCACACAAGGGGGAGTGCATTTACAAATAAAGGGTAAACACATAATAGTACCAGGTCTTCTATCACTTCACATACGGTGATAACAGAAATGCAGACAAATCGGAGCCGTAATCGTGTTCCTGAACAACCCCCATTGCAACACCACGCCATAGTGAGGTGAGCCAGAGCGACGGGAGCCGTACGACAGCCGAATGATGAGAGGTACAAGGGCGCGTATCCATTCCGCCCGTACAGACGTCCAGCAGCTGTACAGGGCACCGCACCGCTTCACGGTATCATCACACACGATAATGTGCTGCCATAAACGACAAGACCCAAACCTCAATTGGGCTCTTAAGGCTGCAAACATACAAGCGACCAGTCGTGACATCCGTGCACCTATTTGCTGGCTCATGTGCCACAGGAACGAAGCAAAAGCAGCAAAGAATAAGGGATCTCGGAGTTAAGACCACCCAACACACAGTCACACACGTTTCCCTCGGCTGGTGGATATTATGGTAAAAGCCGCGGTCAGCCACAAACACGCACAAACGGCCCGACCACGCACCCATCACACGCGTTCCGACTCGCGGCCAGTTCTCTTAACATACACGCGTAATGTAAGTAGATCAGAGCAGCAGCAGCGAGAGGGAACGCCAGGACAATAATTAATATCGCGAGGAGCGAGAAACATACGTACTAAAGCCCCCACATGGGCACTACAGGCGAGGGCTACACGGATGGGTGCCTGATAGGTTGATAGGGGAAGCACCCAGATTCTGTAAGGACGCTAGAGCAGAGAGTCCACCGCCCGAAACGCCCCCTACGCACACAATAAACGAAAAGCCACGCGTAAATAGCATCTTGCACAGCCCTCAGGGCAGACGAGTAACACACGCACACACGCGTGCAACCGCCATCAAAGCAGCAGCACCCACTCCTCAAGGACACATTCCCTCACAACACTGCGCCTGTATGAGCCACCGCGCCTTCATAACACCATACTCGCCAAGCAAAGACGCCAACCAAGAACACCGTGTCAAGGGTATTACCATATCAAAGCACGCTGCCAAGCCGAGGGCATGCGACAGGAGGACAACCACAGGAGGTGACCCATGGGTCGTCGCCTCAGGCGCTTCAACCAACCAAGCCGGCTCACCACTAAACCATTCATAACTCAGCGGCGAGCCTTGCACCGTCCATGCAATACCGCCTGCCAGGGTTCCAGTGCGTCGCCGTACTCTACCCATCACTATTGCCATTCATCAGAGTCCAAACATGTCTCCTCCAGCAGCAAGCAAGAAGGCACACATGCCCCTACGAGGCTATGACAGCACCCGCACACCAGCAGCAGCCGGCCCGCTGACTACAGCTGCTCTAGGTTACGTTATATCAGCTTCAGCGGACACATCGGTATATCAGCGTAAGCGAAAGCAAGGATCCGACCCCCTGAATGCCTGGTCCTAGCGATGATAGGCACCCGCCGGCAACTGCCACCGGCACTGATTCCGCGCGCCATGCTACCCTCCAGGAAAGCTACCCTCCAGGAAAGCAATGGCTCCTACCTAGAAGCGTCGTCCAACCACATCCCAAAGCGTCAGTTCCTTACTAGCCACACTGAGCCGTCAGGACTGTGTGCCCCTCCAACACGCCACCACATGCGGTGCTTATGTTATTACGAGTCCACCACCGCGCCAGCCACACCACCTCATCAGAAGGCCCTTCCACATCACAAGGCCCCAGCCATCGCAATTGTGCCCTGTCCTGACCTCCTCAGGCATGACACCGCCTGAGGACACCGCTCAGCTCGAAAAAACCAAGATGAAGCACCCAGGCTGCCCCAGGCGCACGTAGCAGCACACCGATCTTGCTCCCCCTCCGCGCCTAGGGCGCCCTGATACACACCACACTACACCACACCACATTCCTTTCACCACACTACTCATGCTTCAGCGCAGCCCCCGACAACCGCCTTCCTGCCATGTGATCACCGATGCTTGCTTATTTAACACACTCGTCTTCAAACTCATCATCACCACCACACTGCACCACCACCACAACCAACCCCCTCTGCTCCTCCCGTCGTCAAGACCCGTCTATAGCCTCCCACACATCGCTGTCCTCCTCTCAATAGCGACGCGCTCCCAACAGCACCCACCATGTCCTCAGCCTCCATGTGGAGAACCCACAACCACCACCCATGCATCAACCATGATCTAACTTACGAGCCATGGATCACATGCTCGGTCACGGGTACCTCCTCCGGCTGCTTGAACGCCGCCGCAGCCACCGCCGCAGCTCCCGACAGCGATGCTCCTCCTCCGCCTGCTCCTCCCAACGCCTCCAGCGCCCCTCCCATTCCGCCCTCCCGCAGCCGCTTCGACTCCGCCGCAAGCCGCTGGAGCTGCAGCTGCTGCTGCACCTGAGGCGGCGGCAGCACCCGCCGCGCCGGCGCCTCCCGGTTGATGTGTTGCGGGATGTAGGTCTGGCTGATGCGCGCAGTCATGCTGTTGCCTGCTTCGCTGATGCGGGCCGCGAGCTCCATGGCTTTGGCCATCTCGCGGACGCCCTTGGTGTCCCAGCTGATGTGGAAGCGGTGCTTGTACTCCTTGCGGTTGCGGATGATGCCTGTGTGCGGTGCCGCCGGGAATGAGGCGGAGGGGCGGGGTGCGTAAGGCATTGGTGCGGCAGGACAAGATAGCCAGTAACCTGTCTCCCATCTTCTTTCACATCTCTATAGCAGTAAACATAACGTGTCCAACCCTCCAAAAGCCAAGCAGCACACGTCAAGCCACGTCTCAGCCAACCAGAGCACGCACACGAGCGCAGAGCCCTCACCCCCACCCCCACCACCCCGCCTCTCCCCGCACCTGTCTGCAAGTCAATCTGCATGGGCACGTGCGTCACCTCCGTGGAGTGCGACACATTGTAGCCGCGATCCGTCAACACGTCAATCAGCATCTGCGCGGCGCGGGGGTGCTCCAGGAACATTCGGTGCTCCGTGGCGAACTCGGCGCGACCCGCCAGCCCGCACTCGTGCACCAGCGGCATGATCTCCGAGGTGATCAGGTCAATGACCTTTTGGAAGAGGTCCGGGTACTTTTCGCTGTGGTTGTCCAGGCGCATGACCAGCTGCTGGCGGGCGTGGGTGGAGACGTCGCGCGCGAGGGGCAGGTGGCGGATGGCGGCGTAGGTCTCGTAGCTGAGGTCCAGCGAGGACTGGTACCTGGTAGGGGGGGTGAGGCCAAACGAAGCAGGGTTGAGAAGAATGGTGAGGAAAGCGGGGCAAGACGCCAGCGAACGCAATCGAGTACACACACAGGTGCATGCGCGAACACATCACCCCATGACCCATGCCTTCACCCATGCAAGCCCCTGAGGTCAAACCTCTATTCCTTTCCTCCCTTGCCCCTATTATTCCCTTCCTCCCTTGCCCCTATTATTCCCTTCCTCCCCCTGCCCCTACCATTCCTTTCCTCCCCTGCCCCTACCATTCCTTTCCTCCCCTGCCCCTTCTATTCCTTTCCTCCCCCTGCCCCGACCATTCCTTTCCTCCCCCTGCCCCTACCACTCCTTTCCTCCCCCTGCCCCTACCATTCCTTTCCTCCCCCTGCCCCTCTACCTCCCCTACCTGAGTTCCGTGGTGATCGCCTCCTGCGTCTCCGCCATAGTGCCCATGGCGTCGATCAGGTGGAAGGGGAAGAACTGCTTCAGCCGCAGCACCGCGCTGTGGTGCTGCCGGAAGATGGCGTAGCGCTTCTTGGCCTTCTCGATGCTCAGATCAGTGGCGCGCTGCTCCCTGGCAGGGGGGTTGGATGGAGTGGGGCGTGAGGTGGAGGTGGGGTTAGATACACTGAGCCGCGAGGAATCCCTGACCGTGACCATGGGAAGACCTGGGTAGGGTGGGCCTGGGAGCAGAGCGAGCAGCGTTATGGCCGTGCCTTGGCAAGGCAGCGCCAGCACAGTTTGGGCTGCAGCTGCCTTCATGCATCAGCAGCACCACCACTACATTTTGTGTGTACCGCGTCCCCTCCAGCAGCGCCTTCACACCCCCGCCACCCCACCCCCACACGCTAGGAACATAGGAGCGACACCACCACGACACGCTCCCACATCACCACCACCACCATCCCACCACCCACCACAGCTGCCCAGCTCCCGCATCCAACACGCGCTTGTTGTGCACGGAGGCTAGCTTGGCTCGCTCCAGCTGTCGGGTGATGGAAGTCTCCTCGTCCACATACAGCATTACCACCTTGAACAGCGGCCGCGGGAACTGGTTGCGGTGGGAGGTGTTGGCAAAGATGCCGTGCAGCTCGTCCAGCTTGTCGTACAGCAGCTTCAGGAAATCCACCTGAAGGGGTTGGTTTCGGAGCAGGTGGTTCCGGCAAGTTCGGAGCAGGTGAGGATCGGGGAGAATGGGGGAGGATCAGAGACGCGGTAAGGGAATGCGAAGGAGGGAGGGAGGTGCAAAGGAAAGGGAGACCTGCATGGAAGCCAGGACGCCCTCCTGCTGTGAGTGCATGCTTGCACGTAAAGGGGACGCCTATCCAAGAATCCTGAGCTAGGCCAAAGCTAGGCCCAAGACATTAAGGACAAAGGGGAACACCTAAGCGCGCACAACGGAGCGTGCAGCTCAGAGTACAGCATTGTCCGTACAATGCCGCACAGCGTGCCGTACCTGCATGGCGGTGCGCGGGAAGCCGTCCACGAGCACCCCGCACTCGGGTGTTTGGCAGCTCTGCACGAGCAGTGCCTCCAGCACCACATCGCCCACCATGCTGCACGGAATGAGCTCACCTCGCTCCATGAGGGTCCGAGTGCCCTCATTGGTTTGCTGCGGAAGTGAAGGGGCAGGAGATGGGTAGAGAATGTAGTTATGGATAAGGGTTGACTCAGACGGAGGGAGGGAAGGGCTTGCTGCACATGGGGCGGTCGGTGAAGGCGCACGAAAGGCGTTGCGAGGGCCGTGGGTGCGTCCGGGGAGGCAGGCTGCAGCGTGAAGGGGGCTTACCAGCAGGGATGAAAGGTTCACGCCGTGGTCCAGTCCGCGAGTTTTCAAGATGTGCTGGGTGTTGGCACCCTGCGAGGCCAGAGAGCGACATGTCATCCAAGGTGGAGCCAGGGGTACGTGGAGAAGTATGCTGCACCAAAGCAAAACTTACCTTGCCCGCACCAGGTGCACCATTCAGCCAGACGACTTCGCGTGGAACATGGACGGACTGGCAGGAAAGAAGAGAAAGGAAACAACGCGTAAGAGCGTTTCGCGTCCCAGAGCTGTTTGGCACAAAAGTTCGCAATAAGCGCACCTTAAGCCTGAACCTTTCTTCAAACCTACGCCAGCAAGCTTCGAAAATAACCTGTGCGTCCATACGGACGTCTCCATCGTTGTGCACCTTGCTTTCCATAAGAGACGGCACAGGACTGCCTGGAGTATCAGGCGACGTCCCCAAATCTACGGCCGTAATTGTTTGGCAGCGTGTCTCGCCAAGCCAGCGGCAAAAGCGTCGCTGCTCGCAGCTAGCGTTGGCATTTCCCTGCAAACCACCAAGTCGAAGGCGCTGCGACGATGGTCCAGGTCCAGCTGCAGGCTGAGCGCTGCTGAAAGCATCAAGCGGCCGTTCCCCTGGTTGAAGGTAGCTCCACAAAGGCTGGGCCGCCAGTCGGGCAAGTTGCGACACTGGCGCTGCCAGACTCAAAGGCGTACCACATCCAATCAACATGGTTCCTTAAGTTTAAGATATATAATTAGTCAAATGTTTCAAGTGCGCTTGTAGCCGAGGTAAGTGTCCCTTGCCACGATACTGGAAAAACAACTAGGACTAGATTTTGCGGTGGCTTGTGTGGCTTATATTGTGTAAAGCCAGCACATTAATGTGTTATGTTACGCTATTGCGGTAGGGTCTCCATGAAACAAGACAAGATCCATGGGCAACCGGGACAACCGTCCATCACGCAGTCAACGAGTATCTCAAGTGATCGTGTGAAAGAAGCCCTCCAGGCACCGGCAATAGCTTCTGGGAAATGTGTATGATGACTGTAAGGTAAAAATAGTCTCGTATGCAAAGGGGGTCAGCAACGTGTAACACTCGAACAACAATGATACAGCAGACGGTGTGGTGTGTTTACACGCATACAGAACCTTATCATGTACGTTAGTATATGACAATAACAAAGCGGCAAGGCCACCACAGCGTCGCACAAAGCTTCGAGAGTTCAGTGTAGGTCAACTTCAGTGTAGGACTCGTAACCAGTCGGGATATTGTTATGGTTTAGTCAGGAGGACAGGAGGTACCCAAAACTTCAACTACTTGGTCAAGTATTAGCTTATAAGGGTCAGCAACATCCACATACGAAGCGCTGTAAGGCTTTCGATGTACGGCGCTCTACTTGGCAAGACTGAACATGGAAAACAGTCATTCTGCAGGCCTACTGTTTTAGCCTAATGTTATTCTTGCACCACGTTCAGCCTTACGCTGCAAAACGCTTGCACCCTTCTTGCTTCACGTGTTCTGGACACTTTGCCTTTCCCGTGAAAGGCTCTCCTACTCTAATTTAATAGTGCAATGGCAATTAGTAGTTATCGAAAAGGCAAACGTCCGAACGTAGATTTGGGGACGCGTGGAGCTAGAGGAATCCCTCGTCCTTCGTGGAGTGACGCTGCGTGAAAAGCACAGCGGCTACAGATCGGTGTCCATGGGATCTGGGGCATCGACCCAGGTCCAGCCTAAATACAAGTGGGAGCAGGTACGAACCTGTCGTCAGTCGATGGGAACTTAGGGGACGCACACACGCCTGGACCTCGCTGCTGTCCTTGTTGGCGCCAGGTCACAAAACTACCTTATTGTACTCCTGGGGCAATACGTTTGCAGTATTTGGGTGTTTCGCGCTGGTTGCAAAGCGGGTGTTGGGTTTAACGTGTGACGCGCCGCTGGTTGCCCACCGGAGCACGCCACTCATCCCAATCCACTGAACGGACAATGGCTTCATCTTATAAGTGCCCCCTCACCGACGTGATAAGCTCTCTTAGAACCGCACCCTCCTCCCTCTTCACGGCATGGTATGCATCCTTCCGTGCAAACCTACCCACCCCATTGCCACATCCCTGCACCCGAACCCCCAACAGGATCACGTGCTACGAGGCCCCTGGACCTTTTTGTTCAAGGAGAAGGTGCAGTGCGCATGCGAAGGTATGACACTGTAGCACCAAGGGAACGATGGAGTGGGGCAGGGGCCGCGGCCAGGGCTATCTGGGCAGGGCAGGGCAGGTAGTGCCCCACTGCACCGGCGGTAGGCCCCAGCGCCCCACCGCTCTTCCATCCTTCGCCCACCCCTGCCCCTCCTGCCGCTTGGTCCCTCCCCCCTCCACTCGACCCACCTGCCCGCCCATGGGCTCGACTAGCTTTCTCAGCGGTGCCTCGTACCCCACCCTTGCCTCCCCCTTACGTCTTGCCCTCAGCCCCACACCCCTCCCCGCCTCCTTCCACCCCTCCTTCCCCTTCCCCAGGCAGCAAATGGTGCACACGCGAGAACCCCGCGCGCCAAAAGCAGCCCAACGCCATCCCCGGCCTGCACAGCAGCTGGGTCGGGGAGCATGTGCTGGCAATGGCTCGTCCCTGGCAGGCCCATGTGACGCAGTACGACATGGTCGCAGCCTTCCAGCAGGCTCGCATCGGCATGATACTCAACCTGCAGGAGACGGGCGAGCATGCGCATTGCGGGCCGGGCAACCTGCCGCACACGGGGTTCACGTACGACCCCGAGAGCTTCATGGCGGGCGGGGTGGGGTACTACAACTTTGCATGGCGGGACATGGGGGTGCCTAATCTGGATCGCATGATGGATATCGTGCAGGTGAGGGGCTGGTGTGTTTGGGTGGGGAGGGGTTGGGAGGGAAAAAGGAGAATTCCCAATGCGTTGAATGAGAATGCAGGCCAGACGACGGGAATGGGATGGGAGGGAGGGGGGTCTGCGTAGGGGCTGAGAAGGGGGAAGGATGGCAGGGTTGCATGAAAGGGGGGATACGAGGGGCAGGAGCAGGGTGAGATGGAAGAGAAGACGTTCGTTGCAGCACCACATGCACATTCCACTTACCCTGTACCGATAAGGTCTGACAGCAGTTGACGTAATGTCCGGCTCGTGGGTGTTCGTGTTGCCATCGCCGCAGGTCATGGATTACGTCACGCGCGTGGAGGGTCGCAAAGTCGCCGTACACTGTCACGCCGGGCTGGGCCGTACAGGCCTCTCCATCGCCTGTTTCTTCGTCTTTAGCGGCATGTACGACAGTGCAGAGGAGGCGATCCAGGTTGTACGGCAGCACCGGCCGGGTGCCGTACAAACCAGCAAGCAGGTGGCCTTTGTCAGCATCTTTGGGCAGTACTTGCGCCACCTGCGCTGCCTCTTTCCCTCCTCACGTGGTACGACAGCTGACGGCGAGCTTTCTAGACATACCAGCGGTGGCCTTGGCGGCGGCGGTGACCCCAGCAGCCGCAACAACAGCGGCGGCAAAGCATCCGGAGATGGTACGGCAAAATCTCCGTCGCCTTCAACAGCAGGCTCGCCGGTGTTTGCACTTCCAACGGAGGGCCTCCTAGAGCAGAAATCCACGGCCACGGCGCTGGTCGGCACTTACTCCACGGGCCTTACCATATCCATACCTCTCATACAGCCCACGCAATCCTCACCCCTCCCCGCTGCCGCCGCCGGAGGCGATGCCACAGCTGCCGCCGCCGCCGTCGCGGCATCCGGCGACCCGTCCTGCAACGGCGGCGGCGCCCTAACGGACAGCGACCTAGGCCTGCAGACGCCGCTTCCCTGGAACGATACCTTCCACATCCAGCCGCAGCACGCGCGGGACTTCCGGCCGCGGCCTCCCAGGAGCTATTCGGAGGCGCTGGCGCGGCAGGCGCGGCTGCTACATGGGCCGGAGCGGCGGGCGCACCTGAGGTTGCACAAGGTGGGGGATTAATAGGCATAGGTATTCCGCATTAGGCTGGATACCGGTAGGTGGGGGTGCTCCGCCTACGTGGATAGGCGGGGGATAGCGGAGGAGGTTGCGTAGGAGAGAGGGAGGTGCAGGTTGGCCCCTGAGGGATTGTTGGCAGGAAGTTGTGTGTGTTGCAAGTCCATCAGACACAGCGCTCGTTCAGCGCTTCCTCCCATAGTACCTTGACCCCTTGCCTGCACCCTCCTCCCGCTCCCAACCCACCCAATCTCCGCAACCCGCCCACCCTCAGCTTGTGACGGAAGCCGTGTTTGCAATCATGGCCGCCGCTCAGTCCTTCCAGCCGCCCGCACAGCCCAAAGCCTTCATCAAAGTCGCCTCATCCAACCTAGCAGCCGACGGCCCCGCTGCCGCCTCCGCCCCCGCAGCCCGAACCTCTGCCTCGGCGTTACCCTCCATCCCTGAAAACCTCGTAGCAGCAGGCTTGGCGGGCAGCGGAGGTGGTGCCGTACAGCTGCCTCCCACGTTTGCGCATGCCATGGCGTTGTTGATACGCAGCCACGGCCCGGCGCATGTGGAGAGTGCGGCGCTGGAACCGCTGGCGTCTGACCCGGTGTACACGCCGCTGACAGGACCGCTGGTGAGGGGGTTGCGTTGCGGTTGCAGACCTTGCGGTTGTGGATGGCTGCTGTCGTACGGCAGTACGTGCAAATGCGCTGTAGCACTCATCCCTAAACCCTCATTGTTTTAGTTACAGCTTTGGTTTGATGGCACCCGGCACCCCTACCAATCAAGCAGTTGACATGGTGGCATCCACCTAGGTTGGCTTCATGCTCTGCTCATGTAAGGGTACTTCTCCCGCAACTGTTGGAGGTGGTGTTGACACCCGGGATCCTGCCTCGCGGGTCCTCTTTCTCTGCACCTCCTACTCCGCGAGCCGCAGGTGCACTCCCGCGACGTGTTGGCGGCCGTGTCGGGGCTGCGGGAGGAGCTCAACTGCGGGCGTTACGAGGGGCTGGCTCGCGCGCCGCTGCTGGCGGTGTTGATGCTGCTGGAGGGCTTCTTCGCGAACTTTGCGGGCGGTGCCGAGCCCTCCTCCCTCACCGAGGAGTGCCTGACCATCGTCGCGAAGAGCTACCAGGTAGGGAACCAGCTGCCAAGGTACCAATGCGTTCGCCTAACACCGCTCCTCAGCACCGCACAGCTCACGTGGGTACCGGTACGTTTACGGCAATCGCACCAGTGCACGGTATATACCCTTCCTCTTCCCCCCCTGGCTTCCATGGGTGTTCCATGGTGTTTTGTTTCCGTTAGGTATCTTATCCTTGTGTGACGTGACCCATGGGTCATGATCTCATTATCTCCTGCATCCCGCAACCTTGTCGTACCAACGCAGGACCTCTTCGACAGCCACGTCCCGGCTCCCCCCGGATCCCGACGAGCCTCAGCAGCTGGCGAGGACGGAATCAGCGGCGGTGGCGGCGGTGGCAACAGCAGCAGTAGTGTAGCCCCCGGCGGCAGCGATGCCTCACTGGAGCTAGCTCGTCAAGCGTACGACACGCTGGAGCCGCTACAGCCTCGCGACTCCGAGTTGCTGCTGCTGTTTGCCTCCATGATGCGAGTGGTGGCGCGCGTGAGCGGTCCGGGGTGCGAGGAGGCGATGGTGGAAGTGGGCAAGTGGGCGGTGGGGCTGCTGCTGGGGAAGCTGGCCAGCATGCCCGAGGTGAGGGGGCGGGAGGCGGAGGAGGCGAGAAGAAGGGAGGGAAGGGGAGGGCGCTGACGTTGGGATGCATGTGGCCCCTGCCTAGGGTGTAGCATGCTCCGGTTGATGCTTCCGCACCCGCTTAATGCACATTGTTACTTTGCTTTATGCTGTAAGACTGTCGTACCATGACCGCTGCTCCCCCTTCCTCTTCTCACACCTCGCCCTGCCCTACTCGACCACCTCACCCTCCTACCTGGCAGGCGCAGGAGGCGGTGCTGTCCTTCCTCTGGTACCTAGCCGGCCGGGACGAAGCTTTCGCCATGCTCGTCCTGCTCAAACGCCAGCGCATGACGGGCATCCTGCGAAAGGGCGGCGCCAGGCGGGGCGCTGCGGACGTCGCAGCCATGCTGCAAGCAGCCGCCGTCTCACTCACTTCGGCGGCGCCGCCAGGCGCCGACGGCTGCGACCCAAGCGACGGCTGCGTCGCCGTCGGCTTGCCTGGTGAACTGCCTCGCTCCCCGGGCGCAACCCCCCCGCCCGGGTTAATATCCGCATTCTCCTCCTCAACGGCACCCGATCACGCGCTACCCGCATGGGCTGTTGCCTCCCTGCCGCCATCCAGCCGGGCTAGCGCCGTGTCGTCTGTTTGCAGCGCCGCCGCGGGTACGACGCCCGTAGCAGCGTACGGCGAAAGCTACAGCGGCAAGGAGGGCGCCGCGGGGGGGTTGTACCCGTCATCAGTAGCTGCTGTGCCCACGCTGGCAAGTCCACCCTCTTTCCGGAAGGACCCAAACGGGTTGCCGGTCCACAGGACGGCCTCCTCCTCCTCCACGGGAGGCCTGATGGACCCAAAGGACGTGCAAGGAGGGCTGCTGCCAGTAGCAGCGGCACAACAGCAGTTTGCTCAGCTCCTGGCGCAGGATATCCCGGCGATGTACCGGGTTTCATACCGGGAAGCGCTAGCGGGGATCTCCTCCGTGGTCTATCCGCCCCCGCCTTCCACGGGTCGGGTGGAGGTGCACGACGTGTGGCGGTGATGCATGCATGGGACTGAGGGGGGGCGGGGGAGGGGGGGGCTGAAGGAGGGTTGGAGGAGTGGGGTAGGCGGCGGGGCTGATGAATGAGGAGTGGGGGCTGGGCGGGGAAGGTGCTGGTATGTGGGGGGTTGGGGGGAGCTTGTAAGTAGCGGTATTGTGAGGCTGAGTCGGACGAGGTGGATGTACGGATGCATGGTCGCATGGATGCATTGGAACGGCGAGCAACGGGATTGATGCGGACATTGGCACCTGTTGTAGCGCCAAGGCGCGAATGCTACAACATAATGTTTCTTCCTTCAAAGGTTTGAAACGAGGGCGGCATGCGGTCGTCCTTTAGTTATTGCCCCGTCCTAATAACTACCGGTATGTGAGATTGGAGCTTGGCTTTGGCATAAAAAAAGGTATTGTTGTGCTGTTGGTGTACGGCAGCCGTTGGGAAGGGAAGGAAACATTCCGCTGAACAAAGTACGCCTGAAACTGAAAGGTTGCCGTACTGGGGATGGCCGTACCGCGCGATAACGAACGCAGGAGGTGACACGTTCGCTACAGACTGGTACCCTGCCCGATGTGACAGCGATTCGTACGGGTTATAGCGTGAACAGTGGAAGCTGTTTGTTTTCCACATGAGACAGGAAGGGCCTTGTGCCTTGTGCTACTTCTCTGCTGGAGGATAATGTGGAGGGGTGGAGCCTCGTGTGTGGTTCTCGTCGATTCTCAATTTCGTCTGACGCCTGTATCTGCCTGTATTTCAATCCTGTTTTGGAGTTTCAATCGCGGTCAGCATGCTGGCCTGCTGCACGTATATATGATAATATGCCGGCGAGCTAAGTTAGGCGCAATATTACCGGTACTGGTAAAGCGACGTGGTTGGGTGTATAGAGTTGAACGAGTCGCTGCGATCACCTGTGTTGTTGTGTTACATCGGAGGGCCAGCTGCCCGGTTTGCTGGCGCAGTTACTGCAAAATTACTGACTTAGGTAAATCACGCTCCTACTTATCCTGAGAAGTAGCTTATTAGACGTCAAGCGTGTGTTGTACGAACGTGCAACGGATTGCCGTGCACGCCGTACATCCAGTCCTGTTGGGCCCTGGAAAGAGCGTAGTATATGTCGAAACGGGGCTCTTTTTCTTCGTTAACTTGGACCACTTGTCTGTGTAGCTTCTTGCGAGTATATTCCAGCTGAATCGCATGGTGTCGTCATGTGTTTCGACCTGCATACGCTGTGGCTTGAAGCAGCTCGCGGCTCACCCGTACGCCCGCAACAGTCGACATGCGCGGCGGAATGTGTTTTGTATCACTCGATTACAAGCATCCCGCAAGCAGGCTCGGACTATGTAGCCCTCACTCGCGCCACAATGCAATCGGACCCTGGAGGGCATGGCATGCAACATGGGCGCTAAAGGGTCTTCAGTTTTCACCACCACCCATGCACCTGGTTAGGACTGCACACTCTCCCGTGCGTGGTGGCAACCCCAGATGACGTGCGGTGCAGTCCTCCTCCATGCTGAGAGCCCTCGGCTTTAGCCCCGCTCCGGCCAGACAGGTCCTACGTCGCTGGGCATGTCCCCGGGAGGTCCTTCCGCATGCAGTCTGGGAGGTACAGGGCATCTGTTTATCAGCTCAGTCATAAGCTCATAACCGCATGCAATCTACCGGTATTTATTAACCGGCCTCGACAACCCTGCTGCTTGGCCTCATAGCAGTAGTGGTACTACCCCCCATGAACGGCCCGCGGGGCTTATTGGTACCGGTTTGGGTTGGCAATGAGCGTTTGTTGCGTATAAGATAATGAGCAAGTCATTAGGCCGCACCAAGCGCAGATGATTCCTGCTGTCGTACCGTACTGGCGTTACCTACTAACTGAGTAACTGCCCCCAGGGTACTGCCGCCGTGGTGAAGCTATCGTGCTGCGGAGGGTGCTCCGCTCAACGGCAGGCGGCGTGACACGTCGGTGGGAGTCCGTGTGATTAGTCGATGGGCCGAGTCGACGGGGCATCCTTGGAGGCACCTGCTGCAGGGGTGACAGCGGCGGGAGCATCAACAACGGCCGCTGAAGCAGCACCGACGGCACCGGCAGGGGCAGCCTCACAACAACCGTTGCCGACTGGCGGCTGCTGCTGCCCGTCAGATGCACCGCAACTTCCACCGCATGGGGACACACCCGCAGTGGCAGCCTTCCAGTGCTCTAGCAGCGCCGATGACGTGGCGCTTCAGCAGCAGCAGGAGCAGACACAGACGCTAGATGAAGGTGCGCCGGCCGGGCGACCACCACCACCAATACCTCCAACATGACACCTCCACCAGCAAACAGGGTACCAGCGAGCAAAGCGTGGAGGTAGTTTCGGAGCGGCCTTCGCTGTAGTAGTGAAGAGGTTGACGGCGGGCGAGCATGGGGGATGAGGGTGAGAGTGAGACGGTGTTTGGGAGTGAACGCTGAACGGATGGAGAGGCAGTGTTGGGCAGCCGTGTTCCCAATGGAGGGTGTGCTGGAAGGGCTGTTGTGACTTTTGATTGACTATATGTAAGTGTAGTAGGGTAGGAGCATTGCTGTGGCTGTGCGGTACCGGAGGCACTGGAGGCAGTTGGGGATCACTTGGGATGTGTGTCAGTTGTAACAATTGTGACTGTAAGCAGTGAGGGTTGGCTATAGGATGTTTTCAGGTAGGCTGTATAATTGCTGCGGCAGATCGTGTTATTGCTACACGCTCTGGGACGCGGCATGCATGGAGACTTGGAGAGGCTGTCACACAGGGCACGTGTGCCGTCATACCATCTTGCTCGTGTCACAAACTGCCCATGCAAAAGTTAGCCCCTGGTGTCCCCACATGCTGTCATGTAAGGGGATGATGCTGCGTATTGGGTTGCTCGGCTGATGACGGCATGGGGTCCTAGGGTCCCTTGCGCCATCACTTGTTGCCGCGTGCCTGCTGCACTAGGATCACAACTGCACTGGGGTCACAGCGGCGGTTACAGCAATGTAGAAAAGAAGGCTCGTCGTGAATCTAGACGGGGTTACTCGCTTATAAAAATCACACATAGCATAAGTGCGAGGCAAGACGACTGTCCGGCTGTGAAGCCGCAACACTCTTGGCGGATGGATGGATTAAAAGCCAAACAGTACTGAGCGCAATCGATCAACCGAGTTGACTGCGCAGTTAAGAGACATCTGCAGCATTTTACATGTTATGCTCCATGCTTGGCGTTATACCGCCCGAACGCTGATGTTATCGTGGGTACGGACGTCTAACGGTACTCAGTAATGCAACCCAGTATCAACGCAATACAATTTGTAAAGTACTACTATACTCCTTGTTTGAATGCTCACTACTGAACTAGCAGTGCAAGCTTCGCGACGTTGTCATCCGGGCTGAAGCCCTGCACGCGCCTGTCCTCGTGATATCATGTTTCTCCTGAAGGAATTCTTCTATGCTGTATAAGACTTAACGCTGAAATTTGTCGGACGCATGTGTCAGCCCTTGTCTTCACTGGATGACTCCGGCCTCTAGGAATCTTTCCGCTCTTACCTTAGCATCCAGCCTGGCTGGAAGGCTTTTAGGAAGGCATGCCGACAGTGCCAGCTTGCTGCGAAGCTTGCCTGCCGCAACCGGCATCGGGCGTGTCGCCACACGCTGGCATGTGGCTCTAGATACCAAGCAGCCCTCTCCTAGCCATCGCCTAGGCTTTGCGAGCATGGCGCAGCCCCAGCAAGAACATTCGTCGTTGCCCGTCGAGCAACGACAACTTCAGGACCAGCAGCAACCGCAGCAGCAGCAGCCCCAGACAGTCCAGCCGCAGCAATCAAGTGCCCCTGCTGCCCCCCCACCCCTGCGACCCTTCACCGGATTCAAAAAGACGTTTTACAAGCGGAAGCTTCCCTCGCCGCCGGCAATCGAGTTCTCCTCGCCCGAGGGTAGGGGGTCCATCGGGGTCATTGTCTGCTGGCGGCCAGGGCTGACTGAAGATCCGGGAACACGATCCGGATGGGGGTCGGCGGCTGATTTGGTTTGCTGTACGGCACCCACAGCACGGCACTTGCGAGGCACGGCACATGCCTATATGCACCTGCCTGTCCACTGCTATCTTTAAGTCCATCCTTTTGCTGCTTCCTCTTCTTCTCCCCTGCGCTCCCCATGCTTCCCCTTCACCCCTACTTCCCACCGCCCCCCCCCCCTTCCTCTTCTTCCCCCCTCCCCCCACTTCCTCTTCTTCCCCCCCCCCCTCCCCCTACTTCTTCTTTACCCCCCCTCCCCCCACTTCCTCTTCTCTCCCCCCCCCCAGGTCGGCAGTTGTTCCAGGAGGCGCTGCTGGAGGGCTCCATGGTGGGATTCTTCAAGCTCATGGAGCAGTTCAAGTGAGGGGGAGAGGCAGGGAGGATAAAAAGACTAAAGGAAGGATGGTAAAGATAAGGAGGGGGCCGAGAGGGAGGGCTAGGGGGGTCCGGGGAAGGGGGCGACGACCCACCTCTTTCCATGGTGAAGCCTGCATGTCATACAGCTCGTTAGCTGCCTCGTCAGTTCCCTTACTCCTATCCTCCTCCCCTCCTCGCCTCCCCCCTCCTGGCTGTATCGTTATCACACCACACTTTGGAATTTCTTTTTTCCCCCCTCCTGGCTACTCCCCCCAAAGCACCCAAGACGAGCCCGCCTTCTGCGGCCTTGCCTCCCTGGCCATGGTGCTCAACGCGCTGTCCATCGACCCGCGCCGCACCTGGAAGGGCTCATGGCGCTGGTTCCATGAGGCCATGCTGGACTGCTGTCGGCCGCTGGAGCTGGTCAAGAAGGAGGGAATCACGTTGTACCAGGTGCGGGTGCGGGTAGCCGTACCTGACTCAGTTTGCTTGTGCTTGCTCACTGACTCACCCCCCCTAGTCGTGAGCAAGCACATGCAAACGCGGTGCGAGGCTGGATGAGGGCGTGTCCCTGTGGTCCGTGTGTGGTCCTCCTCATATCCCTCCCACTCCTCACTCCCCCCCGCCCCGCCCTGCCCGCCCCGTCCTTGTTCTTAGCCGCTTCTCACCCCTAATGTTGCTCCTATCATGGTTACCTACCATGGCTCTTCTTGTTCATACCGTCGTTGTCCCCTGTTCCAGTTGTTGTTGTTCTTATCATCGTTGCTGTTGTTGCCTGTTCAGGCTTCCTGTCTGGCTCGCTGCAACGGCGCCCGTGTCGAGATGCGCCCCCACGGCAGCACCTCCCTGGAGCGATTCAGGGCCGAGGTGGAAGCCGTGTGTCGGAGCGGGGAGGAACACATCGTGGTGTCGTACAGCCGCAAGGTGGGGTTTCGGGGCGTGTGGGGTGTACGGCGGGTTTCGTAAGGTATGTACGGCATGTACGGCATGCATGGTGGGTCATGACTCGGACGGTCGACAATTCGGCATGTGTACGGCGCTGTGTGTCTGGCTGACCGGGTAAACCGTACCTTTGCACCTTTCCGCCCCCCACCCCTCTCCTCTTCCAGCTCGTTAACATCTTCTGATTACCCCCCCTCCTCTTCCCCCCTCCTCTTCCCCCCTCCTCTTCCCCCCTCCTCTTCCCCCCTCCTCTTCCCCCCTCCTCTTCCCCCCCCCCTCTTCCCCCCTCCTCTTCCCCCCTCCTCTTCCCCCCCTCCTCTTCCCCCCCTCCTCTTCCCCCCTCCGCAGGCGTTCCTGCAGACGGGTGACGGTCACTTCAGCCCCATCGGCGGCTACCACCGGGGCAGGGACCTGGCACTGGTTCTGGATGTGGTGGGGCGGGGTGGGGCGGGGAAGAGGGAGGGAGAGGGAGGGAAAAATAAATGAAAAGCGCAGCAACTAGAGACCCAATCCCATATTCCGACACATGCATTGAGCGGGGAATCCAGGGCGGGTGGGAGGGTGAAGCGGTGGGGGATGGGGCATTGAGGAGGCGGGCGATGGGTGGGCGGAGATCAGTGTGCAGTGAGCCGCACGATGCGGGCGGGTTGCAGAATGGAGGTGAAGGCCCTCCTCGAGGGAATCAAACTGTCCTGCTTCTAATCCCTCCCCCTCCTGCTCCCTCCCCCCTTCCTCCCCCCCCTCCTGCTCCTCCAACCCCCCAGGCGCGCTTCAAGTACCCGCCCCACTGGGTGCCACTGCCCATGTTGTACAACGCCATGTCGTACACCGACCCCGAGACCGGCCGCCCACGCGGCTACATGCGCCTGTCCTCCAACCCGCTGCTGGACAGCGTGCTGTTGTCGCTGGACATCCGGAGTGAGGGATGGCGGCCGGCAGATGCGTTCGTGCGGTCGGGGGCGGCGGAGCTAGTGCGGGTAGGGCTGGGTGAGGGTGGGGGGTGGGGGGTTGGCGGTTGGGAGGAGGTGGGGGGGTTGGAAAGAGTTTCTTTGGGTTGGAGTGGGGACGGAAAGGCAGAGTAGACATCAAATTAGCTGTTCAAGCGTGTAAGGGCCGGATGGAGACTGTGTTCGTGAACCGAGTACCGCTATGTCACGTGCCATCACTTCTGGTGGGTTTCTGACACTGTTCGTGTCTTCTTCTTTACCCCCCCCCTCTTCCTTTTCCCCCTTCCCTCCCCCCTACAGGAGCTTGCGGCTCAAGGGGGCCTCAGCGGAGAGGATGTCGTACGGCAGGTGGTTGACGCCATGCCGTTAGCCTCCCTAGACGCCTTCCTTGTCGTACGATCCGGTGCGCCATTAGTAATGGCGGGACGGGAAGCGGCGGCGACGGCGGCGGCTGTCGTACTGGATGTCGTGCCCGAGGGTCCGCCGTGCGCGACGCCTGACGCCATGGCGGCGGCGGTACGGCAAGCGTCGGAGGTGGGTACGGCAGCAGCAGCAGCAGCCGCTGCCGCTGGTAATGCTGCCGCCGCCGCCGGCGACGTCGATTCGACTTCCACCGCTGCCGCCACGTCAGCTGCTACTGCCAAGGATGCTGATGTGGACCACAGTTTGGATCCATTCCTTCGTTCGCCGTACGGCACCAGCAGTCACCACCGTACGGTATCGTACAGCAAGAAGGCTCCTTGCTCCGGCTCAGGTGGCGCTAGCAAGGGCTGCGGGGGCGGCTGCGGCTCATCAGCTGGAGGCTGTGGCAGCAGCACGACAGCGGCAACTGCAACTGCAACTGCAACCGTCACAAACGGTCCCCAAAGCACCCCCAATGCAACTACCACCGCAGGCAGTGGCGCATGTTGCAGTAGCAGCAACCCTAGCAGCAGCAGCACCCCTAGCACAACCACCACTAGCAGTAGCAGCAGCAGCATCACCACTAGCAGCAGCAGCAGCAGCAACCACAACAGCAATGTGATGGCGGCAGCCGCTGCGGTGTTCACAGCTCGAGACCGCTGTGTTCCGCTGGGGCAGCGGCAGCAGCTGCTGGACGAGCTCCGAGGCATGCCGCTGTATCACCTGGTCTCCGCACACCTGGCGGCCAGGAGGGAGCAGGAGCAGGCGGGGACAGCAGCAGCTGCAGCAGCGGCTGCCTCGGGTGGGGCCTGTGCTGGGGGAACTGGCCCCACATGCACAACGGCGACAGAAGGCGTTGAAGCAGCAGCACCAGGAGCAGCGGCGACTCAGCCTCAGCACCACCAACAGGCTCCGCAATACCAGGCGGAGAAGGTGGTGATGGCGCTGCTCATGCAGTCGCCGGACGCCTGGCCGCCGCCCGAGGCCTGGGCGGATGGCGCTGCCGCGGAGGCGCAGTGGCAGGCGCTGGTGGGGTGCGGCGGGTTTAGTGTGGTGGAGGCGGAGGCGGCCTACCTGCGGGAGCAGCTGGCGCACATAGACGAGGTGTTGCAGGTGGGTGGGGAGGAGGAGGAGGAGGGGGGAAAAATTAAAGAAGTGAAACAACGAATCCCAGGAGGGGGAGGAAACTCCAGGTGGGGGAAGTTGAAGACAGAGAGGAAGTGACACTGCAGGTGCAGGTAGGGGGCTTTAGGGGATAGGGATTTGGTAATCAGGGACATCGGAAAGACGCACAATCGTAGCCGAGCAACTCTTTCTGCCTGACCCCGCCTCTTCTGTTCACGCGCACGTCCCCCCACCCCGGGTTTTGTCCCCCGCAGAGTGGCGACATACACGGTACCTGCGGCGAACACAGCTCTCGACTGGACTGCGCAGCGCACGGCCATTGAACTCATGCGGAGCGGATAGGCTTGTATGTGATCAGGGTGTGGTGTGCCTGTTATGATGTGCTGTGCCTGTCGAGGTTCCTGTGGAATTCCTGGTGTGTGCATTGTTCATTGTTATTGCTGCTGTTGCTGGTCTGGTACGTCCACCTCTATGGGCACGTGTTGTCAGCAAACGTACAGACAGCCGCAATAGCAACACGTGAGAGAAGCGAGCGCAAACCCCTTCCTGATGACACCCCACAAGGCGTGCCCAGGGGGGGCAGGGACTGTGCGGGATGGGTGGGTGTGTACTGCTGGCGTGTTGTACCAACTATCTGCTTCTGGCGGTCGCAGCAGGATACCGGTAGACAACGAGCAACAGCTGCTCTTATATTGGCACCCCGAGGCGTGTTTTTTTAACACGTGGGTGGGTTGCTCGTGCTCGTGGTACTGATCACACGATACTCACCAGCACTTGACCATACCGGAAACTGACCATAACTGGATTTGATGCACAGTTGGACAGTGCGTGCAAGTGCTGGGGTGCCGGGGTGATGCAGACATGTGCTAGCAGGGTATGCTCAAGCAGCCCTTATGTGAGCTTTAGCTCGGAAGCTGATGGAGCCGTAAAGGCTCCAGAAGTCCAAAAGGCACCCGGGTCTTAACGAGTCAGTTACAGTTACAGTTACCTCTCTCTCCCACAATTTGTACGACGGAGTCAGCCGAACTCCCAAACCGCCCAACATGAGGTAGGGTCCAGGCGTCCGAGTCCACAGGCCACTGGTACGAGACTGTCAGAACCCCCCTTCACTTCCAATGGAGAAGAACCGTTTTATTGCTACACCGTAATTACTTCAACGCATGCATGCTAGCACAAGCCCGCGCACACTTCCTATATGCTGGCTGGCATGACATTGCAGTTGAGCTGTTGTGCTATCAACAGCAACACACATGCAGGCCAGGCACACGTGCGTGCGTGGATTCCTTCACCCTCCACATCACGTCCTGCACCCCTCCTTCACGTCCTGCGCTCCTCCCCCAACTCCCCCTCCCGCGGCGGCCGTGGTACCGCCTGCACCTGCATGCGCGCCACCCGCGGCCCGTGCGCCTGCACCAGCGGACCCAGCTGATCGAGCTTGTCGTACATGCCCTGCCGTACAACGGAGGCAGCAGAAGGAATGTGAGATCCGCTTCCTTTGTGCAAGGAAGTAAGGTAGTTTCCCTGGACAACACCCTGAGCTCTTATACAACAAAATCAAACATCTTTAAGGGTGTTTAAGGGTGCTCTATTAAGGGTGCTCTATTTCCACTCACCAGCAGACCTCCTGTGTGTACGAACAGTACGGTGCGGCCGCGCCACTCGTGCGGGTTGTCGTACATCTCCCGCAGCATGCAGTACACCGCCTTGCCGCCGTACACTGGATCCAACACCACCCCAGTGGCCGCGGACACAGCCTACGACATGTACGACATGTACGACATGTGTGTCATTACTGGCTCGGTACGAGGAGACAGCCGACATGACTTGCTTGAGCAGCAGTCGTACCGATGTGCCACAGTTGAAACATGCGATGACGGATGTAAGCAATGATAGCGCACAGTAAGCCGCTTATTGCTAATGTTTTTGTTTACATGCACTGACTTCGATGCTGCTAAGCAATCCTCCTCCTACCGTACCTGTGTCGTACGAAGCTCTTCGTCGGTGCTAATGGCGTAGCCCGACCCACGGGACTGCACCACACGCAGTAGCGACCTCGCGTCCACACTGATGCTTGATGACGTCCCGCCTTTCCCTTCCGCTGCTGCTGTTGCTGCGGATGTCGTTTCCGCTGCTGCTGTTGCTGCGGATGTTGTTGCTGCTGCCGAGGACGCTCCCAAGCCAGCAAAAAGTCCGTCAATGAAGTTGTAAAAGTACTCCGGCGTGTCACACACACCGTAAGCATGGACCCGTGCGCCTAGGGAACTGCGGGACACACATGTTAGGCAAGACCTTACAACGAGTGCCATGGACATGCGTAAAGAGAAACGGCGCTAATGTTTCAGTTGTCATCCTCTGCAGGAGAGCTCTGGAAGGCTCTGCCGATGCAACCGGACACAGGTCGTGATGCCGGATGAACCCGACCAGCTAGCTGAAGAAGTTAGCTGGTGTGGATTACTTGTAAGTCCCTCACTCTGTGCATCCCTACCTAAATAACCCCATTTGTCCCAAGCCACCCCATGCTACCTGAGGTGGGAGCCCAGAGCAAGACCAGCGGAGGTGCCGCCACTGCCGCAGGCCTGTACACTCGTGACCACAAGACAAACCGTTGAAGCTCACAACGGCACATGCAGTAGTGCGGTACAATGCCATGTGGCTCCGAAACCACGGAACCACTTCAAGTGCTGCTTACCATGCAGATGTCGGTTACTGGGCCCAGGTGAGGCTGCTGCTGCAGCTGCTGTACGATCTCGTTTACTGCCTGCAAACGCAAACCACAGGGCAACGGCATCACATCCTCGCACAAGCCGAGGGACTTGGCCCTGCCATGCATGCGTGCAATACCTTACCCGCGTCCACCGCTCACCCCCCTCGTCGGGATATGGGATTGGGACTCCAGTTGCTGCAATTACCACTTATCGTCTCCCCTCGCTCCCCAAACTCACCCCCCTCGCTCCCCACACTCACCTCTATGTATCCCCAGGTACCCAGCGGGTTGGATCCGCCCACCGGAATGACGTACGGCTTCCTGCCAGCCGCCTCCAGCTCCTGCCGTAGCTGCTCCAGCAGTGCCGTACTGCCAACACTGCCGTACTCCTCTTTGGTGACCTGCACGCCAAGCCCACCGCGTTACTTCGGCTGCGGGCTCATCGTCCTTAATTAAGACGCTAACCGGCCACCAGGACCTGAAAGCCCCGAACCCCTCATGCAGTACTGCCACCCTTCATAACCCCCCACGTTGTCACGGGTGGTTATTGAAGCCCAGCCATTCAACCTTCCCCGCCCCAATCCTTATCCAACTCCTACACTATGCTAGCTGTTTGCCCCAGCGGACGCCCTTCCCCTAATCCGTTCCACTACACCGGTATGTGGCGTCTGTGTTTCCCTGATGACCCCCGCCGTCCCGCACCCGCCCCCACCAGCCCCCGCCCCCACCACCACCCACCAGGTGCAGCTCCGCCCCCACCAGCCGCTCCACCAGCAGGTTACCCACCAGCCCCGGATCATCCCCCACCCGCTGGCGACTGGTGCGCAGAATGAGGTGGCAATCCAAACCCAGGTACCTGGGTTCAGCGGGAAAAGGTGGGGGTGGGGAAGGAGGGGGGAGACCAGCGGCCCGTGCATGGGATTGCTGGCAGCGCTTGAGCAGGAATACCGCAACTGGGTTGAAAGCGTACTGCTGGTACGGCAGAGAAAAAAGGGGCCGGGGGGAAGCAAGAGAGGAAGACGACTTTTGACGGTCATACATCCGGAGGCGGAATGGCTACGGAATGGACACACACGTGGCCTGCTAACCATCCTGCGGGCTGCAGCAGAAGTGAACAGAGGGCCGGGCACTGCACAACAGGAGGAGGTGAGCGAGGAGGTGCTTGGAGCAAGCAGGTAAGCCCTCCAGCCGCACCACAGTTATGGTACCGCCTATTCCTCTACACGACAATCCCCCACCTGGCCGCCACTGCCGTGGCTCGCGCGTGGTTGGACTGGATACCGCCGATGGTCACCACGCAGTCATGTCCGCCCTGCACCGCCTCAGCCAGCAGGAACTCCAACTTGCGGACCTGCATGCGGGTGCGGGTGCGGGTGCGGGTGCCGGGCATCCAGGAGGACCATGAGGCGGTGCGTGGTGCGTTGTGCGGTAGGGTGCGGTAGCCAGCGAGGTCGTGAACGTGCACTTCGGCACTCCCTCGGTACCAGTACCAGTACGCACGTCTACCGTATACGGCTAGCTGCGGCTATTTATTGGTTGCATGGCGTTGTGTAACCTGGCTTGAAATCGTCGAGTGGAGTGCGCATTGCGCGGCACAGGGGCGAAGCACTCCCTGCATGGCGGTCCAGGCGTACCTTGTTGCCGCTGAGCTGCATGCCGCTCAGGTCATCGCGCTTCACCAGCAGTCGCACCCCCTCAGGCAGTCCCTGCAGGCGCCACTCGTGGATGGGGGTGGGCAACATGCCCAGTCGGAAGCGCGTCTTGGGTACCTGGGGCGGGCAGCAGGATGAAAGAGGGAAGACAGCAGGGAGGAAGGAGAAGAGCACAGGGTGGGAGGGTGGGGTTTTGGGAAGGGTGCGAAGTTGGAAAGGATAGGGACGAAGGCTAGCCGGGGAGCCTGTGAGGGGAGGAGGAGAGGCTGTGATGTTCTATGCAACCTGCTGCCTAACGGTTAAGCAACCGTTAACTACCATTATATACCGTTAACGCTGCTTAATGGTATATAACACCATGAGGGTGACTGGCAGCGGGGTTAGGGACCGCTTGCCAACCACGACGGTGAGAGGGGGGGTCAAAAGCATGGTATTGGGGACACATGGGGAGGCTGGTAAGGAGTATGACGGGAATTTGAGTGTTGGCTTCATTCGATTGGTTTTACAGTCGAGGTACGCCACGAAACTGAAGACGCAGACATGACCTCTTGCGTTCACTGCAGTGCATGGAACCCCTCTGGCGGACTTGCCGAGGTGAGGTGTGACGCCCAAGCGGGCGGCGAGTAGGGCTCCAACTGCAGAAACCCAGCTCGCGAGGCGCTTGCGGTCGATGCCTGGGCATTTGACGTCGATCCAAACATGCTGCAACGTTGTTGAGCTGCAAGCGTTGGCTTTATCGAAATCAAGCGCTGCGTGACGCGGTAACACGGTTGCGCTTTGGATGGAGCTGCCGAGCCTGCTCGCCTGGCAGGAAGCGTTTGCAGCGCCAGGGTGCTACGCATGCCATAATCGAACTCAATAAGTAGGTTTAAAAGTTTGCAGCGTACACCCTCGCACGTTACGGACGTTGTTAATGTGTGTCGGTTGACGATGATTACCAAAGAAACGGCATAGCCTAATAAGTCATCAGCGTATGAACCATTTTACATTTGGTTGTACAGTTGTTACATTAAACACACTACATTGAACACACACGAGATCGTACGACGAGCACCGATCGGACTTAATGTACAGAATCGTGCACGGGACTTACCACTTTTCAAATATTACGTAATGTCTTATTCCTAGTAGCCGCGCACCACTTCGGCCTCGCGGCCCCTGGCCTCGCGGCCGCCTCAACAGCCAGGATAATCCTCTGCCAGGAAACCCATGTGGCCTTCATTCGGGGGGTTACATGCAACCTGCACTACCAACCGCCTAGCCTACTCCATGCACATGCTCCCATGCGTCTCCCACTTCAAGTTGTCTTACCCTGCAACTTGCACCCACCTCCTCCACCTCCTCCACCTTGTCTTACCCTGCAACTTGCACCCTGCATGGCTCCCGACTTCAATGGGCATGCGTTCCGCTGGCGAAGGTGGACGTTGTCATTAACCAACCGCCGCTCGACTGGTTCCATGGTGTAGGACGGCCCTCCAGGACAGTCCTTCGTGGTAGGCTCACTGGGCTGGGACACACGTGTCCCGAACGAGAAAATGAAGCAGAGCTCATCCCAGATGGTCCACTCATCTGCAGGAAACACCAGAAGCATTATGTGTTGTGTCAAACATACATATACGTATATAGGTTTGTACTGTCAACGTCTGCATGTTGTAAAGAAAACCCCGTCCATTTTCATTTACCTACCAAGTGCTAGGAGTACATTTTTCCTCGCGTCCTGAGGTTCTACCAAAGCCACCAGCCTTTCTGATTCGTTTGGATAACGCTGCACTAGGCGTACTTTGGCCAATGCCCGCTGGCGGGGAGTCAAGTCGGGGACCTCGTCGAGTAAATCCTCCCACTGAGGCCGCTTGTCAGCCATGGTAGCTACTGCTGCTGGCTGGATACTGACAATACTGCAGCTTTAAAGTGTTGAAGGGGGGGTCGAAGGACAAAATCGCATAACTTCCAACTTGTGACATCGCAAACGCCAAAGCACGTCAACAAGAGTTGTTTTTGCAAAAATTTTGAGGGTTGCTCAACTTCTGGAATTATTTTCAAATATTGCCAAGAAAGCGATATGGCTGATATGGAAAAGCTTTATCCTGCTGAGACGCTGCACAGCACGAGTAATAAAACAGAGGTTGCGTATACGAGAAACTGCAGGTGCGAGAAATTCAAAATGCGAATCCTGCAGGAGTAGAAAGCACGCCTTTAACGTTTCGCCCACAGGGGGCTGGTGTACGACAGCATAACCTTGGGCTCCAGAACCGCTGTGGAAGGGTTGCAGCGAAGGAAACGGGAACAACCGCATACGTGCAAGAGCTTCAACGTCTCCAACTTGAGTATGTCCTACCCTGCAACTTGCACCCACCTCCACTCCACCAGAACGAGGCAATGTCATGTCCTGCCCATGTGTCGTGTGCCCGTGTATAGAGATGCATGCGCTGGCTGGGCTGGTGTGTCCGAATATGTGAAGGGGCCACCTAACACAATTACACATTCACACGCACATCTATCCCTGTAAAACACCCAAAGTGCCCTAAAACGTTCACCCAATACGACCATGATATTGACCACACATCACCCCCAAAATTAACTATTAACTACGAAACGCGACGCCGAACAAAGTCAGAGATCGCCGTAAGGCTGGCTGCAGAGCCTTGCCGCCGACGCTACACGAGGCCACAGCCCTGCTGCTACACGCCTGCCCTGCACAGCTTCGTTGTGGTCCGGGTAGACGCGTATGCAAGCTTTACTTTCCTGCTGCACTGCAGTACTGCGGTGAGTATTTTACTGTCCTGCTGCACTGCAGTACTGCGGTGAGTATTTTTCTGTCCTGCTGCACTGCAGTACTGAGGTGCAGCAGGACAGAAGAATACTCACCGCAGTGCAGCAGGACAGTAAAGCTTGCATACACGCCTACCCGGACCGCAACAAAGCTGCCTGCACCGACAACGGACCTGGCATGGAAGGGAAAGTGATCAGAGCAAAGTCACAGGTCTGGCAACGTAATGCCGCCGACAGCTAAGCCAATGCGCAGGGTGCTCCTAGAGTAGACGCCTGGTGTCCTCCTGGCCATCCGCACGCACTGTCTGTGATGCCCCCCCAGTTCGGAGCCGGCAGTGACTGCACTGCAGCCACAATGCCCCCTGTCTCTCTCTCCCCAGACTCTGCTATGGGCCCCAAGTAAGACCACCATGCCCATACACTGAGGGCAGGATCACCAAATTTTATAAGAGCAGAGGTGCCGGCGCTGCAGGCGTTGGCTGGCCCCTAGAAACCTAGGCAACAGAAGATGCACAGTACACGTGCCGGCGAGCAGCGACCACAGTGCCCCCAACAAGACACATACAGACTGCTTGGAGTGCAGACTGCTTGGAGTGCAGATCCCCTGGCACCATACCACTGGTACCACAGCCTGCACTTGGCTGCACTCCCCCGGCGTCCATCCTTGCACCGGCGTCCGTCCCTGCACCGGGCATGTACAGCGACTGCTGGCCGCGCAGAGGGCCGGCTAGCCGGCCCAGCGGCCGGATGTACTGCCATTGCCCCACTGCGCAGCAGCTCATGGTGCCACCTGCTGGCCTCGCTCGTGCGCTGCTGCCATCTGCAGCAGCACAGAGGGACGCGCCAGGACTGCCACTCACCGTGCTCCTCCAAACGATGCAGCCTGCAAGGGGACAAGTAAGGTGCAAGGGGCGAGGGCGTAGGGAGCAAGCACAGTTCTGGTGAGTGAGACGGGAGAGCTGGATTCAGTACGCATGAATGGACACAGCAGGTTGGTGCAGCACAACATGCTGTTAATGAGCATGCTGTGCGAATGGCACATGCCATGATGCCCTAAGAACTGGATGACCAAGAACGGTCAATCATAGGACACCTGGAAGCCTAAATGGTTGATTTGCAGCCAGAACATGCAAATTATACTCACGAGGGCTTAGGACTCAAGCGTGGCACCTCCATTCAATTGTGAGGCACATGCTGATGGCCCGAATCAAGCAGGTGAGCGCAGGGCTAATAATTTCCCTTCCCCCCACTGCATGTGTCGGGATGTGGGATTGGGACTTCATTTGCTGCATTAATTATTTTACAATTTCCCCCCCTTCCAGTGGCTTCCCTTCAATAAAACCTGTTGGGGAGAGCACAAGGTCGGTCACGCACATCGCTCGGACGAAATGAGGTATTTCCACAGGCTTGAGACATTACACCCTGCCTCAAAAACCATCAACATTCCCCTGACCTGCTACTTGATCGATGTCTTCTTCAGCTCGTTCTCAATGATCTCCCGTGAGTGGGGGCTCTTGCAGAGCGGCTTGCCGGGCAGGGTGAGCTTCGAGGTAAGTTTGATAAGGTTGTGCATGCTGTCGTCGGGTCCGTAGTACTTGTTCAACCACTCCTCGACCATGACAGGCGTCGCCGACTCCTGCTGCTCCTTGGAGCCGTGGGCTAGCGGGTACTGGTGGGTGCGCAGCTCGCCCAACACGCCCACCAGGTCCGCGACCGTCCAGCCCTGCCACGACATGTAGGTTTTTAGCTGCTTCCAGCGCAGCATTTGGTCCGGTGTCAGGTCGTTGTCCGCGGCCAGATTGCGCAGGGTGCCAATGCTGCAGTTGCGGGGCCGCTTGCCACCTCATCCAAGATGTAGGCTGTCTGTCCTGGGAGTACCATCGAGAGATAATCCTCATGCTCCGCCTTTCGCTTAGCTGCATCTTCCTGCAGCGATTTGACTGCCTCTTTCAGAGTCGCGACAGCCGTCTGGTTGTCCGCTAGTTCATCCATCACTGACTTCATTAAGCCGCTAAGTAGAACAGCGTTGGAGGGGCACATTTGCCAACCGAGCCAACCGAGCGCCAACGGTGGAGCTCCAAAGCGCAGAGGGTTGCCAAAAGTAGTAGACTGTCCAGGGGTGCAGTTATCTCCTTAAACGTTAAGCTGGCGAATGTGCTTCGGAGGTTGCAAACTTGACGTATTTCGATGAAACGAGGCGCGGACGGGGCCCGATCAACCAGACAACATCAAGGATGAGCTATGAGCAGCTAAAGTAGCTGAAATTTGAGGGGAATGCGCGGACCAGCACACATTCGAGGAAGTCGTACGGCGCTGCAAGCGAGTAGAGCAGTAGACAACCGAGTCGTTCTTGATGTCGCAAGCTGGTGAGGATGAAGGATGAATTTGTAGCCCTGTTGGAGTATATGTGCCCCGTTCCCTGAGAACAATTGTTGATCACACTCATCGGGCGATAGCAAATTTATGCGTTTAGGTCTGGCCATCTCTTCTGAGACCAATGCTTAGCTCAATACTTCCTCCCTGCTAATAGTCGCTGTCGTTGCACCTTTTGACCGAATGATTCGTGGGGTTGTGCGGGAGGGCCATGTAATTGTAATCGTAATCCAAGCCTGCGCACGCGCGTCCGTCTTCTCCCAAATTCTTGTTGCATGTTCACAGCAACAAATAAAGCATTCTTTTGTCCGAAGTTACGTCAAGTCACATGCCAGGTAGCTTGTTGCAGCAGAACAGTTTGATGCGCAACCGTACCATCTGGATGTAGCACATCCACAACCAAGGTACCTTCACTTTGTCAATACAGTCAACCGTCCAACGCCGACTAAATAAATCGTAACCATAAGCCTCCAAATACCACTACCATCAAAAACTTACAAGGACTGCAACCACAATATGCATGTGGTCTGTAGGTCGGCCTCTCACACACAAAATACCACATTTTGCCACACCAAAACTCCACATCACACCGCACACCCTTCCAGCAACAGCCTGGTCGCCATGTATAATCATCGAGCCCCCGGCACACAGCGGTTGTACAGGACATCAGGTCTAATGCCTGATGTTGGGCACCCTCGGTTCGGCTCTGGATGCCGTTGCCGTGCCCTTGCCCTTGGCCTGGACCTCCTTCGCCAGGCTCAGCACCTGCTGAAGCTGCGCCTCCACACCCCTCCGCTGGGGATTCTCTCCGCTGCATCCGAAGCCGCCTTGCATGCCCGCTGGTGCAGCTGCGCCTCTGATACCTCCTTGCATGTGTGATTCAGCTGCCGCATGTGGTCGTGAGGACTGCTGCAGCGGCAGCCGCCGAGCCTGCTGCTGCGGCTGCTGCCGTGTCACGGGTGGGGGTGAGGCGAGCGGAGGGGTCCGGCGTGGAGAATGCAGCGGACGATGCTGCTGGGGCTGCGGTGCATGCGATGTTGGACGTGCTGTGGTGCCGCCGCCACCGCTAGTGCGACCGTTTCCAGCGGCCCCGTCAGGAATCCGGGTTGCAGGAGCCCTGCGGTTTGCAGCTGTTGGAGCCGCATTTGCGGTCACGGTGGACGCGCGGTTCTTGACGACCTGCTGCGGGTGCTGCTGTTGCGGTTGGTGCTGGTTGGGGCCGATACGGTTCTGGATAGCGCCCAGCGGAGAACGAGCTGGTGAGGCCGGAAGAGCCTTGGGAACGAGGGACGTCAGGTCTCGGTTGACGTGTTGCCGTTGGGAGTTGGTGGTTGTCAAGTCGCAGGGGATGCCTGGGGCACTGGCAGCGTCGGCTTCCGTTGCATGGCTCCCGATGTAGCTGCTGCCCGGCTGTATTACTGCCAGCAGTGGCGCCGCTTGGCTTGGTCCGGCTGTCAAGCGAAGCACGTCTCCCAGTTGCTCCTCCGTGCTGTTCCAGAGCCGTTGGAAGCCCTCGTGCAAGACCTCGGCTGCGAGTGGGGAGCCATTGCAATCGCATTAGACCAGTCATTGCTATCCGTGTACGGTACATTTCAAGATGCACTGCCAAAACCACCCTTGCTGACCACTCTTGGCGTCAACATTACACAGCAGCTAATTCCGCAAGCAGATGACAGGCCGGCCGGCCAAAGCAAACTACTCACCAGGAAGGGGCTCCCCAGCTGCCACCGCCTTCAGCACTTGGTCAAACTTGCGAGCACGCTCATGCAGCTGCAGGTACGCCCGCTTCAGCGCCTTCTGGACCTCCTCGAAGCTCACAACGGACGCTGCGGCCCCGGCTCCTGCCCCTGCTGCCATGGATACCGCCTGGGTATAGCTGGAAGCTGCTGCTGTTCCAGCCGCCGCTGCTGCTGCTGCTGCTGGTCCTACAGTGGCTGCTGCAATGGTGGGTGCAACCGCGCCAGGCCCGTTCGGTAATGAGCCCTGGGCTTGCAGGCCGACATGCGGTAATGGTGGCGGTAGCGGGATCCTGGTGAGGTGCAGGTCGCTGTCGTGTGGCTGCGGGATGGTGACGGCACTCAGCCGTGACACGAGGGGCCCCAGCGTGGCTGCGAGCGCCTCCGCCCGGCCGCAGAGCTCCGCCATGCAGCCAAACACCACCCTCACGTGGTGCAGCGACTGCGGAGGCAGGGCGGCACGAGGAGCAGGCGGGCAGCGCATGGCGGTTAGGATGGGGCATTAGGCGAGGGTTCCAGGAAGACTCATGCTACACCCCCACCGGGGCACGCACATGCATACGGCATCACAGCCATGTACGTCTACAATGACGGGATGCAAAAGGTGATGGAATCGCGTGTGGAAGGTGTGATGTCGTGGGACGTACCTGCGGACCCGGGCCGCCGGCGTCCGCTGCAGCCGCAGCAGCCAGGCTTGCCAGTGCGCCGTCCACTGCGCTGTGGGCCTGCAGCGACACCCGCGCCATCCGCAGCGCACCGGTGCAGTCCCGTAGCAGGTTCTTCGCGTGCTCCACGTCAGCCAGCAGCCAGGAGCGCTGCTGCCGCAGCCGACCCACCTCATCGTCCAGCAGCGCACGCATCTCGTGCAGGGAGGCCTGGCAGCGTGATGCGTTGTCCTGCCGAGCAACAGGACAGGACCGGTGCAGCGGTCAGGCGCTTGAGACACAGACACGCATGGGTATTGTTCCGCGTTTCGGTAAGCAACGGAATTAAAAGCACGCAACCACCATTAAAAGCACGCGGCCACGCCATCTCATGCATCTCCTGTTCGTAACGCAGCATGCACACAGCCACCATGAGGAATAGCGCGGTTCGTAGCTCCATACCTCGAGTTGACGGCTGCTTTCCTCCACTTGCCGCTTCAGTGCTCCGCAGCTCGCCTCCAGCTGCTGCTCCCGCGCCTGCAGCTCGGCGACTCGAGCGGTGCGAGCCGCCGCAAGCGCCTCCGCCTCCGCTGCCTGACACCGCAGGGTCGCTACCTTGGCTAGCAGCGCCGCCTGCTGCTGCTGGAGCTCGGCGAGATATGTGGCGGCGGCGGTAATGCGGGACATGGGTACCAGAGCACTTCCGAAATCCAGAGTTTCATCTGTCTGGCATGCAGCCACAGCAGAAGTAGCCGCCGGAGTGGCCTTTGGCGGATCCGCTGCGCCCGTGGCAAGAGCTGGTGGGGTTTGTAAGTCGTCCTGCGCGTCGCAGCCGGGTCGACGACCCATGGGTCGCTCCTGAGGCTGGAGCGAAGGTAAGAGGTCCTGTAGGACGTGCAAGATCTCCTTGCGCAGCCCGTCGCGTGAATCTGCCCGGCCCAAGCTGTCAACGGGGCTGGGAGCGTCGTCCTTGACAGCTAGGCTGCCAGCCCTGCCCCCGATAACAGAATCGTAGCTTTGCCGCAACCAACGCTGAACTCCAGGTGCTCGCGCCCGCTGCTGCTGCTGCTGCTGCTGACGGCCTGCGGCTCTCCGCCGTGCGGCCGAGCGGGATTGCGACAAGCACTCGCTCTCGCTCTCGCTGTCGCAGCCGCTGCTGACGCTACTGCTGTTGCACCCCGTCAAGCCCTCAGCTGCGCCCAGGCCCTTCCTGACTAGCGCCGACATCACCCGCTGCACAGCTCGCTGCAGAATATCGGGGTTGCCGCGCTGCAGCCCAACATCACCGCCGCCGCCATCGCTACCGTACTCGCCTTCCCGCTCATCACCCTCTCCTTCAGATCGCTCAGCAGCGCCCATGCGAAGGCTGATGCTGCAGGGGCTGCTGCACGCAGAAGCGCCACCATGCCCTTGGTCCGACCGCCTTCCCTGCCCATGCCGCCGTCCTCCCTGCGTCTGCCTCCGCTGCCTCCCTTTCCAGCTCCGCGCCCGCTGCTGCTGCTGCTCCTTCCGCAGCTTCGCCACTTCCGCTTGCGTCCTTTCCAACTCCTTTTCCGCCTGCTCGACCTGCTCCAGAGCTCGGGCCAGCCGCTCCTCAGACGCATGAAGCTGCCCTCGCAGCTCACACAGCAGCCCAGCGTCTGCCGCCGCCTGCTGTGCCACTCGGAGCTGCACCTCCTCCTCATCCAGAAGGCGCTGCCGCGGCCCGCCATCTCGGCTGGACAGCTCTGCGTTGAGTGCGGCCACCTGCATATGTGCGTGGAAAGAACGAAGCGGCATCGATTTAGCCCTCATAGGACGGGTTTGGGGTCAGGACGGGTCCCATGCAGCCGAGTGCATGTGCGCAATGTGGTAGCCTCAACAATTTCAATGGACGTTTCGATGTACGGCATGTAACGGGTGCTTGCGCGAATGCATGCACAGTGACGATGCCGTACCTGTTGCAGGGCCGTAGCATGGCGGGCCTCCACCGATGCCAGTCGGGACTGCACCCGCTGCAGCTCCTCTTGTTGTGCAACACGCTGCCGCTCCGCAGCCGCGCATTGCGCCCTTAGCTGCTCCAGCTCGCTCGCCGAGCTCTGCAGCGCCTCTTTGGACTGCGGTGGCACGACAGCTGGCCTCCCAGCCGCCCCAACGGCCGGCTGGGCAGGTCGCGATCCTCCTGCGCTCGTCATACCTCCGCTGCCCTTACGAGAAACCGCCGCGGCTGCAGACGAGGCATCGGCCTGCCGCCGCTCCTGACGTTGCTGTAACGTCAGTAGCTGTGCTTGGAAGGTGGAGGCCTGCTGCGCGGATCGTAGTGCCTCCTGAACAGCCTCCCGGGCATCTCGTTCCGCAGCCGCCAGCGCCTGTTGGCACTCCTTCAGCTCCGAAGCCACCTGAGCTGCAGCAGCCTGCGTGCGCTCTAGCTCCGCCTGTGGGATGGACGGGGAGGAGAGATCCTTACTTGCACGCAAAGCGAGCGACACACACAGCATTTGGCAGGAGGCTATGATGATGCAAGAAGCGCAGCATGCAACGTACCGTACTATGGGAAAAGAGCCCCGAAATGCGCCCATGTTGCCCACCCCGCATGCACGTACCTGCAGTTGCTGCTCCAACCGGGCATACTCGTCCCGCACGCCTTGCAGCCTCTGCAACTCCTCCGCCTGTACCTCCTGCAGCTTCGCCTGCTGTTGCTGCTCCAAGGCTGCCAGCTGCTGTCGGAGCTGCTCGCAAGCGTCCGTCTGCGCCGTAAGCTGCTGCCGTACCAATTCCAGCTCGCGGCTCAGCTCCTCGTGAGGCGAAGACGTACCTGCTGCTGCTGTCTCCGACGTGGTTGTTGCTACTGCTGCTGATATGACAGTAGGCGCACTTCCGACCTTGGCCGTGTCCCCTGCTGCGGCCTCGTTGGTGGGCTCCGGGCGCTCCTCGGGGCGCTGTTTCGACTTCCGTTCCTGCTGCAAGTGGTCAATCAGCGTAATCGCCTCCAGCGCAAGCTGCTCCAGCCGAGCGACCTCCGCCTGCCGGGGTTAGCCACGCGGGGCAGCAGGAAAGAGGCCAAAGAGGCTCAGCTCACATGCGGGACTGTACATCGCACCAAGCAAGCATCACCTGCTAGCTCACGCCCCTTCAGCCCATGACACTACCCAACACAGTTCCTGGCGCACCTGTAACTTCTCGTTCGCTAATTCCAGCTCCCGTGCCCGTGCATCGGCAGCCCGCAGCGCCGCAGCCGCTTCCTCCAATTCCGCGATGGCGGTATCGCGCTGGCCACGCAGCGCGTCGCAGTTAGCTGCCAGCTCCTGCAAAGCGGCCTGCTGCATCCGCGATCGCTCCGTCTGCGTCGCCATGGCGGCCGAGTGCTCCTGGGCGATGTCGGATAGGCAGCGCCGATGGTCGTCCTGCATGGGGCAGCGGCAGCAACAAATTGGTCCCATGAGCTCATGACGCAGGCACGTACGGTAACGGTGGTGAAGTGCTTCAGGGCAGGGTTGCCGCATGCAAGAGCGGATTCGTTGATAAGGGCAACCCACCTGCCGCCTTGATAGCTCAGCTTCAAGTGCAGCCAGCATACCCTGCAGCCTGGCGACCTCCTCCGCATGCCTCAGCGCCAGAGCTCCGGCGTTCGGCTGTTGCTCCTGCGGCCGTACGGAAGAAACAAGGGTGTTGTACCGGGAATGAGCCGCGCGTTCATGCCAGGATTGCTATGGAGAGCTACGAAGCCTACAGTACTGCAGCCGGACGGACAACTACCGGTACTCAACGTGCATGACGGCATGGTTCCTAGCATCATGCATGGGTAGCTGAGAGGTGCGAGGTAGAACTTGGGGGGTTAGGCATAGGGACTCTGCTGGCCGCGCACCTGGATAACGTCAGTTTGCGCTTGTGCATCCTCGGTGCGACGCCTCAACCGCTCCCCGCCGCTGTCGCCATGAGCCCCGACCTCGCCTCCAACAGCCATTGCCGCATACCTGGCATCTGCCCTCACGTCCGTCTGCACCTCGGCCTCCGCCCTAGCCTCCATCACCGCCTTCATCCTCGTCAACTGCATGCGCGACTGCACCGCAGTGTTCTCGGCCTCCGCCAGGCTCCCCTCCAAGCATGAAACCCTCGCCTGCAGCTGCCCGCGTTCCTGGTGCGCTGCAGCTAGCTCCTCTCGTAGGCCTTGTGCCACGGCGACCTGAGCGTCCGCCGCAGCTCTAGCTTCCTCCAGCTGCTTTCGCAGCTGTGCTAGGGCGGCCTCAGCCTCCGGCAGGCTTGTCTCGAAGCGAGCAGCCCTGGCCTGAAGCTCCCTACGCTCTGAGTTTGCTGCGTTGAGCTCCTCACGTAGGCCCTGTACTGCGGCCGCGGCCTCAGACCGGGATGCTCCCAGCTCCTCACGCAAACCGCGCACTGCCGCAGCCTCAACCTCCGCAACAGCTTTGGCCTCCGCCAACTGCACGCGAAGTTGCTTCGCAGCAGCCTCTACCTCGGCGCGGCTCACCTCCAGTTGACCAACACGTTCCTGCAACAGCACATGGTCCGCCCGGATGGCATGGAGTTCCCGCCTCAAGCTCTGCGCCACTGCGGCCTCAGCGTCTGCGGCATCCCTGGCCGCAGCCATTTGCATGCGAAGTTGCATCGCGTTGGCCTCCGCCTCCGCAAGGTTGGCCTCTAGCCTCGCAACCCGTTGCTGCAGCCGCCGGGTTTCCGCGACTGGCGTGTCGGGGAGCCCGTCGCCGGGGCTCCGAGGCGTCATGGCAGAATCATGCAGTGTCACATCCACAGTCCTAGATGAGCGTGGAGTTAGCTGCGTTCGCAGCTGTACCTCCGCCGCCTCCGCGCCCGCCAGGCTTGACTCCAGCCGCGCCGCCCTGTCCCGCAGCTGCCGCTGCTCCGCTCGCGCCGCACTGAGCACCTCACCCAAGCCACGCGCATGCGCAGCCTCGGCCTTGGCTTGCGCCAGCTGCACGCGCAGCTGGCTGGCAGCCGCTTCGGACTCAGCCAGCCCGGCTTCAGAACGTGCGGCTCGTTCCTGGAGCTGCCCGCGCTCCGCCCGTGCTGCGCTGAGCTCCTGAGCCCAGCCACGTGCCTCCTCCCTCAGCTGTGCAGCCGAGCGCTCCGCAGCGCCCAGCCGGCCAGCCAGGCTCTGCACCTCAGCCCGGAGCTCCTTCTCCGCCGCCTCAGCCACGGCCAGTGCCGCGGCATTGCGTGCTGCCTCGGAAGCGAGCTGCGTCCTGGCCCTCTCGGCCTCCGTGAGCTGCCCCTGGAGCTGTGTTACCAGGGCGTTAAGCCGCACCGCCTCAGCTTGGGCCCCAGCTAGGCCGTGTGTCGCTTCAGCCACGCCTGAGCTGAGCTGCTGCTTGGCGTCACGTGCCTCCAAGAGCTGCATGGACAGCCTCTGTACCTCTGCCTTGAGCCGTTCTGCGTCCGCACGGGCGGTAGCCAAGGCGGCAGATGCGGCGCTGTCCTGGGCTTGGGCGTGTGTCAAAGCGGCTTCAAGTGCAGCCACACGGCTCCCGTGTTGTTGCGCTTGAGACTGGAGAGCGGTGGCGTGCTGCTGTGCGGCAGTACGCATGGCGGAGGCCTGCTCCTCCGCCTGGCGCTGCAGCTGGGAGATGCGGTCCTGGAGCTCCGCGGCGAGTCGGCGTTCACGCTCGCTTGCAGCTTTGGCTTCGTCAAGGCGGGCGGCGTGGACTTGTGCCTGCTGGGCGGACTGCAAACGGGCGAACAGGGAGGAAGTGTTTTCGCCATAAACGGTCTGAAAGCAGACGAGAGGTCCAGGACGAGGAGGAAACAACTGTAGAAGCCACTAAACCTGCCCAAGGGAGGAGCCCTTAAGGCGGGAAAAAGGCATACCTGCTGCTGCTGTAGCCGAAGCTGTTCCTCGGCGTGCGAGACCCGCATGGCCGCCAGCTGTGACTGGTGCTTTGCCTCCGCCTCCAGTGTTTCCGCTTTGTGGGCCTGCTGCTGCAGCGTTCGCACCTACACGTACACGCGACCCTTGTCAGAAGAGCAGAGGTTGGGTGTTGTAGTTGCAGTTATACACGGTGTATGTATGCCAAGCGCAAGCACCTAAGCAGACCATCTATGAAACGTACTGCCCAGCCAGCAGGCAGCAATACCGGACAACCCACCATGCTCCGGAGCTCCGACAACTCCGCTGCAATCTCCGCCTCCTTGACGCCCTGTGCCGTACCCGCCTGGACAGCCGCTAGCCGCTGCTCGGCCTCCGCCACCTGCATGCAGTGCGCAAAACAATTTACTTTACAATTTAAAGTGGAAGCGGGAGCAGCTTACAGCAGGGAAGGCACGCAGTCTTGAACGCTCGTGGCTGCAAATAAACAACCAAAACCCGCAAGCCTGCCGCACCTGCTGTCGTCGAAGACTCAAGTCTTGCTCCGCCACCGCAACTTGCCGTCGTAGCTCGCTGCATGTGGCAGACAAGCGAGCCTCATCTGCGTTCGCCACGGCGATACGTAACTGAAGCTCATGCAGCTCACGCCGCGCCTCCGCCAGGTCAGCCTGCGTCCCATCCCACACCGCAGGTGGTGCATGGGCGGCCGCCAACCGAAGCGACAGGTTGCCATCTGGGGCGGGCGTCTCACCACCCATGGAGGGGCCCGCCTGATGCCCCGGGAAGACCGCAAGCTGTCGGTGCGGAGGGACCGGTGTGCCGGTGGCAGCGGAGGGGTAGGCAGCAGCAGCTGGCGCAGCCTGCAGCTGTGCAACTTGAGCCTGCGGCAGGGGCAAACTCACGCGTTCGGGCATGTGAGAACGGCATTAGTTGCCAACTGGAAAGGTGTTCTCCAGTTCATGAAAATGAGTTGCTTGTTTTACACAGCCAGTTTTCGTACCTGCAGCCTTTCCAATCCGTCCTGCAGTCGGCCGCCATGTGAAGCCCCCACCGTCAGCGCCGCCGCCAGCTCAGCCTTACACTGCTGCAACTGCCGTCTTTCCTCTGCCAGCGTCTCCTCTGCGGTCTGATACGCCTGCTTCACTGTCCTCAGCTCCTGCTCCAAGCCGGCAAGCCGCTCCGCCGCCTGCACTCCCGAAACCACCGGACCTCCGGCTCCTACGTGTCCCTGCTGGTGCTGCTGAGGAACGCCCATCATGCGGCGCTCCGCCTCGGCAACACTAACCAGGATGGCGTCACGTTGCGCCTCAGCCGCTGCAAGCTCCTGTTGCACCCTGGCAACCTGCGTCCTTAGCTCCAGTAGGTCGTGTTGGGCGTGCTGTGCGGATTGCATGAGGGCTGCGTTGCTACTTTCCTGCGCTGCTGTTTGCTGCTTGAGCTCCTGCAGCCTGGAACGCACCAGCTGCTCCTCGGTGGTCAAGGCGGCGATGCGGCCTTGCAGCTCCGCCTGCTGGTCCTTCATGTGCTCCACTTTGCGCTTGCCTGCGGGCGGGGGGTCCACCGTAAGCAGCAGGGCCGCAAGGGAAAGCATGTGTTTCTGACTGCCCATAGAAGCAAACCAAGACACATTTACCACGGTTGGGATGCAGGTATCGCGAGTGTGCAGCGTAGAGGCGCATGTACAACAGCCCCCATCCGGCGCACCCTTCTCAAACTGCGCCTTGAGCGTGACCAGCTGCCCAGCCGCCTCCTCCAGCTGAGAACGCATGGCGGCGCCCTGCTGCTGCAGCTTGGCATGCCCCTCCAGGAGCTCCTTGTGCGACTCTTGCTGGCGAGCCACCTGTGTCAAGGCGAGCAGCAGCGGGAGGGGGGCTGCTGGTAAGGAGGGGGTACACGGCGACATACACTGCATGCGACACGGTTTGAGACCGCTGCCTTCCCTCAACGGTACATCATAATACAAGACGCTGTGAGAAGGTGTCTGGCCCAGCCAGCAGCCCTCACCTGCAGTTGAAGCTTACGTAGCTGCTGCGCGGCTTGCTCAACCTGCTCGCTGCTCACAGCCTTCTTTCCAGCAGGAGACGCAGCAGCAGCAGCTGCACTACCGCCATCCGCAATCGCTGGCTGCGCCGAATGCCCAACGTGCAGGGCCCCGCTCCCCGCATCTCCCTGCTGCTGCTGCGTGTGCTGCAGCTTCTGATGCAGACGCGACCGCGCCTCTTGCAGCTCCTGTTGCAACGTGTCGACTTGCTGGCGGAGGCGGCTGGTGGCGGCACGCTCACGCTGGAGACCCTCCTCAAGGCCGCTGCACTCGTCCTGTGCTGCTGCGAGGCGGGTCTTGTAGCGGCCCAAGAGGTGCTGAGACGCCTCCAGCTCCTGCTGCAGCTCATCCGCCTACGGAAGAACAATACTACCAGGAGTTACTACCGGTGATGTTGGAAACAGTGCTTAAACGAAGGACTGCGGGGTTGGAGAAATGCGGCATTCCGCCTTGCATCGGGGTAAGTTATGGTCGGTAGTACTAAAGGGGGACTGCGCACCTTGGCCCTCCACACGTGCACCGAGCCAGTGGAACCAGACGGCGAGGGTCCACCCAAGTCCGAGCGGAAGGCCTGAGCGCGCACGTTGCTCAGCCGCGCTTGCAGCTCATTGCACATCTGCTCGGCATCAGACGCCCGCTGCTCTGCCAGCCGCTGTCGAGACTGCGCTTGCACCATTGCCACCTGCAAGCCATCGGGAAAGAAATCCCCAGCATCGTCCGTAACAAAGGGAAGAGATCAGTTGAAGCCTGAACTACCCAAGCCATACGGGACTACCGATATGTTTAACAGGAGCCGTCGACGCACCTGCAGCCTCTCCGTCTCGGCCTGGAGTTGCATAATGGTCAAGAAATTCTGCTGGGCAGCAAACTGACCCATGGGTCCGCCATGCAAGCCGCTGCCGTGATCCAGTGCGGGCGATGCGAAAATGCCCGATCCCATCGCCATGCCCATGCCCGCAGCAGGGGTAGCTTGCAAGCCGGGTGTCCCAGCGACGAAGCCGCTGTTAATCCCTCCAGGCACATTGCGCAATGCCGCCGTCTGCGCCGCTGCTTCAGCCAGCTGCCGCTGCGCCGCAGCCACCTGTTCTCGGATGCTTTGGAGTTCTTGTTCCGCGGCCTCTGCTTTACGCTCCGCGGCGGCGGCCCGCTGCTCGTGGCGTTCAACTGTGCTGACGAGCTCCTGTGGTAATCCCATGGGGCATGCACCGTATGCTTAATGGTACGGGCATTAACCTTGATGAGTGTACCGGTACCATTGCATTGCGCGAGTCGTGGCATTCGTAGGCACGTGGCAGTAATCGCTTGACAGTTTCCCAAGGCTGCAGACTGTACCTGTTGCTCTTGCCGTAGCTTCGCGAGCTGCGCTTGCACGTCTTGGATACCAGCTTCGCCCTCCTGGACCTTCGCCCGTTGCGCCCTCAACTCCTCCAGGCATTCCTGTTCACGACACGCACTGTTTCAAGAAAAGGTCGTACCGGGGGAACGGCACAGTCCAACGCGGAACGGCGCTGCATGTTACCTGGAGCGCGCCCTCTGCCTCCTTGCGTCGCACGACAGCGGAATCGGCGGCCTGCAAGCACAGAAAGATTGTGCTCAGCAGCGTTGCAAGCTACAATCCAGGATCTGCTGGCAACGGCATGGGCCTTCTGATGAGGTTTCCGACCGCCCAGGCGCCTAGCCCGTACCTCCTTCTCCCTCTGACACTCCTCCCGCAAGACCGCCAGCCTTTCCGTCAACGCTGCTAGCTCCACACCAGCGCTGGCGGACTCTCGCCTTAGGCGTTCAAGCTCCTCCAACGCCGCGCTTTGGTCCTGGCGTGCTTTCTGCGCCACGTCAGCTAGCGCACTGGCTTCCTTGCGAGCAGACGCCGTGTCCTCTTCTGCCTGTAAGGGAAGACACGATATTATGCAGCGGCGCAATACATGGCTAGGTGAATTCAGCACCCGCAAACACCCGGCGTGTTAACCCCCTTGCTTATGAGATGCGCACACCACGGTACCGATATACGCGCGACAGTTTAATTCGCGACTTTTGAACCACGCTCACCTGCTTCGTTCGGCGCTCTACCTCCTCCATATGCGCCTGCGAGTAGGGAAGGAGGACGTTAAGTTGCCACACCTGCCATAACCTTGGCAACCATTGCAACCGCTATTCCCACCTGCAGCTGCCCCAGTTGATGCTCCACCGCTCTGCGCGCCTGCTCAGCTTCGTCTCGGCTGTGTTCCGTCTGAAGCAGCCGCCGATGAGCTTCTTGCGACCGCTCCTCTTGCTCCTGCGCTGCCTCCCTGCACTGCTGCAGGTGCTCGCGCTGCTGCTGCGCTTGTGCCTCCAGCTGTTCCAGCTCTGCCTTAGCGTCTGCCAGCTGAGCAGTCAGGCGCGTTGAAGAGGCTTGGTTGGCGGCCATCGTGCGCTGCAGTGTATCAGCCTCCTGCCGGAGCGCCTGCAATGTGCGACAAAACCACGGACGCATTTACGCATGATTGAATGCACACCTAGAAACAGATAGAACACATTTGGCTATGACTCATGTGACCCGATCGGGACAGCTCACACTGCCGGTGTTGGGTCCCCGGTAAACCACCCCATTCCGCCCTGCCCTGGCAAAAGCGCAGCGTACCTTCACCCGCTGCATCTCCTCTCGCGCCTGCGCTTCCGCCTCCGCCTTGCTACGTATCGCACCAGACACCTGCTGTGTCAACTCCAAGTTCTGCGCCTGCAGCCCGAGCAGGTGCTGCTTCGCGTTCACGATGTGCCCCTCCAGCTGATCCAAATCTGCTGCGGCTTCCTCCAGAAGATCCTCCATGCCGGACATGGACGCCGCCAGGGGCCGCTTCAAACTGGAGCTGGCGGAAAGGCCGCCGGTGGATCCGGCGTTCGAGACGATGTCAGATGCCTGCTGCGCCCGCAGCTTCTGTCGCAGGTTCACCAGCTCTGCATGCTGCGCCATGCCGGCGTGACGCTCCTGTTCCAGTTGCACCAGCGCCTGAGGGGAGCGGACCCGTAGTGAGCATCAAAGTGTCTGGCCTCAGAGCAGCATGCATGTTGTGAACTTGTAATGCCTCCCACGACACAGCAAGCATATGCTTCGCGAAGAACCCCCGACCAGGCCCTTCTGTGGAAATGGACTGTGGGGGCGTGCGAATCCCGCACCTTGCTGTGCTCGGCAGCGAGGGCTTGCAGCTCCTGATACAGAGCTGCCAGCCGCTCATCTGGGGCAGGGGCAGCAGCAGGCGCGGCTTCAGCGCTGGCTGGAGCTGTCGCCCGCTGGGCTGCGCCCGCTGCAGTCGCAGCACTGACGTTCTGGGCGTTGTCACAGGCGGTTCCGTGGCCTCCGTCGGTTGTCGCCGCTGAGGTGGTTTCCTCGGTTATCGTGTTGGATGCTTGGCGCGCTGCTGCTGATCCGGAAAGGAGCGTCGAGAGGTCCCCGCACGACAGCGAGCGCCTGTAGTTCGTGTGCATGCAATGAAGTTAAGGACAACAGGGGCAACGACATGGCGGCTTCACGCCATAGCAACGATGACATTGCGCGAAAGCCTAAAAGCTGAGAGCTCTCTACTAGCGGCATCCCTTGAGCAGCATCCCGTGAGGCTGCAGAACGGCAAGCTTAGACGAGTGCAGGCCCCCCGCTATCAGTGCCCACCTTCCCAGCACATGGCGCTTAACCCGACGCTTGGTTCGGTGGCTGCGGGGGCGCTCGGACTCTACCAATGCACCTGATGCCGCTGCTGATGGCGCAGTTCTGGCTGTAGCCGCTGAGGCGGCAGCAATGGCGGCTTCAAGCTCCGCGAGCTGCGCGGAGCTTGTCTGCGTAGGGAAGCCAAGGTGCGTAGTTTTGATTTGCATTGCAAACGGCAACGACCCGTGGGTCGGTTTGCGGTGCGGAAGTGCCTTACCTGCACCAGCGACTCCAGGTGTTGGAACTGTCCAAGCTTCTCTTGCAAGCCTGAGTCGACGGCGTGGTGCTGCTCGTGTAGGGCCTGCAGGAGCATGGAAAGATGACGGAAATGCCAATGTAGGCCTTACATATCGGGCAGCACCATGCAGGTAAAGCCGTCAACAAGTCGTGAAAGTAGACGCGCGAACCGTACCTGCAGTTGCCGCTCCTTCGCGTCGAGCTCCGCTTTGGCGGCTTCCAGCTCCGAGCGCACGGCCTCCAGTTCTATGGTACAAGACGACACCTGTACGACGCGGCACATGCATAGATTAGAACTCCCAGACCCTCATAGGTTAGAACCACCAGACCTTCGTTTACGACGTGTTGCTCAAGACGCGGGCGCCACCGAGCAACCCCCCGCTCGTACCTTTGATGAAGTGTCTGCAAGTTTACCGAGGAGCTCCTTCCGTTGTGCCTGCGGTCAAATGGGCGAAGGAACCCTCTGGATAACACGCAAGGATCCAACATGAGCAACGCAGGAGGCTATACCAAGGCCAGGCAAGTTGAATCACATTTGATAACATGCCGTACCTCGAGGAGCTGCACACCCGACTGGAGCAACAGCAGCTGCTCTGCTTGCTCTGCTATCTCAGCTGACGTCGTGGAGGCGCTGCTTGCAACAGCTCCTTGCCTGCGAGGGGCAAGGCAGGGTACCTTTGGCCCGCATGCTGCACACAACAGCCTGACCCAGCTGAGCTCCGCTTGGCAAATCATCGGCCGTTGGGCTTTGTATCTTCCATCCCGGATCCGGGTGGACACACCTTACCCTAGGCCCATGTCTGCAGGCTGCGAGGCCCCAGGAGGCGCTTTGGCGCCAACGCCACCACCGGCGGTCCATGGCCCCGGCCCGGCATGCACATGCTGCCATGCTGAGTCCTGGGGTTGCTGCCCAGGCGCCGGCTGCCGCCCCGAAGCCAGCTGTGTCGGTGGTGCTGCAGGGCCGCCCTGGTCAGCCCCTTCCGCAATGCCATGTGGGTCGGTAGCGCCGTCGCTGCCTAGCGCAGCTGCTGCGTTATGTGAGCGTTTGCCGCCTGAGCGGAGCAGATCCTCAATGAGGGATCCAAGCTGGTGCGGAGACGGTGTGCGCAACGACGTTTCCGCCAGCCACGCGCGCTCCTCCGCTGCTTCCTATTAGCGGCAGACGAGGGTTACAAAGCAGGTCAACTCGGACCGGTCAGGGTCAGCCATGAAGACCTTTGTAGCGGATAGAAAGGCAGTAGCATTGGAATTACAGATATCCCGGGGCGAAGGAAGTTCGCAAGCTAGTCAACACACACATCGGTCCAAATCCCACGTTGCTAGGTTTTCCCGCTCGAGCTCTCGCCCACCTGGAGGACTCTGAGCAGCGACGCAACCTCCGAGTTGGGCGTGCCGGCCTACATTCGCATAAACAATTGATGTTGGGGCTAAGGTGGGTCAAGCCGTGTGCTATGCCAGCTTCCCCCCGTCCTCAACAGCAAGGTACCTGGGCAGCGCCCAACGGGCTGCCTATGCGTGCGGCAGCCTTCTCCGGGGACACAAGTTGATGCAGCATGTCGACATGAGCTCTGACGGCGGATGCCGTACGGCGCGCCTCGCTTGCCTGCTGTGCTAGCTGCGTCAGGCCCGTGTTCAGCTACAGGAGGAAGGAAGTGACAGCACCCGCCATCAGCGCGAATGCCGTAGGCTCATGCAGGCGTGGGCATGGGTTGCACCGAAGGTTGGCGGCCCTTACCTCGTCTTGAAAGGCGGTCAGCGTCTTCTTGGCGGAAGACAGCGCTCCCAGGCCCGTCTGGACTACTTCGGGGATCGGCGACTGGGGGCCTGGGCTCAGCGCGGGACCTGGGGGTTTACGGTTGGGATAACGGTTGGTATGCCCACATTGAAGGTAAGCAGTGGCTGCGCGCTGAGTGCATGATTAGGTAGGCGCACATAAGGCACACCAGATGTGCGCAGGGCATAGACAGCGATATGTCGGAATGGTGCGTGTAGTGCACCCGCGTCTCCCTTGTACGCATGCGCGTGCTGTGCTAACTATAGTCACCGTGTACACCCCTGTAACCCTCCAACAAGCGCCTAGCTCACGCACCTGTAGGCGAGAAGGCCCATCCCATGCCAGACGCTGATCGCTTGAAGCCGCGAGGCGTGCTCACATCTCCCTACGGCGTCCGGGGTACGAGTACCCCTGTTAGCCTCCGTGCACTTAGATGCCCGGACTAACCCCCTACCCCACCTGTGCATGTGTTTCAGAGCCCGCTACCATCTTCTGCTGCTTCGCTCGCGCCAACAGCTCCGAGATTTCAGCCAAAGCCTCATTCCGCTGCAAGGCTCCAGACGTGTCGTCCTCGATGGCATGGCCTAGCTGTGCTACCGCTTCGTTTATGCAGCTTTGCTGTAAGAAGACATCCGCCATCAGTAATAAAACTAACGTTAATTAGCTATCGTTCGAGTCCGTTCCGCAGAACAAATGTTTGCGACCATAAGTTGGACTGCCGCGAAATTTGGAGTCTTACAGTGTGTATGGTCATGAATACTATTATACAAGGCAGTAAGAGCAAGTTATTGTGCCGCTTCTGTCTCTATCGCCCTACTGTGATGCCAGCTGCTGCAGTACTTTGAAATGCATAGCACGGAACGCAGCGACTTTTCCCTGTCCATGTTGCTTTGCATATCTTTCTGAAAACTTATTTTATAGATGAATAGCAGGAATCGTTAGCTGTGACTTTGTGGGCAAAATGTGAAGTCCCTAACCGCCAGCAACGTCAAATAAAGCATTACAGCACGCTAGCTGCCTTTTCGTACTTATTAAAAATGCCGCAGATGTTCTGTGTTGTCGATGAGGGAGGTCTAGCCTTGCTGACGCGAGCCCAAGGGGACATCCAGACTCCAAGCTTTCCAGCGGTGGGACTACTCAGCTCTATTGCAACATACACAAACAAGTCGGGGCACGAGCTACGAGTGATAGCGAGCACCAACGTGCGGGTGATCTACCGTAGGTGAGTATGGGTACGAGCTGGCACGAGCTGCCCTCCTTGTCCCCATGCACGCATAATGGCCCTTGGCAGCTGCCCCCGTTGCCGCACCCCTCACTTCGTCACTAGCGTTACAGCCTAAACGTTGAGCCTCGAGATAGGTTATGGGAGACCCATAAGCAAAAAGGCCACGTACGTCTCCTTTGTCCCCCATCATTATACACCCTCGCGCACAGGTTTGACAACCATTTGCTTTTCGTGCTCGTCACTAGCAACTTACTCCTACAGACGGAGCTCCTGCAGCTTCACCTCCAGGTCAGCGCCCCTAGCACCGAGATGGGTGTCACCGGTTGGTGCAGTCCATGGCCGAGCATCCTAGTCGTGCCTGGCGCACTATTACAACCCACCCATACGGCTTGTCATGGACATCCTCTGGAAGCAAAATGCCGTGGTTATCAGGCGTTCGGGTTGCAGGGGCCTTAGTGTCGCCTCAGGGCGACGTACCAGGATTGGCAATGGCAGCCATGTGCTTACTTTGTTTCTGTCGCCCTCAATCCTCGGAATACCATGCAGACGCTGTTCGATGCGCTGCTGCTGCTGTTGGGGTCAGCTGCGTTGGTCCTAGACACGACGGCTAAGATTGACGTCCTGAAAAGGAAGCTGAGAGGTTAGTGCTGCCCTTCAAGAAAGGGGAGGGTCAGATGCGTGGCTGGCTAGGGCTACTGCTTATGCCTGCACGGCTTGTAAGAAGCCTTCGCCGCATCTTCACCCCGGGACCTAACCGTTCTTGCCATTTGTACGGCATGCCATCTTTCTGGATCCTGTCTGCATGTACGACGTGGCAGCTCCGAGCATCCAGCGTGCCATGGACTCTCTCATCGCGGATGACACGCTGGTACCATGCATCCTGTTGCCGGTGCCGCAGGTACGGCCAGCGTCCTAACATGGCGTGCTGTAGATGCGCAGCCGTGCTTGCGTTAGAGCCGTGCCTTGACTATGCGACCATGCGCAAACCGAGTAAACATGCAAGGGTTCGACGGCACGGTTTCTGGCGATGGTCCGTCCCGCCCCTTTTGGGTCGTCCTGGTTTGCGTAGCGTACTTTGTTGGACATGTATGTCAAGGAAACTGATCGCTGTCTGGATGCTTACCTTCCGTTCGCTGCCACTGCCCTGCTGCCCGGGGTCCGCACCAGCTTGTGGGGTTGCCGCTGCGCGACAAAGCGGTGCTGCAAGGGGCCCTGGCGAAGGTGGTAGCGACGCTGGGATGCAAGCATGCGGCGCTGATCAGCGAAGGGTACTACATGGCTGCTTCGAACGGTACGCCTGGGAGGTTGGGGTTCGGCCGACAGGGTACGCGCTGCATTCTGGGGATTGAGCTTCTGTTCCGGCAGTGCCTCTGTGCTTTTGCGATTTGGTACTGTTGGAGTGCTGCACGAGGCTTGCTTAATGGAAGCCCACACGCCTGAATGCGCCCGTGGCTATGAAACTCGAAACGGCAGGTTGGTGGACGCAGCTGTCCCCGCGGGAGCAGATGCTGATCCAGCATTTAGCCACCCAACAAGCCGAAGACCAGGTGGGTTGGAAGACGCTTGAGCATCAGGCGCAGGAGCCGCCTAGGTGGGATGCCTTAAAATGTCCATGCAGGAATATGGTTAGTTACGGTTGCGATGGGCTTGTTAAGCAAGAGCGCCGTTCACCAGGCGGCGGGTCTTACTGTTATTCTGCTGCTCTTGCTTACGAGTGTTGGGGTATGGTCTCACAGGACGGAGATGCTGCTCCAGAGTTGCCGCTGTATGTGGGGAAGCGGCAGAACGAGACGCCTCTGCTGCTCCGCTGGCTTTCACTGCAGGACGGTGAGAGCGGAGTTCGGGGAGTGCAGATTGGCACTGTACGGCTGCGCCCTTCATGCGTATCCTGCTGACGGTTCTTTTGTCGTGCAGGTGTTCTGCTGGTGGCTCTGTTTGAGCCTGGGGAGAAGGCCCCTCCACCCTTGCAGGTAAGCATGTTGACGGGTTTTACAAATCAGCGTGCAGCGTCGTTACAATCGTTCTGTAGTATACAATCCTGTAGTCAGGAAGCCGCGGGCAACTTGGCATCCTTCCTTCCTCTGGGCCCTGCTTCCCTCCTTACACCTCGGCGGTCCCCCTTCCGCATTGATGCGTCCAGGAATCTGAGATGCAGCTTCGTTCCCACCTACAGCCCGCGTCCCACACATTGGTAAGCCCCTCCTATGTTCAGGATGCCCCACCTGCGCACGGGTTTAAATAACACTTTACGCTAATCTCCACGCCCCATCCTCCTCCATCCAACCTGCGCAGACGCCGCTCTGGATGAGTCCTCCCGTTCCCCAGTTCGCATCCATCACCTTTGACCTGGCGCTGATAGTGGAGCACTCGCCGCCTGCAGCCACGCTGTTGTGGGGCCACACCGGATCCGCCATGCAGCAGGTACGAGCGGTGCGACGGTAGCGCGATGTGCATGAGGTACTTTGGTGATGCTGCAGGAGATCCATGGAATGGGGTAGCCGGTATCCAGTTCACTTTAACCGCGGCTAACGGTTAACAACCTGTTCGGTTAATAATGGCAAAAGGTGTTTGCTTGCAGGGGTTCAACCCGCTCATATCGCCTACGGTGCGCAAGCAGATGGACAACCCCACCAGCCCCATGCTTGCGCGCATCTCCCACAGGTGAGATGTCGCCACCTACACTAGTCCTTTTCCCGTGCCCTTACCTGTGTACCCATGTTCTCCCCGTTGCGCGTCGGTCCCTAAGCTGTCGTCTTCTCCCCCCTCTTGTTGTTTACACTTCTAATATTATCCCCCCCCTCTTGCGAAGGCCCTCATCCGCGCACCGAGAGGAGTCGGCACCTGTCGGTTCCGATGGGCTGCAGCTCTTCTTCCGGTCCGCAGTGGACACCCTCATCTCCTTCCTGCTGCAGGCCTGGCCGCAGATGCCGCCAGCCCTCCAAGCCGCGCTGCATGGATCTCTGCGCCCTGAGGGGCTCAAAGGCCCCGGATCGGACGCGCATGGCGGCCAGGTACCGGCCCAGCAGCCCCACGCGCCACCTCAGCGCGAGGGCCGCAGCGGCTCGCCTACTTCACGTCTGGGCAAGGGCTCCGGCAACGCCGCCACGCGTCAGCAACCCAGCAGTGCCGCAGGTACCAGCCGGCTGCAGTCGCTGTTCGGCCGGAGTGGGGGCGGGAGTGCGGCTGCGGCGGAGACTACGTCAGCAGACATGGGCGGCAGTAGCGGGCTTGGCGGAGGACGTGATGACGCGGGCCAGTGGGAGCCCGCTGAGCTGGCAGACGTACCGTACGAGGAAGTGCACGCTGTGATTGAAGGTACGCTTGGAAATGGTGAAGTTTGATGCCGTGCAAATTTGCATGCGTTACGCGGTATGGAGATAACCTCTTGTTTGCCTTGGCTGGCACTTTCAAATGCTTTGGACACATGTCGGCCCCAACGCCATCGCAGGGGCAAGGCTTCTAGCGCTGCTGGATCGAACGGGGCCCCTGGGTGGATGTGGGACAAGCCCTGGCAGCAGCGGCGGTGGGGTGGGACCTGACAGCGCCGTGGACGTCTTTATGGTATTCCCTCGGCGTATTGGGCGTGTTGCAGCCCTTGAAGCAGCAACCACGCTACGCGCCACGTTCCTCATGGCGTACCACGACGACGATTGAGGGTACTTATCACAGTGGGCAGCTCCCATGTAGAATAACTTTCATACCTGCAAACGTCTGTAAGCCTGTCCACGAATGAAATTATCGGGATACCCTACGTGAGGGAGACATTGATTGCTTGGAACTGTCGTGTAGGCACGCCTACGATTATATCGCTGCACGGATTGCTGTGGTGATTGTATAAACCCGTTGCCTGCAGGTATGACGTGCATTGGGCTTAAGTTCGAGGGGTGCGGTTGTTGGTGGAAATGCAGTACATTTCCGTAATACACCTTCGAGTGAGCGAGCGTTTGCTAGGCACTGGCTATTCCTGAGGTGATTTTGTTTCTTTTTGCGTATCTGTGCCTAGCTTCTTAGCGCTATGAGCGGTAACGCGTTTACAACATCCTTGCTAATTACCAAAGGGAGCGGTTCTTAATTACTTTCAAGCTGAAAGTGCACCGTTCGGCAACTGGGTGTCACTCTATATGACTTTCACGCGCTGCGTGCCCATGTGGCATTGCGTTGTAACTAGACAAGGAGTAGGTGCTCTATTATGGGCTTAATATAACGGCGGACAACAACATAGATGTTTAACATTGGCCAGGTGAGTCACTTCGACAAAATCCTTGGTGCCTTTGTCAACTGTTCGCGGCATGCCGGCTAGCAACGCATGGATCCTCCACAACCAGCTCTGCTGTAGTATCTGTAGTATTGCCCAGCTGCTGATGTGGGTATTCTGACGCACTCTTGCACATCGACCCATCATCTGGCAGGATGGTCGTCGGCCAGGCAGCTCCTCCCTGCCCCAGGTGTCACGTAAGTCATGCTCCTATGAAGGTGCCGGAGGGGGAGGGACATAAAAACGGCATGTTGAGCGAGGTTGTCATGACGAGGGAATCGGCTATGCAGCCTTCACAAGCCTTGTTTTAGGGCTAGGCACGCCCTACACGGCCGGATACATTACCAACTCACGCTCCTACCCCCTTCCCTCTTACAACACCAACCCTGCTTCGCACCCGCACATTCATGGAACCGTACGCCAGTCACGGGGTCGGGGCCTGGCAGAGGCAAGTCCTCTCGTAGTGGAACCGCGGGGCAAAGCCAGGGTGGCGTGCCCCGGCCCGGCTACATCCCTAAATACTCCGCGGAGACGGCGAACAGCACGGATGCCATTAACCAGGTAAATCCGGGGATGACCTCCCGGTGCCCGCAAGCCCCGCTCTGGAAAGGGTCCTGACTAGTTCCCTTTCCATGCCCTTGGACTTTATGGCATGGACAGGACATCCTTCGGCGTGTGAAAGCCAAGTTCGACAGTGCGGATATGGACGGCACGGGACAACTGCATCCACAGGAGTTCATAAAGGCCTTCCTGGGTGAGTCGGGGGGGGGGCAGGGCGGGCGGGCGCTCCCGTGTAGGAGCCGTGTTGACCAACTGTCAACCTCAGATGCCCCTCTTGGTGTCAGTCTTGGCAGGAGTTCAAACGGGGTTGGGTGCCTTCCGGAACAACTGGCAGGATAGACCCCAGCACGTTGAGCCATGCTCCCATGCACTTTCCCTCCCTCCTCCACGGTTTGCGTCACCTTCCCTCCATACCCGTACGCCTCCCATACACTCGCAGGCATCCTGCAAACCGAGGACGGCGGAGATGCAGATGCCCTTGCGAAGCTCTTTATGCGCATCGACGTCAACAGGTGGGCAGACGCGACCACTCAGCGCCGCCAACAGCAGCAGCAGCAGCCGCACTAGCAACACCAACATCAGCAGCTGCACGGCTCCTTTGCCACACAGCCTTGGCCTTTATTCGTATTCACAACACACCTGTATTCGCAATGGGCCTGTGACCCCTTCATGTACTCCTGCCACCGGTATTACCGGCTCACCTCCCCAAGCCTAATTCTGTTCACACTGGGTAACATCTGGTCATATCCGGTCATATTCCTTCCCCCCCATAACCCCAACCCCCGACTGACCCCACTCCGACTTCAGTGACGGCTTACTTCACCGTATTGCTTCCCCTCATCAACACCCCAACCCCAACCCCCCCAGCGACGGTACGGTGGACTGGGACGAGTTCAGCACCTACATGCTGCTCGAGAGCCAGGGCAGCGCGCGCGTGCGGGAGTTCGAGAGCACCGTCACCATGCAGGAGGCGGAGCCCTCCCCGGTGCCCGACATGCTGGCGCACAAGGACGCCATGACCCACATCACGGCCATGCGGCTGGCCAACGGAGTGGACCGCTACGCAACATGCGGCAGGTGTGCCTGTTTAGGATATGCTTGAGACCGCATACTAAGGTATGCTTAAGATGTGTATTAAGTGTTTAGGACCGCTACGCCACGTGCGTCAGGTGTGTCTTGTACGGTACTTAAGATATACTGAAGAAAGAGAACGGGAACGGGAACTCCGCATGAGGAGCGCACATGGCTGCGAAAGTAAAGGCAGGGCGCACACTGCATCTTCCGGCATCCATAGTACGTTCCGACTCGCGGCCAGTTTCCGTAACACACAGCTGACACAGCATGCATGTAAACGCAGCCTGTGCTTATCAAATGTGGTTTGACCCCACAACTGCCCTGCTCCAGGGATGGTACCGTGCGTCTGTGGAACGCCAAGGACCTCAAACACGTCAAGACACTGCACCTGCCGCGGCCCCGCGCGCCGCCGCCCGCACGCGACGGCGCGGAGCGGTTGACGAGCGCGCGCGGGTCGCGACCCGTGAACAGCGGCGGGCTGTGGGCCACCTGCTCCGCCTTCATGCCGCTCACTCAGAAGCTGGCGGTGGGCTCGTTCAGTCGCTCCATCCGGATTTATGATCTGGCGTCGTACGAGATTGCCGGACAGGTATGAGTGCTTGCCTTGTGTTTTGTTGCGCTTCATGAAACTTTACTTGAGCGTTGCAGAAGGTCGAGCATGACGACCCAGAACGCACCCACTCCTCCCACTTCCTTTCCTATCCCAACACCTGCTTTGTCTAATTGCTATCGCCCATGCATGCAACAACACCCTATACACAGATCCCAGAGATCGACTTCGTGCCGCTCTGTCTGGACGTGTGGGTGCCCTCGCGCGCTAAAGACAGCGAACTCATGGTGGTTGGCGACGGCGGCGGCTGGGTGCGGCTGTTCGAGGTGCGTTCCAGTGCGGGAGGCGGCGCGGGTGCGGAGTCGGACACGGTTGTGGCTGCTGCTGCTGCTGCTGCTGCAAACAGCACCGGCAGCAGCAGCAGCGTGGAGCGGCTGACGGAGAAGCCACGCTGGCGGTACCACCACCACAGCGACTGGGTCATGGCGGTAAAGTGAGCGGGGGCGTGGGGGTCAGCTGGGATACGCGCGCACCAGATGAAAATCGTAGATTGGAAACGAAAGTTAGGGCAGGGCAGGGAGGGGGAGGGTAGGCGGCTGGAATGCGGGTTTCTTCGCAATAACGGGGGGAGAGGTACCGGTATCGGTCCGAAGACGTACGGTAAAGGTTGGGCAGGAGAAGGAGCAAGGAACACAGGCTGCATGCATACCCTCTCACGACCACATAACACTGCTCAACACCCCACCCACTGTCGCCCGCTTTTCAGCCCCCGCCCCTGTCCCTGCCCCCACGAAACACACCAGGTACGTTGCCGACATGAACTGCGTGCTTGCCGCCTCCCTGGACAAGACCGTCTCCATCACGGATGCGGAGGAGCGGGTGCCACTCAAGAAGCTGGAGGGACACCACACCAAGGTACGACAATGACCTGGCGCGGTGCATGTACGACAGGCACCTTATACGGCGCGACGCCAGCCTTGGAGCTACCGTAAACGCTGAATCTGAAGGGCTGTGTGCCATGCCCATGCGCTTACCGCTGTGCGCAGCATCTGCTTTTCAGCGACTGCGTGCTCCTCATCGTTACTCGGCGTACATCGCTCTTTGCCGTACCCTTTGCGTCATGGCACTGTCTCCAATGTCTGATACAATGAATCAATGATACCTGGTGATACAGTGATCCCCCAGGGGCGCCCTTCCCAAACGCGGGTTCCCGGTAACATTCCTTCTCCGCCGCCGCCCCACAGGGAGTGAACGCCGTGGACTGGTCCTCGCTCTACAAGTTCGTGGCCACGGGTTCCCTGGACCGCCGCGTTATCATGTGGAACCCCTTCAGCCAGAAGCCGCTGGCGGTGCTGTCCGGCCACAACGCGGCAGTGACGGGCGTGGTTGTGAACGACCGGGACAATCAGATCATATCGCTGTCCACGGACCACGTGATCAAGGTACGCTGGGTAGGGTAATAGGGTGCACTGTGCCTGTGGGTGTAAAGGTGCGCCATGACGGTCCGCTACCGTTGTGGGTGTGTGTTTAGCTACGGCGCGTGGCGGCATGGGTAAAGCTCCTTACCGTTTTAGGCCCGCTTCTTTGCGGTGTCACACTGCTGGCCCCTCGCCGCTGCCCCTCAGATCTGGGACATCCGCAACCAGTGTGTGTGGCCCCCAAACCGCGGTGCCTTGCCTGCCTTGCGCGCCTTGACGTGTCCTTATGCCAGTCTGCATGCCCCCTTGCGAACGTTTGCTACCCGTCTTTGCGGCCCCTCAGATCTGGGACATCCGCAACCACAAGTGCGTGCAGTCGCTGCCGGACCGGGAGCTGCTCACCATGCCGCAGGTGGGGGGCAAAGAGGAAACAACTAGCTGACTGTGGGTTAAGGCCCTATGGGAGGGGCAAGGCAGGGCAGATTGGGGCGTACTGCCGTACCGTGCAGGTTCGGCACCAACACCTCGCATACGATCTGCACATGCACTTACCGGTTGTTCAAAGGGCCAAAGTGATACATGTTACCGGTTAACCGGTATGCTGATGCAGCTTCCGCGGTGCGCTGTTCATGGAAGCCCCTGCTGATACAGTCTTTTGCTGGTATACAATCGGGTTCTCGGTTCTGACATGCGCACCACCTTTGTGTATGCCGCTCGCACCGCTGCTACTGCTGCCGCTGCCTTACAGTCCTCCTCGGATGATGCCGTGACGCCGGTGTTGTACGACCCTGAGCGACGGCAGCTGGTCACCGGCTACCTGAGACCCAAGGTACGCCACGCACAATTGCTTGGGGTTTGGAAGAGAGTTTGGATAGGAGCTTTGTACGGGGGCATTGTTGGGCTGCTATGGCTACGGTGTAACTCCTTAGCGGTTCTTACAGTGATGTGCATGCGTCCAAACACTACGTGAACATCCTTTTAACAATCTGTTAACACTCTTCAACGTAACACTCTTCAAACGCTCCTTCTTTGCACTCCTTCTTTGCAGGTGTGGAAGATGACCACGGCGGGTGCTGGAGCCACGCAGGCGCACTCCGCCGCCGTGACGCGGGTGATCTACAACTCCAACTTCAGTGAGGCCATCTCAGCAGACCATGCGGGCACCGTCAGCGTCTGGTGAGTGAGGGGGAGTGAGGGGGAGAGGGAGTGATTGGGTCGGCGCCCCGAAACGTGTCCTTGCAGTCCCTGGGGTGTAGAGAGATGCTGGTGAACCACGTGTACGGAGCTGCTTCTCTTGCACCTGCCGTACCAAGGCATTATACGTCTATCTTACGCTTTTGTGTCGAATAGCCGTCTTTTGGCTGCTTTGCCGATCCACAACAACCAGTGCTATCCGAATAGCACCATCTACGCAAAAAGAATCTCTGCATGCATGCCAAGATCTGCATGCATGCATTCCTACCACCCTTGCGACCCATGGGTCATGCCGCCCCGCCCGCCCGCAGGCACGTGCCCACCGGTAAGCTGCGCTACCGCTTCCTGCAGTGCCACGGCGACAAGCGCATCACGGCACTCGCGTTTGATGCCGCCAAGCGGCGGCTTATCACCGGCGCCGAGGACGGCGACTGCAAGATCTGGAACTTCAGCAGCGGCGCCTGTCTGAGCCACCTCCAAAGCAAAACCCACGCTGAAATCACGGCGCTGGTACCCCTACGCGGCCCCCTCACACGCTACGTCCTTGCCGCCGGTTGGGACCGCCGTATCACGTTCTACGAGGACAACGCAGCCAAGGCAGTGGGCCCTTCTCGCTCCCTTGCCGGACACAAGGCCGATATCCTGGCCATGGTCGCCCTCGAGGGCAGCAGCACCGTGGTCACTGCCAGCGATGATGGGGAGCTATGGGTGTGGAACATGGACTCATGCGCGCCCAAACGACGCATGGTGGCGCCCGGCACGGCCACCCGACCCGCGAATGAGCGGGCGGTGGAGGCGCTGGCATTCCTGGCGGGGTCCGGCGTTGGCAGTCGGTTGCGGGGGGTGCTGGTGGCGGTTGGAGCGGACCGTTGGTTACGGTTGTGGGATGTGCTGGATGGGACGTTGCTGGCGGAGAGGTTTACGGGGCACCGGCAGGGGGAGACAGTGCAGGCGCTAGCGCTGGAGGGGAGCAACACGCGGATTGCGACGGGAGATAGCGGCGGCATGATCAAGGTGTGATCATGGGGGGTGTTGGGCTGGGGAGGAGTAAAACCTGGAGAAGAGCAGGGAGCTAGGGATTAGGGCCATGCTCTCCATTCTCAGGGTGTGAGGATATGCTGTTGGGGGCTGTTGGCATGCCTTTGGGCTGCTGCGTCCCAATGCCACCCTTCCTAATCTCTCCCTGTGTTTCTATCTCTACCCTTCCACGTATTAATTACCGGTACTTCCCCTCCTCCTTTGCCACAGGTGTGGGACATGTCGCGCTACTCCGGCGGCACCCTCACCCAGCCGCAAGCAGCATCCGTGTTCCGGGAAATAGCTGTGTGGCGCGGCCACAAGAGCCACGTCACCTCCCTCGACTGGGTGGACTCCAGCAGTCCCAGCAACAGCGCAGGAGGGGGCAGCGGCCTGGGCGGCGGCATCCCCGGCAGCGGCGGCGGTGGCGGCGTCAGCGCTGGAGGCGGCGGGCCGCATGGGGGGAGCATGGGGGGAGGGCATGCGGGTGGCGGGTTTGCAGGAGGGGTGCATGGAGGTGGAGGGTTTGGAGGAGGGGCTGGGGGAGGTGGTGTTGCGGCCAGGCGGGGATTGTTCCTGGTCAGCAGCTCAGCGGATTGTACGGTGGCGTTGTGGACGGAGAGCGGCGTGCGAGTGGGCACGTTTGGGCAGAACACTTGGGCGCTTGAAGTGAGCTGCACTGGGGGGGGAGGGGTACTGGTACCGGCATGTGTGGGGGGCTGGGCGGGGCTGGGATGGAGCTGGGCGGGCTTCCGACGGCGCGCGGCTACATTTCCACACTCGCATGTTATGGGCTTGCATTCGCTTTGGACTTTGGGAGGCTGGACACGACCTGGCAAGCTTCAGCTCCAGTACAAGTCTAACTCCTCGTTGTCTTACTACAACTATTTCGCCCCCACCCACACCAACTCCAACAGGACCGGACTACTTGGGTGGAGCAGAAGACCATCCCACTTGATGTAAGCAGTGAAAACCAATTGGGCAAATCGACCACACCTGTCCTTTCACAGCTAGTGCGGTTGCTCGTTAGGCAAGGCTCTGAAACAGTCTGGGGCCAAACAGATTTCACTAAGCGCATGTACTTGCCGCTCCCCCCAAAGCAAGCCCTGTGTGACTACCGATGTACCGTCACTTTCCCGTCACTTTAACGCTTCCATTCCTTCCCTTCCTTCCCTTTCCTCCCTCGCGTTGCTGCCTCCACAGGAGCGAGACAGCTGGATCATGGAGGCTTCCCTCATCATCCCCAGTTCCGACCCGGCCATCAGCGGCGCGGGAGACAACGCCCTAGCCAACGCCGCATCCCTCAACTCATCCGCGACCCTTGTGGCCGCAACCATTGCAAACGCGCAAGGACTTGGCTTTGGCGACGGGATACCCCGGTCCGCAGCCCTCGCCAGGCGGCTAGGAAATCGAAAAGTCACGACCGCCGCCTCGATCTCCTCCCGGCCCGACAGCGCGCCTCCCGAGATTGCACTCGTGTGTGAGGTTTCCAACGCATTGCGAGCGGAACGTCGTAACTCAGTGCGACGAGCGGCCGGATCACGTGCACTCTCTTTCGCTGCCCGGAGCTCCGCTGCGACCTCATTCGCATCGCATGTGATGAGCGGGATGCCGGCGGCGGCAGCCGCCGCCGCCGCCGCGGCGGCAGTCGCGGCGGTTGAGACTGACGGAGGAGCAGCAGCCACATCGACTGGCGACGGGGGCCCAGGTAGAGCGGCTGGGAGCCATAGCGTCAGCTACGGCGGCGCCTTTTACGCGGACGGCTCTTCAGCCTTCGCGCAATCGCACTTGCTGACCGCTGACGGCGGTGAGAGCGAGCAGGAGAGCACTGACATGGGCGAGATGAGCAGCAGCAGCAGCAGTGAGGACCATGCGAGTGACACGGAGGTACCGACGGCGCTGTGGTTGCATGATTTTGACGCGGCGCGGCACAGACGGCTGCTGACGACGCCCGGGAACACGAGAGACGGCGGCGGCGGTTGGTCCAGTGGGTCCAAGGCGTACGGGCCGGGCGGGAGAGCGGGCGTGGCGCACTTGCTAAAGGTAATCGGGCGGGCGGGCGCGCGTGCGAGAGAGAGTTGGAGACGCAATGTAGAGGTGGTGATGTGTGCGGTTAACCGGTTATGCACTGCACCGAACTGCAGGGAGTCATTCTAGGAGTCTATTGGGTTGAATACGAGCTTACCGTGCACCTCGCTCGGTGGCTTTAATGCATGGTGCCCCTGTAACCCTCTAACCACTGTAGTCACTGTGACCAAGAACGGCATCTTGTCGTACATACCTTGTCGAACATACAGGTTTCGGAGCTCGCCATGCTTCAGGAGCGGCCCCCGCCTACCGTCATGAGCAGTCGCCGCGGTGTGGCCACAGCAGCCGGCGTGCTCACCAAGTCCTCCGAGATCTCACCCATGCGGCTGCGAACTCCTGGATCAGCTTCGCGTAAACGGTAGCGCTGTTGCAAAGTGACTGGTGGCACAAGGTGTACTTAAGCTGGTTTGCGGCAAGCCACGATGTGGATGCGTTGCGAAGGCCTTGACGAGCAGGGTTGGACGCTATGCTTGAGCGTGCGTTGGAACTTGGAAGAGTGTTTTACTGAAGGGGAGCGATTAATGAGTGGCATGGACATGGCCTGTAATCTTGGATGTGGTCTTGTATCCCTTGGCCATGGGCTGTACAGTGACCCGTCTTACCTTAATGTGCACCTGTACGCAATGCTGACTACACACCTTGTGGGTGCGGACTTGGAGCTCCATACTTGGAAGGCAAACTGACTGGTCGGCGTACCGGGTGTAGCCGGTGTACTATCAGTTATACTAGTTCGAGTCCTTCGAGGTATGACGTGAGTAAGGGTTTGCAGTGAAAACCCTTGCAGTCGTCGACATGTACGAGTGAAAGCATGCAATAGTAAATTAGTATCTGCAGGTGACTGGGTGCAGCCGACGTTATCCCTCTGGTGGCTAAAAAATGGCACATGGCTGCCTGACTGGACGTCACTGCTGTCTAAACGGTACGGCGCGTTTCTTGAGCGCGCTGCCTTCTAATCCAGGGACGCTGAGTTTGGGCGTGGTAGGCCTTGAGCCAGACGGCCTTTGACGGCCCCATGTCTTAGACGAGCTTAAATGGACAGCGGACAGTATTGTTCCAGAACATATGCCGTCTACCTGGCTTGCAAGAGCACGTTAACACATGGGCCCGGGTAGTTCCCGCTTGTATCACCCACACCATATCGACACACCCAATGTACGAGTAGAGCATCTAAAGCAAGCATAGAAGTGGTAAATTTAAACGGCAGCAGTCACTGGTGGGGTGGCATGGTGCCTTCCAGGCAACTAAGCGCCATCCTTCCCACCATAATCCCTGTGGCAAAGCAACAAGACAGCAACATGATTGTGCACGACTGGTAGGTATCTTGGGGCTGCACCTGCAGCATTGGCTGGGCCGGCCGTCCTACATTTCAAGGATCGCCATGCCACACTGGCCCACACACCCAAATACACCCGGGCCCTGGTCGGGATGCATGCTGCACTTCTACTATCTATCCTACCGGTATATAAAGCAGGCAGCCGTCACTGCCTCGGCACAAGAGACCCACACTGGAAATAATATTATGTACGAAACAGTAAAAAAATGGAGCCAGCAACAAACAGGCTCTGTGCCCCACTAGGTCACCCACAGTCTGCAAGCCTCGCCATAGTACAGACTTCAAGCATGCCAATCTAATCCGTCAGAGTTGAAGTTGGGGTACATGCCGGTGTGACATGTTAGGACAGCAGACGCTTGCAGGGGTACCTAGAGGAAACTGCCTCAGAAACCATTCTACCAGTTAACGATGCCATGCAGGCCTCGTCAAGGTAATCACCATGAAGGCATGCTGGATGCCGTACGTTTTGGTTGCGTACGGCGCAAAGCGTGTAGGATTAGCCCATGTTCTTCGGAGGCGGGGGCGACTTCTTCTTCTTTGGTGGTGGTGGAGGTGGTGGCGGAGGGGGACGGGGCGGCGGGGGCTTCTTCTTGTTGACCTTGGGAGGGGGCGGCGGCGGTGGCGGGGGAGAAGGCGGCGGCGGTGGGGGTGGGCTTGGGGGCGGCGGGCTTGGCGGTGGCGGTGGGGGCGGGCTTGGCGGAGGCGGCGAAGGGGGAGGTGGTGGGGGTGGCGGTGGGCTCGGCGGCGGCGGCGAGGGTGGAGGCGGAGGGGGCGGGCTGGGAGGAGGAGGCGAAGGGGGAGGTGGTGGCGGTGGGCTGGGCGGTGGCGGTGGTGGAGGAGAGGGTGGAGGCGATGGTGGCGGTGGGGTTGGAGACGGCGGTGGTGGGGAGTTGGGTCCCGGGGGTGGGCTGGGGCAGCACAGCTCCGACTTGCTCGCACAGTTCAGCACCAGGTAAAAGGCTGCGGGCATGAAAATAACGAGATGCTTCAGTGTGTTCAGCTTCATCATACAGCCCTTATGAAGAGGGACAATATAAGCCCTGCAGCCTGAGCGCGACCCATGGGTCAGTACTGAACCAGCACCGTACGACACACAGTGGTCCAAAACGCCTGTAGCATCCCAGACGGTTCTTGACAAACCCGAACGCTGCACGCCGCTAGATCAGCAGTAGCCTTCCCCGAAAAGCGGGCAACTGTGCATTTCACAACTAAGAATTTACCACCAAGAGTTGGCCACATGCATCCCGGACACGCACCTGAGGTGGTAACAGACACGTCTAGAGCGCTGTTGCAAGGCAGCTGTCCAAAGGCGATGAAGATGGGCAAGTTGTTGCCAAGCGCAATACCAGCCTGAGGGTATCGCAGCACATTGGAAAGGACGAAGGGTGAGCTACCGCCAGGAAAGGACAACACCGCACATCGAAGCGTCTTTTCTTCATACATTTAACGTCACAGTCGCGACATAGCGGTATGCACCAGCAACACAGGGTGCACCTACCCTATGTCGCCTTACCCGACCAGTCCCACCAGGACCCATCCCCAGAAGAGCCATTCCAAGCCACCTACTAATCACCCACCCATCCGCCTCCTCCCAGTCCCAACTGAATGGCCGTCCACCCATCTCCTGATTCCCTTCTATCCCCCGCCGCCGCCACTGCCTACCTGTGCCGCCGCGTAGTTGTCCGGTAGAGCTACCGTCAGCAGCGCCTGCATGAGCAGGAAGTCCACGTTGCAGCTGACGTTGGACAGCAGCGTCTGCCCCGCCGCCTGCAGCGACAGCTCCAGGGAACCGCGCAGCTGCGTGCAGTTCATGCGGACCAGCTTGACGCTGTTGGAGTTGGTGATAATGACCTGTGCGGAGGGTGGGCGGTTGGGTAGTTGGGAGGACGAAGAGGTGGGTGTGTGGGTGTGTAGGTAAGTAAAGAGGCGAAAGACGCGGGTTCCAAGGCATGTTCTGTTCAACATGATGCCATCATAACTATAACTCACCCGTAAGTAGGTTGGCACGGGCGGCGGGGGAGGGGGACCTGGCGAGGGTGGCGAGGGCGGTGGAGGTGATGGCGGTGGAGGTGACGGCGAAGGAGGGGGCGGCGACGGTGGCGAAGGCGGCGGTGGGGAGGGAGGGGGCGGCGACGGTGGTAGAGGCGACGGTGGGGAGGGAGGTGACGGCGGGGAGGGAGGAAGAGGACTGGGTGCCGGGCTGGGCGGTGGGCTTGGGGGCGGGCTGGGCGGCCGAGGCGATGGGGGCATCGGGAAACAGCTGAAGAGGTCGGCTTGCGATATGGTGTCGTACTTGACACTTATACCGCAAGTGGGACTTTCCAGAGACAGCGATGACCCGCAAGACATTCCGCCCAGCAGCCTAATCGTCGCCCCAGCCAGCTGCTTCTGAGCAAAGTTGGATGCAACCACCTGTGCTTCGGTTTGACTGGCTGCCGTACCAACTACCAACAGAACACCGTTGGTTGAGCCGTCGTCCAGGCACACGAACGGCCGGTCCGACTGCATCAACGCATTGTAAGCGAAGAAACCCGACATGCCCGTGACCAGCATGGCACATTGAGAGGAGCTCGTCCAGTTCGTGGGCCGAATGGCCTTGACTATCAGGATGCAGGGACCCAAGCCGGGCGGGAAGGGAGGCCTGGGAGGTCGTGGGGGGCTGGGAGGCTTGGGCGGGCTGGGCGGGCTGGGGGACGGCGGGAATGGCGACGGCGGCGGCACCGGAGGGGGTGATGGGGGCACTGGTGGGGGGCTGGGGCCGGGCGGCAGTGCGGGAGAGGGAGGTGTTGGTGGTGGCGGCGGAGGGCTGCAGAGCTGCTGGGGCAGGTAGTAGGTGCAAGGGGTGCCCGCGGTGGGGTAGAGGGTGGTGATGGCATCGTTTGTAGAGCAGACGGCCAGAACTGAGGTAAGGCCCGTGTTCATGGCGGTTGCAGAATCCACGTAGATGGCCTCCGCCCCGCATCCCGCGTACACGAGCAGCAGCAGGGAGCGCCACAGCACCTCGTCTTTCACCGCGGTTGCAAAAGCTTGCAGGTTTTCCTGTTTGGGAAGGTTGGCGGTGTTGGTTGGCAGCTTGGTTAGCGGGTTGGAATGGATCGAGGAAAAGGAGGGTTGGCTTCCTTAGGGAAGGGCCGTAGGCGGCGGTGGGATGCGAGGAACTGTTGGGACACGAGCCTGGATGGGGGCCTGTATGTGGTTTTGGTGGGAGAGGGTTTGGGTGTTTCCAAATCGCAGGCTCGCAGCTCCTACCCTACTCAAACATGGGATGTAACTAGGAACTTACCAATACGTACACTCCGTTGAAGTGCGCGGTAAGCTGAATCGCTGAGTTAGTGGTCCCCGTGTCAGGAGAAGTATTATTGACGGTTGAGCACACAGTTCGGAAAATACTCGAGTCGGATAAATCGACGGCGACGTTTTTAGCATAAAGGCTGTCTAGCAAGTAGCTCGTTATGGAGTCGCAGTCAGAAGAGACGAAGGCTTTGTTCACGGAATAAAAGGTTAAGGTCGCCGTAAGCTCCGCTCGAGCTGCTTGCGGCACAAGGAGCACCAGGATAGCGAGGAGGGGAAGTCGTGCTCGGTACAGATATGATTTACTGGCATTCTTGTGGCCGCTCCGGTGCTGCTGCGCCAGATTCCGGTCCGTCGTCGCGCCCGCCACACGGCCATTAGGACGAACGTCCAGACCAGCTAATAATGTGCGCCGCATACTTACGGCAGCGTAGAAACAACCTGTAAGGAGGCCAGAAAGCATTAAGCTGACGCCGAATCGCCGGCATGCTTGTCGACCGACCAACTATGCAAGACAGTTATGCACCCAACTTACGAGATAACCGAAGGTGATGATTATTGTGGCTGATAAACCTCCATCAAACCTCCATCTACAACAAGCGAACTACTGCGCCAACGACTAGTGAACCCAGCGAACGCGAACGTGGTTATCTACGAAAGACAGCTGTATTCCACCAAGCAAGTATGCCAGGTATTAGTTGCTACCGTGAAAGCGCCCGAAGTGCATTTAGCCGAACTAGCTCCTAAGAACAGCCTCCGAACCAGTCAAGTAGAGTAGGCTAATCCTTGTGTAAGCCCGAAGCATTCATTTCTATACGTGGTTCCCAATTGCAAGCAAATGCAGCGAACACGAGCTGCACTAGCGCAGCATGCAGCGTGTAGCAAAAGCCGTACCGTCAACATGTCGACAAGTGCCGAGAGGAGATAGGTCTATTGCCATTCGCATGTTTACCGTAACTGTTCTTCCTGGCAAATGTTCCGGTTAATACGGACACATTTCGGATGTAATCCTGCTGCTCAATGCGTTGATGGCTGATGACCTCGCCGGCCTTGGACCTGTGCTCAGGGCCTTCAGCGCGGCTTAAAGTCTAGCATCATTTCAGAACACTAGCTTCATTTGTGCTCCATATAATTGAGCTGCTCTCTCTTTGCTTACTTGCAGCCTTATGCCTGCCACTTCCATTCTGGTACAGTCAACAATGAAAAGAGTGTAGCTAATAGCACAACTGGAGGTTGACCATGCGCGCTTGGAGGTGCGACTGGCATTCTGAGGAACCTAAGCTAGTTGGGCTTCATGGGACGGCCCTCCTAATGACCCGTGCAACGGGATTATACGTATGTTCTGTCTAGTGTGCAATCAGCCATCTAATCCAAAGCTTAGGGGCGCCCTGCCTTCTCTTGTCAGAGCCGCATTGACCAACTGCCCGCATGTGCCGCAGCGTGCGCAGCGAGTTGCTCCCCGGTGCTCTCACTGCATCCTTTTCTTGCCTGCCCGAGAAAAACATGAAGCCACTGTGCTCCTGAACTCTGCGTTGCACACGCGAAACATGCTGCGGGAGTTGTACGTGGTTGGGTATGGAAGGGTTGGAAGCACTGCTTGAAATGCATGCACAATCGCCTCAGCGCTCGGCGGCCACTTCACTTCAAGTTTTGCAGCATAAACTTGCATCCCTTTATAAAGCATTGCACAATAGGCCGTCAGCTGGCATGACCCGGCCGTTTTGCTTGCGCGATGACCCTCGTCAAGGTTGTTCGGACTTCGAATACAAAACAGTATTCCCAGTACTGATTTGCGCCCTTGTAGTGTTGGGCGTTGCAAGTCAACAAGGGTTCCTAACATCCATACATGATACATCACCGCATGCAAGCCGTATGACGATGCATAGCGCCTTGAACCAAGCTTCATGCAATATAACATAATTTGCATAGTCGAGCTCGCAATTATCCGCTGAACAGTCGCCAAAGTTTGTCGTTTACCACTACTCTGCTGTGGTCACGCTCTCAGCAGGCGACATCTGAATATCATTAACACTTAATATAAATTAACCAAATGGACATTTGCGGCAATTACGCCAGCTCTAGCGCAGTAGTATTTGAGACCGGTCGACGATGCCAATACCTGCGCAACGCAACAGGTCGTCCGCGCGTAGGCTTACAACATATCCGTAGTCGCAGCACTTGGCCTGTCTCATATAATTTGGGGTTGAGAGGCCCCGCGGGCGCAGTGGCGGTTGGCCTCATCGCCAGCAATCCATGCATCGTCCAGTGCGCGGCGTCATCTGCGCAAGGCGGGGGCAAGCGAGAAGTTAACCCGCTGTCACTTGAAGCTGCCGTATCCGCAATGGACGCCGTCTGGTCCTTCGCGACCGAACGGAAGGTGGATGAGCTACTCCACTTCATCCCGGACGAAGTTGTGGAGCAAACAGCTAGCCTACGGTCCAGCGACAAGTAAGTAGTAGGTAAAATGCCCATCGCTTGTGTGTCCTCACTATAAGGCAAGCGGCCGGTGGCCACCAGACACGGCACTTATCGTGCACCTTGTTGCCGCCTACCTAGCCGGCTATAGTACTGTTGCGCTGCACCGTTGGTATGCCGCATAGGGAACAGTAGGAAAACCTTTGGGCAACCATCGACTTTCCTATGACAGCAACCACGGCACTTTGCCCTCCTGCCCCCTTACGCCATGCCCTCCCAAACCCGACAATTGCCAAGAGCATTCCATCCATCGACCGCCCTGTCTTTCCATCCACTCCGTATCAGGGGCGACACACACATTACCTTACAAGACGTTATCACTCACTCTGGCGAGATTGGGGGCTTCACGCTTGATAGCTTCGCGGAACGGCTCCTGTACTTCTCTCCGCCGACCCCTGGGTCTGTAACTCGCCTGAGCTGCATTCGCACGGCACCCGAGCGTGCAGTTTTGCGATATTTGGTAGCGGCGGAGGGCGGCGAACGTGCAATCCTGACGTTTGGGCTTGAGTGCGCGGTAAGCATAAGAGCACAGAATGGCCATACATGAGGGCTATCCATTCATGCATGGGCATGTAGGGGATGCACAATTGGCATGGACACATACACATATACCTAGCTAGCTACGCGGTGCTCGAAAACCTCAGGAGGCGCAATAAGAGTACCCGGGCAACTGGGCGAATGCCTGGGGGTCTTACGTGTTTAGCTGAGTACCTGTCGTGTTTTGTAGCGTCCTGTTTCTATCTCTGTTTCAGGCAACTGAATTCGCGTACTCCTGTGCCCTGCTGTGTTCCTGCCTGCCTCTGCCCATGTTGTCTGCTCATGTTGGGTCTACGTCACGGCGGGTGGTTGCGCTGACCGGTTCAACTAACTGTCAACCGTTTTCAGGAGACCCTGATGCCGCAGTGAGTTCCCCCTATCCGCACTTGCACTTGCACGGCCTGATGCTTACTTGCTAGCCGAGCATATCCTACCGTAAGCAAGACCATCTCGCGGCAGCATGCACCAAACGCCACGTTAGCAATGTAAACCTTGTGATCTCATTACAACAGTCCTGAGCGCCTGATCTTCTCAATGCACGACCTTCTCAATGCTCTACGACGTACGACTCTAACCCTTGGGGCCCATTCACCCCCCGAATGGCATAACCCTCTGTCCCCACGTTCCCACACACAACCCACCTCCGCGCCCCCCAACTACTCTCCTCCCAAAGCTACCGATCGCTTCGTGTGGAGTTCGTGTGGCAGCTCATATCTGTGACCGGGGAGCCTGCTGGGGAGCCAGCTGGCTGGGAGGAAGAGGCGGGCAGGCGGGAGGTGGATGAAGGCGGGGAGTGGTACGCCAAGCAGTCGCACCCTTCCCTGGGGCCTGAAGCCGTTGTGCAGGCGCAGCTGGCGGCCCTTGCGTGAGTTGTGCGATGTGAACCTTGTCATGTGACGTGATGTTAGTGGGAGATGTGTACGTCTGCCTCATTGCTCGCGCTGCCCACTTGTCGCAGTATCCTCCGACTGCCTCTTGGCCCATGATTGGCACATACGACATACGTAGTAATGCATCCTACAACACACCTATGACATCCCCAGTAGTAGCGCGCATTCTTCCCTGTGTTCCTCCGCCTCAACTGCGCCCACTGGCAGCCCGTTGCAAGCTTGTTATAACCCGTCACGTTGGCCTGCTCCTCACACCGCTGCAGGTCGGAGGACGTTGCCACGGTATTCTCCTTCGCCTCCCCCGCCAATAAGGCCCTCACGGGGCCCCTGGAGCGCTTCGAGCTGCTGCTCCGAAACCCAGTGTACCGCCCACTGCTACGGCACCGCCACGTCACCTCGGTTCGCCGTACGATGCTGGCTTCAGATTCGTACAGCGAGCTCGTGAAGGTGGTTAGCGACAACACGGGTGGGTTAATGTAAACACAACACGGGCGGGGAGGGAGTAAGAGGAACCGACGGCGGGGGGCGGGTTATTTGGCGACTTGGCGAGGTGGTTACGGTATCCACGCGAGGTTGCGGATGGGATCTGGCCTCACATGCTGGCTGGAACTTGGCTGATAACCAACATGTCCAATCCCCAATCTCTTCCGCGTACCGGTGCTGTTTCTGCTGCCTTCGTTGATGTGGCTGCTGCGGGCGCCTGCAGGCATGCCGCAGCAGGCTGTGGAGATGACCTACCTCTGGCACCTCTCCCGTCAGCCGGAGAGCCTGGAGGGTGTTGCCAACTGCTGGATGACTGATTCGGTGCGTCTTTTGGAAGCGAGAGTGCACAAGGACTAGGCGGCCCGACTACACATGAGTAGGGCCAGACTGCAAAAGGACTAGGAGCCAGCAGGCTGCAAGTGAATTAGGAAGCGAGAGTGCACAAGACCTAGAAGCCAGGCTGCTGCACGACGGCTAGAGGTCAGGCTGCCCAAGCAATGAGTGGTTGGGAAGAGCGAGGAAGTTGAGAATAAGGTGGAGATACAGATGTGGAAGCGGAGGTGTGAGAAAGGTTCAGCAGAGTGGGGGCTTTGGTTTGTACGATAAAGGCGGGCAAGTGTACGGTTTGTACTTTTGGTTGCATGCACGGTATGATGGCAAGCAGCAGCTTGGGCGGTGTGTTGTAATGAGTTGTGGCAAGGTTCGCACTGCGTGTATAGCAGAGCAAGCTGCTGGATCCCAGGAAAGCAAAGTTGAGTTGGCTGCGTTAGAGTTATGGGGGCTGTTGTGCTTGTATGTCGTGGTGAGTGCCAGAGTGCAAGGAAGAAATGCGTGCATTCTCTCGAGTATTGATTATTGGGGTCCGAGTGCTTCAGCAGAGGGTACGGAATGTACGATGCGTCCACGGCCGAAGTGCCGTTGTACCATACAGTTGCATGTCTTGTTGCAGAGTGTTAAGCAAGATCGAGAGGAGTGGTGAGAGCGTTATATTTACAGTACAATGGTTATGCTGCTATGCGCGGTGGGGGGCATTTAGCAGCGTGTTTAATGCTAGGTGTGTTGAAGAGCTTACGGGCGTGTTCCTTCATTTTCCCTGTCAGGTGTCCACCTGCTAATACGCATTTGGCCTTGTGCCGAGTGGCCGTGTTCCCGCGACAAGGGTGAATTCATCGTACGGAACATGCGGTACCCTGTTACCTGAATGAATGACCGTTTCAATGGTTCCTGTAACCTAATCTGATCCATGTATGTTCGTTTAGAAAGGTGCTGTCATGACTCTATCTCGTATGCAGGCACCCGCCAGGGGACCTCCTGTTGAAACCTGAGTTACCTGGAAACCCGATGCACAACGCATTGCTTGCTTGTTACAAGGCGCTGTGCTCTAGTAGCGGAAGTGGTTCCGCCAAGCGCTCCCAAACATTTCCAGCAGCAGAGTTACGTGTGTGTTACATGTAGGTTAGGGCCATGGGTGGAAGTGCTAAAATGCAACAAGTGCGGGGTCCTGTGCGCCCCGACCAATCTACAGGACATCACTGGAACCCTCGCGCGTGTGTTGCTGCGGGTTTCCTTGCGGCAACGAGGACTCCTGGCATTGGTAAAGGTGACGCTAGGGACATGTCTGGGTACCTGACCGACCATGCGTTTGCAACAGTTTACTACAGCCGGACGACAACCCACCAGATGAGCATGGCAACGGCTACTCACCTTAGTGACTCTTTGACAATTTACCGGTAGTTTGTGGCAGGAATAACATGACATTGCTAGTCAATTCCTCAAGAGAACATACACATGTATGCGGAACCCCGCATTTGGGGATATGGAGACAGCAAAGTGCTGCCTGGGTACGGTGCATTCTTACAGCACGCGAGGGCAAAACGTACATAGCGCAGCCAAACTAACCAGGCTTCACAAGTAACGGCAACAAGCAAGCAAGCGTGCTGTGGCACACAAAAGATGGTTCAGCATTACTATGTTGCTACCCAGAAATTGCAAGGCAGCTTAGAAGGACTGTGGCAAATTCAGATAGTAACAAACACATAACGCGGCAAGGATCAGAAACGTCATTCCAATATAGGCAACACCGCCCAACGCACACTAACAAGCGAAGCAGCTCGCTGACAGCAGCAAGCACGCAGCCAACCATTCATTTACAACTATGTACAGGAACTATGTTTGTCAGAGGCGGCGGCGGACACCATCTAAAATTCAAAAATGTGCGATTCGGGACATGTGTAGGTGTGCGGTTGCGTATCTCAACTGGCAGGATGGTGGATTTAACTTACCTGTTTGGGAAAGCCGCCTACGACTTGCCTATATTACCCACGCCCCTGCCCTGCGCCGTCCTGCTATATGTGCCGTACAGCATCTCCGTACTTCCGTACATCCGAAAACAGCAGATCACGCATGGTGACGGTGGCACACGGTCATCCTGCTTAAGCACTTGCTCCAACTACTTTCACGCGGGACGCTGCTAAGAGCTCATCAACTTAAATATTTAAACACAGCGGAAATACAAGCATGCCGCTTCAGCATATGCGTTTCCCAAGGCACGCCAGTACACTTCGTACATGCATTCCTCGTGCTGCACGGACAAATTAACAAAAGGTCAAATACGGCAGCCGACAACTAACAACGTTCTTCCCATTTCAACGTCTTCAGTCAAGTAAAGTACGCATACAACAGTCAAATTCGCCCACCTCTACGTTTCTAGGCAAGCCGTGTGCGGACCCTTGTTTAATTCCACCTCCACGCGTCAACAAACCCCAATTCATTAACTCCCTTGCCATTCAGTGCTTCGCCACCCCCTACACAACCACCCTCTCTTCCATGCACTACCAGTACGGCACACCCACCACTACCTTTCCCTCTACTGCTTCATCTCCAGCATCAGTGGTTGTTGTTGTCCCTCCGGAGCGGGCCGGTTGCTGCTGGCACCTTTGGGCGCCGTCGTCGTGGTGGAACTGCTGCTGTGTTGCTGCTTGGTGGTGTGTGTGATGCTGGTGAGAGCGGCAGTGAGCTGCCCGTTCTTCTTGGACGCCTGCTCCAGCGCTTTCACACGCGAGTGGAGGTCCTCTAGCTCCTTGCCCTGATCCAGCAGCTCCTATAAAGGAAGGGTGGTTCCGGGGCGCGAGGTTTTGGGGCACGGAAGGACGGGGGAACTAGCAAATGGTTATGCATTCCTTCCAAGTACCATCCACACTTGCATGCACCCTTAACCGCAACCGCACCTAGGATGAAGCCATTTCACCAAGCACCGTACAGTCTTCCAGCACTACCGTACCGCCTTTCATGTGCATGTTTCAGTATGCCCTCTTCCCTAGCATCCCTCCACCCCCCCAACACCACCACCATGGTGCAACCCATCGTAGAGCCTCACTACCGGGCTACCGATATAGCTACTTCCTTCCTCCTCTTTACCCACCTTGAGCGCCTCGTCCAGCTCCTGGCGAATGCGCCGCTCCGAAGCCGCTATCATCTCATGTGCGGCTCCGTTGCTGCCTGGCTGCTGCGATTGGCTGCGTTGCATCGCCCAGAGCTGCTCCAGCCGAATCTCCATGCCGCGCAGCCTCTCAAGAGCCGTAGAACTGTCGTCCAGGGCTCTAGACAGCTGCGGGAGGAAGGGATTGAAGGGGCAGGAGGAAGGGGTTGTTGAAGCTGGTTGTGAGCCGGAAACAGACAGGCCAGGTGACGTGGTGAGCGCATGGACCAGACGGGTTCGCTAGGTATGTAGGGGTGGGGGCTGCTATGAGGTTATGCAGCCTGCAGCTGCGTACTACGCAAGGTGTAAACGAGCGGCGGCACCACACCTGCGCCGCACAGCCTACGGTCCCTACCTTAACGTTAATCTGGCTCACAGAGCCCTGCAGGCTTCGGAACTGCTCGTCCGCCATCTGAAGCTGCATGTCCAGTTTGGCCCATGCCGCCGCCTTGGCCTGGCTTGAGGTACTGCTGTCCTTGTCTCTGGACGCGGGCGCGACTCCGGACATGGAAGGTGTAGGGCCCGCAAAGCTGCCGCCGCTGCCGGCGGGCCCAGTCTGAAGCCGCAGCTGCTCCACGGTTTCGGCCAGCTGCTTCAGTCTCATGGAGTGTTCCCGCAGGGTTGCACCGGTTTGCGCATCTGCAACCTCACAGTCCGTGAGGCGTGAGCTTAGCACTGATCCGGCCTCTCCATTGGCCGCTGCTGGGGAATCGGGCCCGCTCTTGTGCATGATCTCCCTTGTGACCTTCTTCTCCACCGTCTCCTGCCGCTTGACCAGTTGAACCAGTCGAGCTTCATGAATCTCGGTCATGCTGGACACCTCCCTCAACTTGACTTCCACTTGGTGCTCGCAGCGCTCGACGCGTTGCTGCGCGTTAGCCAAGCCCTGTTGTGTGGAAGCAAACCCTTGATGTACGACGCCTAGCGCCTCCGCCTGGCGCTGAATCTCCGCCTCCGCTGCCCCCAGCCGCTCTCCCATCGCCTCCAGGTCAGCCCTTGTCTCCTTGCGGTCATGCTTCCCCGCCTCCACCTCCGTCTCAACCTTGCCCTCCAGCACCTTCACCTGTGACGTCAGAGCATCCACGGCGGCGGTCAGCTCACGCCGGCGCCGCGCCTCCACCTCCACCTCCGCCGCCGCGGCGGCGACGGCCGCGGTGTTTGCAAACGTACTCTTGCTGCGGAGCTCCGCCAGCGGCGGCGGCGTGTCTGGCGGCTCGGTGCCTATCCGAATCTCCATCGCCTTGAACTTCGCCGCAAGCATGTCAACGGAAGCAGCCAGCTCGCGAGCACGGCGCGCTTCTGTCTCTGCAGCTGCTGCTGCCGCCTCGCGTTCCGCCAAGTCCTTAGCCACCTTGGCCTCCAACGTGCTCACGCGCGTCATGAGTGAGTCCACAGATGCCGTCAGTTCACGCGTGCGACGCGCCTCCATTTCCGCAACTGCCGCCGCCGTCGCGCCCACAACTGCGCCGCCGGGAATGGATGTGTTGCCACGTAAATCCGCGGCTGCTGCCGCCGCATCTCGTTCCGCCACCTCCGTCGCCACCTTGACCTCAATGAGCTTCACTTTGGTCGTCAGCATCTCCAGGGAAGCAATCAGCTCGCGTGTGCGACGCTTCTCCGTCTCCATCGTCGCCTCCGTCGCCTCTCGTTCCGCCGCCTCTGTCGCCGCCCTGGTCTCCATCGCCTTCACACGGTTTAACACGGCATCCACAGCCGCGCTCAACTCCCGAATGCGACGTGCATCCGCACCAGCCTCCGCGGCGGCGGCAGCAGTAAAGCTGCCGGCGTTCGTGCGCGCCGTCGCCATTGCCGCCTCTGCCTTCTCAGCAGCGCTCTCCGCCACCTTCTCCACCGCCACCACTCGCTTCGCCAGCACCTCCACGTCCACATCCGCCTTTGAAGCCGCAGCGGTCGAAGTCTCCGCGCTTGACCGTGCGGCGTTCGCGGCAGCCGCAGCGGCGGCTTTGGCTGACTCCGCTGCCGCCGCCGCCTCGGAGGCTGCGCCCACCAAATCCTCCTGTTCGGTCTTGAGCTGCTGGATCTTCGCCGTCGTGGCGTCGTACACGGCCTCCAGTTTCGCAACCTTGAGTTGTAACGGCACCAGGGCGTCCTGGGCCACCGCCCCTGCGCCCTCGGACTTGCCGCGAGACAGCGCGGAATCGGCCAGCGAGCCCAGCCTGAGCTCGAGTTCCTTGGAAAGCGCCGTGGCTACCGCTGCTTCGAGCATGTTATTGAAGGAAGCCTCCATGCGCTTCATCTCAGCCCTGGAGGGTGGAGACGAAGAGAAAGAGGAGTCTGTCAAACTGTATCAGGCACATTATGCGATCATGCCAGTCCTAAACAGAGACACAACGTACAAAAATAATACAGCACTACTGCGAATACATGGCTGGGAGAGGGGTAAACCACCAACCTGCAATGCTCCAGCTCCTTACGCTGCACCCGCACCTCCTCCTCCAGCCTTCGCCGCTCTGCCACATGCATGGTGTCTGCGGCTTCACACGCCGTCACGCGTGTCGCAAGCGCCGCCAGGGCCCCGCTGAAGTGCGACGTCGCCTCCGTCGCCTCGTCTGCCGTACGCCGCGCGGCCTTGGCGGTATCCACGGCCTGAGACGCGGCCTCCGTCGCCGCCAGCGCGGCACGAGCAGCGTCGGCGGCGGCTTGGGCTGTACGGAGGTCCTGCGACCGCTGCGGCCCGCCAGACAGCGACGTTGATATGCCTCCGTCGGCGGAATGCCGGTCGGGGCGCAGGGCGGCTTGGCGGGCCAGCTCCTGTGGGTTACACGGGGGGTGTACAAGTACGAGGCGGGTGGTCAGGCATGGGACATGGTTGGCATGCCTGGCTTGCTAATGCCAAGTGTGGCAGTGGCGTGTAAGGACCTAAGGAGTACTACAGCATCTCATTTCGCCCTTTTGGACGTTCATAGACGATCGTCATACGCAGCTGTTCGCGTACCTTTATCTGGGACTCCATAGATGCCAGCCGGAGCATCAGGTCCTGCGGAAAACGCAGACAGAATGCAGCGTTGAAGTGCATGCATGCGTGTTACCACCTGTAACTTGATAGCACAGCCAGACTGGAGAGAGTAGAGGGGGCAGCTCGGAACTGCTTGGAAGCTACATGCCGCTGTGTGAACGCGGTGGCGAGGGTCTTTTGTGTCCGTACGACGATGCAAAAGACACGATTTTGCGGTGCAGCAAAGGACAGGGAGCTAAGACCTCCTCCTCGGACGTATGCCACGGCAAAGGACCTGGTTTCACTGTCACCTATTCACGCCAGTGGGTCGTTGCTCCATGGTAATGTTGCTTACATTCCGCATCCATTGTGGCGCTCACCTGCGGCAGCGTTGCAATGCCGGACGGGTGCCTGCGGACCTGCGGCCGGAGTAGGGAAGGGACGGAGGGCTGTTGAGTGCACAAGGTAGGCAAGGCGCAGATCGCAAGCTAGAAGGTAAGGAAGCCCATGGAATGGTACTGTAAGGCCGCATACACAAGACCCATTAAGTTCACCGTAAGATACTCTCCCTTGCATGCTCACAACACAGTTCCGACCCCAACTGCCCTTACCATGGACCCCACATCCGCCCCTCCTCCGCCTAACTCCGGCCTTGGCGGCGGTGGTGGCGGTGGTGGCGGCGGCGGCGGCGGCGGCGTAGGCTCCGTAAAGGCCCGCTTGGGCGGAGGATGCGGAATCGGCGCCGATGGCAGCTTGCTGCCCCCGCCGCCTGCATTGCCATCTGCCGCTGATGCAAGTCCGGATTCCGTTTGGGCCCGCGTGATGAGGCGCGGAGGAAAGGCGCCTGCGGCTCGTGGGTCCAGCACGCGGCCTTCTGGCAGCGGCTGTAGCGGCTCCGGGATCTTGCGTTCCGGCTGTGGTGAAGAGCAGGGCGGCGGGCAGGGGGGGACCGACGGTCAGCCAGATGAGGAGTAGGCGTGAGATTGAACTGGTAAGCAACAAACGGTGCACAGCCGAAAGGCCAACAGAATACAGAAACGATGCATACATACCGAGGGCTGCATGGAGCCTGTCAATGCCGCAGCATGGAACGTACATCAAGCTTACACACAGAAACTCAAGCTAAGGAAGTGCATGCGACCGCGCCAAAATCAAAGGATTCTTCCTCACTCCTCCAACCCTTCCTTACCCGTCTCGGAGGTGCGCTGAAGCGTGCCGGGTCGCCATTTGACAGCAGGCGCGGCAGGCGGCGAGCAGCAGCCGCAACTGCATCGCCGTTGTTTACGTTGGGATCCTCCGGGCCGTTGGCACCCTGTTGCCACACGCGGTTGGCGGGCGCGGGACGCTGCGAGGGCCGGGGACAAGCTTAGGTAAACACACCAGGTCCTACGCTCAGCTGTGATAACTGCACCAAGTTGCATGAAAGAACCAAGATCCCCACACAGCAATGCAACATTCCCAGGATCCAGTAGGTTGCCAGGACCAGCCCCTTTTCCTACCCACACCTCCACTAGTTCCAACAACCCCGCAACAGGCTCACCTGCGCTCCCAGCGAGGGTAGCGATGGAATGATCAGCTGCCGCTGCTTCAGCCGTGCACCCAGCTGCTCCGCTGCAGCCCACACGTCCATGGCGCCATCCGCCTCCTCCGCTAGCGCCGCCAACACGCGCAGGAAGTTTGAGAAGTTAACCTTGCGGGCGCCCGGCGGTTTTACCTTGGCAAACACGACGCCCACAGCGGCCGCCGTGAGCGGGCCTGGGGGAAGGAATTGAGGTGCAGGAGGGAGAGGGAGCAGAAGCAGGGGGAGCAAAGGGTGGGGGGAGGGGGAGAGGTGCTTAGAAGATGGTGAAGCAGGGTTTCGGTTTCGGTTCGGGGTTTAAGGGGGAAGGGGCAAATGTGGACGCGAAAAAAGGGTATATGGGGTTCACGTAGGGAAGGGAGACAAGAAACACACCACAGGGCAGAGGGGCAGAGTGGAGGTCAGCCATGGGCTGAGGAGTTTGGCGAGGAAGTCACCTGAACGGGATAGTTGAAGGAGGCAGATCCAGCGAAATAGTATTGTTATAGAGAGTAGGTTGTAATGATTGGCGTCCCTGCTCATGTTGTCGCTGCCAGCAGCGTTGCTGTCTCATGGTGTGCTGCGGTCGGTCGGTACTTACAAGCTCACGCGTATCGTTGGAGTTGAGGGTGAGGCAGGGGCAGCCATGAATGCCGCACATACTCCGGCGTCGAAAGCTTTGTGATCGAGCTTTGTAGCCCACGACGTCGGGAGGACCAGCCAAGCCTGATAACTGTGAACAACGGCCTTCGCAGACCCAGACGGGCTGGGCCGGAAAGAGTAAAGGAATATTTGCATGTAAGCGGTGGATGGTGGCGTGTCTAAATATGTAAGACTTTGTAAGGTAGGAAGAAGTGTCGCTGGCCGGCGGGGCAGCTGGAAGGGTTTGTGGACAGGCCTTGAACGAGGCAGAGGGCTTGGTAAACTCCATCCTCCTTAGCTTGGGGTGAAGAAGAGCCTGCGTGACCCTGCCGATACATGAGCTTGCACCATGCCGGATCACCCAAACTTTGGGCAGCAACTCCTGTCTTCGCAGGAATGGATGCAAAACCCCTCGGCTCCTTGCTCTTTAAGGTTTCCTGCCTTAAAAAACAATAACCAATAATGAGAAGTCAGGCAATACCCTAAGCTTAGTAGCAGCATGTAGCATTGGGTGCCACATCCCACCTCCCCCCATGTGCCACTGCTTTCCTTCATCCTCATCCGCCAGGGCTTTCCCTCACCCCGCTCTGCTTCTTTTCCTTCTTTTCCTTCTTTGCACTGCTCATCCGCTCACCTTGCGGCTGCAGGAGGCCCATGTCGGATGTCAGCCGCTGCAACTGAGTGGCCACCATACGGGGTTCCGCGTAGTCCTCCTCCGAGGTCAGGCGGCCCTGGCCTGGGCCCACGGCATAGCGGCTGTACACGATCCGCAGCAGCTCGCTTTGCTCGGCGCCTGCATTGCATGGCAGAGGGAGAAGGAGGGATAAGGGAGGGCGGGATGCAGGGCGAAAGGGACTAGTGTAGGTAGTAGGCAAGCTTGCGGAAGCTACGAGGCTGGGTATCTACACGGCTGCCGTATATACTGCTAAATAGACAGAGCTTGTGTTTTGGAGAGCCGTAAGAAAGCTACCGTACGGTACGTGAGTAGCCAACAAGGGCCACACAACCCACACGAGCGACCCACCATCGGGTACCCCAGGAAGGCGCGATGCGATGTGGATACGTTCCAGCCGGGCAGCCTTGGCGTACTCTTGCGCTAGCCTCTCGCACATGGCCACGAACTCGTGAGGTGGATAGCTTTTAGCACGGCAGTCGGAAGGCAAGCCCAGAGTATCATCTGCGGGCGCGAGTGACCCATGGGTCAGCGGGCAGTTGTTGTTGAGTACTCGGCACATGAAGTGGCGTCATGGTGGTGGGGGCGGCTCACAGCCCAGGCAGCATGCAGGCCGCAGAAAGAACTGCTGTACTGCGTTATGGCTTTAAGGCTGGACTCTCAGCCGGTTACTGCAATCAGTTTCAACTAGCTGCTCTAGGAAAGGTGCACGACAAAAAGCTTGGCCTCAGCATTTGCACCCCGCCACAGACCCACACCAGCTAACCCTACCTATCTGAGTCGCCGGTATGCCATTCAGCAGCCCCAGCTTGCCAAACGCTGACACCAGCGACTCGTAATCAATCCGGTTGTCGTTGTCCTTATCGTATGCGCGGAACACGTCAGCATACACCGACGAAGGGAGCACGACGCTCGGGTCTGGATTAGCCGGAAGGCCGGGTACAATATCGTTGCCTGCCTGTTGCTCCTGACTGACTATGCCACCACCGCCGCCGCCACCGCCACCGCCGCCACCGGCGCTTGGATCTACCGCAGCTAGGTATCCTGCCGCAACCGGAAACGTCCCTGGCGCTTGCATGGATGGGGGATGTGGAACCGGCATGTATCCATTGGGCTGCTGCTGCTGTTGCTGCTGCTGTTGCTGCGTGGGTGGCTGTGTTGGGGCTGGTGGGGGCTCAAACAGCTCCTTCCTGGGCCCTCCTTTCTGCTGTCCCTGCTGTCGTGGTGGATGCGGTTGCTGCTGCTTGGGCCGCTTTTTCGCCGAATGTCCTGAACCCCGAGGTGACACCGCACCGCCTGCTGGCCCCGGCGAGCCGGCGGGCTTGGGGCCCCTTTGATGCTTGCCGCCGCCGCCGCCGCCGCCGCCGGCTGCTGCTCCTACCTCCCCTACCGGAATGATGATTGGAGGTACGGATAACGGCGGTTGTGAGTTCTGGGAAGAAGAGGATCCGGCACCGTACGAAGCAACCGGAGGTACGGAACCCGATGAAGGAATGCTGTACATGTACGACGTGACGCGGACTTGGGTTGCAGGGCCTCCGTTCGCATTGGCCACAGGCAAGATTGTTGCGCCGTTCTGTCCCGGTATTACTAGCTTCATCGCGGCTGAAATGAGCTCTTTCTCGTGTTCTTGCTGCGCTGCTTGGGGCGACATTAGCTGGCCGGCGCCTGGAAGAGGGAGAGGAAGGGGCGGCAAAGGACAGGCCATGGAGTCCAGGGAAAGAGCGGTGTTGTGGACGGAGGTTTCGGCTTCATGCGTTGTGGGAGCTGCAAGACAGCATCAAAACAAGGAAATGTATGGTCCCATGAGGTGTGGAACCAGCCTAGGTTGGGCAGGCATGCAGACACGCCCTTTGCAACGAAAGCGCCCTGTCTCCCCCTGGTATTGGGCTACAAGTTCTTGACTTCCCTCTCTCTAGCCCCCTTCCCCCGAAATGGGTGTGTCTTTTGTCACATCCGTATGGCAGCTGCCTCTCTTCCATCAGTTCGCGTGATGCAGCCCAGTAGCAAGGAAAGCGGTCTCTACAATGTGTATCTCCACAACCAGTCCCGGGTGTGCTAGGGGTGTTAAGGCCCCTCCCCATCCTTCCGGGAGCCCTATTGTGCAGGCAACCGTCAGGGCGGTTTGCGTTTCGTACCTCCGAGGCCGCCTCCCGTTGGTGTAATTGCACCGAGGGCCTGCAGTAAAGCACCTCCGTCGCGGACTTCCAGCACCCTGTCGCTTTCGGCCTGGACGAGCACACATGAACCACAAGTCGAAACGTGTTAAGCCAGATATATGAATGGTGAAGGCGCTATGATGATGGCGAAATGAAGGTAAGTATCCTAAGGGAAAGCGAAAAGTCTCCATGGGGTGCGTGACAGTCCATTTGACAGGAGCAAAGCAAGCAGGCGCTACGCTAAGAACACAAGTGGACGACGATATCTGCACGTGAGTGACATAACAAACGAGAAACAACGCTTCGCATGTACAGCCTGAGCTTGGAGTGGCCGCTGTTTCTTCCCATGCAGGATAGGACAGGCATATTGATAATAAACTTACGTTAATATATTGTTTATTAGAAATAAACCCTTAGGCCTTTCCATGGTATGCTTGGATAACCAGTTGCAGCATGCCCTCGACATACCCGGGCGACATATACAGTGGAGCGGACTGATGGGTTGCTCTCCTGAACCACTCTTGAGTTGTCATAGGCCATCGCTCCTGTCAGGTCTTACGCCTGCGGAAGCATCTACTTCGTCGCTCTACCGGCTAGGAATGGATAGACGAGCAATATGATATCAAATTATGACGGAATACAGGGTACACAAGTTTTATTGTCATTTGGCCACAAAACTTCGGGGTATGAACTGTTGGCGTTCACAAGGGATATATTCAGTGAGCAAGAGTAATTGGAAATGCGATCATGTAGGTGCTAAAGCACGAATTTTGAATTATAATAATCTGCAATTAGTGGCAATGCTCTGCCATTAGCTGCCTAGCCAGTTTCTCTTTCTCCGTACAATTAGGCGCCTCGGCGGTTTCGAACCATTCACTCCATTCACCTCCTTTTGGGCTGAAAGGGGCAATATAACTTTTATTTTGCTTTTACGCTGGCTTGCGCGGATCTCGCTGAACTAGATGCACGATGCTAGCCCGCTCAAAGCTCGACATGGCTACCCTACAGGTGACCCGGCCATATTCCGACCAGTGGGTAATTCCGACCACCCAAAGTTTGCACTCCCTATTTAGAGATACCGCTCGCGCCTTTATAACCTTTTAGTATTAAGTTGTACTAGTGTTTTAAGGCCGGCAGACAGCCGCCCAAAGGTAGTTATGTACCCGGAGCCATATCCTCGCCTTGACATAAGATTTTGCCAAACAGGTTACCCGAAACGCGATGTAGCCGTCCCAGAGCCTTAATTCCGCACTTGTCTACATCTAAGCTAAGGTGTGAAACCGATGATCCACTTTACTTTACGTGCCTCCGTTCGCGTATCGACAATTTCCATGGAACATCGCGGTGGAGCACACAGTAACTGAAAACAAGGAAAGGAACCTTCCAAGCGCTTCCTCTAACTTTAATTATATAAAAGATAGATATTAGGACGTCAAGCGCGTGTGGTTGCGCAGTTAGCTCTAGGGCCTTTCACCAGCCCAGGCCGTGGGGACCGGGACGGCGGACGGGGTTCCTAAGCAGCAAGCGCAGGCCTGGTGCACCAAGGCAAGCGTGTCAGACGCCATAACTAGCTTTGGGAGGGCGGGGGTATTGATCATGGGGGCAGCGAGCACGTCACGGAGGAGATTCCAGGCGAGCGGGAGGACGGGTGTTGCAGTGACATGGGGTAGCGAAGGGTGAGGCCACTGTGCGGGCCGCAAAGAAACGTTGCACCATAGCATACTAGTCACAGCGCATGCATGAAAAGAAAGTTTGTCATTTGGCAGCGTTTTAGGCCTCTACCTGCCGTTACCGCAGGATGCATGCATGATGCTTCCGACCAACCCAGTCAGGCATCGTCCGATAGCACCACTAAGCATTGGATAGTTGATAGTATCATATGAAGACGCTTGGGTGTCAATGGCAGGTCGTCGTGGGTTGTGGGGACAAAGTTTGGGCTACTTTTTGGGTGGTCGGAATTACCCCAGATTTCCGAGGCTGGCTTTTTTGGATAGGTCCTCGTAGTGAGTGATATAGGACGACCTAACCTTTATAAGACGTCACGCAACTCTAGGGCCCGATAGTGTACTTCAAGAGGGTCCTGATGCGACTTACACGACCCCGTAAAGCTCAGTGGTGCGTATTTTATGGCCATTCGCGTGTTAGTGGTCGGAATATGGCCGGTTCACCTGTAGTGAAACATAAGTACACCATTCAAGATCCCAAGCAGCGCGCCTGAAACCAGTTCAAACAGCGTACGCATCCATGCGCCAAGGCTGGAAATATGCGAGACCTCTAGCAACCGCCATAGTTGCCGACGTACTCAGGGACTTGGGCGGCGCGCAAAAACGTGATTGTGACGTACGTAAGGAGCTGAAACCCCGAACGCGGGCCTTCTCGCATGGCACAGTCAACAGGGGTGATCGCTTTCGCACTACTGTGCACATTCCTTCCTCTTTACCAAGCCGTAAAGGCTGGAACCAGAAGGATTCCTAAAGGCTCGCATTGCGCAGATTCCCCGTCGTGGGGCGTTACGCCGGGTCTAACCACAATTCAACTGAACATGGATTGCGAAGTGAATTCGCTAAGACCTATCGGCGCAGCTCATGTAGGTGTTTAGCCAGCTGTTACCCCAGCTTCCCCAGGGCGAGCAATTACCCGTGCTGATGTCCCCGCTTCCCACCGGCACATGTCCGCCGTGCCCTCCTGCTGCCCATCCCTTCCGCTATTTACTGAACAGCCAAGCAAGAGGGGCCACGCCATTTGCCACCATCCACCCAAACATGCCCCTAGCCACGCACTGTGTTGATGCACCGTCAGCCATTGTACCGGTACCGGTACCTTCCCTGGTACTTTGAGTGCGTGGAGTCCTAGAGGGAAACACAGTGCGACTCACACGTACGTGTAAACCTCTGCGCCTGTGCAATGCGGGATTGTGCGACATGTTGGGGGTGGCTAGCCAGCTTCACGCTGATTAGTTGTGGGTAGTTCGTTGGTTACCCTTAGGTAGTAACGATGCATTGCCTTTACCCAGTGTGTTCACTGTTGCTCTTTCCTTCCCTTCATCCCCGGTGCGGTTGTTACAGCCTGTAAAGGGTGTCACCCAGATCAGGTCGTACTTTGCCGTATGTACGAACGGCAGCCGCCATTTGCAGCCTTTGGATTCAGTCGCATAAGCATAAAGCGTAGATGTTGATTTACAAAGGACGTTCGTACACCATTTTGCAACGCTCCATTATACCGCATACCGTGACAATGCGTCGCCTGCGAAGCGTTGCAGGACGTCAGTTGGCATCAGTTCGGTGCAATCCCTCCCTTGCAAAAGTACACCCTAATGCACGCTAGTGGCGCAGGACTAAGCGCTATGCGCTGTGATATTATCCATGCGCCGTGTCCCCAGAGCAAGGACGTCTAGGAGATGCTCAGACAAGCCCGAATTAGTTAGCGAGTTCGTTAACACAAACAAGGAATTAACAGATTAACACAGACAAGGTTAACGAACAACGACCGCATTTGACGACATTTGGATGTCAGGCGGGTTCCCTTTTCCAGGACCCTGCCCCACCCTGGAGGCTTACGATAGGATTGCGCTGCGCATGCCATGAAACAGAAGTGCAAGTAGCGGGTGCCGGTTGCGTAAAAGCAGGGGTTGCATCCCCACGGCCGAAACAAACAAAACGATGCAACCGCCGTTTTGAGCTTACGGTGGGAATATAAAACGGAGTAGGGTGCCATCTACCATGCCCTCCCACAACAGCCCAAAACGTCTAAAACTACCGTACACTTGGAAGTATTACAACGCACAACGTGCATACCCAACAACCCAGCATCAGATCTAGCCTTCCTCGCTCCGTAACACTGCATCCGCAGCGCTAGATCTGTCAAGAAAACTCAAGCGCAGCAAAACAGCTACGGGAAAAGTGAGCATTGTAAGCTAGTAACACCGAATCCAGCACACCGTACACCTACAGCCAAGCCGACGCGATTGCGCGCCATCCTGCACACTGTCACTTTCGCTCCATGATATTCCGCATTGCGGTGGCAGCTCATTCCGCAACCTAGAGCCACCCTCCCACCCGCAACCGCAGCCGCGTTCCCATGTGTGCTCGGGCTTAATACCAACCAACCCTCCAAGTCCTTTAACACAGCAAACACAAGCATGCATGCAGGCAGGCGAGGCAAGGAAGCCGGCAAGCCTGGCTAAATCCATACCGGTACGTGCAGACGGCCTGTGTCTAACACCCATCACCCGCCCTTTCTCCCAAGCACAGAATAACAGCAGCAGCAGCGGTAGCAAGCGGTCACACAGCGCAAGAGATGCATAGCCTAAGGCGAGGCGCCTGATACCATGAAGTTGGGTTTTGGCCCGTTTGTGGCCCCTTAACATGACGGGCCGATTAATAGTTCAGCAAACCAGGTGCTACCGCCCTATGCTCCGCCTCTCAGCCAACCAAACAACCAAAGAACAAAAGGACGGATGTGCCTTGCGTGAAGAGTTGCCCGCCGCATCAGCATCCGTTCTGGACCGTTTCCAAGAACCCTGCTCTACAAGGCACCCGCTTCTCTTCTCAGCGTAAAGCAGGCTCATACTTCGTTATAACACGTGCTCATTATCTGCAAATCTTATAGATCCAGCCGCCGGGCTCTTCCCTCTCCATCGTCGTAGCTTGTAGGTTCAGTCGGCATCAGTAAGTAAACCCCACACCGTCCTCGCACCGTTAAGAGGGCAGACATCACCTTCCATGCCAGACCTCGCCAGCCAACACCACAGCGTTAGTTAAGACACCACCCACCCACCCACCCACCCACCCACCCACCCACCTAGCAGCAGCAGCAGCAACAGCGCTATCCCCAGTCGGTCAACATGCAGACCTCGTTATCAAGGCTCCCCTTCCTAGGCCACAAATCGCAGCCAAGTCAACACCAAGCCATCCAGCGCCCTCCTTCGCCTTCCTGGCCCCAGCAACCATCATCTGTCGCACTACAACACTGCCAACCTCAGGGTCCAGGCGACTGCGGCAAGTGGGCAGATGAAAACACACTAGCCCCTTATGATCACATCATCTTACCCAGACGACCCTTATATACGAGCGCAGAGGGGCAGTGGACGACCGGGGTCCCGGGTCCTAGCTTGGATTCCACTTCAGCCGCTACGAAACATTCCCAGATGTGCTTAGCTCAATGCTTACAACATACACACAGATGTATACACACGCACTAAACGCGCAATACCGCTGCATGTTTATCACGGCTAAAGGGATTAAAGATAAAGCACAAGCAAGATGCTCAATAAGGAATTAGGGATGCCTAAGGAGGGGTTAAATGCTGGGACTGCACGTGAGCGCATTCCAGCGCCCAAACCAATCAACCATGAAGGACGGATAGATAGCCATGGCACGAAGCTGCGGAATCCCTTCTCCCCCATTGAAGCCTCTGTGTTGAGCGAGTGGTAAGCCAACCTTCAAACTGTACCCCACCTTTTCGCCACCAGGTGCCTTCACTTCGCTTTCAATGGCCTAAAAGGCAGCACGTGGCCTAAAAGGCTGCATGCTCAACACGTGCATGCATGCACAACGTTAGAAACGCAGAACACAGAAGTATTCACTTGTTGTAGGCACACACACGATGGTTACGCAATGTTTCAAAGCCCAAAGCCGGGCCCATCTCCCTGCGGCAGCCGCCTCCACCCAGGCTTCTGCACCCCTAGCCTCTCTGCACAACTCCCCGCTTACCGCTGCCGCTGCCTCCCAAGCCTCACCTCCCACCTCCAAGATCACACATCAAACCTCACAAACATGGTGCAATGTCGCATTTCCCACGACACTTTATGACCCATGCAACTCCCCTTGCAATATTCAACACCGGTGCAAGTAGCAACGCACAACCCAAGCTGTCACCATACCGGCTATCCAAAGAGCTGCTTTTGTCCACAGGACGGAGCTGACAGCTGCAAGGCGCCCGCCGCGTCGTCGCTCTCCAAACCACCCGCCATCAGCGCGCGACTACATACGCTGCATCGCTACGCAGCATATCCCAAAGATGGGCGCTGCTGCAACCCCTCGCCCTCGCCGCCTGTTGTCACCACGTCTATTCGGCGCACCGGCGGACCTCCGATCAACCGGGCGAGGGTGTTGGGTGAGGGAGGCCTGTGCAGGGAGGGATGGTGGAAAAGGGGAGGGGAGAGGGAGGACAGCAGCAGCAGCGTGAGTTGCAGCTGGAGTGTGGCAGGGACTGAGGTGCACCTGGAAACACACACACCCACACACAGCCGGTATAGCCCTTGTGTCGCATGCTGTTGTCCCAGTTCCCCTAAGTTGCCCCCCCCCCTTGGTACTTTTATTGCTTCGTGCCTACTTTCTTTACCTGTGGCACAGAGCACCTCCCATTAGCAAGTCACCCCTTAACAAGTCACTTGTCTCAGGTCAGCTACCTAGCCCATGAAAGCGGCCCATGCCATGAGGCCCATACAACCCACATACAACCCATCACACTACACGGCCGCCCCAACTACGACGCGCCTAAAACGCAACACCCATGGCACGCTAGACGCTGTTGCACATGGGGCACAACAATGTGCATGACAAATTGAGAAACGACTCAAGGAAACATACGCATTTTCTTATCGGGCATACCGGCGGTGGGAGGACGAGAATCACAAGGACCACACTAAGACGTGATGCAAACGAAACGTAACGGTTATACGCGCAACGGTAACGGATGTACGGACGACCGGCACACCCACCGCCTCCTCATCGCCGTCCACAAGCCTCGCACACGCTTTATCCTTTCTACCTGTTGGATTGGATGATAGTGGAACTGCTTCCCATGCCATCGGCACCTGGTTCGCCGTACGTCTTGTTGATGTGGTTCTGAAGACGATCCACTTGGCGAGCGATCTGAAGGAATGAAGGATGAAGGACCAAGATGAAGAGGGAGAGAGAAGAAGGGTGGAGGAAGGGGCGGCGCGGCTAGAGGGTCAGTGCTCAGGAGGAGGTGTGGATAGGAGCAAGGGAGACCATGTTGCAAACTTGCAATTGTTCGCGTCCCTGACTAAAGAGGTGCTCGGTCACTTCATTCCCGCCCGCCCCGGGCGGGAAAGTATCCCTGCAGCAGCTACTCGTACGGCATTGCTACTCGTACTGCTAGCCGTATCATACTGCTTTCGACGCTGTCCTACGGGTGGCAGCAGCTGTCGTACCTTGAGCAGAATCTGCTGCAGCGTCTCGGCCTTGATGCGGAAACCCTTCTCAGCTTCCTCGAGACGTTCCTGTGAGGCGCGAAAGCAGGGGGGTTGGGGCAGGGTTGAGAGGAGGTGTGAAGTAAAGCGGTGTACCGGTGGTGGGAACCACCACCGTAGTTTGAACGCATGGCATGGCACACGATAGAACAAGCTAAAACACCTTTACCCCGCTCCCAAGGCATCTCTTCCTGCAAGCCAGCGCTTCTGCTCCCTTCCCCACCTCCCAACATTCTTCATTTTACAACCCCCCCCCAAGCTCCGCCTCCTATCCAAAATGCTTTGCCCTTACATGTGGTTTCCTATGGTATGGTACAATCTTTGACCCCCCAAGCTCACCCCCATGGCATGAATGCCCTCATCGAGCTCCACATCACGAGCACGAGCCGCCTCATCCGCCGCTATCACCGCCCGCCAAGACGCCGCCGCCATGGGATCCACATTCGCCGGCGGCGCCACACCCGGACTGATCTCCCCGGCTCTAGCCAACGCAAGAGAGGTATTGGGTCGGTCGCCAGGCGCCATGCCGCCTCCCGCTCTTCGCACGTTGTTGTTGGTTTCAGACATGAACACCTGGACGCGTTCCTTGAACTCTCGGAGTTGATCGCGGATGACGGATATGTCTTGGACGTGTTCGGATGAGAGCTTCTCGTGGTTTTCTCGGAGCTGCTTGAGCTGGACTGTCATCTGACCCACGTCTTGGGCCGCCTCCTACGAGCGCACACAAGGGCACATAGCGGGAGGTACGGCAGCAGGAGGAGTGGGTTTAAGCTCAGACACACATATTGCCGGTGCTGTGGCCAGCTTTCTGAACATATTACTGTGCCACAGGGATGCATGTGCACGTATGCATGAGCGCATGAGGTCCCGTTAGCCCGCCGGAACGAGCGGTGTGTGCGTTAAGAAAACTGGCCGCGAGCGGTGTGTGTGTTCATATAACTGGCGTATGTGTGTGTTTTGCCGCACAGCCCCCACCTGCAGGTCCGCCAGCAGGCCATCCGACACGCGTTGCAGTGACTTGAGCTGCTTGGCCTGGCCGTCCATCTTGGCGGCGATTGCGTCCTGGGGGGAGGAGGTGGAGGAGGAGAAGAGGGGGCGGCAGGCGCCGTCGCCAGCAGGCAGGGGCGGTGAGGTCCGAGCATGTGTTAGTATGTGAGCATGCAACTTGAGGTTGGGCCATGGCAACAGTGCCAGCTGCACAAGCTGTAAAGTTTCTACAGCACCACCCCAATCGAGCTCCGCACCTCTCACGATTGCAGAGGAGCCATAGCCACACATCCTAGCCCAGCGGCTTCCCCTCCCACACCCGCATCCCGACCCATCCCAACCCCACACCCACCAGCACTTCCTGCATCTCCGGCATGGTCACGTACTTGTCGCTGCCGTCCTTGCCGTCCCGCCCCGCCCCTGCTGCCGCCGCTCGGGCAACCGCATCCGCAGTAGCTGCCTCCAGCGATTGCACCTTGATGCGCAGCGCGTCCAAGTCCTGAGCCTGACCGATCAGCTCCTGCAGCGCCTCCCCGAGTTCCTTGGTGAACCTCGCCTCCAGCGCTGACACCTGCTTGGCCAGCTCCGCACCGCTCTGCGCGCTGGAGCTCTGCGTGGCGCTGACGGAGGCGGTGATGGAGGTGAGTTGCAGCTCCATGGCTACCAGCTTCTCCGACAGACCGCGGACCTGGATGAAGGCGGAGCTGCTCTGCTCCGCAGCGGCGCTCACCTGGGCAAGGATGGTAATAGGAGAGGCGGAAAAGAGAGGAGGAAAGAAAGGAGAGGGAGGAGATATAAATGAGAAGTGTAGAAACAGAGGGGGGAGTTAGCTGGAAGGATCGGAGGAGGGAGGAAGGGAGTGAGAAGCGCAACAGACGCAATACTCGTGTGTGTGTAACCGGGTAATACATGCGTAGGAAAAATGCAGCAGCAGCGGATATGGAACGCCGCTGCTTTCAGTAAAAAGTAAGCGTCTCAGACTAAGTAAGCAGTAGTACCCTGACCACGTAAACCAGCCGACCCTACCTTTGCGTCGAGCTGTTCAAGTTCGGCCCGTTTGTCTGCCAGGGTCGAGTCGGGCTGCTTCGGTAGTTCAATGGACGGGCGCGTCCCGGCAGCCTGAGTGCGCGTACGGCAGCGGGGGGATTTCCATGGGAACTTAGAGGGGACTTGAGAGGGGACATGAGGGGTTGAGAAGTTTAGTGTTGCTCTTGATGACGCACAGCCATGACCTAGAAAAAGACAGCAAGCAGCAGCAGTTGCCGGCCCGACGCCCCCCACCTGCAGGGCTCCATTAGCGAGGGAGTGCGCCTCCTCAGCCCGCTCCGAAGCCGCCGTCAGCTGCCGTGTGATCTCCTCCAATCGCCGCTGCAACTCGTCTACCGAAACCAGGCTCTTCGGATCCGAACCGGCTTTAGAAGCCTCCGAAGCACCGTCCGCAATGACCGCAACAACGCCCGCCGCTCCTCCCACAGCCCCGGCTTTTCCTGCATCCGCCGCAGCCCTCGCCGCGTCCGCCGCCGCCTTCGCCTCCGCCGCCGCCACCTTCGCCTCCGCCGTGGCGAGTTTCGCCTCCGCCGCCACCGCCGTCACCTCCGCCGCCAGCGCAGCGTAAGTCTGGTTGGTATTCGCCGCCGCCGCCTCAGTCGCCGCCGCCGCCGCCCTGGCGGCTTCCCCGGCCCCCATCGCCGCCGTCGACGCCGCCTCCGCCGCGTTGGTGGCAGCCCTAGCGGCATCGCTCAGCGTCGCAAGGGCGGCTTCAATGGCCTCAATGCGCGCCGTGGCGGCAGCCGCCTCGTCCGCCGCGGCCTTGGAAAGCGCGTTGGCTGCGTCCGCGGCGTCACGCATGGCCTGCATCTCCGCCACCGTCATCGCCGCCGTCGCCACCAAGGCAGCGGAAGTGGAGCTAGGGGCAGAGCGAACTGCCGCCGCCACCGCCGCCTCCTTTGCGTTCCTTGCCTCGTCCTTTGCGTTTCTTGCCTCGTCTTTTGCGAACCGTGCTTCCTCCCTGGCGTTCCTCGCCTCCTCCAAGGCCTCCGTGGCACGGCCGCCGACGGATGCTAGCTCCTTGCGCAATGCCTCGAGCTGCTCCTCCGAAGCGCGGCCGCCCAAGGCTGCCAACTCCTTGCGCAAGGCTTCGAGTTGTTCGTCCGTTGCACGGCTCTTGACGGCAGCCAGCTCTTTACGCAACGAGTCAAGTTGTTCCTCCGTGGCACCGCTTTTCATGGCGGCTAGTTCCTTGCGCAACGCTTCAATTTGCTCCTTTGTCGCACCGCTTTTCGCCGCTGCCATCTCCTTGCGCAACGCGTTAAGCTGATCCTCCGTGACACCGCTTTTCGCCGCTGCTATCTCCGTTCGCAACGCGTTAAGCTGATCCTCCGTGACACCGCTTTTCGCCGCTGCCATTTCCTTGCGCAACGCGTTAAGCTGATCCTCCGTGACACCGCTTTTCGCCGCTGCCATTTCCTTGCGCAACGCGTTAAGCTGATCCTCCGTTACACCGCTTTTCGCGGCTGCCATTTCCTTGCGCAACGCGTTAAGCTGATCCTCCGTTACACCGCTTTTCGCGGCTGCCAACTCCCGACGCATCGCATCCAGCTGCTCCTGCAGCCTCTGCAGCAACGCATCTGCCTGAGAAGACGACTCGGCGGCAGGAAGTGGCACGACTGCCTGTCCCGCGGCCGCCGCCGCCGCGGCGGCGGCGGACCGCATGATCGCGTCCTTGAGCATGCCCACAGCCGATTGTACGGCAGCCACGTCAGCTGTGAGCGCCGCCAGGGCCGCCTCCGCCGCAGCGTCGCCTCCGCCACTTGACGCATCGGCGCCAATGCTGACATTGGTCCCTGAAGCCCCCCTGCCCCCCGCATTCTTGCCGGTGCGACCTCCCGACCCCCCACGCCCACCGGCTCCCGCTCCTGCTCCTTTCGCACCCCCCAACGGCAGTACGACCCCATGCACATGCAGCTGGGTCGGACCCACGCCCCGGGCGACGCTGAGCTTGCCAATGTTGACCACCACGAGAGCCAACTGACGGTCGATGTTCACCATGAGCTCCTCCAACGCGACTCGCCGGTCCCCAGGAGCGCTGCCGGCCTGGTTCGCTGCCGTCAGTGCGGCGGCGGCCTTGGCGGCGGCGGCCGCCATGGACGCTGCCGCCGCCGCCGTCTGCGCATCCATGTCGGATGTCGTACCACCCGCATGCGGCATTCGGTCGCGCAGCATCTGCACCCGCGCATTGAGCACAATGAGAGCCGCCTCGAGTGCTGCGACGAGCTTGGCGAGGGGCTTCTCATCCGCCGCTGAGTTAGCGGCGGCGGCGGCGGAGGGGGAGGGGGAGGGGGAGGAGGCGCCCGGCTTCGTTGCACGTCGTCCCGGAGCCGCCTTGCGATCCGTGCCGTCTGAGGTTGGCGTCCGCTCCGCATCGGAAGCCGCCGCAGTCGTGGCGGCGGTCGCCGCAGCGGCTGCGGCCGACGCCGCCGCTGCAGCCGACGCCGCCGCCACGTCGAGCTGCAGCTTCTCTGCTCGCTCCGCTGCCGCCTCCGCTGCGGACCGAGCCGCCGTCGCGCCCTCCTCCGCCACCCTCAACGCCGTCTCCAACGCCTCCACCCGCCCCACCATCGCCGCCATCTGCTTCGCCTGCATCTCGGTCATCTCCGCAGTCGCCCGCTCCCTCGCAGCGGAGGCAGCGGCAGCTGCCGCCGCCGCCGCGGCGGCGGCGGCGGCCGCCGCCGCCTCCGTCTCGTCATCTCCCACCGCCCTCATCATCGCATGCTCGGCCGCCACTCGCTTCACCTCCCGCATTTCCGTTTGAATGATCCCCAGGATGTGCAGACGCAACAACCCGCCCAGCGCCCCGGCGTCATCCGACGTCAGCATCATCTCTAGCTGCTGTCGGAGGTGAACCTGCAGCGCCGCCTGCGACGCCGTCGCCGCCACCGTCCCAATCGCCCCCTCCACACGCTGCCAGTCACCCTTCGCCTCCTCCAGCCGTCTCCTGAGCTCCTCTAGCTCCGCATCTCGCCGCCTTCCAGCCGCCTTCTCCTCCGCTAGGCCGTCTTCGCAAGCCTTGACACGAGCTTCAAGAGGTTCCACAGAGGCTCCAGCCTCGTCCGCGGCCTGCATGGCTGCGTTGGCGTCGGCCGCCGCCATGTCGGCGGTGGCGGCGGCCTCGGAGGCGGCGAGGGCGGCGTCGGCGGCGGCTTGGTTGGCGGCGTCGGCCATTTGCTCGGCGTAGACGGTGCGTTCGTGTACGGCACGAGCTTCATCCATGAGGGTTCGTTGCTCCTGTGCGCATGAGTAAGCAAGAGGAGAGGTGTGAGGTAGGGTTGCTGGCAAACGTCTCAGGGGAAAGAGTCGCTCCAGCAGCAGCACCCAGACCAGAGACCAGCCTCCCCCCCCCTCACACACCTGCAGTTGCCGCTCCAGGTCCTGAAGTCGTTGAAGCAGCGCCTGCGGAGAGGAGTCGTTTGGGTCGCTGGCGGGCTCGAAGGCCTTGATGGGCCGCAGAGGGGGACCCACAAGCAGGGAGTTGGTGGAGCCCTGGGGGGAGGGGGAGGCGGGATGGAGGGAGGAAGGCGGTGAGGAAGGTAACGTCTCCGCACGCTTTTTGTTCCGCTTAACTTTAAGCTCCCCCTGCAAGTGAAGGACGTTTAGGTTCGAGGTGATGGTGCGTCATGTTAGAATGCAGGTGTGTGGAGGCTGTTGAGAAGGGACCTCGAAAGGAGGGTGATCGAAGGCAGGCGGGAGATCGGTAAGTATGTGGGGCATGCAGCGCCCTAGCTGCCACAGGGGCAGGGGGGCCGCTGGAGGGTCTTACAGATTGGGCAGGAAGAATAGCCAGAATATTGGCAAGGTATTGTGAGCGTTAGTTGGGCAGAACATCCTATGATACACCCTGCATATGGTAAGCAGTTGTACACAGAGGAGAAGGAGGCGGAGACAGAGGCGATGGGAACAGAGGCTGGAAGACACTTTGTTGTTTGGGTTTGCGTCTTCTTCTGGATTGCCAGCCCATGACGCCGTGATGCCATGATGCCATGAGGCGGGGTCCCAATAGCAGTAGCAGCAGTAGTAGTAGGACGTCCCTCTCGGGCGGCCACACCTGTGGATGCAGGGACTTGATTCCGGTGCTCTGTCGCGCCTGCAGCACACAGCAGGAGAAGCGAGGCACGGGGATGCAGTGGGGAGGGTGCGGGGGCAGGCAGGGCGACGAGGGGAGGGAGCAGGGGAGGGGAAGGGAACAGGGAAGGGCAAGGGCGCAAGCGAGAGCGAACAGAGCGAGAAAAGCAAGGGATGCTTGTTTTCTCATGCTGGTATTGTTTCGTTGCTAAAATGCGGACGACGGTCAGCAGGGTTGTGTGTTACCGGTATGCATGCCGAGCAGCCAGTGCAAAGCAAGTGCACAGAAGAAAGCCATCAACATGCACCCCGTGCAGCACACACAAAACCAGCCCTTGTACACCCCCTTCCCTCCCCATCCTCCTCTCTGCCATCCCGTCCCCTCCTCACCCCCACCCCACCCCTCCTACCACCCCTCCTACCAGCTTGCTCAGCGGGTCCTCCCCGCTGCTGGCCGACGTCACAAAGGCCTCCCGAGGCAGCGGCGCCAGCGCCCCACTGCCCGGGTTGAGCAGCGAGGAGCGGCGGCTGACCAGGGTGCTGACGGGGGGCAGCGGGCCGGGCGCGGAGGCGCCCTCGGGAGGCTCCTCCGCCATGACACGCTCGTAGTACTGCAGGGGGGGAGGGTGGAAGGGGGGGAAGAGGGAGAAGGGGGTGAGGGGGGAAGGGAGTATGTGCGGGTGTGTGTTTTGAGTTAGCTGGATGTGTATGGGTGGGTGAATGAGAAACACCGAGGGTGGGACGGAGCAGGATAGGATCGGCCTTTTCACGTCACCATGCGTCACACGGTAACACGAAAAAGAAAAAATGAAACAAAGCACAGCAGGAAACCTGCGTGCCGGTAGTAGTGGCGCCACCACACTTCACCCGGTTTCATCTCACCCCGGTACAGTTGCACCCCGTTCCACCCTGGTACTATTCCACTCTCTCCACCGCTCCCCCCCCCTACCTTGCTCCTGGCCCGCAGCGGCATGGAGCGGTCCTCCCCGCCCAGTGTGGATTGCTGCTGCTGCGGCGGCAGTCGTGGCAGCCCCGACAGCATCTCGTCCTCGTAGTCCATGCCCATGTAGATGCCCGGGTCCTGCTCCTCGGGGCCGTTGCCGAAGGAGGCTTCCTGCGCGAGGAACAGCGGAAGAATGGGGAAGAGCGGGGGAAGAGGGAATGAGGAGTAGAGGGGATAGCAGCCGCGATGAGGGACCGTGAGCCGTGGCTGGTGAGGTTGGTAAGCAGTGGCGGGAGGAGGAGGGGTCAGCAGCGCTCTGCTTCTCCATCCCCTTCCTTGCGCCCTTGCACTACACCACCTACTTGCTCCAGGAACCCAAGGGACCGCCGCTGCCCTCCCCACCTCTCGTACGTCTCCTCTCAACACCACGACTATTATACACCCCACATCACCCCCACCGCCCCCACGTCCACGCCCCTATACCAAAAGTGCTGCACCCCCCCTACCCCCCCCCAACCCCACCATGGATGGCGGTGCCTGCTGCCTCAGCCGCATGCCCAACTCGTTCGCCGCCGCCCACACGTCCACGCCGCTCTCCTCCTGCATGGCCGCCAGCGCGCGCAGGAAGGCCTGGTAGTTGATCTTGCGGCTGCCCGGTTGCTTGACCTTGGTGAAGATCAGGTCCACGGACACGCTGGAAAGAGGGCCTGGGGAGGGGAGGCCAGGGGAGGAGGAGGGGGAGGTGAAGAGGCATGAAAGGTGACGTCACCAGTCCACTGGCGCTCGTTCGGCTGCGGACCGTCCCATGGGTCGTCAGTGCTGGTAGGCGTGGCCTTAGGCAGCGCTTTCGCTGCAGCCCAGGAGTTATTACCGCACGAACATATTCCGTGCGTGCTTTTCAAAGTATCGGTTTGGTTGCTGGTGGGATGTGCGCCGCTCCCTTGCCCTTTCCTTCCATTGCGCTGTTGAACTGCTCACCACCGTTCGACACCCCAACGGCGCCCACCTGCCCTGAGAGCACCGTGCCTCCCTTTCTGGAAGTGTTTCTCAGGAAGGCTTCACTACGCCTCCATTCCTCCCAACCCTTCCACTCAGCAGCTGCACTCACCGACTCACCCACCCACCCTGCACCTCCCAGATCCACACGGACAGCCCATCTTCATCCCGCTTTCCACGTCCGTATCTATCGCAGCAAGCTTCCTCTCTTTCTCCTCTCGTTTGTCTCCTCTCCCTCTTCCTCCTCTTGCCTGCTCTCCCTTCGTCTCCCCTCTCCTCCTGCAGCCGCCCCCTTCCTCCCCAACGCCGCCCCTTCCCATCCCCGCTCTCTCCCGCTCCCTCTCCTTCCCTGCCCTCCTCCCCTGCCCCACACCCACCTCATACAGCATCCGCCCCTCTTCCTCCCCCACTTTCCACCTCCCTCCTCCCATCCCCAACCCCTCCACCTCCCTCCCCCCCTTTCCCCCCCCCCTCCCGCACCCCCCACCCACCCCACCTTGCGGCTGCAGCAGCTTCATCTCCTCCACCGCACGACACAGCTGACGAGCCATCATGCGGAACTCCCCATAGTCCGCCTCCGTCACCAGCCGCCCCTGACCCGGCCCCACAGCGAACCGGCTGTACACGCGACGCAGCAGCTCAGCACGCTCAGCACCCCGCGGAACGCCCGGCACGCGGGAGGCAGCGCGGATGCGCAGCTCACGCGCGTTGCGCGCCTGCCAGGCAGCCAGTCGCGCGCAGTTCGCGAGGAACTGGTGGGGCGTGTAGGTGCGGTTGCGGGTAGCGTATTCGGAGGTGGGAATGCCGAGGACTTGGCCTGTGGGGAGGGAGGAGGAGGGGGGAGGTAGGTGCATGGGTGGGTGATGGGGTGGAGTGTAGGAGAGGAGGAGGGAGGGTGTTGGAGGAGGGCATGGAGTGGAAGCGGGGGCCGTGTGGGGTGGCGGGTGCGGTGTGTGGGGTGGGCTGGGTTGGGAGGCAGAGCGGATGCCGTTCGTTCGTGCGTTCTACTGACGGGAGAGTGAGTCTGCAGCCCTGAACTGTCCACACCCAGGGCAAGGACTGGCCGTCGCGTTCCCTCCTCGCTTCACCGGTCTGTCAGGGACCCAAACCCCAGGGGCAGCCCCCTCTCCTCCCCCGCACCCTTTCCGGGGCCCCGCGGCCCGACCCCTGCCTGCATCTCACACACACGAGCCCGGGCCGTTCCTCCATACCGAGGAGTTTGGGGTTTAGCCCTTCCAGCAGTTGAAGCTGCGAGAAGGCTGCCACCATGGAGGCATGGTCGATGTAGTTGTCGTTGTCCGTGTCGTACATCCGGAACATCTCGGCATATTTGACTGACGGGGGCACCACCCGCAGCTGGTCTGCGTGACCACCCATGGAAGGGCGCACCCGAGGGGGGCTGACGGACGACTGAGATTGCTCCACACCTCCAAGCTCTCCGCCGCCGCTGAAGGTATGGGGTGCTGAAGTGGTTCCAGGTTCAGATTTTGCCGACTTGGCATCAGGCTCAGGACCGTTGTCGCCATCGCGGTTGCGATTGCCCTGTACAGGCACCTGTTAGGCGATTGCAGCATTAGAAGTATGAAACGTGATGCATGTCGAATAACGTTGGTGTTGCCTAACAGTGAAAGCTAGGTCTTCGAAGTTCCTCACCGCAATCTCAGACGCTGCCTTAGCGCGGCCGGCTGCCTTTGTTGATACTGGCAACTCAGACTTGCACTTTTTTATTTGTTTGGGCGGCGCCTCTGACATTTTTTGCAAAGGGCTAGGCGCGGGATAGGAAGGCCACGCCCGCTCAGTTGCGTGCTGTAGGACTACTAGCTGCGCACTATGAAGATACTTAAGGCAGACATTTCCTCAGGGTAATGTGGGTAGCCTCTGTATCTCAAGTGTAAGCGGTTTTCCTATCCGAAATTGCACACGTTACTAGCTCTTGCGAAGAGGTGAGTTGACAGCGGGTAGTAGTTGCCCAGATTTCCATTTCTATAGTTGGTATGTTGAAACGTATTTTGTTTTACAGCATAGCCTATGCAAGGACGTACTTAGAAAACCGGCGAGCCGTTGGCTTTCCTATGTCGTGCAACGGAGCGGCCGGACGCTCTCATGCGCATTAACATTTGGCACACAGTTGCTTCTGGTCACACTCTTAAGTTGCTGAGCACTTGTATCCTCCATGTAGGTTTCCAAGACACACCTTGATTGCTAGTACGAGCTATACGAGCTATTCAACTCATGTACTTTGCCAAGGACAACCAAGAGCTTATGTCAAAAATGAATCTAGCTATCATGGTGCAGGTCACACTAGAAAGTTGCGGCGATCTTTCCTGAATGATACTAACGTTGGCAGGCAGCATAGGCTAGCTAGGGCCTTGGCTAGGGCTATTTTGGGTGGTGCTGGCTCGTCGCAGGTCCCCCGTGACCTCCCAATGTGGCCGTGCAACCCTTGCCAACTTTCACAGGCTTTCACTTAGTAACGCCCCTTGCACAAAACCGATCCTCAGCTAGTCCATCGCCGTACTTGGGCACGCAAAAGGACGACGATTTTAAAGGGCTCTGCAACACTTGCTGCGGAAACAAAGTGCGCAGTAAAGCAGCTCCTACGGTGTTGTCTTACCTGCAATAGACAGGCACGCTAGGCTGCGCTGCAATCTCCATAGCGACAACCAGCTAGGATTGTAGGATACCTCCCCCTTGGGCTGTGGCCCTTGCCAGGCGCTGGCAACCACCCAGCAATGCCCGCGACGCACGCCATCTTACAAGGCCGTAGCTCAACGATCCGCATCCCCGCTTGCCGTTTCCCTCCTTTCCGCAGAATGAATGCTACGTACTTGGAAGCAGTTTCGGCTTGCCTGGTTAAGACCCGTTTCGTCGGTAGGAGCTACCACTGACACTCACTATTGCGTTCGCATCCTCGGCTTTCCCTCCTCCCCTCACCGACATGTCGTACAATGAGCAATGCTGGCATACATCATGCGTCGGTTGGCTTTACCGGTAACCACCCGTTTCCGTTAAACTTCCCACTGAGATTCCCATCGAGAACTACCGGTACGACGATTATGATCTTCACATCGAATTGCATCGGGGAATCCATGTCCCCCATATTATCATCAGTCCCCACCTCCTGCAAGCTTCTCCCACATTGTCCTTAGACCCAGAGCTAGGAGTCGTGCTCCCTGGAGGCCCCTATATACGGTGCCCCCAGGGGCAAAAAGCCCTCCAGCAAATCCTCCCTGCCTACCTACCCTCCTGCTTTCTGCAGCACGACCTTCCAGGTCCTTTCAACGAGCCTCCTCTATGTATCCTTCCCTTCTTTGCTCGCACGCTTGTCTGCTGTTTACCTGGGAGACATGTGGGGAGATGAAGAGTCGTGGGTTTGGAAGAGGGAGGAGAATGAAAATTGCGAAACTGGCAGGTATCCCGACGTACCGGATACCTGTCAGTTCCATATGTTTATAATAGGCTGACGGGCTGATGGTATTTTCCTACGTGTCACCTGCATCTTTAGACGCTACAGCAACCCTGCCCTTACGTGGGGTAGGTAAGAGGAGGAATACTGGCGAGCTGTATGACGGGGCCCAGCACCCTGCCCTTCCATGGGGGTGAACGACCATGCCGAATCATAGGAAACCACATGGGGGAGGTGCAGGAAGGCACTTAAAGATGTGAATTGCTTATCACCAGCTTATGATATATCATACCGGTACAAGGGTCTGAGACCTCCTTTTCCTTGCTCTACTTGTACATGCATGCAGCCAGCCTCTCGGCCGGGTAGTTTGCGGCAAGAGCAGTGCCGCCGCGGCAGTGGCACTCAAAGCACGAGCAGTGTATAGTAGTGTATCCTTGACGAATCATGGAATCCGGGGTCTGTCTGACACATCCAGTCGAATTCCTTTTCCGCTGTCTGTACTGAAACCGTCGTACAACAGAAGCATTACTTCATGTATGAATGACCGTTACTTCATGAGGCTCCCCCAGCAGCGCCCACCCCCGACGTCCTGCGGCCCCGCTGCCCCCCTCGCCCCTCCCCGCCACCCCAGCCCGCTGCCGACGTGAGCTGGAAATCCCGGTTGGCGCTGCGCTTGGCGCCACGCATGAGGTTCAGACCCTGGGACTGCGCGGAGCCGCAACCGCAGTAGTGGGGATAGGAGGAGGGGGGCAGGGGGGGCAAGTTGAGGTCCATACGCTGGGCTTGGGCGCAATCGTAGCCGAACGGGTTTAAGGAACGAGAGCAAAGTGAACGCAATGGGGTTTAGCCTCTGCGCTATCGAATCCTCTCATATTGTTTCACCAGCCTTCTCGTTCACCACCCTCACATACACCGGTACGCTACCTTGTACGCGTTGTCCAGCGCGAGCAGGTGCCGCTCCCAGTCCTCAATCTGTCAGGGAGCGCGGGGAGGTGGAGGTGGGAAACAGTAAATGAGAAGTGAAGCAACTGGAGTTCTCTCATCCCTTTCCTAACCCCCTTCCTTCATCCCACCCATCCCACCCACCGCGTGAAACAGCTGCGGAAAGGCCTTGGCATCGCGCTTGAGCTTGGCTCGGGACAGCTTGGGCGCGCCGCCCGCTGCACCCTCCTCACCCTCCGCCCCCGCGGCGCCCGCTCCTCCGCTGCCCCTCAGCTCGTCCCCCACCGCCGCATACACGCCCTGCGTGAGGTTCCGGTGAACCAGGGAGACGAGCTCCTGGAATGGGCGGCTGACGGGGGGAGGTGGCGGGGCGGAGGCGGCGGCAGCACCTGGGGGGGTAGGAAGGAGGGCGAGAGGAGAAGGGCGGGCGGACGTGTACGGGTGGGAGGAGGAGATTAGTGGGGTACCAAAGAGGTACTTGCAAATAGGCAGCAGGCTCGCGGCTTGCGGGTTGCGTGTTTACGGCAACGGCCGAAGGAAAGGGTAAAGAATGGGGATCCGGCGGCAGGAGCAAACAGTGGCAAAGCACCCCCGTTTCTTGCAGTCACACCATCCAGCAGCTGTCCCTCCCTCCCTCACCCTCCCTCACCCCTTTCCTCACCCTCCCTCCCTCACCCTCCCTCACCCTTGAGTGGCAGGTGTGTCTTGGCCAGCCTGCCCAGCAGCCGGTAGGTGCGCAGCAGCACTGCCACCTGGCACTCCAGGACCTGAGGGGGGGGAGGGGGTCAAAGGCCATACCGAACCATAGGAAACCCCCATAGGCGAGGGGGAAGGAGAATGGGGGAGAGGAGAGGGGCAGGCGCACGTCCCGACATCCAACCATCCCGCATGCAGTCCATCCTGCATGCAACCATCCTGCATGCAGTCCATCCTGCATGCAACCATCCTGCATGCAGTCCATCCTGCATGCAGTCCATCCTGCATGCAGTCCATCCTGCATGCAGTCCATCCTGCATGCAGTCCATCCTGCATGCAGTCCATCCTGCATGCAGTCCATCCTGCATGCAGTCCATCCTGCATGCAGTCCATCCTGCATGCAGTCCATCCTGCATGCAGTCCATCCTGCATGCAGTCCATCCTGCATGCAGTCCATCCTGCGTGCAGACCTTACTTCGCACAGCCGGTCCGCCGCCGTGCGCTGAACCATGCATGCCGATCATGCGCCATTACATGCACAGGTCTCTGCCCCCCCCCGCCCCGCCCCACCACAGCATGCACAGCACCGCACAGCATGGGCACAGCACGGCACCACAAAGCAAGCACTGCACAGCACCGCACCACAAAGCAAGCACTGCACAGCATTGCACAGCAAAGCATGGCAGAGCACCGAAGAGCATGGCAGAACATGCATGGCACAGCACAGCACCGAAGAGCATGGCACAGCATACACAGCACGGCACCGCACAGCACGCACCGGCGGGCTGCCCAGCCTCGTCTGCACCACCGTCTGCAACACGTCCACCGCCGCATGCAGCCGCCGACACAGCGCCTCCGCCAGCTGAGCCACGCTGCGGGCGGCAGCAGCACTGCCGCGACCACCACCACCGCCTCCGCCGCCTCCGCCAGCGGGCTCACTGCTGCTGCCGCCGGCACCGCCGCCGGCTGCACCAGTGCTCTCGCTGGCAGGTCGGGATGACGGGCCGACGTTGCCCAGAGCAGCATCTGTTTGGGGGTCGGAATAAGAATACACATGGAAGCGCTGAGTTATGATGGCCTTGATGGGGTGTCAGGTATTGGGAACGAAGACAATGCATTGAAGCCATCCCAGTACGGTAGTCCCACCATTCCTCTGTGTTCACTTCTTCCCCTAAAGACACCACAGGGAGGGCTAGCACCCCAGTAACCACACCCTCTCACACCCTCTCACACCCTCTCAGCCCCCAGCCCCACCGCACACCTTCCGCCGCGCCCCCCGCCCCCAGCACCGCCGCCCCCAGCAGCTCCTCCCCTTCCGCCACCGCCCCCTCCACCAGCCGCAGCACCTCGTGGGCCGCAAGCTGCGCAGTGCCCTCGTGCAGCGCTGCGGGGGTGTCGGTCTGCATGGGGCGGGTGGCGGCGGGGGGTGCACGGGATTGGTGGTGGGGGTGGGTCGGACAGTTCAGCAGCAATCGTCCCCTTTATACGGCCCAGCGGTCCCCGTCTTCCGGCCGTCTTCACACACACACACCTGCAGCTGCGTCTCCTGCCCCGCAGCTCCCACCACGTCCTGCACGTGTGTGGCGATGACGAGCAGGGCGGCGAGGTCCTGGGTGCCTGGGGAGCAGGGAGGCGGCAGGGGGGGCGGCCGGGCGAGGACAGTTAGGACGGTTAGGAAGCCCTGCTCCGGCTTCAACCTTAACTCCTTCCCGACCAAGTAGGGCATGGGGTCAGGCAAGGTAGCGTTCCGTCCTTGCTTGTACGGCAGGCGCCCTCACCTCGCAGTGTGGCATGCGCCGCCACCAGCGCCCGCACCAGCGACCCGTGGGTCACCAGTGGCTCCTCCTGGAGGGGTCGGGGGGGGTGAGGAAAGGTGAAGGAGGGGGGGTGGCAGCAGCGGGGCAGTTGGGTAAGAGTTGGTTGTCGGGCAGAGGAGTGTGCGGCATTGTGTATGATGTGTGGATACTGATCGCATGTGTGGAACACTGGTACGGCAAGGTGGCAGGGGCGCATACCGGTATACCAGGAGCCCTCCAGGGGTCTCCTCAAGTACGCAAGCCCAAACCCGCCCAAACCCGCATTGTCATGATGGTGCCTGTCAACACATGTCCCGACCCACGTGACCCTCACCCTCACCCTCATGCTTCCTGCCCCCCCCCGCCCCACCTGCTTCAGCAGCTCCCCACACACATCGCTGACGGCCCGCTGCGCCCCCTCCGGCAGCAGTCTGGCCACCGCCACCACCACCTCCACCAGGGAGGTCGCCTCCTGCGGGGTGTGCGTGTGTGTAGGGGGATGGGGGGCCGGATGGAAGGAAGAACTGGCCGCAAACCTGGCCGTGTAATAACAAAACCAGAACGCCACGGGAGACGGAAACCGTGTGTACGCGCGTGTAGAAGAGAGAAGCAATCGAGTGAACCCGTGGGCTTATCACAGTTGTGAACAACACAGTTTGCTGGAACAGTTTAGTACCGGTACCGTCCAAGCTGGCCGACGACTACCAAGCCCCAGTCCAGCCTAGCCGCCTCACGCCCGTCCCACCTCCTACTCCCCCACTACCTCCTACTCCCCCACTCCCGCTACCTTGAAGCAGCTGTTGCCCATGAGTCGCTCCATCATGTCGGAGAAGTGCGGCAGTCGAGCGAACACCACCTCATCGGGAGGTAGGTCGGTCTCGTCCACTTGGGCCTGAGGGGGGCAGGGAGGGAGGGAGGGAGGGAGGGAGGCAGGCAGGCAGGGAGGGAGGGAGGGAGGGAGGGAGGGAGGCAGGCAGGCAGGCAGGGAGGGAGGGAGGGAGGGAGGCAGGCAGGGAGGGAGGGAGGGAGGGAGGGAGGGAGGCAGGCAGGCAGGGAGGGAGGGAGGGAGGGAGGCAGGCAGGGAGGGAGGGAGGGAGGGGGGGGGGGGGGGAGGGGGGCAGTGAGGGAGGGAGGGAGGGAGGCAGGGAGGGAGGGAGGCAGGGCGGGAGGGAGGGAGGGAGGCAGGGCGGGAGGGAGGGAGGGAGGGAGGGAGGGAGGGAGGGAGGGAGGGAGGGAGGCAGGGAGGGAGGGAGGCAGGGCGGGAGGGAGGGAGGGAGGGAGGGAGGGAGGGAGGGAGGCAGGGAGGGAGGGAGGCAGGGCGGGAGGGAGGGAGGGAGGGAGGGAGGGAGGGAGGGAGGGAGGCAGGGAGGGAGGGAGGGAGGGGGGCAGTGAGGGGGGCAGTGAGGGAGGCAGGCAGTGAGCGAGGGAGGCAGTGAGGCAGGGGCAGTGCAGCACCGGTAGGGCTTAGCAGCCGCCATGAGTGCTAAACATGAAACACAAAGGTGGTGAATGAAGCAACATAAAGCAAGTGCTCCAAGCGCCCGCACCCCCGCTCTCACTCCCAGCAGCCACCCACCCACCCACCTGCAACCACCCACCTGCGTGTCTTGTGAGTGTATGGGCAGCCCCCGCAGCACCCACGCCACCGCCTCCAGCCCCCCCAGACCCGCAGCCGCCCCTAGCACCTCCCGCAGACAGCACACCGCCAGTGCTGGCAGCCGGTCCGCGGCAGCGGCCTCGCGACGAGCGGCGGCGGCAGCAGCGGCGGCGGCGGGGCCGCCGGCTCCGCCGCCTCCGGCGCCTCCGGCGCCGCCCCCCCTGCGGGGCGCCGGCGGACGCTTGGTGGGGCCTTGACAAGTCATGAGTACCGTCTGTAGGGGCGTACGACACATGTACGGCAGGGATGTGTACGACACATGTACGGCGGGATGTGTACGGCGGCATGTGTACGGCAGGGACGTACCGGGGCAGGGCAATGCAAGGTGTGAGGTGCAGAGGAGAAGGCCATGCAGACCAAGATGATGCCTCCTGTTGTGCCCACAATAACGGTAGCCCGAAAACGCCCCCAGCACCCTAGCCACCCACCGGCGCTGTTTGCCGCTCTTTGCAACGTGCCTCTCCTCTCCTCCTGCAGTCCCAACCCTCCCTCGACCCCACCCTTCCTCCCAACTCGCCCACCCACCTGACACAGCAGCACCAGCGGCCTAGCCAGAGGCCGCCAAGGCGCCTCCGGACCACTCCCACCACCCCCTCCTCCTCCTCCATCCCTTCCTCCTCCTCCTGCCCCCCCTCCTCCACCTCCTCCTGCGCCCATGTATGCATCGTATCCCACCGACTCCATTGACCCTATCACCACCCCCGCATGTCCCCCCGCTCCTGCCGCCGCCGCCGCCTCCCGCTGCTGCTGCCGCTGCTGCTGCCGCGTCTGTCGCCGCTGCGCCGCCGCTACCAGCGCATCCGCCAGCGCAGCGCCGGTGGCGGCGGAGGCGGCGGTCAGGGTGTTCAGGCAGCTGCGGAGCACGAAGGCGCGGAAGACGGGGCTGCGGGCCAGTCGGGTGTGCGGGGAGAGGCCGCCGCCGCCGGCCGCGCCGTCCTGGGGGGTTGAGGACGGGTATGGGTGAGGACGGGTAAGGACAGGGGAGAGGGAAGGAGGAATGAGGGATGAGGGAAGGAGAAAGAGGGTGAGGACGGCAACACAGGGACAGAGAAAACGTCCCCGCGCCCCAAATGCTGCAGTACGGAAATAGTGGCAGGAGCCCCCCACCACCCCGCTCACCTCCGTTCCGTCCCCCCCGCCCGCCGCCTCCATCCCCTCCTCCGCCCCTCCCCCCGACACCAGTCCGTCTCGCAGCACGCCGCTGCACAGCTTGGCTAGGCAGGCAGCGGACAGAGCGGGGGGCCGGGAGTCCGCGGGAATGAGGTCGGGGCACAGCTCGCGAGGGCGCTTGGCGCTGCCGCCGCCGCCGGCTGCTGCAGCGGCGGTGGTGCCGGCAGCAGCACCAGCACCAGCAGCAGTGCCGCCGGAGCCATCGGCGGCGCTGCCGGCTGCAGCCTAGGGGGGGTGGGATGACGGCGTGGAGGAGGTGGAGGCGCAGCGTGGTGACGGGGGCATGTGGCAGTGGCAGCATGCGGGTGGCTCCGAAACCCGTTTTGAACACACTAAGCCAAGCTGCATGACAGCACACAAGTCATGGAGAGATAGGAGTGTACTGGTACTAGGACACCGCCCTACCTCGGTGCACGGGTACTAGGACACACCCCTACCTCGGTAGCTGCTGGCTTGGCCTTGGATCCTCCTGCTGAGGCAGGACAAGCAGAGGCGCGGGGTTTAGTGAGATGATACATGCGCAAACACATGTGTACGGGGCACAGCGACGGAGCCCCTTGTCGTCGTCATTACATGAAACATTTAGACCTGCCTCCCGTACCGCCTCAAGTCCCCCCGTACCGCCCCTACCTGGAGCCTTGGCCTCCCGCGCCAAGTCGTGCAGGCGGCAGTGCAGCTCGAAGGCGCGGGCCAGCCGCTCGCCGCTGCGAGCCGCGGTTTCGGAGCCGCCAGGACCTGTGTGCCGCGACACATAGCGCAGTTGTACGGCAATTGTACTGGCGGGCCCCCCGCCGACTCTGCCACACCCTACCCCATATGCTTGCATGTACTCCTCCTGGTACCAGTACCCCCTACCTGCGCCCGGCCACTCACCCGCCTCCCTCACTCACCGGTAGCTATGTCCACCAGCTCTTCCATCGCCACCTCAATGGCTCCCAGCAAGCATGCAGCCTGCACAGCGGCGGCATACACGCATTGTGCCCAGCGTCAGAATCATGTGCGGCGCGGCGAGCCGGCGACCCGTGGGTCAGTAACAGTTCACGACTTGGCAACCTTGAGGGGTTCTAGACGCGCACGCATGCAGCACGCACTTCCTGCTGCCTCCCCTCCTTAGCCACGCACTTCCTGCTGCTGCCCCCCTCTTCAACCCTTGTGACGCCTTATCTCACGGTTCGTTAGCTGTTTCCTCTTTACCCTCCTCACCCCCAAACCTGCAGCTACCTCTCCTCCTCCTGCCCCCCTCCTCACCCCCACACCTGCAGCTACCTCTCCCCTGCCCCCTCCTCACCCCCCCACCTGCAGCTACCTCTCCCCTGCCCCCTCCTCACCCCCGCACCTGCAGCTGCCTGGCTGCTCCGCTGGCGACTGCGGGGTTGAGGTCCGCTGCGCAGTTCATGTCGAAGTGCTCGGCCTCGCAACGGAGCAGCCGCCGAGCTAGGCCGTCCCAAGTGCGGACCAGGTCCTGGGGTCAGGGGTCGGGGTCGGGGTTAATAGGTGATGCACTTTCCGCATGAGGCTGCGTTAGGCTGGGTTGCGATTAGTCAGGGGTCAGGGGTCAGGGTGTGGAATGGAGGGTAGGGAGGTAGGGAGATGCAGCGGGGAAGAGGTGGGGGGTATGCTGAGAGGAGCGAAGCACGGTATTACTTGACGGTGTTTACGTATCTGCACACGTGCACTACATGCGATGGTACTTACCCTTTTTTACCTGGTACACGTCCTTCATCCCCTGCTCCCTCCTTTCACCCTCTTACCTTAACCGCCAAATCCGCGCCCTGGTCCTGCCGCTGCCTCCCTCCGCCATACTCCTCCTCCTCCTCCTCCTCCACCATCAACACATCTCCCCCTCCTGCTCCTCCTCCTGCCTCCGCCTCATCCTCTTCCAGCAACACCCCAGGCATCCCCGCCGCTGCCGCCGCCTCCTCCTCGCCCGCCGCCACCGCTGCCGCCACCATGGCCTCACGACACAGCCCGGCCACCCGCCGTACACACGCCAGCAGGGCAGGAAGCGGCTCCAACAGGGTTACGGTTTCGGAGCCACCACCGCTGCCACTGCCGTACCCGCCACCACCACCACCGCCGCCACTCACCAGGAGCTGTGGATTAGGGGTAAGGGACAAGCGGGGACGCAATCGCAATTTTAACGATTTTAGTGTTAACCCATGCCATGAACCTATGGAGCTATGTGATCGATCACTGCGACTCTAGATACACAGGCGACGTCAACCGACGCCTTCAAGCAGTATACCCGTATGCGCTTCTCATGCAATCCTGGCAAGCTGTGTGGTTCCCCGCGTGCCTGTCATGCCCAGCTGCTGCACAGCCACGCACCCACCCTGCAGTGCAGCGGCGGCAGGGCGGCTCCCTCCGTCACGTAGCGGTAGAACTGCGGAGCGACCAGCTCCAAAACCACATCACGGGAGCCTGCATGGTGGTGGTAAGGGGAGGAAAGGGGAGGTAAGGGGAGGTATGGAAAAGCATGGGGGAAGGCAAGGACGGCTGCTGAATCACCCAATCAGGCAGTCGGGCAGCCCATGCAAAGGAAGAAAACGTCCGCGCGAATGTGTCCTCTACCTCACTGGAGTTCATTACCGTTAGTTACCGTTAGTCCGGTCCCCACCTGGATCCGCAAGCAAGATGGCTGAAAGGCCCTCGTACAGCGCCGACCGTACGGCCGCTTGCTGCCCCAGTGCCCGGCGGAGGAAACCCTGCAGGATTTTCTAATGCATGAATTTTCCGATGCAAGGAAGAAAGGCCCCAGGAGGCGCGTGTCGTACATGCCGTACATGGCGGAAGTGTAGTGATCGCAAAAAGGCATTGTTGTCGACATTGGGGCTCATCCTCCATCCTGCCCTACGCCCTTGCCCCTGCCTTTCATCGCACCTTCTCACATGGTTCGTTACTTGTTTCCTCCTTACCCTTTTCCCTCGAACCTAACCCCCTGCCCCTGCCCCTACCCCCCCCTGCCCCTTCCCCGCCCCCTCCCCTGCCCACTTGCAGCTCGTGTTGCAGACTGACTCCCGCTCCGCTGGTCAGCGCCTGCATCTGACTCAGAGAGGACTGTACGACGACACACACGTCACGACACGACACGTGCAGGGGACCGGGGGTGGGGGTTACTAGGGTTTGCCGGCGTGCGGGATTAGATGGACTAAGCCGCGAGGAAACACTTCCATCGTGTGTGGGGGGGATCTGGGCCTGGCGCGGCTCCCATGCTGCAAAATACAAGCACCATGCACCCCCGTTTAGTACATGCGCACGGAGGCCGCGAACGAGTATGAAGTTTTTGAAGTAATACCAAAACATTACCAAGATTATAGGCCAAAATCTTGCTAGGTTTTGTTATACCTCTTACCTGGCTGCATGAGGCTTGGCTGAAGCTGGGGCCAGCCGCCGCCGCCGCTGCTGCTGCTGCTGCTGCCGCCGCGGCTGCCCGCTCATCGTCCTCCACTCCCGCACTGCTCGCCGCCGCCCGCAGCTGCTGCAACAGGATGAACAGGAAGCCGCGCACCGCAACCAGCCTGGGGGGAGGGGGGAAAGAATCAACGCGAAGTGAGAAGCATGTGGAGTCCCAATTCCTGGGAGGAGGGGAGGGGGTTGCACTCAAGAATTGCGGGATTGGTGATTGCGAAGGGGCGCAAATCCTTCCTTCCTCCCCTCCTCTAGCCCTCCATCACCTGCTTCCCGCCTCCCTCTCCCCCACCTGCTGCCCGCCTCCCTCGCAAACATGACCTTCCGCAGCAGCATCACCAAGTAGTCCCCCAGGTCCCGCCGCCCCGCTGCTGCCAGCGGCCACAGCGCCAGCAGCAGTCCTAGAGCCACCGGGGCGGGCAGCAGCAGGAAGCCCTGCAGCGCGTCCTGAGGGGGGGAAGGGGGGACGGGGTAAGGAGGCAGGAGGGGAGAAGGGAAGCAGAAGGTATATCGGAGGAGGAGGGAGAAGGAGGAGGGGAGCGGAAGGTTGTTAAGAACGCTTTAACCTACACCTTGGGCACTCCCACATTGCCGTACATCCTTTTGTAATCTGCCTGATAGACGGTGCGTGATACTGGAACGTTGGCAAGAGGTCGTCGTAACCCGCACACCGGTATACCCTGGTGTACCTTGATTCTGGAGGTATGTTCAAACAGCAACGAGGGGTGCCTCGCCACCAAGTTCCCAAGTAGCAACACAGCGGGCAGCGCCAGCTCCTGACCCCACCCGCCCGCGCCCGCAGTCCCCAGTGCGCCGCCCCCTGCCGTCAGCGACCCGTGGGTCGCTCCTGTGCTTGCTGCGGTGCCGCCCAGGGCTTGCGTGCAGAGGCGGAGCACCTCGGGACGGGACTCGCGGTGAGCCTCAAAGGCGGCCTGACAGGGGTGCGTGTGTAGTTGAGTAGAACAAGAGGGGTGCGTGTAGGGGTGCGTGTGTGTGGGGAGTGGGGAGATGTACAATGACGGCAGGTGAGAGGACGCAGAAGGAGGCAAGGTGAGGGTGGAAGGTGAGGGATCAGGCAAGTTACCCCGACCTGCACCCGTACCAAGTAGCCCCCACCTGAAGCAGTTGGATACCCAGGAGGGCGCTCAACAGCCCCGCTGAGCCCTGAGCTGGGCTGGGGCCAGCAGCTGCAGCAGCAGCAGCAGGAAGAGGAGGGGCAGTAGCACCACCTACAGTGGCAGGTGGATGGAGGTGGGAGGGAAGGTAGCGGTACAAGCGTGGGGAGAGCGGGGTAAAGCAATCACCCCCGATAGCCAGCTTGAGACAGCTTAGGAGAGAGGCTCTGACGGCACTCCTTCTATGCCCTTGCCGCGTGGCCCATGCAGCAGCAGCAGCTGTCGTACTCACCTCCTCTTCCGCCCATCCCCGCACCACCACCACCACCACCAGTGGGCGGCAGTCCCGCCCGCCGCGCCGCTCGTCGCGCCGCCGCCGCCGCCGCATCCTCCGCCGCCGCCGCCGCCAGCGCCGCGTCGTTGTATCGTACCAGCGACAGCGCCTCAGTCGGCGGGCAGCACCCCATGAGCGCCTCGCCGAGTGCCAGGATGCCGGGAACCACCACCTCACCCCCCACACCGCTGTACCTGCACGGGAGGGATGTATGACGGGGGATGCAGGACGGGGGACAGATACGATGGGGGTCAAAATACCGGTAGACCAAACCACCATAGGAAACCACGAATTAGGACAGGATGATGGGGACACGGTGACCGTTCCCTCCTCATTCCCACTGCTGCCCCCCTCCCGCCCCCTCCCCCCCTCCCACCTGACAGCCCGCAGCAGTGCCCCCCGCAGCTGCAGCCCGCCCGGCCGCGGCAGCTGCGGCAGCCCGCTCAGCCAGGCGCTACCGGCCCGGGTGGCGTCCCACTCGAAGGCTGCCACCACCAGACCCTGGGGGGGGGAGGGCAAGGGGGAGACATATTCCGCATCTGGCTACATTGTAGGAGTGCGTACAGTCATTCTTGTGTTAGTAGCTTACTGGGAGGGGGTTAGGGGAAGGGGCAGCATGCAGCCTTTAGACCTGAGGCCGCAGCCCAGACCTGAGGCCGCAGCCCATACCTGAGGCCGCAGGGGCCATAGTAGGGCGTTGCCACCCAAGCAAGCCTCAACATGGCGGCCCCCCCCACCTTGAGCAGCTTGACCACCTCCGCCTCCAGCTTGTGCTGCCGCGCCAGGCTGAACAGCAGCAGCAGGCAGAAGGGGCTGGGGGCCAGGCAGGAGGAGCGGACCGCCTTGAGCAGCTCCTGGGGGGGAGGAGGGGAGGCAGGGAGGGGTGGAGGCAGGGAGACAGGGAAGAAGGGAAAAGAGAATTAGGACAAGGTTGGTGGCTATAAGGGAGGGAGGGAGGGATAATGAAAAGGAGGGCAAAGCAGGGCAAGGAGGTCATGGCGATGGGGGGGAAGAGCTGGAAAGCAAGGAAGGGCGCAAAAGCCATCCTCGTAAGGCCCTGGTTCAGGCTGCTCTGTTGGAGCTCAAGGTTAGCTGCTTCTCCGCCTCCGCTCCCCCTCCACCTTCGTGTCACCTTGCCCAGGCACTGCAGTGAGCCCTTCCTTCCACACACGCACCCTCTCCCCCTCGCCATACCCTCCCCTCCCCACCTGCGCCAGGGAGCTGTCGTACTTGAACGCATCCGCCATGATGACCAGTGCCGTACCCTCCACCTGCTGCAGAACCTGTGTTTGGGGGTTGGTGGGTGAGGGGTCAAAGATAGACCTGAACTTCAGGTTAGGGCAAAGCAGCTGGGACAGGAATGGGGTGGGGGAAATGGGGGAAGGCGGGAGGGGTAACCAGGGCATAGCAGCCAGCATCCGCGGAGGGGTCGGGGGGCAGCTGCAGCAGCAGCAGCAACGGGTGGTGTGGTGGTATGGTGGTGGTGGTGTGGTGGTGTGAAAGCCCATGCAGTGGTCCGGTGTGCATGTGGGCTGCAAGGCCCAACCGCCCGCACCCCCCCTCCCTCCCTCCATACCCACCTGCGAGGGCCCCCTGCCGTCCGGCGACCTGTGCTGCCCCTCCAGCCGCTCGAACAGCGCCAGGACGCCCTGAGGGGCGCGGGGCAGCGGCGGGATGTTTTAGCCTCTGTGAAGCTTTCTTACATCACCATCAGGCGAGGCACCCTCAGCATCCTCACCCTCAGTACCAACGCCCGCTGCCCTCCTCCTCCCCCTCCCGCTCCTCCTCCCCCTCCCCCTCCCGCCAGCCTCAGCAGCTGCCGCAGCAGTGCGGGCAGCAGTGCCAGGTCGGGGCAGCCGCCGCACGCGGAGAGGCACCTGAGCACCACCGCGCGCAGCTGGGCGGGGGTCCTGGGGTGGGTGGGGGTGGGAGGGGGGTGGGGGTTGGGAAGGTAGGCGATGAAGACGCTGGGGAAGAGTGCTCTCTCCATCCCGCCTACAACCTATTCGCCCCAGCGCTTCCAGGTGACGCCGAAAAGTGTTTATCGGGAAACAAGGCATCAGCACCCCTGCTGTGCTCTGGCCCCCCCTCCCTCCTCTCCCTCACATGGGCACCTCCCGCAGCGCCTCCATGATAGGTACGGCAAGCACCGTACCCCCGCCTCCTCCTCCTCCTGCTGCAGCCCCTCCTCCTCTTCGCTCCGGAATCCACTCCGCGTGTGTCAGGCGGTGCAGTGCCGTGCCCACATGGTTAGCGGCGGCGCTAGCGGGACCGCCGCCTGCTGCACCCCGCCCGCCTCCCACTGCTGCCTCTAGGGCAGCGTCCTCCTCCGCCTCATCTATCCTCAAGGGAACGGGAACGGGTTGGCGGGAAGAGCGCGTAGTCATCAGGTTAAGTAATCAACAGGTGCGGACAGCCGAAACGGCAGACACGGTGCGATCGCATGAGGGAAGCCCAGAGAGAAGCAACCTCGGCTCGTCTGTTGTTATCCTTGGTAATGAAGCGTACGACAGGTGTCGTACAAGTCCCTGTCGTACAAGTGCCGTACACCCACCCTCTGGTGCGCCCATTGCCAGCAGCTGTGTCGCCGCCCGGGGTAGCAGCTGTAGCATTCGTACGGCACCCCGACTGCCGCCCTCCACCGTACGACAAATTTCGGAAAGGAGCTGCAGTTGACAAGGGCGGGATGGGCAGCTGGTGTGTTGTGTTGTTATGCTGTTCGGTTAGGTACCGTTAGGGTACCGGTACTCGTTAGGTTGCCCGTACAACCCGTGTGTGCACTTACCGCGGCTAGCTGTTTAAAGTTCAGCAGGTCTACGTTCTCCTGCAGCAGGCTGGGATACGCGGCCGACTCTGCATCGTCTCCGTCTCCGCCCATGATTGCAACAGCCGCTTTGAAGAGTGTGCCCATAACCTTCTCCAGCCGCATCTGCTGCTGTTCGCCGTTGTCGTCTTCTTCCGCTTCTCCATCCTGGCCGCTGGTCAAGCCCGCGGCGTGCAATGAGCCCTTTCGCAACGCCTGGAAGCAGCGCTCTAACAAACCGACAACTTCCTGAAAAACGGAATGACATATTTTAAGTTATCCTTTGTCCGTTAGGCAGTGTATAGTTATCCGAGCACACTTCCGGACGACAGCCATCGACAGCCCATCCAAATGGACATCCAATGGTACCGGTAGGCGCTGCCTGGAAAACATATGTGCTGTAGCTTACGCTATAATGCAATAAAATTCTTACCTTTGATGGCCCCCTTTCACGTATGTGGTGTGCAACTTCTGTCGCAACACCAGGCTTCAGCAGGAGAGCGAGCAGTTCATCTGCACTGGAGCTGCTACGGCATGCTGCATAGATATCTGCAATGTTTCCAGCCATGGGTTCGGCTTATAGCAGGATTGGGATAGGTGTTGTTCACATAAGCAGGAATGGAATCCGCATAGACACGTTCGCATGTATGCCGGTAGTTTAGACGTTGAGTGCAATATCAGTCTATATAGGTTTCTAAGAGTGCGGCGAAGGCAGGTGTTACAAAGAGCGACCTGAAAGCAGAACACTGTGAGCGCGATGGCCTATTTACTTGCTTCCTTTTTATGTTACATTAAAGGTATGGTTTAAAGCTCGTCCTAAGGCCACGCCAGGCAAATGTCTCATCCCGCAAATCCCGCCAACTGCTTGGTTCCATCGTACATCCATCGCACGATTGGGCACACGGTGTTGCTTTCCCCTCCCGAATCCATACACGACTTGTATCTTTCACCACATCAACCTGTGAGCCTTGAGCAGCGGCACACCCTTACGGCAGATTGCAAACTGATCATCATCAGTACGGCAGCGTTACTCATGCATACGTCTAGCAACCGCTGTCCTTTTGTGCAATCCCCCCTCCGCCCTACCGAGTTGCATCCTATCACAAGTGCTAGTGCTAAAGGATACTCCCACATAGATCCAGCAGTCCGCTTCGACAGGGTTCGGCCGATCCAATGGGCCCTTTCTTGGTTGGGCCAGGGACGGACTGCAAGCGCATCGTGCATAAAGCCCTTGAACTGCCCCTCCCTTACACTCCTGCCAAAACCCCACCAAGCGCTTTTGTCCTAAGACCTGCGTCACGACCAAGCCCGTTAGCCAAACAGACAGACGACGTCACTCACGAGCATACCCCTTGACCAGCCATTACACCCTGTTCGCATATCTCAACCAGGCTTGCCATTAAGCATGTTCGTCAGGCTTGTATAGGATACTGTAGAACTGAGCTACAGGCTGTTCGCTGCCTGCTACAGCCCTGCCGGATGAGCGCCCCCACAGCTGCAAGCGTCTTCAAACCACGGGACCGCAGATTCGCCCAACGCCAGCCCATTTGGCTCAAGGCACGTGTCATGTATGAGACCATATACTCTCGCGAAGACAGCTCCTCAATAACCCGTAAAGTATCAAACTAGCGAAGCTTCTAACAGGCAAAACGTTTACCCATGCATCGACCCACGCGCACATGTTCGTGTCAAGCCCCTCCCTCGTGCTCACCGCCAGCCGTGCCAGACCGCCAGCTTGACAAAGGGCAGCCAAGCACGCAACCCACCGCACACACCACCCCACATAAACCCAACTCGCCATGCATCTCTTACCCCATCCCTCATCCCATCCCTCGCCCCGTCCCTCGCCCTCCTACCCTCTTCTCCCCCTCCATCCCTCGCCCCATCCCTCGCCTCATCCCTCGTCCTCCTACCCTCTTCTTACCCCCCCCCTCAACCCCCCGACCCCCACCCACCAGCGTGACAAGTTCAGCCGGCATGGTGAGGTGCTGCTGGCCGCCTGCATGGCTCCCGACCCGCTGGAGCGCTGCCTGGCGGTCGTACGGTTCGCACTGGGGCTGACCAGCGACATGCTGCGACCCGGAGGGTGGGGCCGCGGGAGGGCGGGAGGGCAAAAGAAGAAGTCCCAATGGGCGGCGGGAGGAGAGGAGGGAATGCAGATGGAATCCACCAGCCGTAGGAAAGCGGGAAGCTCCCATGTGTCGACGGCCTGCGCTGGGAACGTAGCGAGAGGTTAAGCCATCGGTTAACACCGGTGATGCCACCAAGGCAGGCGGGACTTCATGCGGTCAGTTTAATACCTGCTGGGTGCCCCGGACTCCGAAACCCACCGCAGGCCCGACCCCGATGACCTGCCGGTCACCGCGCTGGCACACCACCATGTGACTGTACGACAGCTCGGTGAGTGGTGCACTGCAGCTGCTGTAGCCAACTTTAGTCAGCATTTGCTACCACCATGCTGCCGCCGTGTTACTGCGGTTAATACCGTACCGTACACGTGCGCTGCACTTGTCACGCTTGCGTGCAGGCACGGGTGGTCGCGCGCCTGCGACAGCAGCGTCTGCATTAGTGGCGGCAGCGGGCCCGGGTGCTGTGCCGCCGGTGCCACGGCTGCATGTCCAGGAGCTGCTCAGCTTTGACCCGGCGGAGGGACCCAAGCAGCTGCTGCATGCGGGCTCGGGGCCACCCGCGGCGGTGTCGCGGGTCAAGGTTGACCCGTGGGTCAAGGCCAAGGCGAAGCGGCTGGGACGTGAGCTGTCGCTCAAGGTAACACAAAATACCGTAGATCCTGGCATCAAGTATCACAAAGACGCCACGGCAAATTGGTCGGGACCGTCTACCCTGTCATACTAGGTCATCATGTGATCCTGTGTAGCAGGACCTCCTTGCCCAATCATATATAACACGCGTCAGAGCTCTCTCCCACCCCAACAGGTGCGCCTGGAGGGGGGCATTGAAGTGCTGTTGCAGCCCCAGCAGCAACGGCAACACCAGCAAACTCAACCCGCCGGCCTTGCTACCCTAGCAGCGCAGCAGCAGCAGCAGGCGGCAGCAGCCGGGGCAGGTAGCCAAGTGGCACCAACAGCAGCACCACCAGCAGTACCAGTGCAGCAACAGCAGCTACCGGAGGAGCGGTACACCGTGGAGCTACCGAACCTGGTGTTCAAGGGCCAGCTGCCGTACGCAGCGCAGCCGGAGTTTCGCGGTAGGGTTTCCAGCAGGCGGCTGGGTGACCCCCAACAAATCGGGTGCATTCCCTACAGCACTGCTGTCGTGATGAAGGGGGCCGTCCAGTACCATTCCACACGTCTAGTTGTGTAGTGGTGTGGCAATTCAAGTAGCCCGTCCGCCCTGTCCAGAATAGTAACCCTGCTGCCGTATCCATTACCCAACATGCTTACATGCGTAGGTGAGCTCATCATCCAGTGCCCCAGCACGGGCCTCATGGCCTCGTTGACCTTTAAGGAAGAGGGCATAGTGAAGGGTGTCCTAGAGAGGCAGCAGCAGCAGCCGAAGCAACGCCGACAAACCGCCAGCAGCAGCAGCGGCACGGGCACGGGCGTGGGCACAGCTGCGGCGGCGGGGGGGGCTGGCACTTCATCGTCAAGTGGCGCTGCACGGGCGCCGTACGGCGTCGTGGGGAGCTTTTCAGGGTCCCTGTACGACAGCATTCAGGTCACGTGTCCCGAGCTGGTGGGTACTGGGTAGGGTGGCTTCGCTTGCTCTGGTTTCTTCCGGAAGCAAGCTACTTTTGCAGGTCGGTAGCCTACCTGACCAGCCCTTGGATGGTCAATGCAGGCAGCAGTAGTCTCCTTCCCTTCCCTAGTAGGCATGCTGGGCCTAGCCCCTGTACGCCTATCCCCAACCGCACCCTACCACCAGCGCTGCACTTGGCCTATACCGCTATATGGAACGGGATAATAGTCTTCGCCTTCGCAACGCACAACATTTCCCTTGCTGTGTGTCTCCCCTTGCTGCTGCAAACCATGATTGATGCCTTATCACACGGTCAGTTAGTTGTTTCCTCGCTCTTCACTCCCCGGCTGCCTGCAGGGCCTGGAGGGCACCGTCCACTCCGAGCAGCCGCCCACCCCGGGACTGCCCCCCCTGGCGCAAGTGCTGGACCTGTCGCGACCCGGCCCGCAGCAGCTGCCGCGCCTCTGGTCGGCGCTGCACGACGCACTGCTGTACACCGATCCCAAGCAGGTAGCTGTTGCCGTAGTACGTTGGACGGCAGTTAGCAGTTGTTAGCAGTTGTAGCAGTTGTTAGTTGGTGCGTTAGTTGAACAACGGGTTCATTCGGGCGGGTAGACAAATATTGTGCATGTCAAGTAACCCGAGGCGCGGTGTGCCAGTGATCGCGGACGCCCCAAGCGGGATAAAAACGGTAACTGACAAAGCTCGGGGTATCTCCCGCCTGCCTCCTGTCCCCTTCCTACAGGCAACCGGCGGCAAGGCTGCTGAAGATCTCTCCAAGCGCCTCGCAACAACCCTCCACGGCCTCTTTGTGGAGGCTGCCAACGCTGCAGCTGGGGGCGCCGGAGGCGGAGGTGGTGGTACGGCAGGTCCTGGCGGCGGCGGCGGACCCGCTGGTACGGCAGCTAGCACCGTCGCCGGCGGCGGCGGCGGCACGAGTGAGGCCGCTGGCGGCGGCGCCACAGCGGCGGATTCCGACAGCGACTCGGACTTTGAGGCGGCGGCTCGGGAGGAAGGCGACTCGACAGATGACCCACGGGACGTTCCGCCTAGCTACAAAGTGAGATAGCACCGGTAGTAGACAAAAAAAAGAGCCCGATTATGGACCAAGCCATGCTTTCTTAACAAATCTTGCGTTCTGTGTCCCTACCGCTAAGTAGGGAGCTCCCGCCCATAGCAGGCCCACTGCCTTTGACGACTGCATATCCTCATATGGTCCAACCGGGTTTGGCATACCGTAATGCTTAGCCATTCAATTCTTGGGAACCACTGTAACAGTTATTTATTGGCTTCATCGCTTGACCCACCCCTACAGGCCCAGCACGCGGCAGGACGCAAGCTCGCCTGGCAGCTGCAGTACACCGTTGTTACCACCGCCGCGGCTGCCTCCCCCACCACAACCACCACAACCACCAGCAATACGACAGCATCTAACGCAGCTGCTACTGCTGCCTCCCCTGGAGCAGCTGCTACTGCTGCTGGCCCTGGCACTGCCTCCGCTCCGCCTACAACTACTGCTTCTGCAGCAGCGGGTGACGGGGCTGTAACAACGGGGCCGTCGGGAGCCGGAGGTACGGGAAGGGATGCGGCGGCTGTGGCAGCAGCGACGGAGATTACCGTGGAGTGATTCGAGCGAGTTGTGGAATTACTTACGTAAACGTAAAGTGTCTTTACGTTTATGTGGGAGCCGACGGGCCGAGTCGGCTAGGGAGCTGATGACCGAGTTGGCTACGCTTTGCACGCTGCATGTATAGCATGGCGAATTGTGAGGGGGAAGACATGAGAAGTGAAGCAAGTGGAGGGTAGGAAGAGTGTAGGACAGGAGGTGAGGCAGTGGCATCGGGTCGATTGCTGGTCTTGAGGAGAGGAGAGGATTCAAGGTGTTTTTGCTGTTTCCGGTAGGATGCAGCTTGCAACCTCAGGAGGCAGGTCTCTCGCAAGTCAAATCGTGGGCATGACTACCAATATGACGCGCAAGGACGTTTTCAGCTTGCGCAGCAGCCATAAGATACATCATTAGAGCTGTATGTAACGAGGGCAGGGTGTCGAGCTGTGGTTGTACTCGCATTAACGTGTGCCCAACTTGCGTCAGGAGGCATTCATGCATGTGCTGAAACAGCTTACCGGCGTCGCCCAATGATGCAAGTAGCTGGCAAGTCATGCAAAAAAACGAGAAAAAGGCAAACTATAAGGTGTTGCACCTGTTCTCTGGAATCTCTGACTGCCAAGAATGGCCATCCGTCGAGCAACAGCTGCAAGTCCTCAACCCCCAGAACATGAGATTTTTTATTGATAACAGCAGCAATTAGTAACGGCCTGTGTTCGATCGAGTGGTTTGTGACAGCTGTCCCGTCGCCGTCTCGTCATGAAGCGCCGCGACAACCTACCATGCGGCTCTCATGTCACATAGACCGGTCAGCGGCGATCAAGACACTTTGTTGGCCAACTTCGCCAGCATAATGCATTGAATACTGGAATTGTAGCATTCCGGACCGAGGGGTGTACGACCCGTACGAAGTCTAGTAGTAATACGTGCAGTGAGCGCAGCAGCAGCGTTTCATCGTCACCCCCAACTTTTACACATTAGTTTGTTAGGCCTTTTTTGGGTATTCTGAGTTAAGCTTCAGTGAGGTCACGTCAGGGTTGTTTACCTTGTTTTCTTAAGTAGCAGCTATGATGGCTTTGAACGCACGCAGTAATGTTAGCGCGAGCTCCTGCATTGTTAGCAGCACCAAGTCGTGCCCGGTGGCGGTGAAGCGGATGGAGGCACCTGCTGCCCGCAACGTTGTCGTTCATGCTCGGCGAACGAAGACCGCGACTTCAACCCTAAACCCATCTGATAAGCTAAACCCAGACGTCAAGGCGAGTGTCTGGAAGCATTGCTGACTGCATGGCTTCCCGCGCTGTGTCTGTGAGCGCTTAGTACTGCCACACTTGTTGCGAAAGCGCTCTCGACTAACACTGCAGGCCAAGATAATCCACGAAACTGTGGATCGCCTGGCACAAAAATTTGGCGTGAATACCCTCATGAGGCTTTCGGAGAGCAACTTTGGGAGCACGTAAGTAAACACAAAGCTTCCTAGTACGGGGGGACGCTCCCTTAATTGTCAACCATAACATATGAAGTAAACCCGACCGCCGAAGCCTGTGAGAATAATGCCCAAGCATGCTTCTTGGCATTCCATCCCGCACCATGCGTGCATACCCCCTTTCTATCGCTCGCCCCGGCTGTCCCTCCTCTTCGCCCAATTAGCCCGGGCACATGTTTCGTACTCATCCGCTACCCCCTCGAACTCGCTGCCCCCACCTGCCCTCACACCATTCACCCCTGCAGGGAGACCTTTCCCTCCGGCAGCCTCACTCTGGACGCGGCCCTAGGCGGCGGCTACCCCAAGGGCCGGATCATCGAGGTGGGATGGCAGCGACTGGGGTGTGTGTGTGTGTTTGGGGCAGAGGCGTTAGCATCACGGGCTGGGTAGCAGCGTCACGAAAACGCGTACGGCAGGATGCAAGGTTACGTTGTGTGTGTGGAGGTGTGTATGTGTAGATCAGGGCTCCTGCCATGCAGCAATGCGTGTGGCAGGCGCCCCTCCCTGACGGAATCCTCTCCTTGGCTTTTTCCCCGTCCTGCCCCCCTTTCCTCCTCCTCTTCCTCCTCCTTACTTCCCTGCCCGGCACCTCCCACTTCCCACCCTTAGGTGTGCCGCCTATCCCCATTGCTTAGCCCTAACATGCAACATCACTTGGCTTTTTGTGTTTCTTTCCCCCCCTCCCCACGTCGCACTGCTTCTCACCCCACTCAGGTGTACGGCCCCGAAGCCAGCGGCAAGACCACTCTGGCCATGCACGCCTGCGCCGAGATCCAGAAGCAGAACGGCGTGGTGGCCTACATTGATGTGGAGCACGCCTTTGACCGCACCTACGCGCAGGTGGGGGTGTAGGAAAGAGGAGCTGGACAGGGCTGGAGGGGAGGGAGGGAGGTCGTGTGCCTTCCCTTGTAGGGGGGGAGGTAGTTTTCTTGGCTAAGCTGAGCCGCGAGACGAAAGATGACGATGAGGAGGGGCCTTATGATCCTCTCTAGCCCCCTCTTATCCCTTGCAGCGGTTACGCGCTCCTCATCCTGGAGGGCACACCCTCTACCTCCCTCCACCTCCACCTCTCCCCCTCCTTCTCCCCCCCTCCGACTCGCGCAGAAGCTGGGCATTAACCTGGAGAACTTCTGGTACGCTCAGCCCAACACGGGCGAGGAGGCGCTGGAGGTGATGGACGAGCTGTGCCGCTCCAACGCGTGCGACCTGGTGGTGATCGACAGCGTGGCGGCGCTGGTGACGCGGGCGGAGCTGGAGGGGGAGATCGGGAGCATGATGGTGGGTGCAGGGGGGAATTGGGGGCAGCATGGTGGGGAGATTGGGAGGGGTGGTGGGTGGGATGGTGGTTGCAGGGCGGGATGGGGAGCATGATGGTGGGTGCGGGTCCCAAGAGGAAGGGGGCTAAGGGGTTAGGGGTTGGGGCAAAGGGGGACTAGGGGCTTGGGCGCTGGTTTGGTGGGAGGCGGATGAACAGAGGGGCGGCGGCGGGGTTTGCAGGGTCCAGGAGGGCGGTGCCGGGCGAGGTTGGCAGCAGGAGGGTGGGGATTAGGAGAGGGAGGAGGGACATCACGTCACCTTTTCGCGGCTCCTTGCCTCAAGTTAAAAACACGCTCACACGCACATGCACAACCACGCTGCCGCCCACTCTTACCCCGCACCCCCCATTGGGTATTCTTCTCCCTTCCCCCCCTTCTTCAGATCGGCGCGCAAGCCCGGCTGCTGAGTCAGGCTCTGCGCAAGCTGGCCTCCAGCGCCTCCAAGAGTCGCACCACCCTCTTCTTCATCAACCAGCTCAGGAACAAGGTACGACAAGGGTGGTGGTGCCGTACGGGCGGTGCACGAGGGTGTCGTACCCGCATGCACCCGGTGGCGCCGGAGGCTAGCGTCGTGCGGGGTGGCGTGATGGTTAGGGGTGCTGGACGCCGCATGCGGCCTTGTGGCATACGGTACCCAGAATGGAGCGGAGCGGGTTTCAGCGCAAAACACGTTCCCGTATTTCTCAGCCCTACAACCTACAACCATATAATCCGGGATCACAACCCCCCAACCCCTAACACAACCCGTGTCCTCCCCCCCCGCAGGTGGGTGTGATGTTCGGCAACCCGGAGACCACCTCGGGCGGCCAGGCGCTCAAGTACTACAGCTCCGTGCGCATCGACATCCGGCGCAAGGAGACGCTCACGTCGGGGGAGCTGGCGTACGGCAACAAAGTGCGAGCCAAGGTTGTGAAGAACAAGGTGGCGCCACCGCACAAGTAGGCTGGGGGGTGGTGGGGTTAGTGGACTGGTGGTTTATGGTCCTAGGAAGAAATGCGCACATACACGCAATATCCGCTTCGTTCTTCTGTCGCCCGTCCTTCGGTTCTCTCTAATGTTAATGTTGTACTCGCCCGGTCCCATTACCCGCCCTGCGACTGACACCTGCGGCTTCCCCCGGCCTCCCTCGCCTCGCCTCCCCCCCCCCACACATTGGAATTTCTCCCCCCCCCCCCAGGGAGGCTGTGTTTGAGATCTACTTTGGCAGCGGCATCGACTACCTGGGTGGGGTGCTAGACACGGCGGAGAAGCTGCGGGTGGTCAGCCGGCGGGGCGCGTTCTACTACTTGGGGGAGCTGCGGCTGGGGCAGGTGGGGGGGGGAGGTTGGGTGGTGAGGAGTGTGGGAGGGACTGGGGCGGAGAGGGAAGGGGGCTGTTTTGTGCCAAGGGGGCCGTCTGGCTGGAGGAAGAGGAAGGGATTAGGGATACATGAGTCACTCCATGCACAGACCTAGACTGCAGCTCACATCGCCGTGACCACCAGCACCTCCCGGGTCGGTTTCCTCTTTACCTTACCTTCCCCTGCCTGCCTGCCTGCCTGCCTGCCCGGCTGTACCCCTCCCTCAGGGTCGCGAGAAGACGCTGGCGGCGCTGCGGGAGGAGCCGGAGCGGTGCCGGGAGATCGAGGCGGCGGTGCGGGAGATGCTCAAGGTGAGAGGAGGAGGGGCCCTGTTTCGCTGCTGGGGAGAGGTTACCGTACAATGAGGAGGGGGCCCTTGTTACACTTCCTACCGGGTAAGTGAGGTTAGGTTGACGAGACACGTTCACTTGTTCCCTTGGGCATTCTTGCAGAGCAACCCGGACGCGCTGCTGGAGGATGTGGAGAACGACGACGGGGCTGGGGGAGTGGGGGTGACGGTTGGCCTCGACCTGGAGGTATAAGAGGAGGAGCAGGAGGGAAGGAGGAGGAGGAGGTCGAGGGCTGGGTTTGTCTTTAGAGGGTTAGGACGAAGGAGCGTTGTGTGTTGTAGACAGGAGAGGGCTAGTAGTAACACGAGGCTATGCCGTAAGGGGACGGTAAAAGCATGTGCTTGTGTGTTAGGATTTGGCTGGCCGCGAGGCGGAACGTACTTGTGTGCTTGTGTGTACGCGTCGTGGTAGGTTACATTTAGAGTGTAGTGTAGAGCTGTTTAGAGGTACTGGTAGTGGGAAAGTAGATTGTGTTGCGAAAGGCCGTGAAAAAGGCTGTAAAGGAGGCAGTGGAAAGCTGTGAAAGGCTTACATGTTGGCGGAACAGCTGAGTTGATACCGCCGAGTCGACGTACGTCGGCAAATGCGGAGGAGCAACGTTGTGCGTGGGCTTGGCTTGAATGTCGTTTGGCGTTATTGCAGACTTGTTTGTTTGCCGACGACTCACAACTACGATGAAGGAACGATGTTGACAATGGATGAGTGATGATGAGAGATGCAGGCTCCCCATGTGGCTGGACAAAGCACATGCTTCCAACCCCCGCGGGACGTAATGCGTAGTAGGCAGTAGGGCAGCAGGAGCCCTGTGTGGACTCAACACACAGTTGTGGTTTGCGTTCGTGCCGATGTTCGGCCGCTACTGCATGTTTTGATTCGTATGGACGTTAGTCCTTACGTACGTCTTCTTGCCGTAAGGGAAGGGCTTTGTTGTCGAGGCCGGAAAGCTTTAAAGCTTACCGGTTTTTTTTCCAGATATGTCACAAATGTTATAACGGTATTGTCGTAAACCTAACTTAACATTGCAGGTTGCAGTACGGTGGTTTCCTTCGTAGCAGGACACGACTGGATTTATGGTTGTACTGCTGTAGAGGCTGTATATACTGCGGTATTGGTTGTAGGGATCTGCAGTACTACGAGCTCAAGAGCATGGAGAGTAACGTATACATAACAACTGACAGGACATGCTGCTGGGGTCCGTTGGTTTAGGTTGTTTGGTCTGGCCTGTGCCTCTGGGGTAACGTTCCCTGACACATTCTATGGCACATCAGTTGCGGAATCCAAGCATAACATGTAAACTTAAAACGTTACTCGCAGACATCACCCCCGCGCTCACTGCATGAGTTGGGATACGGGACTGGGACTCGCTGCTACACTTATCATTTATGTTTTCCCTCGTATCACACCGTCCTCCAGCACACGCCGCGAAGGTGAGAGACCCTTTACATGGCTGCAACATCGCAGCCAAGATCAAAGCGTAAGCGCCGTACACCCCCACATTTCACACCTTACAACACCCGTAAGCATGCGCGCATGCCCTAACTGTGGCGACCAATCACACCAATCATACACCTCATGGCCTCCATTGGGTCGGCATCGCATGCCCCATGGGTCTTGAGCCTTGCCACAAGGTTAACCTCCAGAGCACCATCCCGTGTCCCCACTCAGCATAGCATTAACAATGGTTCCCTTTTAAGGGAACCGCTGTAACGGTCGTTCACTCAGCATACGCAGTTCAGCTCCGACCGCGCACGCTGCTGCACACACATCCTACTAGCCAGGCATAAAGTTTAGCCAGAGAGAACATGAATTTCATCACTTGAAGCGCACCCTTGGACGCTAGGTAGGAAACATAGGTATAGTAACAATCGCTGATTGTCGCTGCATGGCTGTTATTTCAGCCGTGAAGGGCAGTTAGTTAATGGTTGTTGTCGTTGTTGTCGTTGTTGTCGCTGTTGCAGTGGTTTACTTGCGGCAGTTGCCGCAGCAGCCGCTCTTTAGCACATCAATCATTTGCTGGATGTCCATGATGAACCAATCCGCCTTCTCAGCCACGTTCTTGCGCACGACAACACCGCCGTACCTGGAAGAAGAAAAAGAGGACAAGGAGCAGCAAGGATGAGGAAATACTTTGAGGAAAACATACCTACTAACTGTGTGACAAGGTGAAACGCTGCGGTAATGCTTTATCGTGTCCTTGGGAGCAAGGGTTTTTTCATTGCATCCCTTCCCACCACCCCACCCGCTCCTGCAGACCACCACTCACCCAATGAACAGGCTGGCCGCTCCCTCCACGCGCGCCTCTGCGTCCGTGGCGCCGTCACCCACCATCACCACGTTACTGTAGCCGTACTTGTCCTGTTGCAGGTAAAAGAAGAATAGGTTGGGTAGCCGGGGGAGGAGAAAGAGGGCAATCAAGTACTAACTGACACACTTCCTGGGTGGGCCCTTGCATGCGTACCAACTCTGCACGGACCTTTGCAAACATAACGTTTCTGCATGCACCTTTGAATGCATGACAAGTCTGCATGGACCTTGCATGGGATCAACCTTTCAGCTGCTGCATCCGCCATATCGGCTTCCGAAGCCAAGTGTACAAGCCTCATCTAGCCGCAAACATAGGCATATAATCTGCGCTTCCTCCTCCCTCTTGCTTTCCACCTCACCTTGATGTGCCGTACCGCTGCCGGCTTGCCCCCGCTGCGGCAGGTGAACTCGCTCTCGTCAAAGCCAGCGTAGTGCCCCTCAGACTGCGGGGCACGAGGGGACGACATGTAAAAACATCGTGTAGGGAGAATGTCACATCGGAAGGCGAGGTAGTGTAGGAAGTTATGCAGGAGGAAAACGGAGGAGGTCGATGTTATGCACCGGTCGGAAGGGGCATAGGTCAGCGACACTCATAACAATACATAATCAACACCCCTCTCGCCTAGTCCACTTTTACTCCCCTCTTACTGACAAGTGGTTATCGCTTTAGTGCGGTGTGCGTGCAGCTACGTCGCCTAGCATGACAGGACCTATTTATCCCGTATTAGCTCATTCATGGCCTCACGCACGGAGTCGTGAGGAGACTCACGTCAAAGAGGATGGAGTTGGCGAAGACGTGCGACAGCGGAATACCCAGCGACTCGGCCAACGGGTGGATGATCTGTGTGAGTGGCAGGAGGTGGGGGTAAAAAAAGGATGGCCAGGGTGTCAGTTTTGAGGCTCAGTTGCTTTCATATACGCCCTGCCTAGCCCCTTCATCTTGTTCTCAGCGTGTTCCCAGCATCCTTCTTCAACTTCTCCGCTACCACTCTCTCCCTCCCTCCCACCCACCTGTCGGAAGCCGCCCGACACCAGGAACACCTCCTGCCCCCGCGAGCGCAGCAACGACACCAGCTCGGGGATGCCTGGGGTGAGGAAGGCAGGGGGGCAGATGACGGGAAATCCGTATATTCCATTCGTACTTCGTATCCGTAGGTGTACAGGAAACAGCTCCCCATGAGTAGGGGACGCATGCAACAAGGGCACAAGGCCCAGGGCCCCACGCATGCACACACGCACGCTAAGCAAGCGGGTGCAGGCGTGTGCGCATGTGCCCTCATCCCGGTCCTCCCAAGGGCCCCTGGACTCCCACCCTTCGTGACCCGGTGCGGGTGCTCTCGCAGGAATCGGTCCACGTCAGCACGGGTGGGCTTCATCACCCCCAGTCGGGTGCGTAGGGCCTCCTTGAATTCGACGGTACCGCCCATGGCCCTGCGTGATGTGGAACGGGGAGGCGGGGAAGTAGAAGACATGCATGAATTGCTAGTGGGGAGGACGTGGAATGGGGGAAGCTGCGTTAGGCATAGGCGCCCCCACCACCCTTCATACCTGACCTCCCTTTGACACGTACACCCTCTCCCCAAACCCAGACTCAGTGCACTCATGGAGCTCCCGTTCACGAAACCTTACTTGGCAGTGAGCGCTGCAACCTGCTCGCCAACGCCCAGGAAAGCCGCGAGCTCATCGATGGACTCATCCTCGCAGCTGCGGCGCCGAGTTTGACCAAATTACCAAATGAGACAAGCGCTGGTAAACCACTAACACACCCAGACTTACAACGTGCTGTCAACATCAAAGCAAACGGCCTGCGGCAAGGGTGAGCACGCAAAATGTTGATGCGAGGATGGGCGGCAGTGCCAACATGTGCAGGAAGTATTCGCACCTCAGCGGTCCTCAATTTGTGCGCGACTTCCGGCTTCAACTCCACGGTGCTGCTCACTGCGCAACGCGTTTTCAGTTGATGCATCAGCTTGCCAAGCGTTGCTGCAAAATTAGTAATACCTGGTTGTGCGGCAGCAGACATAACTCTTGTTAGTCGCAATGCTCTTGTAGCACGAGTAAGGCACCTAGGTGCTGCGGTAGCAGCGTGCGCCGAGCTGCGCGACAACAACTGAGAACGCATTGTAGGTTCTTTCTTCTTACAGACAAAAACAGTAGTTTTACTGGCTTGTGACAGCGCGGCGCGACAAATGTTCGTCCATTCGGGCCATGCCGTGCTGCGTGCGGTGCTCTGCACGCATCCGTACGCAGGAACCACGAGAGGCCAGCAACACTATTTGGAGGTTAACGAACCGCACGTCACAGGTTCTTGGCGCATTTTCACAATCTGGCATTGCTAACCAACTGGAGCTAAGGATAGCCTTGTTAGGCTCAGCTCATGGGCTTAGCTAACGAAAGTCATGCTTGCTGCACTTGGCCCCAACACTCACAATTGGAACAGTTCCGTTCTTGATCGTAGTTTTAAGATATAACGAGGCACACAAAAAAGTTACTGGAGGAGGGCGACACGCGGCCGATCTCGTGTTAAGATAGGTGTTCCCAGTACGTAAGCTTGGCGAGGTGTGAGGGATACCACACATAAGTGAGTTTCGCGGCTTAACACTGGTTCTCTGTCGCTTCTCACGGACGCGCACTGGAAAGGCCGTGCCGAGCAAGCCCATCTCATGTCAACCCATGTGAAGAGGTCCTCCCTGCTTTCTCCGATTCTGGACATATACCGAACTTTACCCTGCCGTTGTGTAATCACGCGCACCATATCATATCCTAATAAGCGGCGCCTAGCACGATAAAATATCCCACTCTTCTGCCTTTAGCTCTTGTCTGTGCCTCCCAGCTATTCCTCCCTCTTCAAGCCACCCAACACCACCACCATCAACTCGCAGCTCCACACCTGTATATCCCCACCACCCCTACCCTAACCTTTCCTTCTCCCTACCCAGACCAACCATGGCGACTGCGACCCCCGCTGTCCCAACCGCTGCGGAGGAGGTAGCGGGTTTAGACCGCGTCCTGACACGGCTGGCACTGACGGAGGATGACAAACTGGAAAAGGTGAGGAAAATTGGGGAGGATTATGAGGAGGAGGAGGAGGAGGGGGACGCATGCAGGGTAACATGCGGCGGGAACACATGCATGTGTGTCCCCCTGCCTGTCCGTTTGCACTTGACGTCTTGTGTGACCCCTGGGTCACACTCTTCCCTATCACGCTGTCACGCCGCTTGCAACCCATGGAGCTCAAAACGCTAGGAGCATTCACGTAAACTGTCACAAAGCGTCACTCGCCACTCGCCACATGCACCATCACAGGTCCTGGGGCGGCTGATTCCCGTGGTCCTGGGGCAGCTGTCGTCCCCGCATGAGGCGACCAGGAAGAAGGTGTTGGAGATCCTGGCTCACGTAAACAAGCGAATCAAGGTACGCTTGTTCCTGCGTGACGAGTAACGATCATGTAGCTTATTATGTAGCTTGAAGATGCATTTGCACACTCACATCAACTTGCTGCTCTTACCCATAGGCCATGTTCCCGTCTATAAGCAGCATACCCCCCCCGTCCTTCCAGTAACACGCACTCTGCCCCTCCGCCCCCTTCCCCAGGGCCAGCCCTCCCTGCAGCTCCCGCTTCGGGAGTTGGTATCCATGTACACCGCAGAGGCGCCGCAGGGTGAGTTTATCTTCGTGAGAGTTAAGGGCTACTTGTGGCAAAGCTGCCTTTGCATGTTTCGGTAGGGAGTTGAAGAAGGGGACGGGTAGAGTTTCTTCCTTCCTGAGAACAGGAGCAACGCGTTTCGGGCTTGCTGACGCAATAGAACTTAGCAGAGATACAGTTTTAGGGTTACGAGCTACATAACTGCCTGCGTGCAACTGTACGACAACACAACCCGCAGGTACGACAGCTGCCTCGTACGGCATGGTTCGCAACTTCAGCCTGGTGTATGCGGAGATGGCGGCTGAGCGGGCGCCGGGGGCGGAGCGGATGGCGGTGGTGGGTTTGGGGGCGGGTGGGAGTGGGTCAGAGAAGCACGCAAGTGCAAGTGTTGGAGTGGGGGTAGGTGGGTGGGTGAACAGCGGGGCATGCATGGCGGGGTCCGTACAGCGTTGCATGCATGGTGGATTTTGCTAGCTCGTTACCGGGCCTTCTGCCACCTTCCCTGCTCCCCTTTCTTCCCTCTCACGTCCCTCCCGCCCCTCCCGCTCCTCCCATTCCTCCTCGCCTCCCGGACCGCCACAGTTGTCCTCCCTCCTGACCGGCATCTCCCGGCGCCCCCCGGCACACCGCCCCATCTGCCTCCGCATCGCTGCAGCGGCTCTGGAGCAGCTGGGGACAGGCGGGGTTGGCGGATACGGCATGAGCAGCAGCAGCGTGATTAGCCTGCTGCAGCCGCCGACTGCTGCTACTGCTGCTGCTGGTGCTGGTGCTGCTGCAAGTGCTGGTGCTGCTACTACGGCCTCACCGTCGGCTTCAGCAGTAGCGGCGAAGGAAGGGCCGCGGGATGTGGAGATGCAGGGGGGTGGAGACGTGGAGGGCGGCAAGAAGGAGGAGGCGGGAGAGGTGAAGGAGAAGGAGGAGGAGATGTCGGCGGCTGAGGCGGCCTGGCGGCGGCAGTGGCCGTTCTTCGCGGATGCTGCAGATCGGGATATGTGAGGAGAACAGGAGATGGAGGGGAGCGGGGTTAGGGGTGTATGGCGGTGTGCCTGCCCCCGTGCTCAAACTCACAGTTCCTCACACGCGCGATGCTGCTCTCGACAGTGCACGTTACCTTACTGTGTTCCACTCTGTTCCTTTCCAATCCTTACACTCATACCCGATTACCCTCACACCCCTACACACACAGTTTCCTGTCGTACGGCCTAAAGCTGCTGTTGTACACCGCTCGTACATCGCGTCAACCCGCAACACCCCTGGCGGCCGCTGCTGCTGCTACTGCGGCGGCGGCGGCGGCAGCGGGAGGAGCAGCAGGGGCAGCCCCGCCTCCTCCTCCTCCTCCTGGGCTGAGTCCGGCTGATGTACGGCAGTTGGAGGAGAAGGGCGCACTGTCCGCGGAACAGGTAGGGTTTAATCCTACCCTACGACCCTACCCTGCTACAGCCACATCCCCTCATGTCTCCATCCCCCCTGACACCATCATGCCTCACGCCATCACCCCTCGAGTCGTCATCGCACCCCCCACGTCATCATCACACCCCTCACAGATCTCCCGCCGCAAGCTGGGTCTGCTCAACCTGCTGGCCGCAGCAGCCAGCATCGGCCCCGGCATGATGGAGGGAGGCCAGCAGGGACCCATGGGTCAGCGACCCGCGGGTCAGTCCCAGTCCCAGCGGCAGCCCCCGCTCCCCGTGGGGTTGCTGCTGCCGCTGCTGCTGGTGGCGGCGGGGGACCCGGCGGAGGCTGTGGCGAGGTGAGGCGGGGTACGGCAGAAGGGGGAAAAGAAGGAGAAGAAAATAGCATAAGTTCATACCGTACGCCGAGATGGAAGAGAGAGGGGCAATTCTCGCGGTGTAAGCTGCTGGGATAAGGGGTAGCAGTAGGGATAGAGGCTGGGCGGTGAGAGGAATGAGCGGCTGGCAAGGCTGGAGTGCAAGTTGGTGGTTAGTCGTAGGCTGAGGGTGCAGCACGAGATGAGGGGCCGCCCGCCGTACATCAGCCCAATGCCTTCTGCTTCCCGTCCTGCCCCCACATCACCACCCTCCCCATTGTGCTGCCCTAACCTATTTTTTCCTACGGTTTAGTGGTATGGCCTTTTGGACCTTCCCCCCGCGTCTGTCTTGTCCTCCGTATGCCTTGTCGAATCCTGCTGCCTCATTTCCCGATTGGTTTGCCCCCTTTTTGTGGTTTCATATGGTTTGGTCTTTTTGACTCCCATCCCCCACCCCCACACACTACTACTCAGGCGCGGTGAGGAGCTGCTCCGCCGCTCCGCCGCCCTGGACGCCGCCCGCCCCTCGGCGGACCTAGACCACCCTGCCACCCTCGCTCCCCTGCTGAGGCTCTTCCACGGGAGCGCCGTACAGCTGGTGTACGACACGAACAAATCAGATGATGCCAATCCGGCGGGCGGTACGACAGAAACGGCGGGAAGTACGGCGGGAGGTGATGAGAGCAGGAGGTTGTTTCAGCAGTTGCTACAGCCGGATCCGAACCCGGATACGGCAGCTACGGCCGCGGGTCCGGGGCTGAGGTCGAGACTGGTGGCCGTGTTTTGCAGGTTTGTGGGCATCGGAAGGGGTTGGGAAGAAGTTGGGCGGACGATTGGAGATCCTGCAGCAGAAGAAAGATCTCCTTTGTTGCCTTTCCGGCCTTTCCTCAGCCCCCTAGCGTGCGCTTCTTATTGTGGCCCGCTACTCCACACCTCACACCTACCCGCCAACCGTCAACCCCCAATCCCCCCAGGAGCATCGCCTTCGCCAACCTCTTCCCCGCATCGCTGCTAACCATCCAGGTGGGACATCAAGAGGCCCTACGATAACTACAATCACAACCCACGGATTGTCCTGCCGATTGCCGTAAATTAGGTGCACCCCCTTCTGGATTACGGACTGTCCTATTGGGAACGACCTGCCTGGCTTGTACAATTGTCTCCGTTCTACTCTAACCGTTCGATTTCACCTCTTCAATGCATCCCAGCCTTCAATTGATTCCCATCCCATCTCTGTGGTGCCCCCCAACAGGAATGCGTGTTGCCGCCCGCTGCTGCTGCTGCTGCCGTACCCAGCGGGGCGGGTGGAGCTACGGCATCAGGCGGCAGTGGCGGTGCGGGAGGCGTGTACGGCAGGTTGCGAGGTCAGGGTCTGGAGCTGTGCGGCTGGGTGTTCAAGCACGCGGGACGGCACCAGCTGAGGGCCATGGGGCCGGTGGTGATGAAGGTGGGTGGAGGGGGGTTAAAGGGGAGGGTTGCCGTACATTTAGGTACGGTACACTCAAGTCATGTATGGTCGATTGATCGTACACATCCCTGTACACCCCCCTTTCTTGTTCGCAGGGGCTGCTAGACACACTCGACTCCACAGCAGCTGGAGGAGGAGGTGGGATGATGGATACGGCAACCATGACGCTGAGGGGGGCGGCATACCAGGTGCGGGGGAGGGGAGGGGAATGTGTGGTTGGGGACGGTTGAGGGGCCCACGCACTGTAACTGCACCCCGCATCCTAAGCCGCACTTAGGTACCAGGCACTAGCTGCTGGAAAGCTTGGTGGTTGTCTTGCACTTTTATAGTGATGAACGACTAATGCCTATGGTTTTCCCCTGCTGACCTCCCCTCCCCTCCCGCCCCCCCGCCTCCCCCACCCCCCCAGGCCCTGGGCACTCTGTCCCAGCGGGTTCCGGAGCTCATGAGGTCGCGAACCGACATCGCACGCAGGTTCTTCGCAGGTGCGGGTGTGTTAAGAAAGAAAACTGGCCGCGAGTCGGAACGTGTTGTGCGTGTGTCTTGAGTTGGTTGGGAAGTTGGGGCTTTGGCTTGCATGGGACGTGGGGGGCTGGCTTGTGCGCTCAAATGTACACGCACACTGTGTATTACCATTACTGTAGACGCCTGGCAACGCCGCAGTCGTGGCTGCCCTCACCACCTACCCAAGTTGTTCACACCCTGTCACCATCTCATTCCTCCCCCGACTGCCAAACCCGCCCCCAGCACTGTCCGATGAGCCCCCCGGGGTGCGAGCGGCCGTGCAAGAGGCCACCGGGGCCCTGTCCCGGGCGTATGTGGTGGAAGACAGGGGGCTGTACGACAACCTATCCCAGGCGCAGGAGGAGGGGGATGTCGTACGGCAGTTGGACGAGCTTCTGTTAGAGAGCATTCGGAGCCCCAAGGTATGTGGTGTGCGGGAGGGAGATTGGCCTGATTGGGGTTTCTGCGGGGTTAGTCAGGTTCCCCTAAGTGAGAAGGAGCCGTGGGGGCCGTGTGTCAGTATTTACTGCCGTACTGTATTGTCCGTTGCAAGCTCACCCCGCCTTTCAGGCATCCATTTTCCCCCTCACGTTTACCATAAACATACTTTATCAAACAAATGCACACAGGATGCCGTACGCCTGGCCGCCGTTCAGTGGGCCTGCCGCCTCTTCCCATTCCATCACGTCCCCGCGAGATGGGTACGTTGTGTGTCATGCGTGGTACGAACATGCGCAAGTGGTTGTACTCCTTCGCACTGTCCCTCCTCCCTGACTCCCTGTAGCATAAACCCCTCGTTTTTCCTCCCTCGGAACGGGTGACCCCCCTGACCCTGAACCCCGTTTTCCCCCCTATCCTTCCCAGGTGTGCATCCTAGCTGCGGGCGACTCCCGGCATGACGTGCGGGAGGAGGGAGCTAACGGCCTCAAACCACCTGCGGCGGCGGCAGCAGCGGCAGGAGGCTCAGGAACAGGAAGGGAAGGGACAGCAGGAGGCGGAGCAGCAGCAGCAGGAGCAGGAGCAGCAGCAGGAGCAGCGGCACCCGGCAGGTCGCGTCTGCCCTCGTTGTACTCCCTGCTGTCGTACGTACGGCACCAACTGCCCAGGTGGGAGCAGGTTGGGGCGTTACGGGTGTTGTACCGGCATGTGGGGTGTTAAAGAAAGCGGCCGTGAGTAGGAACGCATGTGCGGCGTTGTGGGCGATAGCGAAGTGTGCGCTAACCGCCCTTGCTCTCTTTCCCTCTCCCAGGTAGGGCCTACTTGCCCCCTCACTGATCGCCCCCCTATACCTGCGGCCCCCCTATCTTACTTCACTCCCCGCCCGGCCCCCGCTCCACCATGCAGGCTTCGCCACCCCGCCGACCCCCTCTCCCCGCTGCCCCTGCCACCTCGCTCCACCCTGGCCCTCATCTCCCTGCTTCGAGCCTGCCGACACGTCACAGGTGCAATTCATACAACAATGGCCAGTCCTATCGCAGCTAGGGTACCATCAACAGGTGCTGCTGATGCTGCCAGCACTAACCCAGGAGGAGGAAGCAGCATGGCGGCAAGGGAAGCGGCTGCCACTGCTATGGAGGTGGATGAGGGGGAGGGTGAGGGGGAGGCTGATGAGGAGCGTGTACGACCCATGGGTCATCAAGGAGATCCGGATCTCCTTCTGAAGGCGGACGACACGCGGTCGTTGTTGGTTGGTTACCAAACGGCTCTGGAGTGGGGGCTTTGCCGAGTGGAGGTACGACACTCGTGTTAGTGCGGCGCCTGGTGGTGATGGTGGCTATTGGATTTCTGGGCTTGGTAATTCGGCTTGGTTAAAAAATGTGGTTGTTTTCACTGTAACCCCAATCGTAAGCCCCTCGTAACCCGCCTTCCATGGCGGATCCCTGCCTGCCTCATGTTTGGTTAGTTTTCCTCTTAACCCTTCCATGTTCCGGTGGAGGTGATGGATGGAAGGTGGCGACCATGCATGATGGATGGAAGGTGGTGACCATACGTGCGGCACTGCTTTCCTCCGCCTTACCGCCTCACCCTCACTGCCCTCCCCTCACTGCCAGGGCAATGCGGAGGTGGCTGCTGCTGCGCTGGAGGCGCTAGTGGAGGCGGCAGCGGAGGAGGAGGAACAGGAGGGGGAGCAGGAGGAGGGACGGCAGCGGTGGAAGACCACAGACGGGAGGGTGGTGGCGGGCAGGTGCGTGAACCCTGTGATTACCACACCCGTTCCCTTTCCAACAACTGGACGACCCTTATACCCGTAACGGAACTAGTTGCCGAGTTAAATGGGTACACAGTCAGCGTTATAGCATCCCTTACCGTATGTGAGCGCACACCATCTCCCTGGCCTCCCGAACTCAGTACGACACCCCCCATTAACCTGACCTTCCCCCCCAAAACACACACACACACACACACGCCCAGGTACGTCTCCCGTACCGCCTGGCTGCGCTCCCTGCTCTCTCACCCGTACGACATCACGACACGTACGGCAGCTGCCCGGCTGCTGGGGAGCCACGTGGCGGGGGCGATGGGGGCGGCGGAGGCGGGGGTGAGAGTTGGGGGGGAGGGGAGTGCTACATGGGGGAAGGGAGTGAGGAAAGGAATGAGGAAGGGAGGTGCTGGGAGGAAGGGGAAAATCGCCGTGCAAGGAAGGCGGCTGTGTGTGTTGCCTGGAATGCAACCCAAACCCGTCCCTGACTCATTTCCCTTGTACTCTCTCTCCCATCTCTCACCCCGTGACCTCCCCCTTCCCGCACACCTCCCCCCCTCAGGAGCTCCTCTCCTCCCTCTGCGCCCAGCTGGCCCCCCTGACCTCCAACAAGCCCAGCAGCACCGCCACCGCTGCTGCTGCTGCTGCTGCTGCCACCCCTGCTGCTGCTGCTCCCATCCCCGCCGCCTCCCAGCCTGCTTCACACACACCCGCCCACCCCGCCCCCACCCACGTGAAACCCGAGGAGGCGGAGGGCTGCCTGCTGGCGATTGGTGAGGAGTTAGGAGAGAAAGGGAGGGCCAGAGATGAGCGGATGTGACGGGGGGGGGGAGGGGAAAGCGAGGCTGCCGTAGGGCCCTGAAAGCCCGATGCCCATCGCATGAATCCATGCTCTCCAACCTCTGTACTAGCCTCTGTGCTAACCTCTGTGCGCTTCCTCCTTCCTTCCTCTCTTGCCCTCAGGCTTTATGCTCGCTTCCGCCGCCACAACCGGCTCCCCGGCCCTACAACCCGCCGCCATCACCGCCGCCGTACACACACTAACTGCCGTACTTTGCGGCTGTAGCAGTGGTGCTAGCAGCAGTGGCAGCGCCGTACCCAGTCCTCTTTCGGAGCCGACGGCGCCCGCATTCGTACGAGCGACTGCGGCGCTAGCTCTGTCGTACTCATGCGCCGCCGGGCCCCAACCGGCGCTGCTGCTGCCTGCTGCTAGTGTGGGTGTTGATGGCAATGGTGGTGCTGGTGGTGGCACTGGCGGCAGTGGCAGTGGCAGTGGCACCGGTGGCGACACGGTTGCCGCCGCCACCGCTGCCACCGCGGTGGGAATGGATGTGGACAAGGCTGCTCCCAAACACGAGGAGGAGCAAAAGCAGCAGCAGCAACAGCAGCAAACACGAAGGGTTCTCGATCTAGTTGTGGATCGGATTTTGGATCTCATTAAGGGCGGCGACGGTTCGTCTTCCAGCAAGTCCTCGGCTGCTGACGCCGGAAAGGTGACCTCACGCGCCCTTGCCGCTGCCGGCTTTCTGGCTGGCGGCTGGGGAGGCGCCTGGGTCTGGGGACCGGAGGATGCCGTAACGCCTAGTGACCCACGGGTCGGTGCTGGTGCGGCTGGTAGCACGAGTGACCCACGGGTCGGCCGTGTTGCCGAGCGACTGCTGGAGGGGGTATTCTCGGTGGCGAGCAGCAAGTCCGAGGATGTGCAGTTTGCAGGTAGGAAAAACCTTTCGTGACCTTCTACCTGCTACTCCTGCGACAGTTGTACAGAGCCCTTTGCGAGTAACCCAATGATATGATGACGTAATGAGTAACCCATTTTTACCCGCATGCAGCTGGTGAGGCGCTGGCATGGGCATTCGGCGGTCTGCCCGCCAGCCTGCCGCCTGCTGTCGTACTGCGGGGTAACTACACGAGCCTGGCTGACAGCCTGGGAGGGGGACAGAAAGAGGTGGAGGAGGAGGAGGAAGAGGAGGAGGAAGAAGCGGAAGGAGAGGAGGAGGGAGCGGAGGTGGAGCAGCAAGATGCCAAGCAGTCAGAAGGAGAGGGAGAGGAAGCGGCGGTGGTGCTGGCGGGGCAGGCCGCGCTACGTCAGGCGGTGTTGGGACGACTATTGGGTGAGCTGCTGGTTAGCAGCCGGAGTGAGGTAAGAGGGGGTGAGGAGGCGGGTGTGCTTGCTCAAATTTGGAGTCGCCACGCAGCAGCTAGGATGCCATGCGAATAGTTGTGGAACGTACCGATATTGCTGTATGCACCCCTCCACCCCTCCTCCGCTCCTCCCCTCCCTTGCCATTCTGCTTTATTACGATTAGCACTTTGAGTGCTGCTGCCAACCCAACAAGTAGGACTATCCGCAATCCTATGATCCAGCCTAATGCGGACTATGTATCCCTGATATATATTGTGTCAATCCCCTGCCACTCCCCCCCCCCCGCAGTTCCGCTGTGCCGGCGCGGTGTGGCTGGTGAGCCTGCTGGGCTGCTGCGGGGGCGGAGGGGCGCGGGAGCTCAGCAGTGCGGGGGGCAGGCTGCCGGAAATACAGGTGGGTGGGCGTGGGGATGAAGATCGAGGAAGATGGGGATGGGGAGGAAGATGGGTCGCTCCATACAGGCGGGAGGCGGGGTGGGGCTGGTTGGGGGTGTTGGGGAAGGTAGGCTTTATGTGATTCGGAGGGCTGCTCCTTTGCACCTCTATGGCCTGTGTAAGGTTACCTTGGGTGCCCCCCAAAGTGCGTCCCAGGGAACTGGTGACGTGGTGAGCACTTATGGCATTATTAAGGTGTACGTCAGAGGTCATCCGCAAGTACGACAAGCCACCCTCGTAACGCCAAATCTCCCCCCCTCTCGCCCCACTGTCCTTATGCCGCCTGCAGGAGGCGCTGAGCGGGCTCCTGGGGGATCCCAACGAGCTCACGCAGGTGGGTAGTTGGGCCTGTATATATTGCGACCTTACCCCCTGTTCTTGTGCGAAATGACGACTTCATGGATGTTCTATTTTATGTATTTCATGCCTGTTCAGTTTCTATCTTGATGTATACATTCGCCCTCCTGCAGGAAATGGCGTCTCGGGGTGTTTCGCTGGTGTACGAGCTTGGAGACGAGGAGGTATGTTGTGAGGAAGGCCTTCTCGGTTTTGTTCGCTTCCGGTGAAACGCTGTTTGGTTTCGCATTCCATCGTCGGCCATTGTGACGTAGCCCACCTTGACGGTGCATGGTAATCACCCATCCGCTCAAGCCTCCCAGCCAACATCAGACACCACCCGCAGGTTTCTCGCGGCTCAGTTTATCTAATCCCAGCCAACCTGTTTCATACATTTACCAAACAACAACATTCCGTTTGAAACGCCATGCATCCCTTTGCTTGCGCATTATGTGTGTATGTCCGATGAACACAACAGATTCGCGAGCAGTTGGTTCAGCGGCTGGTTGCCGTACTTCAAGGAGGCGGGGGAGCGGCGGGGGGAAAACCCAAGCTCACACCAGAAACCCAGGTACGTTGGCGTGCTGCTGGGGTGTGTTGTGCTGTGAGTATGAAATATGTGCTGTCTTTGGACCTCTTTGTTGCATTGCTAGTTTGCTGCCTATTTCCCTTTTGACCCGCCCGACCTCCTAAAGTTAATTCCGTCTTGTCCACTGCACTTGCAGATATTCGAGGAGGGGGCGCTGGGCAGTCTGCCAGCCTCTGGAGGAGCAGGAGGTGGTGGGGCAGCGGGCAGTAGCGGTACGGCTGCCGGCAGCAGCAGCGGCAGCAGCGGAGGAGGAGGGGGCGGGTTGTCCACTTACAAGGAGCTATGCGCCCTGGCTACGGACTTGGGGCAACCCGACCTGATTTACAAGTGAGTTAGAGAGTGGGCTCGGGCGTATGGACCCAGAGGCGTATGGACCCCGAGGCGGCGGTGGGTGTTGCAGGAGTGTGCATGCAGCGTGGCTGGGCAGCGTGATTACATGGAGCGGACGGGGGTGCGATAGATGTGGTGTCGCAGCAGCGGGGGCTCGGAAGGTGCAGTAGCTGCAACGAGGGTGAGACGGTGAGCAGTGGTTAGCATGTATGCGTCCTACCTAGCTACCTGTGTCCTAGCGCTTCCCACTACACCCGTAAGACCACCCCTAACAACCACCCCGTACAGGTTCATGGACCTGGCGCACCATGCCGCCGCACTCAACAGTCGGCGTGGCGCCGCATTCGGGTTTGCGAGCATCGCTCGTATGGCGGCGCGAGGCGGAAGGCGAAAGGGCGCGAAGGGCACGCGGCCGGCGAAGAAGGCGAAGGGTCGCGAGGGGAAGCCCAGCGAGCGCGGTCCTCAGGCAGTGCTGACGGCGCATTTAGATGCATTGGTGCCCAAGCTGTACCGGTGAGTGTTGCTTGATGAGTAGATGAATAAAGCACTAGCTAGGGTGACCCGTGGGTCATGTACACCCATATGCTCATGGAACGGGTTCAAACCTGGGGCTCTCAGCACAGGGGCATTAACGCACTAGGCCCTCCGCCCCTCCCGCTTCCTGCCCCCTCCCTCTCCCCTGGATGGGCCAGCCACCATGTTCGCACCCGCTCGCTGGTGGCCTCATCAGTTGCCTCATTTTATCGCTCTCCCCTGCTGCCCCTGCCCCTGCCCCTGCCCCCCCCCTCCTCAGCTACACGCACGACCCCAACCCCCGCGTGGCTGAGGCCATGGTGGCCATCTGGCGGGCGCTGGTGGACGACCCACGGGTCACCCTGGACAAGTAAGAAATGTGCAGGGCTGCTAGCACTGTGGTACTGGACAAGTGGGGCTGTTTATTGAAACACCCGAGCGACATGTGGTGACATGTGAAGCGTTTTGTGGGCTGTGAACCGTTACTTTTAAGGACTTCTAAGAGAAAGTGTAGTTTAGTAATACGTACGTTTGGGCACACCCTAACCTCCATCCCCCCTCCCTGCGCGCCAGACACTTCCCCGCCATTATGTCGGACCTGCTGCGGGAGATGGGCGGGCGGCTGTGGCGCAACCGGCAGGCGGCGTGCGGGGCGGCGGAGGGGCTGCTGCAGGGCAGGAGGTAAGGCGCAGGACGGGGCGGGGCTGTGAAGGGGCCGTACAACGATGTTGTAGACGAGGAGGAGGGGAGAAGGGGAGGAAACGGGGTCGGCGAATGATTGGGGAGAAAGGGAGCCGCTGGAGGTTGATCCTCAAAGATTAAGTCATGCATGCCTAAGTTTATAAACTGCTTATACTGTGAAACTGCGAATGGCTCAATAAATCAGTTATAGTTTATTTGATGGTACCTACTACTTTGATACCCGTAGCTATTCTAGAGCTAATACATGCGCACAACCCGACTTGTGGAAGGGTCGTATTTATTAGATACAAGGCCCGGATGGGCGGGGGATGACAGCGGGCGGGGTCAATGAGGTGGAAGGTGGGGCGACCGAGAGGGCGATGTGAGAAAGCACTTTGGTTTTGCATGTGTTTGCATGTGTGGCTTACTCGGCGGGTGTGCGTGCGGGTTATGGTTTCTTATTCACCCTCCCCTCCATGACCCCTCCCCTGACCGCCTCCTCCCCTCCTCCCCCCCCAAGGTGGCCCGAGCTGGCTCCGTACTTTGCCCAGCTGTGGACCATGATGTTCCGAGCCATGGTGGGGGAGGGGGGAGGGGGCGGTTCAAAGACCATATTTCACCGTTGGAAACCATGGGTGCTGGTGGTGGGGAGAGGGTCGGGGTTGTGGTAGGTGAGCCGGTCTGGGGAACGCTGGGGGAAATCCTTAGATAGCCCGTTGGCACACAGTACCCGCAGAGCGCAAACGGGATAAGGGCGCAAACTGCAGTACCGTTATGTCCTACATACCCCCACGACCCCCATCCCCCCCCCAAAAACACACACAACAGGATGACATCAAGGACAGTGTACGGCGGGCCGCTGTGTCGCTCAGCCGCACCGTCCGGGGGCTCACGCTGAGGCTGGCCGACCCGGCCCACACCTCGGCTAAAGGTACGATAAGGGGAGACAAGAGCGTTAGGGCAGGAGACGTACGTAGTTGTTAAGGTATATCCATGGGGTTTTCTCGAATGACTCGCGAAGGTCCGTAACTCTCCCAATGCTGCTCCAATACGGGTTCAATAGATCATTACCCATCTTCACATGGTCCCCCGTACACCCGTATACATCCGTACAACCGTTTCCACAGATTGTACGGCAGCTGTGTCGGAGGTACTTCCGGTGCTGCTGGGTCAGGGCCTTACGTCGAGTGTGGCGGAGGTGCGTGAGCGGGTGCACTTCTTGGGTGGGGGTTGCGGTTGCTTTTGCCGCTGTCTGCCAACTACTGCCGTACAAAACCGCCAACAGAGTCAACAAACCCTTTCAACCACCACTCGAGATCTAACCAACCAGATTCGCACTGACCACCCTGTCGCTGTCCTATCCTCTACCCAATCCCAATCCCAAGATCCCCCATGCCAATCCCGAAATTCCCAACCCCACCACGCCCCCAGGTCCGAGGCCTGTCAGTTGAGGTGCTGTCGCTGCTGTCCCGCTCCGCCCCGCCCGCCGCCCTGCGACCGCTGCTGGGAGCCATGGTGCCGGCGCTGCTGGAGGCGCTGAGCAACATGGAGGACGCGAGGTGGGGGGCGGGGGGCGGGGGGGGGACCGGAGGGCGGAACATCCGTTTGCTGGTTGGATTGGGGACGGATGAAGGCGTTTCAACATACCGTACATTTTTCCGCTTCACGCCCTTCTGACCCAAAGTTTATAATACTCTGCAAACCCTAAACCCTGCAAACCACCCCAAACCACCCCAATCCCCCCAGGCTGAATTATGTGGAGCAGCACGCGGAGCGGTGGGGCCTGGACGCGGAGAGGCTGGAGGGGGCGAGGGTGGCGGCGGCCCGTGGGTCACCGCTGGTGAGGGGGAGGAAGGGGGGAGGCTGGAGGGGCTCGGAGGGGGAGGGAGGTGTCAGGTGCGGTATAACGGTAGTCAAATGCGAGGAATTTAGGGATCCTGCAGCGATGTGTAATACCTTTCCTATTAAACCCTCACCTATCGAACCCTCCCACGTGTTAGAAACCCTGGATGTATAATGGCCCCCTGATGCTGTGTACCTAACCCCAGGGTGACACCCTAGATCTTGCCGCTCGTCTGGCTGACGCCTCCTCCCTGGAGACCCTGGTGCCCGCCCTGGTCACGTCCGTACGACGAGGGGTGGGACTCAACACAAAGGTACGGCAGCAGGGGGGCGGTGTACGGCAATGCTGGATGGACGCAGGGGCCGCTTTCTTTCGAGGACGCATGATGAGATGCGCCTTTCAGATTCTGTTCTAGCATGATATCCTCCCGCTTGGATGTCGTACGGCATGATATCTTGGCGACATGGATCATTGACACGTGTCCTTGCCCAACCCTAACCCCCCAAAGGTCGGCACCGCTCGCTTCATTCGCCTGCTCGCCTCCCGACCCTCCGCCCTCACCTCCGGCGGTGGTGGCGGGGGGGTTGGGAGCAGTGCTGCTGGTAGTGGCGCATCAGCGTCCCAACCGCCGGCCCAAGAGCAACCGCTGCTGCGATCGCACGCGGCGCCGCTGCTGCGGGCGTTGGTGGCGGCGGTGCGGGGCGAGAGGAGCGGCACAGTGAGGAAAGCGTATGCGGCGGCGGCGGCGCAAGTGAGAATGGGGGAAAGGGGTGGGGGGAGGGGAAATAAAGTGGGCAGTGTACGTTTGAAAGACGTGTTTTTTCAGAGGCAATGATTGTACAGTACCGATATACAGTAGTTTGCCGTGTCCGCTCCACCGCGCAGACATCTTCCTCGGCATGAACCCACACCCCACCTCCCATACATTACAGGTTGTACGGCACGCCAGTGAGAAGCGCCAGGACAAGTTCGTTGAGGAGGCTCTGCTGTCGTACAACGATCCGGGAGCTGACGTGGACTCCAGGTGTGCGTGTGTCCGTACGGCATGTATGCTTGTACGACACCGCTTTCGGCATGGATGTCGTACGACAACTGGCTGGCGTATGTCGTACACTATTGACCTGTGTTGAACCTATCATACTGACGTGCCATACACTCATACTGGGCTATCATCGTCCCATGTATGTATGTATGTGTTACAAGCTTCGTACCGAGCTCGTAAGATCCGTCCGAGCCAGAAGGCTCATGGATCGCGAGCACAAAACGCGAAAACAACCAAATGAAGAAAAAGCAAACAAAAGAGACAACAAACAGAACGCTAATCATATGATAAACCCTGTCTGCGCAATCCTGCGACTTCGCATGCTAGTGATTACACTAGCAAGCAATGCCTGATTCTCCATGCCCATGACAGCAATCATATCAGCATCCCGTGAGACACCACTTTCCCATATCTTGTCACGCAAATCATCGTAAGCGGGACATTCAATGAGGATGTGCTTCTCATCTTCCACTCTCCCCGGCGACCCCTGCACGGCACACATAGGACAGACACGCGCTACTCGTTGCCTACCCCTAGGGCGATTGGCTTCAATGCCCCACACACACAGCCGAAAACGCATCAGGTTCACATGCTGCCGCTGAGTAATGTACCCCCTGTTAACCGGGTCACCCATCCAATTTTTGTACCTGCACATCTTAACTCCAACCCCAGGTACGGGGTCTACTGGGTTGAAAAGCCGCGGGTCATCTTCCAAACTCCTATCCTCCCAATCCGCATCCATTCTATCAGCAAACTTTTTAGTGAGAGTAGACACATTTAGCTCCGTGCCAGCAATACGTTCCACACGCGCATTCAAGTCCAACTCACCCCCCAAGGCCGTCAAATCCGTCCCTAACATTTTCAGAATCTTCAACACCTTAGAACCCCAGCCATCATAATGCTCAGTACTGAGGGCCGAACGAATTTCACCTCGCAACGCCTGGTGGTAGACCGTGTCCTTCTGCTTGACCAGGTCATTCCAAAACCTCAGAAACAGTCCCATCGTCCCATGGCAACCTTTGCTGTTGCAACGATAGAACCAAACGTTACGAAAATGGTACGTTGTCGGAAACTGTAATAACGTACAGCATGCCTGCCGTACATGTCTTCCCACAGGTTGTCCGGCGGTTTGCTGTTGCGACAGTTGCAGGCTGCGGCTCCCGAACTGCTCCGGCGGTACGACACAACCGTACTGCCAACCGCCTTTGCCGCCAAGATGGATCCCGAGGACAAGGAAGTGGCAGCGGTGTGGGGAGAGGTGGGGGCGGCACGCGCACGGCGCGGGTTTGGGGAAGGGAGGGAAGTTCGTTGGAGGGCTTGTCCAAGACGCTGTTTGTCGCATTCGAGATCTCGTGATGTGCAGCATAAGGTCACGTCGACGAAAACATGGAGTCCTACATCCAAGCCAACCGTCAAACACGTTTTTGCTTTTTGCCACACGCGCGCGCCCCCACCCCCACACCTACGCAGGTATGGGAGGAGGGTGTATCCAGCGAGCCCGCTGCCCTGCGGCTGTACGGCGGGGAGGTGTGTACGGCCCTTGTGGAGGCGCTGGGGGGGCAGCAGTGGGGCAGGAAGCGGGCGGCGGCAGAGGCCACCGTCAAGCTGACAGAGGTGAGTTAACACAGGGGTGTGTTAGGGGTGAGGATAGCTGTAGAGGTGGAGTGTTACGGGTAACCACAGCTGTAGACTGGCTGGCTGACTGAGGAGAGGCGCGCTGGCGGTTGCTGTTTGGGTGATTAGTGACGGTTGTTATTGAGGGGGGCGTAACCCCTGTAACCCCGTGGGTGTACGATGCCTGGAACCCCTAGGTCCTGCAGCAAAACGCATGCTAGGTGAAAGCATGCATAATATTAATGTTTTGGGCCATTTGGGGAGGGTTACGGAGAGTTTGGGCCGACGGGAACTTTAAGACGCAGAACATAAGCTAACAATTAAGGAAAGTAGTTGTTTAGTTATTACTCTAATGGTAGATGCGTACCTAATGCTGTAAGCTTTGGTTTATGGTCGACTCGTTGCCATTGCCATAGAAAAAAGCGCCCAAAAGGCAACGTTCCCTACGCAGCCCAATTAAAATTATATAAGAACGTAGTCCTAGTTTGCTGGAAAGAAAAGCTGTCACTGTTTTCACCTACAATATCTGGCCCGGAACCCCGACGACCCCGACGACCGTACAGTCGTCGGGGTTCCAGGCCGTACTCGTCGGGGTTCCGGGGGGTTCCGACAGCCGACATATGTTCCTGATAGTTAGTGGCGATGGGAAGGGCAAGTAGTACTGGTTGACCTTGTACGCCTAACCAACAATACGTGTTTGTTCCCGAACATTGACGTGGTAGGAATGAGAGTACCGTTAGTGGCACTGTTCACTGCAAGCATGTTGAGCTACCCCTGCGACCCTTCCTCGTTTCCCTCCTTCCTTCACAGATTGCGCCCGATGCCTTGGGAGATCACGGCAGGTGGGGGGCGGGAGGGGTTTACCGCCGCCGTCCCTCTTGAAGCATTCGTTACTCGATGTTGTAATCTGTCGTGATGCATACACCACTTGTAAGTCATTACATGTGCCTAGCATTTAATCTTTATCCAACCAATCACAACCGAAGCGTACCCTAACCAACCAACAACCCAACCGCAAACAGGCGCCTAGCCTCCGCCCTGCTGGCCGAGTTGCGGGTGGGGCGGCTGTGGGAGGGCAAGGAGACGCTGCTGGGTGCCATAGCGGCGCTGGTGGCGGCTGACCCACGGGTCGTTTCCGAGGCGGCGACTGACCCGCGGGTCACTCGGGAGGCAGCCATTGGTGCTGATGACGCAGGACACGCTGCATTGGTGGAGGTGCTGATGGCGGCGGTGCAACGCAAGAAGGTGGGGATTTGGGGTTCAAGACGCGGGTTCAGGAGTGGGAAAAGCGTCTGCTTCCGACTTGCTTCAGCATAACTATGCACCGAAAGAAAATGTTACTGTCATGAACAACACATGCCCAGCAAGTACTGTAATATTAATTAACTACTATTTTTCCATACTATAACAAACATCCGCAGATGTCGTACCGCACGGCGGCCCTGACCGCCCTGAATGTCGTACTTCGGTCGCTGCCGGGCTGCCACTGGGGCCGAGTGGCGCCGCGACTGATGGCGGACGTGGAGAGGTGCGCCGCCGCCGGGGTAATGATGCGGGCGAACGAGCTACTGCGGTTACGACTGACTGTTCTTTCACAATCCACATCAGTTTGCTCTCCCTCTCCGCTCCTCTCCCTCTCGCTCCTGACTGTAAACACATACATCGTCCCACCCTGTGTTCCCTTCTCGCTTCCCTCTAACTAGGCACTGTGAGCCGGCAGCTGCTACTGCTGCCTCCGCCACCGCATCCACCACCACCCCACCCACCGAGTCAGGCACAGCTGCAGGGGGTGAGGACGCCCCTCCCGCCCCCCTGCCCCTGCCCGAGTGCCTAACGTGCCTATCAACCGCCTTCACAAGAGTCGGTACGGCAGCAGCGGCTGCTACAGCTGGTACGGCAGACACATCAGCGGCGGCAGCAGCAGGGGAGGAGGTGGAGTCTAGCGGACGGCAGTTTGCTGGGGTGCTGGGCCGGGTGTTGGGTGCGGGGTGGATTGGGTGGCAGGGGAAGATGGCGGCGGCAGCAGCGGTGGCGGCGGTGGCACAGGTAAGAAGAAGAGAGGGAGGAGGAGGGATCAAGGAGGGACTATTAGGGAGGGATTAAGTTGGATGGATTCAGTTAGCCTGGGTTGAGCTCCGGACGATGTGAGTGGGGTGTAACCGTGCTTTCCTGACCCGTGTGGCCCTTCCCCACTCGCTACCCCGCTCATTCCCTGCCCACTTCATAGCACGAGCAAGCCAACCGCCTGCTTACCGGTACTACGCCTTTTCATGGCTGTAACCCCTCAAAATCTCCATCATCACCCCTACTACGCTGCCTGACTCTACCCATCACACTGTGTCATACACCCCCACCCCACCCCATGATGGCCGCAGCGCTGCTCTGCCGTACAGCTGTCCCCCGCCTCCTCCGCCGCCCTGTTGGGCCGCCTCAGCCCCGCGCTGCTGGCAACCGCACAGGACTTCCAGGTACGTACGGGGTTAAATGGGGATACGTATTCTGCTTTAGGCTGTATGGGGTGCTGGACGGGGATATCCGGGTATGTTTTCAGTGCTTCCGAGCGCAGAATGCCTCTAATGCGCTGGATACCTAGCAGCTATACGCAATTATTTGAGTTTTGCAGCCCTATGCGGATTACCCACCAACCCCCTCGTAACCCCTCGTTCCTTGCCTGCCCCATCCACCGACGTGCCCCACCAACACCCTCAGGTCCACCAACTCCGCATGGCCTGCCTGACCGCCCTCTCAGCCATCACCACCGCCGTACAACCACCTGCCGTACAACCACCTGCCGTACAACCACCTGCCGTACAACCACCTGCCGTACAACCACCTGCCGTACAACCACCTTCAGCCACCACCACTGCCGTGCAACCCTCCTCTCCCTCTGCGGGATGGAGTGAGGCCGATCGGCGGCAGGTGCTGCCGGGGCTGGTGGCTGGGCTGAGGCAGCTGGCAGGGGTAGGGGTGGGTGCGGGAGCAGGAGTAGCAGGAGGAGGGGGAGGTACTGCGGCGGGTATGGCGGGAGCATCAGCAGGAGCGGGAGCAGCGAGGGGAGGGGGAGGCGGAGGTTCTCAGAATGCGGCAGTGGCGGCTGCGGCGCTGGGGCTGGTGGGGGTGTTACAGCCGCTTGTGTTGTCAGGGGCGGAGCAGGAGGGAGGCGGGGACGAGGAGATGAGGGAGGCGTAGGGCGGGGGAGGGGAAGTACTGGTAAAGACGAAGAAACTAGGCATGTGGCAAGGCTGCACCATGGGTGGAAAATAGACAGCGGGTGGGGTTTAACGAGGACCACGTTAGGAGGGGGCAAAGTGCTGAGGATGTGGAGGAAGGAGTATGAGAAGCCGGTGAAGCACACGTGTGTAACGGCTGCAGATGGAGGGCAGGTCGCCTTGGGGTTGTGGTTGGGAGGTATTGTGGACTTGAGGATATGAGAGGGCACTAGAAGGGACCTGGAGGGCCGTCTATGATGTTGAAAAAGGTCCGTAGTCGTCCAGATTCTTCCTATGTAATGCGTTTACACACTTACCGGTATGTAGGTGCACCTCAAAACAGCTTACAGCAAGACCTCAACCATTACCCCGACCTGCACAGTTGACACCCCGGGATAACTGTGGCACTGCAACTGTAGGCTGCAAAGCAGAATCATAAGCTGCATACACGTTCGACAAGCATTGTGCCTCGCCATGTTCCTTGTGTCCCGCCATCTTCCTTGTGCCCGCAATGTTCCTTGTGCCCCATTATGTTTCTTGCGTCCCCCCATGTCCTTGTGTCCCGTTATGGTCCTTGCGCCCCGCCACCTTCTGTGCGTCCAGTACTTCCTACATCACCAAGCCACCATCATCACCAAGCTTCCCACTCTTAACTAGTATTCCCAACCCCCTAACTGCCCAGCTCTAAGCAACCCGAAGTAAAAGGGAGGAACCAAGTGCAGATCTCACGGCCCATACAAGTTATATATCTCCCCATTCTACCCACTAAAGCTCCAGGATCAAGTCAACTCTTTCTCATCACGATCTTGCTTCCACAGCCTATTTTAGTCTATTCCGAATTCAAATCCAAACCCGGCAGCTTCCTAGGATCCAGTCCTGCCGGATCCAGCTCGTCCAAGTGCCGTACCACCAGGTGCGCCCAGGGCGCCAACAGCGGCTGGGGCAGCTGGTTGGTAATGCCCACGGTAAACATGCCGGCAGCGCGGGCGGCCTGGGGGATGGATGGAGGAGGAGGAGAGGGAGGACAGGGCGGGATGGGGAGGGGGGCACACAGGGGGCAGGCATGGGAGGGTGGGTGGGTTGGAGGAAAGGGTGTGGTGTGTAGCCCTGTACGGCCCCCTGAATGAGCTTGTTGGGTTCCTGCTTGTCCTCTGTTCCTGTTACGGTAGTCCACATGCAAAAGAACAAGAACAACTGCCCACCTTGAGCCCGTTCACCGCATCCTCCACCACTAGCGCCCGCCGGGGGTCCTGGCAACCTGAGCGAAAAGGGGGGGAGTGGGAGGGAGGGAGAGCGATAGACAACCATGCGTTGAATGAGGGAGGGGGAGTTCGGAAACAACAGGAAACATGCATACAGATCGACATGCACGCTTCCATCTCATCTACTCCTCCATAGTACCTGGTAATACCGGTTTGTGTTACAACCGACCTGGTAATACCGGTTTCTGTTACAACCGACGCCTTTAACCCTGTAATCAACAGCACCCCAGACCCCACTCACTCCGCCCCCTCAAACCACCATCTCTCACCCGTTACTCTCATGGCCTCCAAATACACATCCGGAGCCGGCTTCCCCGCCGCCACCTGCGCAGCCGAAACCACCGCATGCTCCGGGACCAACGCCGCCAGGCCGCTGCTGCTCAAGTTGTGCGCAATTTTGGCTGGGGCGCCTGATGAGGCAACACCTACTCGCATGCCCGCAGCCAGCGCGCGGCGAATGAGTCGCTCGGCGCCGTCAAACGCCGGAACGCCGCCGGCGGCCTCAGTGAGGCGGCGGTAGGCGGCCTCCTTGGCAATGAGGACCCGGGGTGCGAGGTCCTCAGCTGCCGGCCAGTCGGACCTGAAGGAGAGGGGGTGGAGGGACGGAGGGCGGAATATGCAGGTTTAAGGAAGCTACCGTAAACGCTTGCTTGTTAGGTAGGCCGCGCATGTGGCAGAGCGACGTAGTTGAAAGCTAAGGTGTAAGCGTTCGGGTGTTGAAGGAGGCGACTTTGTTACTAAAACATTTGAAGGCAGCGTTCGACTACTCGCTGGCTTGTTTCTCGTGTTAGCAGTGCTATTTTTTGTACAGTGTTCCTCGCAGCTGCCGTACCTGCCGAACTTTTCCCGGTAGTGCGCCACGCAAGACCTCACGTCCATTCCGAAGACCTGCGGAAGGGGAAAGTGAAGATGCGAAAGTGTAAAGGCAGGAAGAGACAAACGAGAATGAAGGCAAACATGAGGACTTGAGCAGGTAGGACACGAAGGAAACAAAGCGCAAGCGGACGCTCATAGGAAAAGCAAGGCAGCGTTGCTCTGCCCTAAAACACACCCAATTACTGGTTCTAGCGTCGCCTAATGAGCTCCGCCTGCTCAGCTTCCAGAACACGATACCAATGAGTGGGCCAAAGCGCAGCTAAGCCACCCACCTCAACATAGTCTTGGGGGAAATCATGGGGAATGTCAAAGCCCGTGACCTGAAGGGAAAATGGAAGGGAAAGAAAGGCCGGGAGAGGCGGCGCAGGTGTGTTTTGGATGACGCGGTGCTGCCAGCTCAGCATGCCTGCCGTACGTGCCTGCCATGATTACATGGTGCGCACAAAACACACACACGACTCACATTACATGCCCTGCCGTACAATTGTGTCAATATTCGCGCTGTCGTACCTCCAAGATGCCCAGCCGCAGCGACTCGCAGCTCGCCCTTTCGCTATCCACCATCACCCCGTCGCAATCCAAGATCAAATGCGTAAACCAAACTGCCGTACATTCCGTTGTGCCTGCTGGTGTTGTCGTACATCCGCCTTCTGCCGCCGTACTACTGCTACAACAACACGCCGAACCGGCTGCTGCTGCTGCCTCTGCCGCCGTCGAAGTCGCTGCTGCGCCGCTGTCATCACTCCTGCCATCTTTTCTCTCAGGCTTCAGCTCTCTTCCGCATCCTCCGGTGGTGCCTTCCGCCGAGTCCTCAACCTTATGGGGGTCACTAGGCCCCTGCTGCTGCACCAATTCCGAATCCGGATCCAGCACCAACTGAGGCTCCGGCAGCTGCTCCTCCTCCTCCTCTTCATCCCCGCCCGCCCGACCCAGACCCATCCGGCGTATGGCCGCAGGAAGGCTCGCCGGCAGGCTGGGTGCCGCTGCTGCTGCTCCTGCTGCTGCTGCTGCAGTTACTGCCACAGCTGCTGCAGGGGTGCCCGAGTCGGTAGTGCCAACGGTAGTGGTGGTTGTAGCGGTCGTGGCAGCAGCAGCAGCAGTGGCTGCTGCGGCGGGTCCCCTGCCGGCTCTTGCGGGACCACCAGCTACCCCGGGAGGTAGCAGCGGCCTCCGGACGTTTGCGATGGCATCGAGCGGTTTGGGAAGCACGGTGTCGATCTGTACGGTATACGAATACGGGGTGTGCGAGTATTGCGAGTATTGGGTGTACGATCACGGGGCACAGGTTAGGAAGGAAGAGGAACATAACGGAGGCCAGGAGAAGGGGGCAGGAAATGATGGGTATCGGTATGTGCCGTACAGGGAGTTGTCGTACCTTGGAGTGGTGTAGCTGGAAGGCAGGGGTCACCCAGGCACCCGCGGGGTTGGAGATGCCTGCGACAGCAAGCCCCATGCCAGCAAGCAGCGTTATCAGTCAGTTAGTCAGCGCATTAGTAACCCCGACACCGCATTGGGTTACCCAGCACCCCAACCAAGGAGTCGAGAAGAGCAACAAGAGGAACGCAAAATGAAGAAGCGCAAGGAGAACGACCCATGGGTCATTCCCCGAACCGACCCATGGGTCACCTGACCCACCTGACCAGTTGAACGACCCCAGCCTCGCGGAGCACTTTGGGCAGTGCAGCTTGCCCGCTATCACCCCGGTGATGCTGCCAGCCATCCACTGCATGGGCTCGATGAACAAGCAGGACTCGGAGGCGCCGGAGGCCGCGTCGGCGGCAGCAGCAGCAGCGGGAGGGGGTTGACGGTAGCGCTGGCGGTCGCGGAAGATGCGGTGGCCTGGGAAGGGGATGGGCGTGGAGTGAGGGCGAGAGGAAGGATGTACGGTGAGTGAACGTTAGGCGGTTGCGTAGGAAGAAACCGACCGGCGTGGCTGAAGAGTGCACCACACTCACCAACATCATATAGAGTGTGTATAGTAACACAGGGGGTGCATGGATAGGTGGAAGGAAGGCGGGTAGCGGCGGTCAGAGCTACAACTTAGCTATGACTCAGCTTGTCATCCGGACTGCTCTCTGCCCCTTCCCACCAGTAGGATATTCTTTTCCCCTCCAGGACTCCTCTCCCCTCCTAAAGACCCACCCATGGCCGCCTCCACAGGCATCACGTGGGACGAGGTGGCCAGCAGCTGCCGGCACTTGCGGCACCGGTACAGCGTCTGCTGCTGCTGGGAGGAGGAGGATGAGGCGCCAGAGTGACCCGTGGGTCCGTCCGGCAGCTGTCCGAACGCCTCCGGGTCCACGTAGCCCTGCTCCTCCCAGCGACTGCTCAGCTGCGCGAGCGGTTCGACAGGACAAGCAAGGGACAGGACAAGCAAGGGTGTAATTAGGCCCCGGGTCAGAAAGCGGGGAGGTGAGATACGCGCAGGGGGCAAGTATACAGGGAAACGAGATAACGCTTACAAAGCTGCCCTACACAGCAGCAGCAGCCCAGCACAATCCAAACCAGCTCCCTTTCCCACCCTTCACCGCTTCCCCTCACCTCCTCCAGGCACCACATGCGGTACACCGGGTGGTTGGCGTCCAGGCTGCAGCGCATGTCGCCGAACAGGCTCAGCTGCGCGCGGAAGCCCTCGTTGGGGTCGGCGCAGGGGCGGTACTGCCGCAGCAGCGACAGCGCCTCGGAGGCGGAGTAGCCGCGACTGGGGGGGATGGGGGGGTGAGGGATGGGGGATGAGGGCGTGAGAGTGAGAGAGGGGTGGTGTAGGCGGTTGAGAGCGGTGATGGGGAGGGCTGTGTTGGTGAGCCTGCGTGTAAAGTAGTGTGGAAGGGAAGGGTGGATCCAGCACCTGTCGTGTGTGGATGAATCCCAACCTCGACCCCCAACAGAACACAGAGCCACACTCGATGTGCTGGCCGCCCTTGCCACCGGATTCAGACAAGGTCCCAGACCAGACGGCCGGGTTCCTCTCTGACCCCCCCTCCCACCTGCGCATGAGCCAGCCCGCCACCACCGCCGGACTGCGGGACACCCCCGCCTGGCAGTGGACCAGCACCCGACAGTCATTGCTGCTGCTGCTGGCGCCGCCGCTGGGAGGGCCGCCTGCCGCCGCCGCCGCTTCCGTTCCAGTTGCTGCTTCCTCTGCTTCCCTCGCTGCTCCTGCCCCTCCCCTTGCTGCTGCTGCCCCTTCCTCCGCCCCCAGCGCTGCGTCCAGGAACTTGATTGCTGCGGGCAGGTACTGCAGCATGTTGGCACCCTCGGAGTCCTGGAGGGGAAAAAGTGAAACAACGAGGGGAGGGGAGGGGCGCAAAGGAAGGGAGGAGGGCAAGAGAGGGAGGGGGAGAAGGATGAGACGGACAAGGGGGGCTCAATGCGAAAGAGAAGGCGCAATGCATGCCTTTCGAAAATACTCCTGAAGAAGCTTATGGCCATACGTGAATGTGTGGTTTTGCAGCGCATGCTTTGCAGGAGTTTAGGGGAGAGACAACTCTGGGGGTTGTGTCGTACGAGTGTGTGGGACGTGTCGTACCTGGAGAGGCAGCTGCAGGGTGGTGTAGGCGCTGAGGTCCTTTTGGACGGGGAAGTTGAGAACGGACTGTGTGGCAGGAGGGAGGGAAAGAAAGTGAGGAAGAAAGGGCGAAAGGTTTCTTTGGTAACGGAAGGTGGGGGTGGTAACTGGAGTGAGCACCACGTGTACGCGCTCCGGTGATGCGAGGGGCGCGTGCGCTTGGGTGGGCGGCGCGCGCGGTATGTCTAGTATGGGTCGGCGGGTCTGCCATTGGGCAGTGATGGGACAAGCCGGAGGAAAGACTGCAGGATTAAGGCCGCAGCGACCGATCGATTGTTTATTTAAAATGTTTGCTTACCAAAACATGGGTGATACCCAGGGCTTCGAGGAACTTGAGGCTGGATAGGCCGCCGATGTACAGCCCTGTGGGCCGCCAAGATGTGCGCGGGATATCGTTTAATACGTAGAAGCCGAACTATCCTTCCCTGAACAGCAACAAAGCGATGCAGTTGGTGTCGCACCGGGAAGAATTTCAGACACCTCCATTGGTGCCTATATCCGCAAGATCGCCTGTAATGAAGTTACTAAGTTGAAGCAGCGATCGTGTTTCCCTAGTGCAACTATACCAAAGGTTCGTTATGTTGTACTTTGGGCGGGTAGGCTCCGAAACACAAACTTGCATCTTTCAGCCGGACAGCCGCAGACGATTTACTGCGCGCTGGGTGCAACCATGACACGTAAACTAAAAACACATTAAAAAGGGATTCAGGCACAACAAAGCCTAGTTAGGGCGCTGGGGTCTGGCCCTTACCAACAATGGCGACAGCCCAGTCACTTATTAGCCCTTCTGCCCACGTATACGAGCGGCTTTCTGAAGTAGGAAGTCCAGACGCGGTATCACCGCGAGCTCGTTACTATGGTTCGGTCCCAATTGGAGACGACGATAGCGACAGCGAGTACTTTGCCGTGCGACGACAAGCACCGGTTTCATGGCTGGAGCGTATAAGGAACTTTGGTCAGCGTCCGCAGCCGCAGGTGCAAAGCAACTACCTAACCCTAATTCCTCTCTCGGGTGCGTCATGCCGACTTGTCATTCGCCGCTGTCACCAGCTCGACTTATTAGCGTGCTGGCCTTCCCTGCAGACGATCGCCTAAAGCCGCGACGTACCAAGTTGCTGGTATCCGGCTTGGTGGGTGTGCAGCTGTGCACCTTGGGCTAGGAGGATGCTACGATGGGAACGGGAAACACGAGAAGAGACTTTGTAACACCCTCTCGAATTAAGCCTTTCCTCTTAACCGTCCTCCCTCCTGCAGCTAGTAGCATCTTGGTCTGAAACCTCGTCCCCTCCCTCCCGCGGTCCACCCTTTACACACTACCCGGCTCCCTGTGCAGTCCTGTCACACGGTTGATCTCTTACCACACCCTCACCACCCTTTGCCTCCCTGCCCCACCCCCACTTGCAGCTGCTGCTAGCGGTGGCGCTGGCTGCGGGAGTGTTCGTGGCGGTGCCGCGGGGAGTCACGGTGGGCTCCATCCAGGTGCGGTTGTGTCGGGATACTGCTACGTCAGGCGGCTTTGTCAGGGAAGCCTGGAGCCCCTCAGCCCCTGCTCCTCTACCCTTGCCCGCCGCCACCGGCCTGGCTGCCTCCCCATGCCATGCATGAGTCGGGATATGGGATTGGGACTCGTTGTTTCACTTATTTATTTTTTCCCCCATGCCACCCTTTCTTCCAGTCTTTTAGTGGTCTTCCTATGGCTACGGTGCTTCATCGCGGCTCAGTTGCTGGCCTGCCTAGCCGTCCATCCCCCTCCCTTGCCCGCTCCCCCGTGTCGCCGAATGCGCTCACTGCATGAGTCGGGATTCGGGATTGGGACTGCGTTGTTGCACTTATCTATAATTCCCCCCCCCTCGCCCCCCAGGTCCGCTCCAGCCGCATGTCCTTCAACACCTCCAAGTCCACCTACCAGATCATCCTCACGGCCACCATCCCCATTTTCAACCCAAACTACATGCCGGTGAGGCGGGGTGGAGGCCGGGTGAGGGTGTGGGTGGGTAAACCCCCTCCCTCCCTCCACCTCCACCTCCTCCATCCCTCCCTCCCCCCCTTCCCCCCCTTGTCATACAGCTCGTCAGTTGCTTCGTCAGTGTCTCATCATATATATTTTTTTTACCCCCTCCCCCCCTTCAGGTCCAGGTCAACGGCAGCCTCACCGTGTCCTTCTACGACCAGCAGGCCGGAGTCACCTCGCTGCAACCCGTGGACATTGCGGCACGGGCCTTCCCGCAGGTGGGGCCAACTTAGACCAGGTACTGAACCGTAGGAAACTACAGGGCAAGGTGGAGGAGGGGGCAGGGGAGAGGGGCGGGGTGAGGCCAGATGGGACGGCATGGATATACGTCCTCTGGGCCCACTCCAGCGCTTCACCTGCTGCAAACCCCTGCTTCATTCGTCCCGGTGCCGATCCACCCACCCACGCCAATACGGTTAGTTGGTTTCTTCCTCTTAACCCCACCCCCAGGTGATCACTGTTGACATGGACGCCAGCAGTGTGCCGCAGCAGTACCTATTCACCATCTACACGCAGTGCTTCACCTTCCCCGAGAGAATCATTTTCTTCCTAACAGGTGCGCGCGCGTGGCTTGTGTGCCTCCTGTGCCCCCTTTCCCCCCTTCCCCTATTCCCAAGCCTTGTCACACAGCTCGTTAGTTGCCTCGTCAGTTCCCTTATTTCTACCCCCCCTTCACAATTATATGCTAAGCCAACTGTCCAGCCTAATGCGAATTATGTATCCCTATTACCCCCCTTCGCCCTTCCTCCTTCCCGCCCCTTCCCAGGCAAGCTGCAGTCCACCTACTGGGGTTGGTGGACGTTCCAGCTGCCCGACATTGATAACTACTTTATCATCTCCTGTACCAACGAACCGGATCCAATTCCGGATCCACCCAGCCCCGCCCGCCCCGCCCGACCACCTCACCCGCCGGCGCTGCCGCAGCGGCCGCCCCGCCCTCCGCGGTTGCCAGCTGTAGGAGGGCAGGTGGACGCGGAGGGAGTTGGAGGTGTGGTGGAAGAGGGAGATGGGGAGGAGGGTGATAGGGGGGAGGGAGAACGGAAGGAGGAAGAGGAGGCGAGGGGGATGAGAGGTGGTGGGGTGGCGGCGACGGGGAAAGGAAGGGGAGCTGGGTTAGGGCAGGAGACGGAGCGGTAGGGGTAGGTTTGTCGTTACTGGTATTGGGGGTGGCGGAGGAGTTGACTTGGCTACCGTTGACGTTGTTCTGGAGGCGGGTTGGAGGTTGCAGGCGTTACAGAAGGTGGGGGCGAGGGGTTGGACTTGGGGTCGCCAGCTTGCGATGCCCGTTCTTGCATGCAAACGGCTGTAGCCGCTATAGCCGGTTGGTGAACGCTCCAGATGTCTAGAAGGGACCTTCATCCTCCTCAGCGCCATGGCCCCGCATTGCCGCCTCAGCCAGCTGACGGCTGACAGCAGGGCAAAACCGAACTCAACATGTGACCCAGCGGCAGCACCATGTGAGGTGATGTGAGGATGTGGATTGTCAGATGTGCTGCATGGTCAGATTGGTTACAGGCAGGAGGCATGGCCGGCATCTGCGTCAATGAATGAGAGCGAGGGATTGAGGGGGCATTTGCGGCAGTTTTGTTTCACAGCGGCAGCTTCGCTCTTCTTGTGTTAAGAGAACTGGCCGCGAGTCTTCTTGTGTTGTGTTGTGTTGTGTTTGGTTGGGTTGTGCGCGAGCGGTAGTAACTTGGGTGAGATGTATGTATTTCGCATTGGGCAGAAATGCCTGCTGGGGGGGATTTCCGAGGAGTTAGGAGGTTGCTGTTGTGTGGAGGCTCAATGCACACGGCTTGTGTTACAAGGGTTAATGGGCATGTGTAAGATTACGGCTAGCTGCTCTGGTGCGGTTGGTACGGAACAGAGGGGGTACACCCCCACAACCCTTCCTTCATCCCCGATACGGGATATGGGATTCGGGATATGGGGTTGAGACTCCAGTTGCTGCACTTCTCATCTATCTTTTCATCCCCCGGCAGCAGCCCACAGCCCTCAAGTGTCCTGTTGAGGGGTCAAGTCAGGTCCCTCCTGAGTCCTGAACTCCGCTGCAAGCCGGTGCGGAAGCCGATAGCTGGCGTGTTGCTTTACCGCAGCTATGCGTTAAACCGGCCATAAGTGGCAAGGAGAGTTGTCAGTAACGTCCAATCAGAAGGTGTGGTCCTGCGAAGCAAGTATGGCAACAAATGGTAGTCAACAACTGTACGGCAACAACTGATCGTCCTCACGGCATCGCAGCAGATATGTTCGCAAAGGTAGAGAGATAGATACATGTAACTCGTTTTGGGCGCCAACCCTCACATACGCGCAAAAAGTAAACATGCGCTTTAGCGGAGCATTGACATCGTCGACTGTCTGACCTTTGGACTTCCTTTGGGAATGTTGGAACAAGCGAGCCGACTTAGGTTACATAGTAGGTCAGATTGTAGCCAATTCCGATTACCTTCGCTGCCATGTCAGCCTTTGCTGCGGCGTCGGGCGACGACAGCATTCGGGCGCGACATCACCTGCGAGCCGCCCGGTGTGGCAAAGGCGGGCAGCATTAACTACAGCTCAAAGCATGTTGTCGTAAGCGAACCGAATCGCACAACGTCCCCTGCTGCCGGACTTAACGCGGAGCAAAGGGCTGCTGCGCTTACCGATGAGCAATACGTTCGCATCAAGGTGAAGCCTGAAGAAGTTACATGGCTTGTATTATTTACAGGCTGAGCAGCTTAACGTCTACTGCGCCCGCCCTTCTTCATCTTGTTCTGGTATCCGAGCGTTACCTACATCCATATCCTTGCGGGCTTTCCACCAAAGGAGCCACTCGCCCCACCGACCCCTTTGACCACGCATCAACGACCCCCTTTTCATCCTCCCTTATATCTATCTCATGCACACGAGTATCCCTTTTGCCCCTTCCGCCATCACCCACCTCTCACCTGCCCCTTACCCCTCCCTTAGCCCTTCCTTTGCCGTACCTCATCTCCTCTTTCACTCCCCCCCGTGACCTCAGGCGGGTCCCGGGAGCGGCAAAACCCGCACCATTGTGGCTCGCGCCCACCACCTCATCACACAACGGGGCGTCCTGCCCTCCGAAATCTTAGCAATCACATTCACGAACAAGGTACGGCAAAACCACAAGGCAACCGGGGCCATGCGACTAGGGTTCCATGTATGGCAGTTCGGCATAATCCACAGCGCGTGCGTGAGATGATAATGGCAGCGCATCTCTTAAACTTCTTAAACTTTTAACTACCGGTATAAGGGTGACACAACTGTCGATTGCGCAGGCAGCGAAGGAGCTCAAGGAAAGGCTTGCGGCTGCTCAGCCTGTTCCAAGGGTGGATAGCAGCAGCAGGGGAGGAAACCCCGCGGATGGAAGTGCCTCGATGGAAGCCCTCAAGGCGGGGGATGTGATGGCCGTGACGTTCCACGGCTTGGGAGCTAGGATCATGAGGTATGGGGTGCGAGAGGAGTGCGGCCTTCTGACCCGGGCGCGCGGCCGTGCACACTTCGGTGTGCATCGCGCGCTTATGCGAGCACGAGGCTGCGGCAAAGCGCGGGCGTCTCCGCAGGTTTCGACAAAGCCTGGGTTCGGTGGGCGGCTGTTTGCTTGAAACCACGTGTTTGCTCCCGACTGCAAACCGCTGCAGGCAGGTACTGCGACAGTTTCCCCAACCCGGCTTGGACGCCCGCTTCAAGATCCTGGATACCGGGCAGGTAGGGAACACAACGCAACACAACACAACATGCGAGGAGCACACCTTGCTACTGCCTCCCTGTCCTCCCACCTGCCTCATTGCTCACTGGGCAGCTAGGCTACACAAGCAACAAACGAACACCCTCATACTGCCCTTCTATTGCCCTGCTGCCTTACCCGCCTTGCTGCCTGCTGCTTGTGAGGTCGGTTTTCTGCTTTCCTGCGAAACCTCGCCCTTCTGCGCCCAACTCGCCAACCACTGTACCACCGCACAGAGTGAGAAGCTCATGGCACGTGCCGTAGCAGAAGTCGACCAACAACAGCAACGACCTCCTCTCACCGGCTCCGCCCTCTCCAAGCTCGCGTCCAAGCTTTCCGCCCTCACCCAAGCCGTGAACATGCACCTAACGGCGCGCGGGTATCATCGGGAGGAGCGCGCAGTTGTGATCGCGATGGAGAGCCGGCGGGACCTACCGGAGGAGAGGCAGAGAGTGCTGCCTTTCGTTCCTGACGTGCCAGAGCGGCCGGGGCGTGATGCCTCGGAAGGAGATAAGGCGATAGCGGCTCGGTGGCATGTGGAGCAAGTGCAAGAGTACTACGAGAAGTACCAGGAGTGGGTAATGGGACTGGGTGGGGGTGGCGAGTGTGCGTGTGGTGCGAGCTGGTTGATGTTTGTTGTGGGGTTGGCAAGGAAGGGGATTGGGAAGCGGTTGGGAAGCGGAGGTAAGGTAAGGAAAGGACCATGCCTTGCCAGACAAAAGACCAACCCATACCACATCATCCAAGAGAGCATGTGCACACGGGGGTACCATCTCCGAGACCCCACCCCACCGCGGCTTCACACCCCCGCCTCCGCATCCACCCCCAATCCTAGAATCCAGCCTAATGCGGGGTATGTATCCCCATGTATCCGCCCCCAATCCTAGAATCCAGCCTAATGCGGGGTATGTATCCCCATATATCCGCCCCCAATCCTAGAATCCAGCCAAATGCGGGGTATGTATCCCTATGCATGTATCCGCCCCCAGGCTGCTCCGGGAGCACAATGCGGTGGACTTCTCCGGCCTGCTGTGTGTGCCCGTGCGGCTGCTGGAGGGGGCGCACCCGCAACAGCAGCAGCAGCACCGGCAACAGCAGCAGCAGCAGCACTTGCAACAGCAGCAGCACCGGCAACAGCAGCAGCAGCAGCACTTGCAACAGCAGCAGCAGCACCCGCAACAGCAGCAGCAGCACTTGCAGCAGCAGCACCCGCAACAGCAGCAGCACTCGCAACTTCCCAGCCAACCCCAGCACCTGCATTTCCTCTACCCGCAGCATCTTCAATCCCCCTACCCACAGCACCTGCATTTCCTCTACCCGCAGCATCTACTATCCCTCTACCCGCAGCATCTGCATTTCCTCTACCCGCAGCACCTGCTATCCCTCTACCCGCAGCATCTACAACCCCAGCCGCAACCCCAGCCCCAGCCGCAACCCCAGCCCCAGCCGCAACCCGCCCCTCACCCCCGGGAGCAGTGGCAGGGCAGGTTCACATACATCCTGGTTGACGAGTTTCAGGTGCGTGTGTGGGACGGCCATGACGGCACAAATTAGCCGAGAGTAGAGCGAACGTAGATGCGTGTATGGGAGGGGAAGGCGGTGCCTCGGAGGTGTGAGGTGCGGGGCTGGGTTTCTCTTGCTACGGTCTCTCCCTGTTACCGTACCTAGCCTGCATGCCTGCCTGCCTGCGTGCCTGCCTGCCTGCCTGCCTGCCTGCGTGCCTGCGTGCCTGCGTGCCTGCGTGCCTGCGTGCCTGCGTGCCTGCGTGCCTGCGTGCCTGCGTGCCTGCATGCCTGGTTGGTTGACTACCCGTAGCGCTGCAGGCACCATCCTCCTGCAGCGCCCGCACGAACCCCGGCTCGCATTCTTGTTTCCCCGTCGCCTCGCCCCACCCCCACCCCCCACCCTATGGCTTCTATGGTATGGTATGTTCTTGACCCCCACCCTCCCACGCGCAGGACACCGACCCCGTGCAGTACAAGCTGGTGCAGCTGCTGCTGAGGTTCGACACGCACTTGTTTGTGGTGGGGGATCCTGATCAGGCAATCTACGGTTGGCGGGGGGCGGAGGTGCGTTGGGGTGGGGTGGGTGTGCGGTTGGGTGGGGTGCATGATGAAGAGGACGAGGGCAGGAAATGGATGAGTGGTAGAAATAAGGAAAAACTGACGAGGCAACCGACGAGGAAATGGAAAAGGGGGGGAGTGAACTCCATCATATCCAGCCACTGGGTGCCCTGTCGTGCCGCTGTGCCACTGCCCCATCACACTGCTGCCCTGCCCTGCCACTGCCCCATCACACTGCCCTGCCCTGCCCTGCCCTGCCCTGCCACCGCCGCAGGTCAGCAACATGAGCACCTACCTAGCGAACCACTTCAGGGGGCTGCAGACCTTCCACCTGCCCACAAACTACAGGTGAGAGGAACCGGCGGTGAGCGGCTCTTAAGCGGTGAGAGGAACCGGCGCTGGCGTTGGTGTACCCCAAGTAGGACGCAGGCAGGGCAATCCAAAGCAATGAATGTGAAATTGTGTGCATGTGTCATTAGTAGCTGAACTCATGCAGAATATGACATTACTGACCGGCGGGCGCTTTCGCGGCAGAATGTACTTCGCACGGTAACAGCTATGAAACACCCTCACCTCGCTTCTCTTCTCTTCTTCCGTTCCCTTGCTTCCTTCCAGATCCCTCCCGCCCATCGTCAAGGCCGCTGACGCGGTCATTTGCGCCGGGGGGCAACCGGCGCTGTATCAGCCGGCCATCCCCGCGCGCAGTGACCCACGGGTCGGCGACGCAACCATCCAAATAGACAGCTATGACGACTCAGACGAGGAGGCGGAAGCGCTTGCAATGCAAATCAAGAACTGGATGCGGGAGGACAAGGCACGCGGGGGAGAGCAGCCGAAGCTTCGGTTGTCCCAGGTCGGTTACCGGTAATCGGTTAGTTGGCTGGCTGCATGATTGGTTAACGGTAGTTGATGTCATGCCGCAACATACCGGTGTATCCGTACTACCGTACATATCCAGGGTGCCGTGATGCCACCCATAATTCACAATCGTCGTATATATGCCTACATGTGCATTTGAATTTGACGGATAGGATGGATGGCGTAACCATGTATCATTGCAGCCCATCATTCCAACCACCACTGCGGTTAATATACACTCATGTGTACGACACCTACGACACCTACCATGCAGATTGCCGTACTGTACCGCACCCGAGACATGTCCCGACCGGTTGAAGAGGCACTGACACGGGCGAAAGTGCCGTTCCGGGTAATCGGAGGCATGCCCTTCTGGGAATACAAGGTGGGTCTGTTTGGGACTCCTGGGGCGTACGTTGACGTTGTTAACGTTCGAATTTGAAGAAACGCAAACACTGTTTGTTAAGAAATATGCGGTAGTATTGGTGCTATTGTACAATCGTTGCCTTTTGGTTGCGGCTCATGGTAATCGACCCTCGACCCGCGACGACTAGAGCACTGTTTTCGCACCGTTCTCGCACTGTTTACCCCTGCACCTACATCACCCGGGCTACGGTTTCCGCTACCCAACCCCGTGCTACCGGTGCAGGAAATCCGAGACGTGGTGGCGTACCTGCATGTGCTGTTGGATCCGACCCGCAGCGACGTCTTCCTGGAGCGGATCATCAACGAGCCCAAGCGGAGCATTGGTGAGGGGTTGGGAACTTGTAACAGCGTGGGAAGAAGAGGGCGGAGGTCAATGCTGCTGCTGTCTCATTTACCAGTAGCTGTACGAGCGCCCCTGCTGTTGTGGGGTGCATCCATATATACTCGTGGCATCCGCCGACTCGAGTAGTCTGGTTTTGCCGGTGGGCGGCGCTTACCGATCTTATGTGTCCGTCATCCATCATCACCCTTGCCGTACTGCTGTCCTCCCCAACACGTGGGAAATCCGCATCCCATGCGTTCATGCTCACACCTCACCTCACCTCGCCTCGCCTCGGCTCTCCTACACACCGTACGTGCAGGTGGCAAGTTGCTGGATTCCTTGCGCAGCGCCGCCAGGGCAGCCGGCACCACCCTGGGTGCGCTGCTGCTTGGGGACTGCTGCTCGGAGGTGGCGGAGGTGGCGGAGGGGGCGGAGGGGGCTCCAGGTGTGGTGGGAGAACGGGAGAAGGGGCCAGCAACGTGCACTGACGACCAGTACGGGTATCTTGCTGGCATTCTGCCGTATGCGCCTGACAAACCTTACGCGTGGCTTTAACTTCTAGTTGGGCAGACGCGCGCGTGGCGAAGGTGTGTGCGTATCCGTGTAGATACGGTGCCGTCGGAACCCATTCCATGACATTTCTGATCGCCCGTCCTGCGTTCCACTTCGTCCTGAATCCAGCCATGTAGCCGCGTGCAACCTACTGCTCTCTCCCTCCCTGTGGCCCACCTCCTGCCCACGTATCCCCTGCCCCTCCCGACGGCCCCCCACTACGTCGCACCACACCAGAAATCACCCCAGGGCACCCCCTGAGCACCGTCAAGATGACCAAGGCAGCCAAACAGAACATCCAGGTACCGATACGGCATGTCGTACAAACAAGCATGCAGTTGCCTGTTGGCCGGGGTTCGTGTGGCATCATCAAGCATTATGCGCCCTCCTATGGTGCTTGTGCTTGCGCTGTGTTTCATTGCGACATACAGCTCGTCTTTAATCCTACAATGCCGGCTTTTCCTAACCTGGTGCCTAATTAGGCGTTCCGCGGGCTGATCTGGTACCTGCGCCGGCGAGCCGTACGACTCACTTCCGTACATGTACTTCTGGACGAGCTGCTGCGGCGGTCGGGGTATGCGGACATGTTGGAGAGCCAGCGGCAGCGGCTGGAGGAGAAGGGAGGAGGAGGGCAGGGGAAGGGACGGAAGGCTGCCGCCAGCGGGGACCCCGCAGAAGGTAAGGAAGGATGGATGGAGGAGGCCCTGGGTGTGGCAGCTGTGTGTCAGTGTCATAACTCATAAGGCTAGTACGCAAGCCTTTCCCTGGTGTTTCCCTGGTGTTTCCCTGGTGTTTCCCTGGTGTTTCCCTGGTGTGCCGTTATGTTACTCCGTCTAGTGTAACTTTACTTCGCATTTTCTGCCGTTGCCGCTGTTCTCATGCTGCTGCACCCTACCGCCGCCTCCCGCCTCCTGATGCCACGCCCCCCCCCAGAGACGTACGAATGCCAGGAGCGGCTGCGTACCCTGATGGAGCTTGCTGGCGACCCGGAGTCGTGGGTTGCTGACGCATACTTGCCGGACACTGAGCAGGAGGGAACGATGGCGGAGAGGGGGCTACAGGCGCGCCTGCGTGCGGAGGGGCAGGGTCTTGCGGGGCTGCAGCGTTTCCTGGAGCATGCGGCGCTGGTGACCGGGGTGGATGTGGTGAGGAGGGCGGAGGGCAGGGGAAGGATGAGGGGGTGGGGGAAGAGGTGGGACAAGGCTGGACGTGGTGGTGGGGTGTGAGCGAGGATGAAACCCAAGTTGCTTGGTGGGTCGCGCTTGCAGGGTTGCATTGTTTTAGGGCGATTGCGGGGCGGTTTGCGGTTGTCGTGTGCCTAACCCTGTCCTGTCCTATCTCTTTTATGAGAAACCCCATCTCGGCGTGTTCATGCTCTCGTGCTAAGATGGCGTGCTGCTGCTAGCTGCTGCTACTACTACTACCGGTATGCGCCGCACCGTGTATGCATGCATGCATGCATGCTGCTAGCCTACCCGCCGTCGACTCGTAACCCTTCGCGACGTGACGTGACGCACCGTGCCCCTGGCACCGTGGCCTGCTTTGGCTGCTGCCGCTCCGTGCAGGACGGCGGGCAGCAGCAGCAGCAGGATGGGGGTGGCCGTGAGGCGGAAGCCGTACAGCTGATGACACTGCATGCGTCCAAGGGGCTGGAGTTTCAGCGCGTCTTTATCATTGGCGTGGAGGTGAGGTTGGTTAGCTGCAGCAGAGCTCTACGATGGGTGGGAAGGGACGAGGGGTGGCGTTGAGCGAGAGGAGGGAAGGGGTTTGGGGGTTGGGGAAGGGTATGAATTTGACATGCGCAAGTGTTTGTACCGAATAGTCCAACGGCCCGGTGCGTTATCCCGCCCTCCCACTGCCTCCAGCGCCTCCATACCGGTATCTGCCTATCGGTACATCACGCATCTGCTAAACCCTGTTTTGCTTGGTTGCTGTCTTCACACCACCACACCGCCCTTCCGGGAAATCCTCGAAAATTCTCGAAAAGCATCCCTTCGTCGCCCTCCACCTCAGGAGGACATCCTGCCCAACAGCCGCAATGAGGACCAGGCGGAGGAGCGGCGGTTGTTCTACGTGGGCATAACGCGGGCGAAAGACCAGCTGCTACTGTCGGAGTGCAAGGTGGGTTACCCGTTGTCTGCGTTGATCGGTGATGTAGCATTATGAAAGCAGCACGGTAGCATGTGGGCGCGCAGGTAATGATAACCATCGGTAAGGTATGAACACCGGTATTTACAAAATGAATCACGGTTTATGTTCAATTGATTGACACCTGTCCAAAGCCGGCGCGGATGCGGTGTGTTGGGACTATATGGTCGACTGGGTAGCATACTTAGGCCTCATTTCCTTGTTACCTTCAATCCCTGCACTTGCAGCGGCGATTTCGCTACGGAGAGTGGAAGCGCAATACGCCCTCATCCTTCCTCCGGCCCCTGTACCCATTTCTGAGGCGCTAAGAATATATATGGGGCAATACTTATGAACGCAGAAACGCAGGGAACAAGTCATTGTCGGGCGCCGCCGTATGTACGACGGTTGATGAGTCATGCCGATGGACCGCAACAGCAGTACTGCAGCAGTCGTTCGTACCGCGCCAGTGTTAGTCCAGTTATGGTTGCTGGTCAAGTAACTGGACTGTGAGAGGGGGGAAATAAGAAGAAGTCCTAACGTGTGAGAGGGGAGGGGAGGTGGGGCAGCAATTACCCTGTCATCAGCGTTCATCTGCTGACGGTGGCGGTCACGGAAAGGGATGGGGGCTGGAGCTTGTAGACTAGCAGGAGCTGTCAAGGAAGGAGGCAACGGTTGTACGGCGGGATGTTGAGGAGTATGAGTAAGAGTTAGCAGGATACGAATGATCGACACGGTGAGGTAGACCCTAACTCGCCGAGCAAGACTTATGCTGCCTTTCAAGTGTATACCGACCTGCCGGTATGTGTGCCTAAGCCGCTGGGGGTCGGAAGCAAAGAAACGTTACAGCATTTGGTACGTTGGGGGGTCTGGAGGTATCCGGAGAACCTGTCTCAACTGGACATGGCTGTTTAGTTATTAACGCGAAGCATGAAACTGTCGGCCGTTAGTTTCCTCGCAACACAAGGAAGCTCTCGATAGTTCCAGTTTGTTGGCGGAATTCAGATTGTAGTACTGTGGGAAGGGGTGGTTGGCTACAGCTGTAGACAACGCACGCCAGCGAGGGCGCCAGTGGGTTGGCCGTGGGCAAGCCACGGCAGCCATTCAAACAAATTTCGCGGCGCCGCTGCAACGCACCGCGCTTTGCATCAGTGTAAGCCCCACAGAAGCTTGTACGACAATATATACGAACCACCATCGGTTCACGTCCAGACAAACCTCCAGCACCTCGCTGAACCGGCTGCGTTTTGGGATCGGACATAGTGTGTTGCCGGGCTCGACTACAATGTTCGGTCCTAAGAAAACACATGCTCTGAGGAGGACCAGTGACAGGGTAGGGAACAGCAATGTCGGCCGGGCCAGTGCACGCGACGTCTGGAAGTTTTTGAAGCTGTTACCTACTAGCTGGTGAGTATCACAGATTTGACTTTCGGGAAGGGAAGTAGGACCGCGCCTCAGCAACTAGGCGAGGCTCGTTGCTGAGGCGCGGTCCTGCCCGATGCACTAGGTTGACCGTCCAGCACCTGACAGATGTTTTTTTCGTATATAAGAACCTGAGTTGCATGACTGTTTGGTGGAGATATTACAAGAGTTACTTTGCCACGTGTTGGCACACGGACGCGTACTTGAGTAAGGCAAAGTTAAAATCTAAGTACCCATAAGTTTAATTCATAAATTATTGCCGCTGTGCCGCTTAAGCACATCATCATTGGCCGGCAATGGCTGACCAACATGTCTTGCCCATTACAAGCCTACCCGTACTGGCAGCCACATGATTGTATCTGCCCAAAGGCCGACGACGTGAACGGTGACGTGAACAGTGAATTGCAGTGAGTGACATTAATATGTTGGGACGCCAGTGCTACCTCTGTCGAGCTGCTGACCCTGTCCATCGACCCTGTGGAGTTACCCACCGAATACAGCGCCTGCACGTCAAACTAAACAGAACATCGCAACTTAAACGTTCCTATGGATGTTCTCGGCTGCGCGGCGAGCTCTTGTTCGAGCAGTAGCAGGGGACATGCAGCGCACGTGATGCATATGAAACGCCAATGCCTGGGATGACAGCCGAAGACGGTCAGTTGCATTCACTGACTTTCTTTTCTGGCGTCGCTGCTGCTATGCGTACTTCATATCCTGTCGAAAGAGTGTCCACAGCTGTACGGATGACGAACAGCGAAACAGCGACAGGACGAATGCTGTCCAGACCAGAAGGCGATTCTCTGGCGTATGCAATTAGCGAAGGCCATACGTCAAGGGTGTTACCTTTCGGCGTCTGGGCTTTAGCACTTTTACCTCACTGCAAGTTCGCCTTGCCTACAACTGTTCCCATTAGTACCTAATACTGCTGTCCTATCTTGTTAATGAGTTAACGGCAGCCCAAGATGCGCAGTTAGCTTGCTTGCTCAGTTGGCGAACACTTATTGAATACAGCTGTTTACCGTCTTAGATCATAGTAAGGGAACCGGTGCCTAGTGTTGCAGCCATAGTGGTAGCCTGCAAAGAACTGAAGCAAGGCGATGGCGTAGAGGGCAGGCCAGCGCGAAGCCGCTGTGATGCAGCTTCGCAAAATGAAACAGTTAAATTGGAGCTTTTTATGGATGGTAGTCGCCGCTTTGAGCGCTGCTCACCTGGGGCGAGCGACTAACCCATGGAATCAGCCCTTCGTCTCAAGCGGGCTTCCCAACGACACCTACTGCATGGAAAGCGAGCTCATTGGCAATACATGGTTAGTCCGTCCTCGTCACTTTGAGTGAGGACGTTCGCCAACTCCATGTTCCCTACCCGATACTTACTTGTTATTTGCCCCGGGCATAGCGGGACTTTATTGCCCAATCTCACGTTCTGCTTGTTGGCTCAATTACAAGATGTATAGCAATAAAGCTGAAATAGCCTTATGTATCCGGTTACTTATCGGCTGCGCTTAACTGCCCCGGCTAACCACCACCAACACCTTGAAATCCTGTGATCATGACCAGCGAACATGTTTTCAGCATCCTTGCATCTCTATCTGGTACGCACAAGGGTGTCGGATATTTCCGATACGCCATAGCACCTCTCCTCCGTCCTCACACGCCAGCCTACACGTGAAACTAATACCGAGTGCAGCATCATAGCAATTCGGCTTGCACTCTCTGACTTCCGGTTGCCATTCCTTAACGCGCGCCGCACCTGTGATGCACTTGCAGGTGTGACAGTGCGGTGGGAGCTAACGCGTCGGCGGTGGCGGTGGGAGCGGCGCCCAACTGGGCCGGGATGGACCCATGGGTCCGTGTCATCAGAGCTCATGCGCTGTGCGAGAGAGGGGTCGTCCTGAACGTAAGGATTTTGGCTGTCTACTCGAAACGCTGCTCTGCTGTAGTGCAAGCTGTGCAACATAACGGGGTTATGTTACGTAAGTGTCCCTTCCGGCAAGCATTCCCAGCTGGCTATGCATACATGCCAAGTGTTGCTTATCTTAGCAGATAAGCCACAGTCACAGTAACGAGGAGGATTGCATGGCTAGTCTCCTGGCTGTGTCCTATTGAGCCATCGGCGACCGACCCTTCCTGCAGGGGCCAAATGCGCAAATGGCTGCCAGCGGAAGGTTCCTGGAGAACAACTCTCTGCACGTTTTCTCTAAGCTGCTCGGCAGCTACAGCAACGCAACGGGCCTGGCGTTCAACCTTTCCGCCATCACAGCCCTGCAGGTACGCATTATTGAGGGAGCTACAGTCGGGTATGGCTGTAGATCAAGTTTAGGCCTCCTGGCTGCGAAGTTACCGGTAGCAGTACTTGGTTACCCGATCATCTACCTCTAGCTTGGCGCTGCATTCCATCGCCATGGTGGCCTAGCAGACCCGTAGCAGACACCACGGATCTGATGAACCGTGCTACGTGCTTTAGTCAGCGCCTGACCCTGGCGCCGCAAAACCGCATGTGAAGGATCGTCGCTTCCAATGGTGAAAGTGGTACTAAAAGGCTCGTGTCCTTCAACCTCTTGTTGCAGTACAACTCAATCAGGAACCGGATCGCGGAAGCTCTTCCGACAAACGGGGACCCGGGCCCCTTGGATTTCTGGATGGTGTCTTCAGACGTTTTGGGTATGACCGATGCCCGGGAAGCCCTCCTCGACCTCCAAGCGCTCTTGAAAGAAGATTCAAACTTCCAGATGGCAGACATTCCGGTGGCTTGGAGGTAAGAGTGGAAAGGACCGGCGGGCACTTGGCCAGCTGCGAGGCCAACTGCAAAAGCCTCTTACAGATGTTCTGATACCATCACGCGATCACGGATGTTGTGGTCCCCCATGCACGCATGATGGGCGCCGCGTAAAAGGAGGTCTTGAGGGGCACGCAGTGCTCGCTGTCTTGTGCAACATCTCCTGTCGTACCCTTCGTACTGCAGAAGTGCCATGACGCCGTACAACGCTGATAGCTACGTTGTCCCGGTGGCGCTGCTGCCAAACCACCTCTTCTACCGAGCTGACATCTTTTCCAATTACGACATTGCCGTACCGAACACGTGGGATGACGTCATCTCTCTCGCGGCCAAGTATCATGGGCAGGACATGGATGGCGACGGCCAGTCGGAGATCGGCGTGTGCGTGGATGCCACGTCCAGTGAGTCGCTCTGTTGGGGCCTAGCTACTTGCACTGTCGTCAGCTGCCATGGCTTGTTTCGGACTCCCTACGTACTGCCTCCAATACAGCCTTGGCCGATTTCAGGACTATTACTGACATATACCAGCGCATGTGGCCACGCACTAATAGAGCTAAACCAATTGTACAGCATGGGCCGGGATCCAATTTATGGTTGTTGCAAACCCTTGTGCACCTTATGCTTGCCCTGCATTGCTTTCCCTTCCTTCACTGCCGCCTCAGCATGCGGAATGTACGGCAGCGTGGTTCGACTGATCCTTGCCAGCATGCTCCAGCTTCGCGGCCCCTCGCATGGAATCGCCTTTGATCCGGACGACATGAGCTTGCTGCTGGTCGAGGGAGGGGTTTTGGCTGAGGCCCTGCGCATCTTTCAAGAGCTTCTGAAGTACGGCTTTCCGGATTCAACGCCGTGCTATGAGTTTTATTTCACGTATTTTGCTCAAGGGCGATGCTTGATCACCATCGGCCTGCCGCTGGCTTTCAAGGTAGGAGGGCGGTGGCTGGTGGGGTCATGAATGAAACCTGCGCCTTTAGTTGGCCCCTCGCTCCCTTCGGTTTCAGTTGATGGCCGGGTTACCTACACCCATTACCCTCTTACCTGCCTTGAATGGCAATCTGATCCTGACGTCCTTACAGGTTGGCAGCCACTACTCCATTGGAAGCCCAATGCTGGGTAACCTTCGAACTGCCTCGTTGCCTGGCTCAGCACGTGTCCTGGACCGCGCTACCGGCCGTCTGACGTCATGCACACGGGAGCTGTGCCCGTACGGACAAAGCGTTGCGATTCCGAATTCGGGAGACTCGGTAGGGTGAAGGGAGCTGGATCATGGCTTTTTTGTTGGTATTGGATGGTCCGGGGTGTCAGCAAAGTGACGAGCTGACTTTCTCAAATTCCAATGAGCGCTGTGCACTGCATCTTCCTTTTAGGGAACCGTTGTAAAGGTCATTCATTCATTCATTGTTGGGTTGCTTGCAGGTAATCGTCAACAAGGTGGTCTCCTTCGACAGCGTTGGATTTGTTATCAACAAGTATTCCCCCTTCTACAGACAGGCAGCAGCCTACAGAATGCTGACAGCTGTGTTTGGTCCCTCTGGCAGCAAGGAGTTCGTGCTTGGTTTCACAGGTGCGCGTTGGGATTAGGCCCGGTTCATGCCCTTCTAGCTTAAACCCTTATGAACTTTCCAGGCGGTTGGTAACTGAAAGGTCGATCGCGCCTGCACCGCAGAGGGCGGCCCGACGCGCTACTCGCATCTTAATGCGCAAGACTGGATAGACGTTGGCTATGAGCAAAGCAACACGCGGATTTACTTGGCAGAGGTATGTCTGTCTAACAAGCAAGGTGGTCAAATCCTTGCTTGAAGAACACGTTGCCTGCTCGTTCTTATTTCACACGGAAGAAGAACGATACGAACTGCAATTGCGTTGCACTTTGGAGCAATGCTTAGGTGTTACGCCCCGTTCGGCTCCATCAGTAACTGCACAACGGTCTCCGTTATAACCGCCGTGCAGTATCAACGTTTGCTTGTGGACACCCAGAAATTCATCGAATGGCGTTTTCTATACAACCTACAAATACAGTAAGCCTTGTGCGTAGCATACACACTTAGATTCTTGGCATCGCGTCTACCGTGCATGGGCTACAGGACGTCAGTTTGCCCGGCTGCTGTGCATGCTTGCTGAACGGCTCACGCCCGTCTAAGTGCCTAAGCCTAAGTGTCATTGCTATGTCAATAGCCGGCTTCATGCGTACGTTACTACTTGCCTGCCCAATAATGCACGCAGGGACCTCCTGTCCCAGTTGGTGCGCTCCGTTGTGTGGAACGGCGTTCCCATCAGCGCTGCACAGGGCACCTTCTCTGCGGGTGTTTCTGGCCTGGTTGAGGAGGCTGGCGGCCCGGCGGCATTCCAGTCCGCCTACCGTGCATCCCTTGGCTTGTCGGACATCCTATCACCATGGGTGGTGAGCGCTTGGGTTTGACTGCAGGCAGCTGTAGTTCAATGCAGGCGTCGAACTAGAATTGCGACGCCACGGACCCCTACCCTCGGTTAGCAGCTGTCTGTACGCGCAAGTTAACTCGGGCTAACCCATCCGACGCAGGAGAGCGCTGTCCAGTCGTCCGGCAGGAGCATGGGAAACAATCTCCTGGTGGCTAGCGTGCTGCCCACAGCGAGCATCATAGTGCTCTTCATCGTCTACATTGCTCTGCGGACCCACTCGCGTGCTATGTCCAAGGTACTGCAACGGCATCGGAGCGCCCCCGGACCTGGAGAGGTTGTGCTGTGCGTCACGGATATCCAGGTAGGCAAGCAGGCTGGGGCAAGAGCGGGAAGAGAGGATGGAAAAGAGGACGGATGAGCCGTTTGGACGGTGTCACGGTGTGTAATGCAGCCCCCAAACCCCCTCAGCCACCAAACCTCCCAGCTAACATGCTGGTCGCGTGTCAACGAAGCTGGCCGCTGGTCTCCTTGTGCGCGGTGTATGGCTGCAGGACGTTCTGCCAAGTAACGTTCGTACTGTGCCTTCCGCCGTACACCGCACACCCTTTCCCGTGCCGGCAGGAATCCACGACGCTTTGGGAGACGCTGCCTGCCGACGTGTGTCAGGCAGCCATGCAGCTGCACCACCACACCATCCGCGCCTTCGCCCTGCAGTACCGGGGCTATGAGAGCGCCACGGAGGGGGACTCCTTCATCCTGGCCTTCCACACCGCGGCAGACTGCACACGATTTGCGCTGCGAACCCAGGTGAGCGGTTGATGGTTGGCTGGGACGTACGGGGTTGCTTACGGTGGGCTGTAATAACGCGTAATAGGTGCTTCATATTGGCGTGAAAATCCACTAAGAGTGCTTTGGTTAGGAAGTATCCATGCTGAATTGCTTGCGTCCTTTAGAGGCATGCACCCGCTTGGCTACATCTAACCAACTACCCCCCGGCACGGCGGGTCATGTGCTCTCTGCAGGAGGCACTCCTGAACCTGGACTGGCCCCCTGAGCTTCTGGAGAATCACCTTGCATCCAGCCAGTGTGTGCGCTTGGACGCTTCAGCACTGCCCACCTGGGCTCGTGACGCCTGCGGACCAACCATTCGTGCGCTGCTGCGAACCACCAAGCGCACCACGACACCATCTCAGCAGCAGCTGTTACACCCGCCGCAGACACAGTCACAGGTGCAGCCGCAGCTGCAGTTGCAGTCATCGTGCCCTGTTCGGTTTGCAGGGATGTATTCTTCACCTTGCTTTGTAATGTGTTACCAAACTGGTCGCGAGTGTGTGTTCGCTACCCTGTTCAATGCTTCAAGCATGCATTTGTAGCACTCCCTACACAGCTTGTGCAACGCGGACCTGCGGATTCTTCTGCCTCATACCAGTCACATAAGCAGCAACCCAAGAGGTTTATTCATGTACCTCTTGCATGCTCTTGAGCACATGCTATACCATGCTATCCGTACGTGCTACCGATACCAGCCCACGCTTCCTGCATTCTACCGTCTACCTACCCGCAGAGAAGCCGTCCAGTCAGTACTGAGGGTTACCGGCAGCACAGTGCCGCTACGGCGGCTGCAGCAGGCATCCCGGGAGCCTCGGATGGCGCTGCCTGTGCTGCTGCCGTCAGGATGTTGTCGCCGCTAAACGTCGATGCTGCTGCAGCGGCGGCTTCGGTGCTCATTGGGAAGCCGGCGGGCTCGACATGTGGAAGCACAGCAGCGGCAGCGACGACGGGGACTGCAGAAGAGGGCATCGACATGCATCGGCAAGTTCCATCTGCACCTCAGGTTGCGGTGGCAGCAGCGACAGCAGGAAGTCACTGTGGTACGGGCCGAATGCTGCCGACACATGACGCTCTTGCGTGCCATAGCGTGTCGTCCAATGACACATCCTGGCTTTGGACGGATTCTGACAGGACGGGGCACACCGGCCAGCCGCAAGGCGCGGGAGCGCAGTGCATCAGCAGCCAATTGGATGACCCGGCAGTGAGGGTGGAGCACCTGGTGTTTGGAAGGCTGCTTGGGTTGGTGTTTCCCACAGGGTCATCGCTCACGCAGGGCAGTGCTCCGGGTACGCGAGCATCGGCGACGTCAGCCGAGGTGCCTATGTTCAGGCAAGCAGGCGAATACTTACACGCTAGTATGTAGTTGTCATTGGCCAATGGAGCACCGTCGGTTATGCCACTTAGTCAGCCATACGCTGTGTAAGGTTTCGTAGCCTTGCCTTGAGACGCCTTTGGTACAATTCATACGGTACTACTCAGTAATTGGCGCATGGGACAAGGGGCATACGATTCCTGTACCGCTCTGCTCACAGCCATCTATGGTGCAAACCATCCTGCCTTATTGGTCGTGAAATATACTTCGAAATGCCGTGGCCCTTGTTTCATTTTGCCTTTACGTTGCTCCCCGTGTTCCCCTACCCTTCCATACCGTGCTTTCATTGCACATATGATCCCCTGCCCTCCTGACCTGGCCCTGCTGCCGACACGCGTGCATGCAGAGGCCTCCGCGTTCGCATCGGTTTCCACCGCGGCCTCCTGAGCTCCTCTGAGGTGCTCTTCAACCGAGCCAGCCAGCGCACCGTCTATTCGGGCCCGGTCCTCCAGCTGGCAAAGGCGGTCAGCGATGCTGGCCGCGGCGGCCACATCATGCTGTCCACATCCGCACTCGCCGCCCTGGACTTTGTACTGCTGCACCGGGAGGCCGGTGTCGTACTGCATGCTGGCAGGCACGTGCTCAACAGCAACGGGGATAGCGAGCTGGAGCTGTATAGCTTGTTTAGCCAGTCACTGATCGCACGAGTGGCGTACTTGGACGCACCAAGATCACTGCTGGAGAAGGTGTGCATGGGGCTTATCGCGGGTGGAGTGCGCTGTTCCAGAACGGAGGCCTCTGGGGATTCGTGGCATCTGGGGAGTGCGGCCGCACACGTAGACGTCCGCATGGCTGCATGCGCGCGCGGCGAGGGCAATGCTTGCTGCATGTGCTCTGTTCCCGGTATTACGGTGTATCTAGACGTATCTATGCTTCAACCGCAAGTCCAACACGGTAGGGGACCCCAGCGTACGGCCCCGCGAGCTCTGCAAACGGCTCGGCTCTTCCTGCTGTGCCTGTGGCTGTGTGCAGGCTCCTGGCGTGTTGTCAGCGCCGCTGGGCTGCCTGGCCGTCGCAGTGGTCCAGGTGGACGAGGTGGCGAGCTGGGGCTTGGAGGCGGCCGCGGCGTTCCACAGTGCCACACGTGCACATGCGCAACAGCTTGTCAATCAGTTCCGCGGCTACCTGGTAAGACGGGGTGAACGGTATGTACCCCTGCTGAGTGGCCGTCTTATGCTGAGTGGCTCGTGCGTGACGGGAGATTGAATTACAAGTGGCAGTGCATATCGTTTACAGTGTAGTCTTGGCTTTTGCTGTGCTGCTTCAAGACGTTCGGCTGCGTCGATTTAGGTGCGACGTTTCACCTCTCTTTCAGGCCTTGCTTTGCCCTGAGATGCAACCCGCATCCCTGCCTCTCTTCACCCCCTGCTGCTGCTCCTCCTGCTCATCGTCTTCACTCAGCTGCTGACTGGAGCTGGAGCGCTGCAAGCGGTGTTTCCGGACGCAGGCGACGCAGTCAGGCAAGGACACGTCGGGGACGGCTGCACAATCTTGCAAACCGGCAAAATGAACCATAAGGTTAACCTGCGCAGTGAACCCCTGGTGAACCCTGGGTGGCGACGCGCACCACTGTCTCTTCCTTACAGCAGCTTCTAATAATGCTTCCGAAAGTTCAACCTGCACGGTGCCTACATAGGCTACGCGTGTATGCACCTCCTTGACAACTGGACGTAGCTGATAAGATGCATACGAGTGTCTTGATTGGGGCTTTACTGGTTTGCCTCGCTGCTACATACACGCTGCTCGTACAGATGGTTGCTGACGCTGCAAGAGGACCTTCGGGATGGCAACACCGGCGTCAGCGCAACACGCGGTACAATGTCTGGTATCCTAAACGACCAGGAAGGCCAGGATCTGGTAAGAAGGTTTCCCACCTTCGTTGTACTACAGCGGATTGTTTCGGCGTTGTGATTGTAAAGCGGTTTCTCTTTAATGGTTGACAAGCTGAATTACGTATTCAGGCAAAGCCCAAGAGTCCCCTGCCAATAGTGGCCCCTCCGCCGGGTCCTGCGTCATGGCTCGATGTCAAATGTCATCCATGACTTAAGCTTGACCTGCCCCCTTTCATTGCGGCATCTATCCACGCAACAGTGCTCCCCGTTCAAGACCCAGCCGCATATCGCTCCCGCGCTCCGAGGCGGTGTGGACGTCGGTCCCCTACAGGTGAGGCCCAAGAGGAGACTGAATGGATGGCCGTTAGAGTTATCCCGAACCCGGGGCTGCTTGCCAACCGCCGACCAAACGCATGAACTAGTAACCAGCTGCTTTGCTCCTTGCTAGAACGTTGTCTGCTGTTAGCTGCCCCCTTTTGCTGCCACTTTTGTTCGGAAACCTTACCAGGGCATGCCTTTCCGCCGCACCTCACGTGCATGCATGCAGGCGGGGATTACGGTGGACGGGCGGATGGCTTACGAGGGTCCGGCCTGCAAGCGGGCCAGCTGCCTGGCGGCGCATGCTCCCTGGCAGGCGGTACTGGTTAGCATGGCTGTGGCGAAGGCGGTCCTAGGGGAGGTGAGGTTTGGCTTGGAGGGTGTGGCGCTTGGTGTTCAGTACCCTTAACATCACCGGTATGTTCAACTTGCAAAGTGCAGCGGTTAGTTCAGCCTTGGCGTCAGCCGCTAGCCGGCATGCTCTGTTAAAGACCATGACGTCGTGAAGTGCATGGTGTGCCCTCTGAGGTTATTGATACTGCCGTCAGTATGGCTTTTTACCTGACAAGGCATCTGGTCCGTTGTTGTCACCATGCATGGCTGTAGGGAAGCGCTCACTTCGCTGCGCTGAAGATTGCGGCATCGCAGCTCGCACCCAGCCTCAGCAGCGTTGCTATGGAGAGGATCATCCAGTCAGCCAAGGCCACCGCAGTTGCGTCACAGCTGGCCAGCGCAAAAGACGCACCCTCGTCCCTTTCCCGCCATCGCCGGCATCTTGGGCTCGCCGCACTTTTGAAGCCCGCGACCGAGCGGAGCATGGAAGCTTCGACACGTCAAGCTTCCGGTAGTCGTCTGTCAAGTCCTTCTGCAAGCCGTTCTCCGAGCCTTCGTGGGGATGTAAGTTCTTCTGCTACAGATGCTCCAGAGGGCATGCTGGTTCGTAAAACGCCACCTGACACCAGTTTTCGCCGAGGGATGCATGGGCTCCTGCTGCCGCAGCAGCCAGACGCTGCGTCGCTGTTACTCGGCTCACGCAGCCGCTCCATGACGGCTGCCATCCCACGGGCCCACGGGTCGCTACGCTCGTTCGATCCCAGCGCCTACGCTGGTGCAGTTGGACGACGAAAAGCCTCCTACCATGGCAGCGCGGCGACTTCTGCCGGCCATGCCGCCATATCACTCGTCCACGACCGGGACGTTTCGGCTTCCAGCAAGAAACGCCTGAAAGCCGCTCTACGAGTGCGCAGCCGCGTTGTATCAGGAAAGGAATTGTTTGGGGCGCGGTCTGAGTTCGACACCGCCCTAGCTCAACAAGAGCATCGGGAGCTTGCCCCTAACAGCATGGGGCTTCCACGGTTGCTGCTGGGCACTGCTGCCAGCACTGCTGCTGCTGCTGGCGGTGCCTCTCCCCGGATCCGAATGGTGCTCAACGGCCTACGCATGAGCGCTATGGGGGCTAGTAACGAGGAGTGTGAGTCGCCAGCAGCAGCAGGCGATGTGAGGGAAGCGAGTAGCTGCAGGCTGGTGGGCCTTGCGGCCAGCGGAGCACGCCCACTCACCGACGGAGCTTTGAATCGAACTCGGGGCAGGCTGGCGGCACCAGCAGCAGCAGCAGCAGTGGCTGAGGCAGCAGCAGCTGCGGTGCCGGTTGGAGGGGGAGGAGCAATGGCGTCGGCAACACAGGCTATGCCGACACATGCAGGAGCTGCTGCTGTGCAGCATGCCGCTCACAGCAGACGTTCCGGGATATCAGCAGTGGCTTCTGGGGCAGTGGCCGTGTCTGTTTCCGACGCGATTGATTGTATGGTTGTGGGCAATTGCAGCTTGGACCTACACAGCAATAGCATAGACCTACACAGCAATGAACATACGAGCATGGCGGGAGCTCGTGGCAGCACTGGCAGCGCCATGGATGAGGGGAATACTCGTGTGCCAGGCACTGCAACGAGCTGCCGCGCACGCTCGTATGGTCATTCGCTATGCGCTCTTGGCCGCCCTGCATCCTGCGAAAACACTCGTCCCGCAGACACCTCTATCAACCTCCCCATCCCCCGAGCAGCCTCACGTTTTCATTCCAGCTTACCTCTCATCAGTGGCGCTGGGACGATGACGGGTACCGGCGGCAGCCAAGCAGGGCTTGGTTTCGGGCAACTTGGCATGCCACTAATGCCTGCGCCCCGGAGAACCGCAGTCGATCTACAGCAACAACAACCATGCAGCCCGCAGCCTGAATCCTGCAGTAGTGGCGGCGCCGCTGGTTCCTGTGGAGGTGCCGCAGATGGAATCACTGACGCCATGAGCACCCTTTGCCCAGCTAGCGGCGACGGCGGTCTAAGCTCAACACTGCTGCTCGCTGGCATCAGCCGCCTAGGGCGCATGTCTGCTATGCCGCAGCTGGGCTCTGAAGGCCAACACCAGCAGCAGCAAGTGGCCTTGGGTGGCCCGAAAGCGCCAGCAGCAGGAGGCCGGGACTGCAGCGGCCGGAACCGCAGGACTAGCAGCTCCTTTGGACTAGCAGCAGCTTGCGGGTCAATGGCGGATGTGCAGCTGACGCCAACAGTGCAACGCCAGGCCCTCCCGCGTCTCATCAACACTCCACGGGAATCTAGCGAAGGACTTGGTCCCGTGTCGGTACAGCCCCTGGATGCTGTCGATGCGGTGCACTTGAGCATGCCGCCATGCAGCTTTCTTCGGCCGCCCCCCGCTGCGGCTTCAGTCGCGGGCCTCGAAGCGGCCGGACCGAATGACAGGACTACTGCTGTGTTTGCGAGCACTAGCTCGGTGTTGGCGGCTGCAAATACAGCTCCTGTGGCCATGCACAAAGTTTCAGACTATCCAGAGCCTAGCCTCAGGGGTTGTTACCAAGGTCGCAGTGGTGGCGTGGGGCCTCAGAGCAGCACGAGGCTTGCAAAAGCTGTTAGACGGGGATCGTTCCTGGAGGCTACTAGCCATGCAGCAGCGGAGGTAACGGAGGAGCCCTGTAAGCCTTGTGTTGGCGATGAAGCGTCGCAGTTTACCAAGACCTCTGCTGTAGTAGCTGCTAGAAGATCGTCCGAAGCTGCAGCGCCTTATTCCCGGAGATTCCCGACATCATGCAGGAAGGATTTACAAGAACAGGCCGAGCCAGATGGTGAGGATATGGAAGAGGTGCAGGACTGGACGTCGCTGGTGTTTAGCCATGCAAGGTTGCTGCGGTTTAAGGGCACGCGCATTGTGGCATGGCATGTTCGATTTGGTTCACGGCAGCGTGGGGTGTGAGAAAGATGTTCAGCAAGCGCTGTCATCGGCCTGGCTGCATATTCTTGTCGTGTTGGGGCTGAAGACCCGTACGGACACGCCATGCTTCATGGGTTAACAAGCTGCGGTCGGCCAAGAAGAGGTTCATGTTTTCAGTGTTGGGAAAGCGGAGGGCGGCGAAGATTCTGATGTTCTTAAATTGAGACCGTCTGTGGGAGTGCTACATGCATCAAAATGGAGGGTGATTGCATCATCACCGTAGCAGCATGGTTTATTTGCGAAGGGCCCCATGGCCATATGTTGTTGTTGGCCCTCTATCATGTGTTCAGACGTTGGTAGTGGCTGGTGGATGGATGCGGCCAGGACCTGCACTGCATCCTTGCAATTATACATTCTTCGCCGGGGCTAGAAGCACGCTTGGCAGCTTCGTAATTAACTGCTGGTTATTGGGCTCTTGTCACCAGAGAGCTTCGTGACGTCAATTTGGAAGCCCGAAGGCACGCTGTTCTGGGCACTTGGACAAAGTTACTATGTTTTTGGTTTTAAGCGGTTTGGCTGCATTGAGTGACAGTCCTGTATTGCCTGCGGAAATTTGGGGATGTAGTTCTAAGTATCAGGTCCCAGCTCTGCGAAGCATTGTCGAGAGCATTAAGGTGAGCAGTGGGCATGTTAGGTTGGTTGGTTGGTTGATTGGCTGTTGACGGTTGGGACAGTGCAGATAGGAAGCATGAGCGAGGTATTTTCATGTCTTTCCGTCCTGGTGTGGTGTTGTGAGCCTGAACTTTGGTCGTTTCTGCTGTATTACTGGATTTATTGCGTGCATTATTGCTGCTGCCTGTTTCTCACACTGTGGTATAGAGGCAAATGACTCGTACGGGAGAGTACCGCCAGCCGAGTGGAGGGGCATAATCCTACTACAGTACCGTCATCAATTCAGTTGTTGTTTCTCAGCACAAATGTTTAGCTGCTCCTCGCCAGGTTATTGCGCAGGGTCGCTAACACCCTGCCTGTTTTGGTAAACGTTTGCCTTCATGCTTTTGTCTGCATGCTCTTGCTTGCATGTTGTGTTGCCGTTGAAGTGTCGGTTGGATGGATCAGCAGTAGTTATCATCGGCCACTTGGCACCATTGTGTGTAAGCACTGCATGCTGGTGCATTGGTGCATGCATGCATGCGGAGGAATGAGTAAGAATCACCCTTATGACCTGTATGACCAATGCCCATGGGTGGGTTGCTAAGTTGCGTAGGGCCCAACAAAACTGAGGCTTTGTGTTACTTACCGTGCCGTGTGAAGGCTGTCTTGGGTGGCTGTGTTAAGGAAATTGGCCGCGAGTCGGAACATGTGATTGCCGGATTGGGTGGCTGTGTGCGTGCGTGTGGGTCGCTTGTTGCTTAAGAGCACGGTAACGCATGTTTCTGGTGACTGCATGCGCAAAATCTTCACTTTCCGGTGCCTGCATACCGGTATTGGGTACTGGTGACAGCAATACCACCCTTCTTTGTGCCATGCGCCGATGTGCGTGCCTATATATACCTTGGCGGGTCTAGACCTACAATGCTTTGTCCACCATGACAGCTTATCTGTATATGCTTTGTCCACCATGACAGCTTATCTGTATATGCTTTGTCCACCATGGCAGCTTATCTATATGTGCTTTGTAGGCATTCCATATGCGCAAACGAGCAATTAGCTTTATCGGTTCGGACTGGTTTTTGTGTTGCTGCGCATGTTGTGTCGTTGCTGTTTGCCTCAAGGCGGGCGATACTTCTGCGGGAAAGGTGGATGGGTGATATCGGTAAACAAACCCCCTTGCCCCAAGGGTTGGCTGTTGCAGTCCAACGAAGTCCTCAGGCGAAGTGGCATGCTGCGCAATGTAGCTGATGGTATACGGCTATACGCTTGTATGGTGATACCACGTCATGAACCATGGGTCAGTCTGGGTTGAGATCTACGGTCCGAGACGGTGCAAGTAAGGAGCACCTAGCCAAGCAAGGTACCGCATGTGATACGTCAAACAAAGTAAGGCAAGCAAATGTCTTAATACCCGGCGCAGATTACAGGAGGTCGGAGGCCACATGATCGCTGCGTTACTATGGCTGGAGCCCAACAAGAGAAAGCCAACTACAAGCAACGGTCACACACGGACGGGCTAGCGATACCATGGGGCCGGTGCTGTGCCCAGAAAAGCAGCAGAATCTGCGCTCACTGCCTGATACAACACCCTTCAAAAGTACCTAGTAATAAATTGTGGCAACAGTTGTAACCCTCAAAAACACGGCAAGCAAGAGCCTCCTCAAAAGCTCAGTCACCTCCTGCACTGTAGACAACCCCTCTCTCAACACTGCAGACAGCCCAGCCACCGGCATACCCTAACCCGTGCCTATCTGCTCCCAAGCAAGCGCCATTCCCAGCACAGAACGCCGCTTGCTTAACGAACTCAAACTAACGTTGGAATTCGTTGAACAAACCAATGTTGGAGTTCGTTGTTATAGCCCCTATGTACGTTGGCGGGTGGCATACATCCACTCGGGAAGAAACGCCCGCTGCTAGTGCGTGCTGATACCGCAGCAGCCCTGGAAGGAGCCGACTGGGCGTGCAGGGGCGTTCAGAGGTAGGGTCTTGGCCCTAATGGGTTATTAGGGCAGGTGGCCAACCGGTGCAGTGAAAGGGACATGGTAGTCTGTGACATCCTGCGGCCTCCGTCGCTCACAGGGCTTCACAGATAGGGAGGCAAGTAGTGTAATGGATGCGCGTTCTTAGTGTGATGGAGGCGCGTTTTTACTGAGATGGCGGGGATGTGGCCGTGTCGGTAATGACCAGAGGGCCGACGTTGTCCCCGGTTTCCTTGTTGTGCCTGCCGAGTTGCAGGATTGGGGTTGAGGTTAAGGTGGGCAGGGGGGCGTGGTATTGAATTTGAAGGAAGCCAAGGCGAAGGGGAAACGGCGCCTATAGTGGGCCATTCCCTCAACAACTACAGTAGCATGCCTCCTAAACGAACGCCACGGCATTCCTCTACTGGACCGGTTTGGACCCATGCGGTTTCAGTAACAGCTTTGGCAGGGTTTGAAAACACATGCTTGTGTCAAGGCCAGGGGTGAAACAGGAAAGCAGAGGAGCAGGTGGACAGGGAAAGGGGTGCCGTGCGTGCGTGGGGCTTAACTGTTCACACTGGCGTTCGAAGAAGGCCAATGAGTGTGTGACAATGTAATACTTGGAAAGTAGAGCAGTGTTTTGGTATTTCCTTGCTGCCGCGTGGGGATGCCCGACCAACTTACTTCAAATGCGCACCGTCGCAGAGAGGGAACTGCGAGAGGATAGAGATATGGGCCATAGTGAATGTAGCATGGTCGGTAGGAAACTGTAAGCGGGAGATGGGGTCTGGAAGCACAACACATATGCATGCAACACGCTGCTGCGAAAAGACAGCAATGACGACTGCCCGCAAGCAACCAAAATTCACTTCTTACAAACGCAGCTGCATCATACCACAATCTCCTGACTTCCCAGGTAAGACACCTGGGAAGTGTGTCCCATCAGACTCACGCACCGAGGAACATAATTGGGCAGACAAAGCCTATCTAGCCTACCTTTGAAGACCTCCAGCAACGGCAGTAGACCGCCTGCGGTCATTACCGATCATGAAACCACGGATCCGGTGATAAGCATATAAAGGCCTGTCCGCACCTTTGGCTTCGGCAGGTCCCCCATCTTCACAAAATCAGCTACCTTCTCCTCGCTTTTGCGAATGCTAGGGTTGATCTGGCCCTCTGCGCGAACGACGACGGACAGGCGACGGCTGCCCGCGCCCATCGAAGGAGCACTGCGGAGCAGCACGGAATGCATACGCACAGCTGCCATTTTTAGATATGTATAACAATATAGAGCTCAGATGCAGCGACCTTTAAAGAAGGCAAGTATTTTCAGTAGTCAACGGCACCAACCGTCATGATAATCTTACCTTTCCACGGAGTAAGCGCGGCCACTCGGGCCGTAACGTAGCTTGTTAGAGATGTAGACAAATACGCTCCGAAATAGCGAATGCGCGAGCAGCTGTGGGCTTGGACCTTACGCAACCAGCTATACAGTACCGGTATTGTATGCATGTGCTTGCGTCATTTCTCGGGTTTATGCCAATCCAAAACTGCGAACAGTGCTGATCTGTCATCCTGGTGCTTATAGGATAATGTTGCTGCAGCCATCTGCCGTTCGTCAAGCGCATGTCAGAAACTGTCCCCACATTACACTCCTTGGAAAGCCCTTCCGAGGGTAAGCAAGCGCTGGCACCCATTAAAACACAACACCCTGTGCATTAGTTACTTACATAGTTGACATACGCGCACTGGCACCAGGATAAGGAAAACCCAGGAAATGTGAACCCAACGTCCTTGTCCGCACCGGTATGGGAGCTGTTAACAGCATCACAACATAGCCCCGGCACTAAGATTAATTTTCCCTACTACGGGGGGGGGGTAAAAAAGTCTTTGCCAAACCCCATGCTAAAAAAGTCAAGAAAGGGGTGCCGGACCCACCCACCCACCCTGTCGTACCGTTTTTGCTGTACGACAACGCTGTAAACTTCGCAAAATCGCCCCCAAAAAGCACCATTCGACTCCATTTCTCATGATCTTCGTCGTTCTCACGTTAGGCGTACCATTTGGCAACATGTCCGTGTCGCTCGCCACACGGGGTGGGGGGGGGCAGGCAGGCTGCCAGACTCAATGCTCTCTGGTATGCAGCCGATACACATCTCTTTTAAACCTCACATGCATTGCTGTGATGCTTTGAGTGCACGGTTGCGTTGGTAAGTGTGCTCCAGCCCACCTGCCACTGCGTCCCTCACATCACCCCGCCATCGGTACGACTGCGCCCGCTTCCCCGGGTAGCAGGTTGGGCTTGCACCCCACCGCCCTCAGCACCAGATGCAGAACAACGCATGTTTCCCCCTGCCACGGGTGTGTCGTCAGTACGCCTGTTGCTTGCCCTCCCCCTTTAACCTTGCCCTAACTTTGTGGTTTTATTCGTTTGGTTCCTCTTTGGGCCCCTTCCACCTTAGCCCCAGTCCCTGCTGCTTGCTTTGCCTCTGGAGAAGCCATACCGATGGGCCAGCTGGGGTCTTCCATGGGGACATGCCACCCGCAAACTTCACGCAAAGGCTCTAATATTAACATAATATGCATACACTATAACAGGAGTAGTGAATCTGCTATCCGTTTGGCGAAACGATACCTAGGAAAAAAGTTTTGGAGGTCAAAGAAAAAAGTCATTGGGGCTCCGGACCCACCTACCCACCCCTGCCGTACGACCAACTTTGGGAGCCTATAACTTTTTCCCTACAACTCCCAACTTTGGGAGCCTATAACTTTTTCCCTACAACTCCGATTACAATTCTGAAAGCGGAATTGGAATGCTCTCGTTGAGTTCTTTAATATTGAAGCATGTATCATTTTGCGGCGAAACTATCCCCCCTGCCTACTACCATTTTCCATCCGCCACTCATATCCACAACCACGGTGTTTCCCAAACATACTACTTGCCCTCATGGATGGCTACCTCGCATGTCTGCTCGTCCCAAAACCCGCACACAACCCCAAGGCTGCCGTGCAGCTTGCATGAGGGGCTCTTCCACATGGAGCATCGTCCGTACCGTACCGAATAGGATTGCTTATGCAGCGCACAAACCTCATGGGCGCGCCACCAGTGCACAGGAAAACACTTGCTATCAGATTGTTGGAGACATACGACCAAAACCCCTCACAAACCCAAGGCGGCGGTCCCCCAAGAGGCAAGTCACGGTAACCAGGCTAAGCCAACATCCCACATGTTCTAGACAAAGTAACAAGCCGCTGGGGCTGCAAGAAAAAGTGTTGTTAGGCTATATGCTTCCAGCGGTGGTTTCCATTGGAAGCAGTAGCTAACGAGCAGGTTGAGGGACGCAATATCTAGCCCAGAGATTGGCCACCACCCCATCATCAGTAGTACGATGCAAAGGGCGTTTGCCCAAGCAGGATATCTTGAAGCAATTAGTCGGAAACGCCCGTTGTCAGTGGCAGCACGTTTCCGCTAAACAACACCACGTCCTAAACAAGATGATGCATGCTTTGGAGGATTCCGCCCAACCAGCAGTGACTACGTTGGAAGGGCCATGTTCCCCACTATACAAATGTCGACAGCAGCACTCCCAACACAGTGCTACAGGAGTTTAAGCAGGCCGTTATAGCCGTTTTTGGCTGATCCTTTGTCCTCGGCAGGCAAAGTCAAAGCTTTCAAGCAGCCTAGACGGAGTCCCATTGACAGCAATTACCAAACGCTATACCGCGCCAAACAACACCAAGCCACCCTTCCTGTCACGTCCCTTCAGTACCGCAATCACCCGCTTCAATTCTAAAACATCTTACCATCACAGTGGCCAACTAAAGAAACCAAAGCACGGCCAACTTGAGCAATTCAAGGAATTTAAAGGAAATGTGCTCCGCTTGACAGCGCAATTCTACCACACCGATTTTTTCTTGTCTTTGTCTCTTGTCTCTCGAAGTCGTATCCACGAAATTCACCAAAGCTTCACCAAAGCAGAGCGGAACACGCCTGAATCCCCCTACACCCGGCACCCTCCACATAACAACAAGCAAAGCAGTAAACGAAAACTTTGCGATGCCCGAGTTGCCTGGCACGCATGGCATCATCTCTAACACGTCCAACTTAATTACACAAGTAGAGGAATCGGAGTTCGACAAATTGAGGACAGGACCACTGCGTCCAGTGTGCGCGTAAGGAAACGCGAATCCGAGAGACAGGAAGCCTTCAGTGAAGCACACCGGTACCCCAGACATCGCATACGGCTTGTGCAATAACAACTGTGCGAAGTGAGTAAACGGCGCGCGTAGGAGAGGCGCTCATGTCTGGCGTAGGAATTGCAACTGCAGCTGACCCATGGGTCTATTTCAGCTACGTGGCTACGAAGCCTGCTATGGGACGCGTTTGGAACAACAACAAGAACAGGTGCAGAAGTGTAAGACGATGTGGATTATAGCGGTAGTGTAAGACGATGTAGGTTGCTTGCGTGGATCCAGACAAACACTTTACAACCAAAGGCAACCCCATCCAGCTAACAACAATCAAGTACGGCAACCAAGCACTGAGGTCGCATCACCCCACCTGCTGTGCGACTAGCATCATCTCCTTAACCACCTCAGCTGCTGCTGGCCGCCGCGCCGGCTCCCGGCTCCAACAGCGCTCCAGCAGCCGTTGCAGCCGTGGCGGGCAGCGCCCCGAGGACACCGCCTCCGCCAGGGGTAGCCTCTCGTCCTGGAGGACCACTGAAAGGAGGCAGGAAGATGGACAGGGAGGTGGTCGTGGAAGCGTTGGCACGGTAATTGGGGAACGAGTGAAGGCCAGCAGGCAAGCGACAACAAGGATTACCATTTAGCTACGTGGCTGCTAGGTGATCTGCCGAGGGAAACGGGCCCAGCTAGAGGTCTAGGGCAAGATAAGGCATGGCTCACGAGTTTCCATGTTTGCTGCTGTTCCGTATGCATTTGTCTACTCTACCCCTCTACTAACGTCACGACATGATGGCCCGTTGCCACCCACCTTTGTAAGCGATGGCAACGATACTGTAGCCCTGCATGGCAGCAATTGTTGGCGGGACTTTTGGACATGGCAATTTACAACCGTCGCTGAGAATTGACGCACAGTTAGCCTTTGGTAATCAAGCAAAAACGTATGCTTCTAGACAGTATGTTGGGGCTCAGCAAACATCACCAGAGGCGACTGGCGGGCGGATAGGTGAAAACAAACAAGCCCTGTGGCAATTTCTGGAACGCGCCATGCCGCAATGTGCATGGTGGCTTGCAATTGCATGGTGGCTGTGAGCAAATGCCGTGCGTGTCATTGTTTGCAGGTGCAGAGCTTTGTTGGATCGAGTGCTACACCTCCACCCACCTTCCACGGCTCCTGGCCAGTCAACATAGCCCAGACGACCACCGCCCAAGCGTACATATCTGTTTCCAAGCAAGGTGGGAGGAAGCCATGCCAGAGGAATTATGGATGGGCACTACAGGGAGGACATCAGTGTGCTCCTGGGCTGGGCTGACCTTCGCCTGGCACCAAGGCGTGCGCCTTTTAAAGGAATCATCAAGTACCGCCGATCCGTACACTACTCAACGAAGTATGGCCCGCCTACGTTAGACGAGCGTAAGCAGAACCCTTCCCAGCCACAGACCCATGGGTCTCCCTACCCATGAACTCACCGACATGATGAGTTATGACGGCAGAGTTCGTGTCGAAGCACTCTGCGGCAAGGGAGGCAACAACAGCATGCATGGACGGCCCCTTACAGTGGCCCGTACAGGGGTCCCCGGAAGGGAATACGGGCGCAGCAGCACACAGCAAGACTGTTAACGGCCAAGCACGTCAGGAATCATCAGAGCCGCAACAAGAAAGCCCCAAGCCCACGAAGCCTCGAGCATTGCAATACGTTATGCTTGGCAACCGACATGTAAGAGACACGATGTACACCATCCAACATTGATCATACTCATGTAAGGCCCAATGATAGCTGCCACCCCCTTACCCGGTGCCAGGTAGGATGGCTGGAGGCGTGGGGACGCACAGAGCAATACAGACGCCCAGTTGTCAATGAACGACATGTGAAGTGGTTGAAGGGTTCAGCGAGCGGGAAAAGGGAACTTTCGGATGGAGGATGTACAGCAGGGCAGAACATGTCTACATTCAACGTGGAAATGCTACATACATGAAGGGGCCCTTCTAATGATTGAGTGCATGGGACAAATGGATGACCGGGGCATTTCCAAGCAAAGTGGTCCTGCTTCCCACGCCCTCAACGCAGTTAAGCAGACCAGGCCAGAGCTCAAATATGCCCACCCACCGTTCCAGCTCCAGGGTTGGTGGTGGGCATGACGGTGCTGCGAAGCCGCGACAGACCAAAGTCCTGTGAAACCATGGCAGCACAACGGCAGAACACGATTAGCATCCGCATGAAACCGATCCAGGGGCACTTTGTCTTCCCTGTAATAGCTGTTTGAGGCAGCAACTGTGACTGTGCCCGGGAGCCCCAGTTACCCAACTAGTCTCTATTCGGGTCAGAGGGTCGTTCCCTTGTGCTGGCCTGCCTACACACGCAAAGCTCGTCAGTCGTTGGCCCGCGGGTTACCCCCATCAAGCCACTCACCGACACCTTGACTTGGGGATGAGGGGAGTCAGCTTGGCTGATCAGCACGTTGTCGGGCTGCATGGGGGCAAGACAAGCATAGGGACGAGGGGATGCATCAGACCCGCTTCAACGCCTTCTCACACTGTTCAACCCACGGCCACACGATCACACCGCTCCCCACAGCAGCACAACGTTCCCCTTCCCGCCAGCACCCCTCCCCCCGCCGGCCCCACCACCACACCACTGTAACATTCCACTGGGCCCATTCCGCATAGCACAGCCCCGCACAACCCCCCTCGCACCACCCACCTTTAGGTCACGGTGCACAATGGTGGGGTGCAGGTACTCCAGCGCCCGCGCAATCTCCGTACCAATGTGCAGCACCTTGGGCAGCGGCAGCAGCTGTCCTGGCCTGCCGTACAACAGCCGGCCCAAACTGGTTTCCATGAGCTCCATTACCAGAAGCGTCCGCGGCGGCTGCACGCATGCAGCCAGCAGCCGTACGACATTGGGGTGGTTGCAACGACCCAGAACTGCCACCTCCTGCTCAAACGTCCTCAACGCCTCACGCAGCTCAGCACCCGCCATGGCTGCTTTTCCGCCGGCTGCAGCACCACCAGCGAGCATCTGAGCAGCAGCTGCACCGACGGCAGCAGCAGTGCCGGGAGCTGCAGCAGCCGTTCCAGGATCTGCTGCTGCGACCGGGGCAGCACCGCAGCTGGCGATGTAGGCGTCACGCAGAACTTTCACTGCCACTCGCTCTCCACCGTAACGGCCTTCACGCACCGTTCCAAAGCTGCCTTTGCCGCGAACAACTGGCAGCATGGTCACCTCTGTTGCCAGATTGGGGTTGAGGTCAAAGTCGGCGCGCAGCGGGGTTAGCGGCGTAACCACGACGTGGAGCTCCTGCAGGGCTGCTTCGCCCTCGTCTTTTTCTTCACCATCGCCATCTCCTTTGGAAAGCGTTGTAGCTGCGTTTTCAATTGTGCTGGGCGTTGCAGTGTCCCTCAGTGTGTCCCCAGTTGGCACCTCGGAATGCTTGTCGGTTGACGTTTCTGTTGTCATGTCGGTGGACTCTCCATAGGCAGCTGGGACAACACACACAGTTCCGGGCTTGTACTTGTCGAGCGAGCTACCGGTGTTCGTTGCAGTGGTTGTGACAGTTACTGTTCTGGTGGATGTAACGGTAATGGTCGTTGTGACACCGCTACCGGGCGTGATGTCACTCGTGCCATTGCTGTTCTGTCCGCAATCGGCGCTGAAACTGCCAGCCTCCATCATCTTTTGTGGCAGTATCGTCTGCGGCCGGCCCTTATCCGCTGTGTCGCAGCCATTTCCGTGGGTTGCTGCCTTGCCGTCAGGTTCTGCAACGCCCTTCGTCACGGCTGCGCCCTTCCGCTCGCAAGTCATAGCATGGCCGAGAACGGCTGCATGGGAGGAGAGACACAGGATACCCGCGGGGGCCATTCGTGAGGGAAATAGGACCCCGAAACCATGGATACTCGCATATGCTCCCTTACGAGAAATCACCGTGCGAAAACACCGGCGAGAAGACCGTACGAGAACGCACACATAGGCATAGCTAGATGCAGCCCCATGTTCAACTATCCGCATCTGCCACAAACGGAACTGCAGAAGCCACGCGTCTACTCAACCTAACGCTCGTGCACTTCACAATTTCCCTCTCAACTTCCCTCGTCTTACCCAGCGCCACATGGCTGTCAGTAGATTGTCCTGGGCTCTCCGTTGTCTCCGCACCAGCAGAGTGCAGCTGATCCTGAGAGTCCGCGTCTCGGTACGCCTGCTGCCGTCGACGGCGCCGGACCACCAGAAAGGCCGCCATCACCAGCAGGGCCACAAGCGCCGCGCCTGCAGCAGGAAACCCAGCCCCCACACGCAAAGCGATGGAAACGAGGACGGGGACGTTTTCCGGTGTGCACGTGTATTGCATTGCCCACCAAGGACCAGGCATGTTTCAATTGCTACCGGTAAAGGTAAGCTTCGCAGTTGAAGACATAGTTGCACCTAAATGCGCATGACAATCTGGTTGGTATCCCAATGCCAACAATGTATGTCGCAGAACCACATCGGCGCACCTCCGAGAGAGCCACCCACAGCAGCTCCAACATTTCGCCCACTCTTGTGCTGGCTGCCATTGCCAATGTTGCTGACCTCAGAGCCGGGACTGCCCTTGTCACTACTGGCGCCGCCGGAGCTCGTTCCATTGGCAGTGCCACCAGAATCGACGCCGCTAGTCCCATTAGCGGTGCCGATGGTGGCGTTGGCGGGTGGAGGTGGTGGTGGAGGCGGAGGCGCAGAGGGGAACGGGAACCCTAACGTGAGTGCCAAGCAACCGAAAGCGTTGTAGGTAGTGATGCAAAGCTGTGACATCTCCTTCTCGCACAGCATGTAGGTCTCCACCAAGTGGAGCTGTGGGGGGCGGGGGGCAGCAGGGTGGGAGGGAAAGAGAGGGGCGCGTAAAGCTGGGAGGTACTAGAAAGTGTATAGTCCGAAGGGCCCTGGGGCCTTTGAGCCTTACTTCCAGGTCTCCAGACCGCTGCCGTAAGAGTTTACAGAGCCGGCACTTAACCCTTATACCTTGTCCCATAAAGCCACAATGCCTCGTCGGCAACAGCATTACCGCAGGTAACCACATAGCTAGCGATCCCATTCGACGTCCCTCCCAGCACCCGACAATGCCAGTCAGCAGCAGCAGCAGTAGGGCCTTTGGCATATTGCCACTGCTTTGGCGTACGACAATACTTCTGTACGACAATACGTATGTACGACAACACGGCACCCACCATGTAGCCTGTCTGCACCGTTGTAAGCGGAGCGCTGACGGACGTCGTGGTGGAGTTGCAAGCAAAATCGTTGCAGTAGGCCACGTGTGCCCAGCACCGCTCCATGGGAGCTGCCTGGGTGCTGTTGCTGCAGGTGTTGCTGCCGTTTTTAAGGTCGCTGGGAATGGACGAGGACAGCGAGTAGGTGTTCGTTCCTGGGAACAGGGCTGGGCGCCGTACAGCTCCCAGGTAGGCACTGGTGGGGGAGACAGGAGCAGGGGAGAAGCACCGGGCGGTTGAGGCTGGTTAGCAGGAATGCTTCAGGAATGCATGTCCGCCTGCTGGCAAGGACCAAAGCAGAGCGGTTTGTTAGCTGTTACCGGTACATGCTCTTCCCCGGCCACTAGATCCCCGCAGCAGCACCCCTCCCTGCCTGCAGCAGTGCAGGATACGGCCCCAGGCCAAGCCAAACGGCAGGGGGAGGGTGCACGACTCTTCCGACCCAACCAGCCAGGAGCCCGACTTACGCCCCATGGGAAGCCGGAAAGCAGGCTTTGCTGATGAAAGCCGCCTGGAAAGCCTCGAGCACAGCCACGCCGGAAGTCTGCAGGACAATGACACGGAAGTTGGATTCGGCACGGAAGAGGCGTGGCGTGGCAACTGGAAACCTCTCGACGTGTTCGCAATAAGCAAAGCAGAGCGAGCCTCCGGTACGACGACGTTGACGAGTAGCACACTGACCAAGGGTGGTAAGCAAGCCCTGAGCCCCCACGCTAGCTGGGACTACTGTATACGCAGCGTGCAGCCTCGGATGTGCTCCCTGCCACCCATGATTCAACACGTGACTCGAACCCCGGGTCAGACCATGCAGCTCTCAAAGCCCTGCCCCCCCCTGGTTAGTTAGTGTCTTCCCCTTTACCCCTCCCATCCCCTGCTGAAGTGCAGCAACCTACCCTGGGTGCGAAGAGAACCGGAGTGATCCCAGAAAAGACTTCGTTGTAGAAATCGGCTACCACCAGATGTTGAATCCTAAAGGTGACACCGTCATCGAGCTTAAGCTGTGGGCGAGGTTTGGGGGACAATTTGGTTGGGGGGATAAACTTAACGTGCACGTGAACGCGAAAATGAGGTGGCCGATGGCAGGGGTAACTGGGAAAGAGTAGTAGGCCCAGAGGACGTGAGCCAACTAGGATAATGCTCATAGATAGGACAAGGAGGACGATTACGGGTTTGCTGAGTGTGAAAGGGAACTAGGTAGGCGGTATGTGGAGGTGGGCTATCCTCAGTAGCTAGACCAGTACGTGCTTGATAATGTATAACGCATTACTGGGCAAGTCGCATGCAGTCCCATAGTTCTCGGCTTTCTTGGCCCCAGCTAACGCCCGCCTCGGCATACCTTTCTGTGCTCGGATGGAGTAGCGCCGGAGGAGTCCACGGAAAGGAGGATGGGACACGGAAGGGACATTGTAAGCAGGGTTAGAGTTGTGCTCACTGTTAAGTAAACTGGGGTGCAAGCTTCGAGTTAGCAACCAGTAGCCGCAATGGCCCTGTGCACCCTGGACATGCACCTCTATGGTCAGTGCCTCATTAGGCAGTAGCACGAATGCTGATATATGCGATGAACGACATTGTTTAAACAGCACCCTCGTAATTAAAGGCGCGGCAAGCTGAATGAAGGACCGTTACAACGGTAGCTTCCAAGCCCAATAGGCATGCGCCATGCGGGGCCTGCCCTGGCCGACCGGTGCGTACCCGTTCGTGTAGCTGGCATTGATCAGCGCGTAGCGATAGGGGTTGCCGATGACTGTTACGTTTCGTTTCAGCACTACGGGGACGTCATAACTGCATCAAGTGTGGGGCAGAAAACAACAAGTAGGCAGAGAACGCAGGAATTAGTATGTGGCCTGCAAGGGCGGCAGCTGGGTATAATATTTGGCATAAACGACGTAAAGCCATTGGTACGTACCCTGTAAAGCTCGCTTCCGCAACATTGAGGACGTCTGCGTTAATGTATATCTCCGACGGACCCAACGGGTCGGCTAAAGCGGCGATAAAGCTGTCCCCAGTCGCGACCGTGATCGTATTGTCTCCATGAGCTTGTCCTAGTCCATACAGGAGCAATACCGCCAACAGCAGCTGCAAGACTAAACGCCCGAGTCGCATGACCGGCAAGTCAGGAAGGCTCATTCGTGCCGCAGCAGTATGAATTTAGAACACGTGCTTAGTGTTTATTGAAGGAACACGTTGCCGAGGTAGGACGGCCTACTCCCTATACTTCAGCACGATGGCTGCTGGTCGCCAAGTCACCGTGAAGATGCCACACGTATTTCCCATCCGCAAACAGCAACTTCAGGTTGTCGTCAATGTTGGAAAGTCGCTGCAGAGTGACACAGGGTTAAGTATTAATGTGTTGACGTTTGACACGAAGTAGTCCTTAGACCAACATCTAAACGGAATGTTCTTCCTACTCTTTTCAAGACTAGTAAAATGTTAACTGTGCACAAGCGGATTTGTCCGCCAGTCCCGTACCCTTGCAAGCTGAGTACGTCACCAAAATCCATACTTTTGCCGTTTCGCGCTTCATAAAGCGCACATGCGCCTCCATAGAGCTCCATGCAGCATGTAATATATTGCATTAACAGGGTATTCGGCGTATGCAGGCCGTAAAGGTGCATAATACATAATACAATAGATTACACAACACGTTGAACTTGGTGAACTTGCTGCCTCCTGTGATGCCATTTACTAGCCCTTCTGTAACTTGTCACTGCCCGCTCCTTAGTCCACGCTGGGTCCCCGTCGTGCACTCGCGGTTCAGGTGTGCGGCTCACCCTTGCCTCCTGGCCGTGTGGCCAGTACCAAGTAATGCCGCCAGCCTCCGTGAGCGTTGAAAGTGCAAGCCACCTGCACACCAGGAATCTGACCCCTGGCAAGTTGCAAGTCAGAACCTAAAATTGTCAAAACACAGGCGACATAGTTCCCCCCTCCCACATTTTCCCCTCAATTGGTTTGGTTCCTCTCTGTCCCTCAGCCCTGGTCTCTGCCCTCCCCTCAACCCTGTTTTCCAGCAGCAACCGAATGTTATGGCCAGTTTGTAGCGGACTGGAGTACCCGTTCAAATGCATGCAGGCAAAACTTGTTTTCCTAATTACTAATACAACCTTGTGTCAAGCGCCTGCATTTCGGACAGCCATCTGGAATGACCGTGGGGGCTATAGGGGGCCATAAAAACTTGCCTTTCCCGTGCCATATCGCACACGACACGCAGCGCCATCACACAGCGGCCGTATGCTGCAGAATTGCCGTGTGAAACCGTTTGCAGGCCAGTCCGTCACCTGTTTTCCAAGATACGCAGCGGCTATGGGTGATGCATTTAGCTGTTTATTTAGATGTAATCCTGGCTTGGAATGAAATGCCGAAGAGCATTTCCTTGGTAAGCAATTTACCATTGTTATCGGCGCAACCGGTGCGCGCCGTGTTGACAGGATGTTGAACGGAAGGCCACGCGCCGCTCAGTTCGCTCTCGAACTCGAACTGGCTTTGACATGCAGTGACATGGACGTACTTCCGGCCAGCCTCGGCCTGTCTACAGCGCAACAAGAAATGCCAAACACCACGCTCAAGGGCCTGGCCATTTCACACGGAGCCCTAGCCAGTGCATGCGTGCAACCGACCGCCCGATGCAGATAGGAGGATTCTCTTGCAATACCGGCGATAAACGACGCGGACGCATTGTGCACAGAAACCGCTTTCTCGGCACGAACGCCGGGTAGCAGCGCAATTGCGCATTGGGCGAAACATAAACTCCAGTGTCATGATACATCACATTTTAGGAACAAACCCGCGGTAGCACAACGACGATACAGTCGCCGCGTAGCTTTAGCGCGTAGCTCCTGTTTACCCATTAACGTGTAGCAGTGCTCGGTAATTTGAGTTGCACAAAAGACAGTTCAACCACAGTGGTAAATTGAGGATACAACCAGTTCGACCCTTCCTCGCGCCTGCAGTACACGGCATGATTGTATGACCGAAGGTTACCGAAGCGCTCGGCGTTTCCAATGGATAACTGCTGTCATTTAGAGCCTGGTTTTGGATAAGGATAGGCAACCCTTCTCTCCTCAGCTAAAGCGCACAGACCCAACATGCCGTTTTCTTGTAATATCTTTCAGGTCGTTATAAAGTCACATAATAAAAGACGTCAATAATCTTTCCTTATATAGTGCTCACCACGTTGCTAGAAATGGCCACTGCGGCAAGCCCGTATGAATCGCAAACAGCGGTCGACCAATTAGGAATCATTACGGAGGATGCCACGGCTATCAGCATGTCTGTGTGCATGGCAGCCCAACACCCGAGCAACGGTTCTGCGGCACGGACGTCTCCGGCATCTCGAGAGGACGGTCTAACAACCGCGACCATGGATGGAGCACTTACTAAACAAAAGGAAGAAGAGCAACCCGTACAAACAGGACTGTCAGCAGAGGAGCCCTCGTCGACTGCTTCGGGGCTGTCAAAGCCCGTCTCCGTCACCGCATCATCGAAACCGCTGGTGCGCACCTTGACTGGACTTCATATGCATGGCACATGTTTCTCAATACTCTCCATGCTATCCACCTCCTAGGCCGCTGCATTCCATCTCAGATTCAGTAAACCTATCCTTGCTAGACCCCACCTCACACCACCACTTCCCAATACCCCGCTCTGTTTCAACCATCCCTCCCTCCCTTTCATCCTCGCCCCAGGCCCTTCGCCTCACTTCTGCATTTCCGAGCTGGTTTTGGGTTGCCCTGGCGGTGTTTGTTGTGGTGGAGGTGCTTGCGGTGACCGGCTCGGTATACTATGCACGCGGCGTTAACACCGAGGCCCGCCGCGCTGCTATTGACATTACTCGCACCTCGGCGCGCTCCATTGAAACACTCCTCGATACCTTAGTTGCACCGATGAAGAGCTTGGCTAACTTGGTTATGACGGTAAGTTGGTGTGGGGCTTCACCCTTACTAATGTATGTGACAAATGGGTTACGTCAGGCTGCTTCCCGAAGAGCGAGTCGTGTGGTTCGGCCACTCGGCACGCAGCACCCTACCTGTATGCCCGGCATCTGTCTCCCTGTGGTAACTGTGGTATTAGGTTGTGAGGGTTAAGTCTGTCTGCACTGGCTTGGTGCATGTCTGTCCATTTTGTCGGTTTCCGTACACATTGGAAACAGATCCAACAGCTGGGTGGAACCCTGTACGCTGACTTACCTTGCTGCTTCCTGTCTCACCTGCAACACGCAGCAACCGCACTGGCCGACGCTGAATGCCACATTCCCTACGTTTGCCGAGGCAATTTACACGTGAGGGGGGGCGTTGAGAGGGGGTTTGGGGTACACGGGGACTGGCTGCGTGCAGGAGGGCAGGGACAGGCCCAGGCGCGGGGGCCATACAGGGCTGCTGGGCGCATGGGCGAGCTTGGGTGTGAATGGTTGGGCCCTGGGGCGCGAGAAGGCGTGGAAACTAGGTTTGGGATGGGGCTAGGTTGCAGGAGGACTTCAGAAGTCCACATGGTGTTTCCCATGGTGGTGGTGGTGTAATCATGCAACTTCCGTGCCAGGTAATCGCTGGTCAGCGCGTTGCTTGTGCCTCTCTGCTTCCCTCCCCAACGTGCTGGGTCCCTCCCTGACCAACTGGTGTGTGTAACATTAACTGCCGATCGCCGTACAGGACGAATCCATACTATCAGGTGGAGCTGTGTCCGTACGGCGTTGTGGGCGCTATGGCTCTTCGTAAGTGGGGGGGCCTGCTGGCTGGGGCGTGTGCGAGGGCCACGTAGTAGGAGTGTGGGAGGCTTGGCAACTTTGCTCATGGGAATGGCACGCTGGCGCAGAGAACAGGCACCTGCGTTCCACATCTGTCCGGTTGTGGGGCCATAGGCAGGGATTGGAGCCGCAGCGGCAGCAGCAGCGCTTCTGAGCCCCAGCTGCCGCCCCTACTCGTGCCTGCTGCCACTGATGCTGTCCACGTCGGCTGCCCGTCCCACCCTGTTACAACCCCTGCCGGTCCCCTGCCGCCCTGCCCCTCCCACACAGCTTGGCTTAACCTGACGGGTCAAGCCTATTGGGAGTTCCTGCTGTCATTTGACTTTGGGCTAGATCTGCTGAACCCCAGGCGCGGGACCTAGTGAGTGGCGGGCGGGCGGGAGGGTTGGGCAGGAGGAGAGGCATTCGGGCCCATTCGCTCGGCTTGTTGTTGTATTGGTGTCGACTGCACTGCACAACCGATGTCTTGGTCCTGTCTTGTCGAGGAGGGCTAATGGAGTGGGTTCAAAAGGAACAAATGACGAGGATAGCTCAGGCAAGGAGATGGCCGCGATGACCGACAAGAGGAAGTTGTGGCAATGGATACACAAAGCACCATGCACAGCTTGCTGTTTGAATTATTACCCGGCAAGCGAACGCCTGTGTGTTCATTTGCGGTGGGAAGGACACTGCTCGGGCTGTATAGCCAAACGCGTGTCTCCCCACATGACGGCACATATGCAATATTTCCCTGTGCAAACACAGACATGCTCACAGTCACAAGACTCGCGGCCAGATCTCTTAGCGCGCAGTCAGCGGCCAGATCTCTTAGCGCGCAGTCAGCGCAATTACGCACAGTAAAGCTCTGCGCGGTCAGTACACGCAGTTGTTGTTCTGGCTCGGCAGATGCTCTAACACAGACACGGCCCCAAGACTCGCCCGTGTGCGTGCCCCTCCCTCTTCCCCTGCAGCACAGTCTGTCTCCATGCCCATTGCTTCGCCCTAACTTGTGGTTTCCGAAGGTTTGATCTATCTTTGATCCCTCGCAGTCAGGACGAGCTAGACAGCATTCTCCAGGACGGCAATGTCATTCTGATGGCTCCCTGGTTTGCGGACGGGGAGCTGTCAGAAGGCGCCTTCGTGGTGCGTTACAGCATCTTCCTGCCGCCCGGGGAGTGGGACATGCCCACGCCCAGTGAGTGTTGGGGTTCGGTCGGAGGCCTAGGGGGGAAAAAGAAATTCCATAGTGTGGTATGATAATGATACAAGTTGCTGACAATCCCTGGTGGAATCAACCGTGGGTCGAGCCGAAATGGGGAGAGGCCTAGGGGGGAGGAGATACTCAGCGCTGGACAGCGCCATGCTTGCCGTACAGTTAGGCTTCCAGCCGGCAGACCTGCTAGTGTTCTTTTTGTTCACACTTTGAACCTTCTTCCTATGTTGTTACCCCGCTTTTCGTCCCTGTGCAGACAGCTTTGATGCTTGTCCTCGCGACATTTGCTACACCCAGGATGGCCGCAAGTTCTGGGGCTTTGCAAACGTGAGTTACGGTTGCTGTGTGTGGCTGTTATGTGGCGTGCCCCTCTGGACTTCATAAGAACCATAAAAACGGATTGGTTTTCCTTACCCTCTGGTCTTTTTGCATGACCAATAGCTCTAAACAGAAACACCGTCATACATGAGAACATACCTGCCCTCCAGCTCGCTCCTGAACCCCAACTATGTCCTTGTTTCCTTCCGTGCCTTTCTTATCGCCTTCTGCCTTACCTCATCGTCGCACAGGCTTGCTTCGCGTGGAAGACTGTACGGAAGCAGCTCAGCACTCTAACGCATCGTGGGCTGCTGTACACCCTCGCTCCGGATCACAGATCCGCGAACCAGTCGTACCTGGCCTTCAGTGACCCGGTAGGTCTCCCGCCCTCACAGCAGCAGCATCACTGCCCTGCTCAGTGCACCTCCCAACCACACATACACTTCATCTTCCGAACACATCAATTACAATCACAGTACGTTCCTACTCGCGGCCAGTTTCCTTATCACAGCTTAGTGTTAGTAAAACCCATGCATTCACACTTGCCTTCTCGATTGCCTTGACATCACGGTACCCATGCCGAAACAAAACTCTGTCTCTGTGCTGCACTCGTGACCTGTTTGGCCGCTTTCCTGTGGCAGCCCCTTACCTCTGTCCTCATGCTTTTCACAATCCTCCATACCTGAACACCTGCGCCTACTCGCGGCCAGTTTTCTAAACACACACACCATCATCTTTTGCGGTTCACATGCGAACCTATCCCAACTGCTTGCTCTTGTTTCCGCTTGCTTACTCGCGGCCAGTAGGCCGTGTTTCTCACCACATCCCATCGTCACCCGCATGCCCTCCTCCCCTCCTCCCCCACAGCTCCCGAGCAGTGACTGCGAGGTGGTGTCGGTGGACGTGTACGGTTGGATGTCGTGGACCTTTTGCGTGGAGCCGGAGGGCGGCTTCGGGCCGCACTGGCGTGCTGGGCTGCTGGTGGGCGTTACGGCGCTTGCGGTGCTGCTGGCGGTGCTGACGGCTCTGGTGCTGCGCAGCCGCACGCTGGCCATCACGTACCTGGACCGGCAGCTGGTGTGTGTGGGGTGGGGCTTGGGAGGGGAAGGAGCAGGAGGAAAGGGGTAGCGTGTGTATGGGCGGGTGGCGCGGCGGGGAGGGAGGGATGAGGGGAGTGATGGGTCGGGGTTTACAGCTGAGTGCATGGGAGAGGTTCAGGCACGTGGTATGTGGCACCAGTTTGCTAGCAGCATGAGAGCACCTTGCACGGGCCACCGGACGACTGCCGGTCCCCTCTTGACAACATGCGCTTTAACTCGTCCCTCATCCCTTTTATTTTCCCGCACCCGCAGGAGCTGAACCGTCAGCTGGCGGTTGCCAAGGAGGAGGCTGAGGAGGGCCGTCGGGTCATCGAGGCGGAGAAGCGAGTCATGGACGCGCTGCTGCAGCGGCAGCGCAACCTGATTGAGTTGTTCGGCAAGGAGGACGAGCTGCTTGCGAGTGTGGGCGCGGAGGGGGCTGTCGACGGCTCCGAGGCGACGCTGGCGGCCCGGCAGCGGCTGCAGCTGGCGGGCTGCTCGAGGGGGAGCAACCTGTCGAGGGAGAGCGCGGCGATGGGTGGGTTTTTGGGGGGACAAAGACCATACCAACCATAGGAGACCACAAGTCCTATGGTCTCCTAGGAGGGGAGACCATAGGTCCTATGGTCTCCTTGGGGGGAGGGGGGGGCGGAAGGGAGGGTTGAGGACTTGAGGAGATGCATGCATGTTGCGCACAGGACCGGAGTGTGGGGAGGAGTTGGGGCGACGGGCGGGAGCGGTGTGGGCGTGCTGGGTGAGGGGGGGGATGGGGAGTGTGATGCTGAGGCGAGCGGGGTGTTGGCTGGTAGAGTGAAGTGGAGTGGGAAAGGGGACAGGGGCTGGCTACAGAGTCCTAACCGCAGCTGCTAACGGCTGATTAGCCCCTGGTTCACTTGGTTCGCCTTTTCCTCCGCTGCTGCTTCCACTTCTTCGTCTGTGCAGATCGGATTGAGGCGGTTCGGCGGCAACTCACCGTCGGACGAACGTAAGTAGCAACACCTTGTATGTTGTATCCCATGGTTCCGTGCTCATGACCTATGGCAAGATGAGCACCTGTGAGCAAGACGTTTTGACACGTCACGTGGTATTCACGCACACGGGGGTTGCTTCTTACGCATGCTTCATGTTCCACCACCTGCACACAAGTACTTTTCGCGACGTGTTCCTCCTGCTGTTCCTCAAGGCCGTCGCTTGCTGACCGCCACATCTGCCCACGTTGACCTTCCTTGCTTCCTCTCGCTCAACCCAACCCCGCCCTCCTCCTCACCCAACCTCAACCCACCACCTCAACCCACCCACCGAACCATCCAACCACAGCAATTCCAAGCTGTCGAGTACCGTTAACGAAGTCAAGCTGCACGAGATGCTTGGCGAGGGTGAGTACCGGTAGTTTGAGTAGACGGGCGGGCGGGCGGCGCGCGGTCCTCTCATGGAACAGCCCTTCTGATCTAACCGCTGGGTCCTTTTCATACCCATAGACACCCATAGATCATAACCCCATCTGGCATGCGAAAAATACCTCTTCCGCTTATCCTCTCTTCCTCCCTCTCCTCCCTCTCCTCCCTCTCCTCCTCCTCATTACCACCCTTTCACGCTCCGGCGCCACTCCGCCACCCCACCTCCGCATCCGCACCTGCCAGCACAACACCCTCCCAAGCCCTATCAGCTATAACAGCCCACATATCCGCACTATCCGGCCCATTAATCCTATCCGGCAAACTTCTGGTTGGTTGGTTGGTTGGTTGGTCCGCAGGTACGTTTGGCAAGGTGTACCGCGGCGTGTGGCGCGGCACCGACGTGGCGGTGAAGACCATGGTGCTGCCCGCCAACATGAGCGGCGCGGAGAAGCGCGAGAAGATGGCCATCATGGAGGCGGCCATCAGCAGCAGCCTGGCGCACCCCAACATCGTGCAGGTGGGGGGGTGGGGGGAAAGTATAGATAAATGCATCAACGGAGTCCCAATCCCGAATCCCAACTCAAGGAGTGAACGCATTCGGAGACCATTCGGGAGACCGCATTCGGGGTGGGGGGGGTTAAAGAGGTAGCTGACAAGCTGTAGTAGACACGGCTTGGTCATGGATTTGGCCATGGGTTTGGGGTGGGGTGCCGACCTATGCCACCCAACCCGAGCTAGCCAAGCCATGACGGTGAATGACGGGGGGCAGGTGGGGTGAACAGAGGGGATGTAGCCAATGTAGGAGAACGGGGGGCAGGTGAGGGGTATGCAACGGATGCATGTCTGCACGTGTGCACCACCACCCCGCCCCGCCTCCTCCCCCTCCCTGCCTTTCAACAGACCTACACCTACTTCATCAAGACGGTTCGCGAGGAGGCGGCCGCGGAGGAGGAGGCGCCCCCTGCCCCCGCCGCCGGGATCCTGGTGGGAGCGGGCAGCTCCTCCACCTCCGCCTCCGCACTGGGACACACCTTTGACGAGCCGGCGGCCAACAAGAGCGCCTCACCCAGTGCGCAGGCGGTGCATGGATACGAGGTGCGGGGGGGGTAGGGAGAGGGTGGGAAAAAAGAAATTCCAATGTGTGGTGTGATAATGATACAAGGGAGAGGGTGGGGGGGTGGGGGTGGGGGGTCGTGGTTGTTGCGAGGTTGAGATTCTTAGGTGGCGTGCCTGGTCTCAGGTGTCTTCAGGTAAACTTGCTGCCTCTTAGCAGCGTCAGCTTGCTGACCCTCCCTGTGTGTGCCTATAGGTCCTCCGCCCTCCGGTGTTGGAGCTCAGCGGCCTATCAACGCAACCTTGCTGACCCTCCCTTATTGTCCCCCCCCCCTTGCTGGCCCTCCCTTATTGCTCCCACCCACCCCTTGCTGCACTCACTGCATGAGTCGGGCTATGGGATTGGGACTCTAGTTGTTTGCATTTATAATATAATCCCCCCCTTGCTGAACCCCTCCTGCTCCGTCAGGTTCGTCTGGTCTTGGAGTTCTGCGACCGGGGCTGTCTGCGTGACGCGCTGGACGGCGACGCCTTCCTCACCTCCAGCGGCGTCAACTATCGGGGCGTGCTGGACACGGCAGCTGACATCGCCAAGGCCATGCTGCACCTGCACTGCGCGGATGTGCTGCATGGGGACCTGAAGGCGCGCAATGTGATGCTCAAGAGCAGCGGCACGGAGGGGCGGGGCGTGATTTGCAAGGTGGGGGGGGGTCTGGAAGAGGGGCTGGAGGGCACTCCCCGGGAGGCAGGGGGCGGGGGGCGTGTCCTCTGCATGGTGCTTTCAGGGGGATTCCGAGAGGGAGGTTGGGTCTTGGCATGGTCACCCCCTACCGGTACCTCACCTCCCGCGCCTCTGTTACCGGTACCCGCAGGTGGCTGACTTTGGTCTGGCGGTCAAGATGGACACCGTGGAGCAAACCCACATGTCGGGCATGTATCAGGTGGGGGGAGGGGGGAGGCAGGGGGGGGAAGACCATACCAAACCATAGGAGACCACAGGTTAGGGCAAAGCAATGGGGGGAGGGGGTTGGGGGGAGAGGGGGAATAAGGAGGGCAGAAGGGAAGGAGCCAGGTGATGGTTTGGCAGGGGGCGCAGGAGGGGCCACCTGGGCTCCTGGGGTGTCATAGACCATACCAAACCATGGAAAACCACAGGTGTTCCTTGTCTACCTTGACCGCTGCCGAATCGAACGACATGCGAACGACATGCAGAAGGCTTCCCTCACTGCGTCCCTCGCTCTTCCGCTCCCTCCCCCACCACTTCCACTCGGCTCCCGCAGGGCACCTTGACGCACATGGCGCCAGGTAACTGGGGTGTCTGGGACGCGGGTTTGGATTGGGCCCGAGAGGGCCCTGGGGAATGTTGTTGTGACCCATGGGTCAGGCTATGACGGGTAGGCTCTTGCCTGGGGGCGCATTCTTGTGCAGCTGGTTATTATCCTAATCCCTGCCATGTGCCGTGCTAAGCTTCCGCAGCCGAGCTCGTGTCTATCCGTCCCCGCCTGGCCTCCCTGCTCCTTTTGATTAGGCCTCCATCCCACGCCCTCCCGCACCCGTATGCGCGCCTCCTTCGCGTCCGCCCTCCGAACCTCCTCCCTCACCTCCTCTGCCCCGTATTCCAGTACTTCTCGCGGCTCAGTTTATCAGTTCCCTCTCTTTCCCTCTCCCCCATCCAGAGCTGCTGCTGCAGGGCCGCATGTCCAAGGCGGCTGACGTGTACGCCTTCGGAGTGACCCTTTGGGAGCTCTTCACAGGGGGCCATGCGTTCCAGGGTAGGTGAAGGGAGAGAGGAAGGGAGCGGTGCGGGGAGGGATGAGATGCAGCGTTGGGTTTCGGGGCGAGGGGCGGAGGGAAAGCGGCATTCGGCGATTGCGCTGCTGCTGCTGCCGTGTTGTAGCCGCCGCCGCTGCTGCTGCTGCTGCTGCCGCTGCTGTTTAAAGCTTTCAGGAACGACGCAGGTGATTGTAGGCACCATAATGACGTGTTCTATCCTTTCTTGTCACATCAACGCCCCTCCGCCCACCCTTATACCCGCTCCTCCCCCCCCAGGTGTTCCCCGAGCGCTGCTGGGCCATCAGATCACTCAAGAGCGGCGCCGACCCCCCTTCCCGCCCTTTGTGCCGGAGGCGTATGCGCGGCTGGCGGCGGAGTGCTGGGCACACCGGGCCGAGGACAGGTGCGTGCGTGGCTGCGTGTTTGGGGGCCAGAGAGGGGGGCGGAGAGGGGCAAACCGTTCTGAGGACAGGTCTTCTCGGCAAGAGGGTGTGCGCAGGGAGGAGGGGGAGGAGGCAGGAGGCGGAAGGGGAGGGACACAACTTCGTCTCCGTCTCCGTCTCCTGCTCTCTCATCCCTCCGCTCCTCTTCTTCCTCCTCCTCCGCCTTCTGCATGCCCTCATCTCACTCCTCCCCTCTCACGCCTCCTGCACGCCCCTCCCCGCGCCAGGCCCACCTTTGAGGTGATTCTGGAGCGGCTAGCGGCCATGAGGGACACGGTGCCGGGGGCGGCCTCGCCCCTGGCAACGTACAACATTGGCAGCCCGCCGGTGCAGGCCTCTGGGGCGGGGGCGGGCGCCGGGACGGCTGCAGGGGGTGCGGGGGCTCCCCCGGGGGGCGGTGCGTTGCCCAAGCTGAGCGATGGGCAGGTGGGTGGTGGGTGGTGGGCGTGTGGTGTGTTTAGTTGCTGAACTGTGGTGGTGTATTGTGGTGGTGCATTAGGAGCTGTTTGGTTAAGGCATGGGCCGTGCTGCGAATGGACTACATGGTAAGGATGCGGTCTGAGGGGGTAAAGAGGAAACAACTAACTGACCGTGTGATAAGGCATCGGTCTGAGGGGGGGGGGAGGAGAATGCGCGGGGCGTTGTGGTGTGAGTGATTGTTGTGGGGATTTTCTTCTCCTCGCGCCCGCATCCAGATTGCCTCAATTTCACACCACAATTACGATCGTCATAACGCGCCCCCTTCCGCCTCCGCCCCGCGCCTCCTGTCAGATTGCCAACGCCAACTGCAATCCGGTGTTCGACGCCTCCGGAACCGGCTCTGGTAGGTGTCAGCAGCCGCGGGTGGTGCTGGTGCTTGAAGGGGCGTGCAGCGGGCTTGCTAGGCGGGCCGGATCATTAAGCCCCCTATTGGGCCGTTCCATGGGTTCCATGAATCATCTTTGGTCGTGTTGTCGCCTCACGTCGCTATTCTTCACCTTCTCCTAACTCGTACCGCACCTCGCACCCCGACTGCTCCTTTCCCTCTCACTTCTGCCACTCACCTCTCTCCAACCCCTTGCCTCAACGCATTGCCCCCCTTCAACCCCCTTGTTTCGCGCCCTGCACTGCGCGCCCCTGCACTGCCGCGCCCCTGCACTGCCGCGCCCCTGCTGAAGGCACCCGCGGATTGCTGCTGGCGTCCACGGGGGTGGAAAGCAGCGGCGGCAGTGGCAGCAGCATCAACTGGTTGTTTGCACGCAACAGCCACCGCTCTCCGGTACGTGTGTGATTGTGTGTGTTCGGGGGGCTGCCTGGGGCTGCCGGGGACTGCTGGGGGCTGCTGGGGGGGCGCCAGTGGATTGGGAGCTCCTCCTCACCTGTAATGGGATTGCGGGCGAGCGTGGGTCGCCGGGCTGCCAGCGGCTTTTACGGAGGAGAGCCTCTTGCCAAGCCATGTCGTGCCAACTGCCAACTGTTAAAGAATGGCCCTGCTTGGGTTTTCTTGGTACGGTATTGCTCTGTTCCAGTGAAGGAGGCTGCGCGCGTTAGGGTTGGGTGAAGAGGAAGCAGCGAACTAACCGCATGATAAGGGGTGGGGAGTGCTGTTGGCCGCTTCTGCACGTGTCCCTGCCAACATGGCCCCCTACTGGACGCATGGGCGGCGGCGGCGCATCCTTTCTCCCTTCCATTCACGGCCCCGCACCCCTATAGCTGCCGTACCCCTGCCGTACCCCTGCCATACCTGCTACGGTTTACCCCACCCGCTGTGTTTGCTCTCCCGCTCACCGCTCCCGCAGCTGGCAGCGGTGCAGGAGGATGATCGGGAGCTGGACGTCTCCTCGCAGCCCCTGCCGCTGGTGCCTTGGAAGCAGCTGCTGCAGCAACACCACGGCCAACAGCAGCAACAACAGCAGCAGCAGCAGCAGGGGCAGCAAGGGGAACAGAAGGCTGGACCGGCGCAAGAGCAGCCGCAGCAGCAGCCACTGCAGCAGCAGCAGGCTGTTAACCCGCAGAATCCCGGTCAGGGTCAACAGGAGCTGCTGGGCTTGCAGGGCCTGAAGCCTGAGCAACCGGAGCAGCTGTTGGTGCCTCCTCAGGGTATGGTGCTGGGTGGAATTGACGCCACGGACGCCTCCATGCAGAGCTACGTAAGTCCTGTGCTGCAGCCTGCTACGGTGGCTGCTACGGCCGCAGCTCGGGCTGAGGCGCAGCTGGATGATGCGTGATTGGGGGGGTACTTGGGGTCACGTGCATGGCAAGGCCGTTTTAGGTTGTCGTGATTACGGTTGCTACAACGAGTAACGGTCGTCACGACTTGTAAGCAGTTTAGAGCAATCTGAGGCGGCGATGTCGAGAGTTTATTCTGATGGGAATTGTTAAATGGGGAATTGTTGAGTGGGCCATTACAAGGAGGTGCGACTCGCGCGTCACCGTACGGAAAGATTTCGTACGTTTGGCCTGTATGTTTGCCCCCTACCTTATTACCGTGGTGATCTCGCGTCACGGATTCTTGCGATTTGCTCAGCCTACAATTGGATGGAGTCGTGGATTAGGGTTGGCGTGGATTGCGCTGCCGATAAGCGATTTTGTGGCTTCCGACGGCTCGTCGTTATACTGAGTACTGCTACCCACCAATCGAGGCAGATGAAATTTTAGGCAAGGGTGGATGTCAAGAAGTTCACTGAAGGGGCCTTGGAAGGTCGCTGCCACAGCTTTCCATTCACGAAACGGGATGCAAAGGGCACCAATGCGTACTGGAGCGGGGAATACTGGAGCAAGACAAAAAAGATGACTTGGTTTTGTGAAAGTTAGGAAGGATTGAGAGACAGCAAGCCATGCAAGATGATGTGACTAGCCGGGGTGGTCTCTCTCTTAACCTTTCAGCGTTCTGGGGAAGGCAGGAAGCACTCTAATGAAGAGGAGTGAGGGCACTGCCGAGTTGCGTAGGGAGGTTGCGTGCCGTACACTTTACGTGCGATACGACGTGATTTTCATACACTGTGCTCGAGGCTTGCTGCTGCCGCATGCATACATGGAGACCGTTTGTGCTACACCGTTGAGGACTCTGGCATTCGCTGATAAGTGCAAGCAACGTGTAGAGTTGTCAAATTCCCCGTCCTCAGGAGAAGGGAAAGGCAACCGCTTGGTATCGATATGCCCGTTGTATATGTAGGTTTTCCGCGCGCGCTTACCGGTCTAATGGCAAGGACCTGCCAGAATAAGACGGGGTGCCTTAATGGGGGCTTGCGGGGTGCTACGAACGTTCAGGGGTACTTTGGTTTTGGGCTAGGTTGCGCGGCCGCACAAGGGGCCCCTGCATGGGTAGGGGGTGGTGCCTCCTACCCCGGTGCCGCTAGTGCAACCACTTGGAAGGGGGGTGGGGTTATCCTGCTCCTGCTGTTGCTTGTTTTTGCATTCGGCTTTTGGGAGGCTTACAATGCATATCGCCGCCTCTTTATACGGCGAATCAGACTGACCTTTTATCATCAGATTCAGATTCATCCTAACCGCTAACTGATCGTGGACGGTTGTGATCCTGGCTGATTGGCTTTCGGTTGGTCATTGATCAACAAGCTTCAGCACAGTTACTTTGGTACGGTGGGTGCGTCGAAATGGGTGGCGGCAGAATGCTGAACAGTGAATCCATGTTGTTGTACAGTGAATCTGGGCAGCAGCCTATACAGCGCGTTGTCGGCCAAGGCCAAGACTGTGCGATGCCATAGCGTATGACGGCGGTTTTACGGAGCTGGGTGGCACACACCAAACTTCTTGTACGGCAAGCACGCATGCAGCGCGCATGACAGTCGGCTGTGTTGGTTTGAGATATACTCAAATCACACCCCAACAGGTGGGACCACTTTTGATGTTCCGGAGCAACCGCGGCTTAACCTGCAAACCGTCAACAAGCCAACCTTCTCGTGTGGTGGTGGTCGCTGTCATTGTTGTGGTGGTCGCTGTCATGCCTTGCGTTGCGACGTACCGGTATGGGTTAGGTCTCTTCTGGCAGCCTCTGTGCGATTATGGATTTGCCTGGAAGGTCATGGGCGTTGATGTGTTAAAGTGTGGACACTGTTGGCCTTTGGGGAAGGTAAATCATTATTATGGTTGGGCGGTGGTGCTTGCTCAGGCCGGTTCAGAGAGCTGCTTGCTTTGGAAGTCGTTTGCGTACTGGTCGCGACTGCAGACAACACTGAGGGTGCAGAAGGTGCAGGGCAGACGATGGGGGCAGTAGCTTAACGGCTTTCCCAAAGTGCACGGTCTGATTCCTGTTGTACGGCCCGTGCTTGTTTGACGCGTTGCCGTACTATTGTAGCTCTTGGACATGTGTTTTTGGGCCGACGTGCCGACGTGGTTGTTTGTTGACTCGCTGGTATCGTTTGGTAATGGCTTACTGCGTGTCGTGTCGAGTGACATGGCATGCAGGTGGAATGGGGCTGGGCTGGGGGGCAACGCAATGTTTGGAAGGCAATGGCGACTTGAGGTGTGTTTCTCCGTTGCTCTAGCGGCGGAGGGGTTTTGGAGGCGGTTGGCGCGGCAGTCGTCGGGCTGCAGTTGACGGTGGCGGCCGCAAAGTGTTTGAGGTACCAAGTCTTGGCGGTTACGATCACGATGACAAATTACATGGCCCGGATATGTCTTTGGCGGCTCATGATGATGCTTACCGTATGCGATTGGGTGCGTTTCAAGTTCAAACTTGAACTTGAATCTTGAAAAGTTCTTGAATGAGCTGTCGGTTTTCCCCCCCCAAAAAGCTGCGAAAGTGTGTATGAAGGAAGCCATGGTTCAAAAGTTTTTGGTTTTGGGACGTTTACGTGCTGCTTTGTCGTGTGTGGGTTGTTGCAGTCGTCGACAGTCATACGTTGTTACGCCGGTGATCTTCATGCAACTGCGGCATATGGGGTTGTGTGTTTGTGTTTAGCTCTGCAATGCTGACCCACGGGTCTGGCCTTTCTAACGGCTACATCGCCGTCCACTGCTTTGTTAGTATTATAATGTGATATGTTGTAACTGGAGTTCCGTACCCGTAGCCGTACAGTTGCCAGGATTGGCGCTTTTCTGTGGGTTTTAACCTTGCTGTGCTGAGCATTTTGTCTCTGGCAAATGGGGCTGGTGTAGTGTAGTTGTTGACTGATGTCGGGTATTTAAGTACATCCCCTGTTTCAGCAATGATGACTAATTGTTGATGACTAAGCTACACTGGTAATGTAATACTGTATAGCCGTTCCCTAGCATAGCAGCCCTTATACCGGCTCTTATATACTGGAGATAGCTCTCTTGCCTTGGCGGCATTTCATGCATGCCCGTCGCAATGTTGCGGCGTCCGCACGTTTCCCCATACCCTGTGCTGCTGTGCATGCATGCAAAGGTTCACGCTCAGGCGGCTTAAACGCATTGGCGGCCAGCAGTTTTCTTACCACATCGGGGCATCTGCGCATAGAACAATGAACGGTTGCTGGGGCGACTAACAGCGTCACCCGAGTAGACCTGCTGCTGGCTACATGCATGAGACGTGTTCATAAAGCAGGGGTAGGTGCCGACGGGGTGGCACTGGGGGGTCAAAGACCATACCGAACCATAGGAAGCCACAGGTGGCAATGTCAGGGGCAGGGACGTTGTGCGCATTATAACGTGCGGGTGAGGTTGCTTGGGAGGGTTTGCAGGGAACGCTTGCATGCAGAAGGACATCCTCCTGTGGGCCCTGAGGTGGAAGCCAGCAGGTTTACACCTGATCAACTTCTTCTACGGTAATCCTGTGTGTCCTAATGCTTCTTACTCTACTGTCCAGCAGCAGTGCTGCCGTTACGTTTACAACCGCTGTTCGCATGCATGCAAGGCCCCTGCATGCAATGTGACCTTGGGACTTTCCGGAGTCATACATACATGCATGGAAGGTGAAGCCGGCAGCAGTTCCGCTGGGTGTGAGCAGAAGACGCGGTTTGGTATTATGCGCGGCTGAAGTGTGTTTGTGGTGTAACGGAAGGTGAGGGTCCTGGGAGGCTCTGGGGACAACTTGGAGCAGGGGCCACACACACTGTGAGCAAGCAATCCAAGCATGCGAGTAGTTGTGTGCAACCTCGCCTTATCAGCATACCGGTAGTTCACTTGTATGAACTTAGGATTTTAGAAACCCATCTACCTTGTTGCGAACGCAAGTTGCTTTTGGGGCGATTATTGGTTTTCTTAGCAAACCTGGCCAAGGCGCTCCAAGGTTTACTATGAATTTAATTTAGCTAATTAGTACTGCGACGCGTAACCAGCGTGAGGCGTGGCGTAACGCGTAAGGATGGACCTGGGCGGCGTAAGCTCTATACGAGCAAAAGAAGTTGGGGGCAGCGATGAGGTGAGCGAAGTGATGAGGTCAACAAACAATCCTTGCGATGTGCTTGCTACCTCAGCCGATTGAGTGACTAAAACGTTTCGTGGAAATGTAACTTAACTCCACATGCCGCCAAGGGTCGATTGACGAGTGTCGATCCGTCGCGAGCCCGTCGGGCTGTTCGCGATTACGAGAATACACGAAAGGCCAACTGTAACCGCCGCCCAAGGTTCTTCGCGGACCCTCGGGTCCGTCAATCAATATAAACCGGCCGCCACCACATAATTGTTCATAAACCAGAATTTGGTTTAGCTGAAAGACTTCACACCCTTGACAGCCACATAGCAGCTGTCACCTTTCCTACATTCCTGCAAGTTAGTGACATAGGCGTTCTGTTCCCTCCCAACTGAGCAGCGCTTCTCGCTTGAGCTTCAACAGCCATGGCGTCAACAAACCCTGTCTACCTGCTCGGTGCGTTCACGAAAAACGTCAAACATGTTGCCAACTTGGAACGTTTTTGTTTTTCCTTCATATCGACATTCGCTGAAGTAGGCGTAGGGTTTTCTGTAACGTTGCCGAAGTCCTGATCGAGCGCGCTCTTCCTTTGTTATCCTAACCGCTCGTCAAAATCCTTCTACCCCGCTTCCTTTGCTTAGATTTCTACTGCTACAAGCCTCCTGAGGAGCTTGTGGTTAGCATGGTGGATGTGGATGTTGCCTGGAACGAGCGGCGTAAGCAAGAAGGAAGCGTAAGTGCGCAGCAGCTGACGACTTTACAACTTTGCAACTTGGGCACGTGAAGGCCGTGCGAACCATGGGTCGGACTGCGCACAAGGATTTCAAAGCTCCCACACAGTTCCTGAGATTGCCTCTTTCCTTGGTTGTTGCCACAAACAGCTGCGCATAGCTCTATTCGCTATATATTTGTATCCTCGTTGCAGCCCTAGCGCAGCAGCTTCTTGTCCGGTGACGATGTTTCCGCTAATCCTGGCCTTCTCCTCCGGACTTTGCGATGATCGGCCTGTCTTGCTTGCCTGCTAGCGCTGACACCGCTATAACCGATGCTCAGCTTACTTTCTCATGCCCAAGCTTGCTGCAACTTGCCACACAGCACCCCCGCCGCCTCCCTCCTGCCTCCTGCCTCCTGCTTCCCTCCTGCCTCCCTCCTGCCTCCCTCCTTACAACTTCCAGATCTTCACCAAGGGCGCTAACATCAGCGAGGAGGACGCGGCCAAGGCCGACGCGGAGGCTCAGGACATCATCGACTTCCAGTACCGCGTGTGGCAGAAGGCGGGGTTGTCCGACAACGCCACCTACCTGCCCAAATCCATCCACCCCAAGTTCTGCGGCAACAACCCGCGCACCGACATGGATGCTGCGGCGGACGAGTGCCGCATGGCCATTTGCGGCGCCGTGGAGGGACTGCTGAAGAAGGTAGCTGGACCGGGGGGTTGCTTGGTGGATCATGTATAGCGTTGCGGCGGGATTGGGGTAGCGGTCGTTGACGGTGGGGACGGAGTAGATGTAACATCTTAACGCATCATGACCCTCAACCCCTTCCCTTATTACGTTCCCCTGCCTCCCCCTTGCCTAACCCTGCTCCTGCTCCTTCTCCTCACCCTCACCCTCCCATCCCCGCAGACCGGCCTGCGCACCACCGACATCGACATCCTGGTTACCACCTGCTCCATCTACTGCCCCACCCCCTCCATCTCCTCCATGGTGGTCAACGCATTCCACATGCGCAAGGACGTGCACTCCTACCACCTGGGCGGCATGGGCTGCGCGAACGGGGTGGTGGGATGCAACCTGGTGGCGGACCTGCTCAAGGTTGGTTGGATTGGTTGATTGGTTGGTTGGTTGTTGCGAAGGAGGCGCAGCGGACGCTGTGGAGGAGGAGACGTGCACGAGGCTTGAGAAGGGGCTCGTGGGGAGCTCTTGGGCTGGCAATAATGGAGGCAATAATCTGCTCGTGATGCTCAAGTCCCTGGCATTCGCCTGCATATTATCTATGCGTGTTTCCGTTCTCCTAACATCCGTCCTAACATCCGTGCTACTAACCACCCCTGCCCACGCACCCGTCCCCAGGCTCACCCCAACTCCGTCGCGCTGTTCGTGACCAACGAGACCACCACACCCGCCTTCTACAAGGGCCGCGACAAGCACCGGCTCGTCACCAACGTGCTGTTCCGAATGGGAGCCGCAGCCATGATCATGACCAACAAGCCGGCGCTGGCGCGCAAGGCCAAGTACAAGCTGCAGAACCGCGTGCGAGTGCACATGGCGGGATCTGACCCGGCGTACAAGTGAGTGTGTTAAGAAAACAGGCCGCGAGTAGGAACGAAAGAAGTGAGTAGGAAGTGAGTGTGTACATACAAGGGTTGGTACTTTTATGAAAGGTTGGAGCGACGGGGGGTGAGGCAAGTGAAACCTGGGATTCGGGTTAGCTGGGCTAGCTGGTTTCCTGATGAAGATAAGAGCCCTCCCTAGTGATTTGCTGGGTGTGCAAAACCGCCTGTTTTTCCGCCCTGTCGTACTGCGTCTGCCCGTACAGGTGCATCTGGTACGGCCCCGACGCCGAGGGCCTCAACGGCATCTACCTGGGGCTAGATGTGGTGAAGGAGGCGTCCAAGGGCCTCACGCTGGCCATGACCAAGGTAGGCGTGTGTGTTTTGGGGAGTGTGGCGGCGCAGGAATTGGATCGAGGAGACGAGAGGGGGCAGGGTTGGGGAGACGGGGAGGCGGCGCCGCGGAGAGACGTTCGGGCGCGGATTGTGTGGGCGATTGACAAACATAGTCCCCACGCCTGCTGCTGAACTGCACCCTCGAGGCCTTTCTTATTGGGCGAATACGATGGCTTGTGACCCTTGGGTCAGCGTAGCAGCCCATTTTCCGGCGCGCACAAACGCCAGCTGATGACGTCCACATCATCCAACGTTCCAACCCCCGCCCCGCCCCTCTCCCCCCCCCTTCATGCCAGGTGGGCCGCTACATTCTGAACTGGGACCAGGTGGCCGCGTGGGCCTGGAACTACATCCAGCGCCAGGTGCTTAAGAAGCCCAACGTGGAGCCCTACACGCCCTGCTTCGCGGACTGCATCCAGCACTTCCTCATTCACGCGGGTGAGAGCTGCAGTCGCTGCTGTTAAGACGTGTTGGGAGCTGAGCTGCTGTAGTGTCGTTGATTGGTTGCGGAGTGCTGCGTCCCATGGGTCGTCCCATACTGTTGCTTGCCCGCTGCTTCGATGTCTCACAGTCTTGCATTGTTGCTTGACGCTTGACTACTGAGCACACATGTAGCTCGCCTTGGCAAAACACGCACAACCCTAACACGCCACGCCACACCGCACGAAACCCATCGCTCACTTTCCTTTACCGACCCCCTCCCCCCCTTAGGCGGCGCCAAGGTGCTGGACGGCATCGGCAAGAACCTGAAGCTCACGGAGGCGCACCTGTGGCCCTCCCGCGCCGTGCTGCGCTACTTCGGCAACGTCTCCTCCTCCACCACCTGGTACACGCTGGCGTGCTGCGAGAGCCTGCGCGGCGTGCGCAAGGGCGACAAGGTGCTGCAGATCGGCGTGGGCTCCGGCATCAAGTGCGGAGTCAACGTGTGGAAGGTAAGTTGGAGTGGTTGTTGTGTGGTTCGCATGGAGTTGGTTGTGCTGTGTGGTGGCCGCTCGGGCCACCGGGGCAGCATCGTCTTTTGTTGAATTCTCGCGTCTTGCATGAATGATGCGCGCGTGCGTACGTTATTGCATCAATGCAGTGGCTAGCGACCCATGGGTCAGTGCAGGCGCGCTGCGTCTCACTACTATATCCTCCTCACACCCCTTTTACCCGCACTCCCCTGCCTGTTCCCACCTCCCCTTAGGCCCTGCGCGACATCGAGGACGTGCACGACGCCTGGCGCATGCGCGCGGAGGCGGGCGACCGCACCCGCCTCGCTGACGTACGGCACGGCGGGCGTTACATCGGCCTGCGGCTGCTGTCGCTCGCCATTCTGGCGCTGCTGGTGGCCGTACTGTACCGCATGTTCGTCGCGCAGGGCGGCGGCAGCAGCAGCATGACGTCGGGAGGCATGGTGCAGGGGGTGTTCGAGCGCCTGCACATCCCCAAGCTGGGCTTTGGAGGGTTCTAAGAGGGGCGCAGGGCTGTGTTGGCGATGTGACAGCAGGGTGGGATGGAACGTGAGAAGAAGGCGGAAGCGCTAGAGGCGGCAGCGTAAGACGGGGGCTGACAGAGGTGCGAGGGGTTGAGGCCGGTAGAGCGAACATGGGGTTATGTAGTCGGACTTGGCAGTTGTCAAGAGGGTGGTAGGATACGGGTTGGGATTGGGATTGGGATGGATGGGTTGTCACGGTTACACGGTTAGTGGGCGCGTTCTTTTATTGTGACTTAGTCGTGACTAGCTGGCTTTTGTCCTCCTAGCTGGCTTTTTGTGCGCATGGGCGGGGGAAAGGAGGGGAGCCCTCTACAAGAGTGGCTCGGCCTGTATACTACGGTTGGGATGTTGGAAAGAATGGGAGGATATTAAACAAGAGCATGGTTAACCAAGGAGACTTGAGACCTCGAGATAAGTAGCTGGGAGGTGTCAACATTAGAGTGTAGCCTGGAGTGTAGCATACGACTTCCGCTCTTGACTTGCGGTTGAACATGGCATCGCAGATTGATGGGTAGTTGGCATAGTTGGGATGTGTGGGTATTGTTGTTTGATCCTCGTGGCGAATGCGCCGGAACGGTGTGTTGAGAGCGTGCGCGCCTAACAGTGCGCTTTCTTCTCTTGGGGCCGTTGCATTGCAACTTTCAGCAGGAAGGTTCTCCGGGAGAGGGAAATGTGGTTCCAGGCGTAGGAGGAGATGTACTGCAATGCTATCACACGGTACTTGGTTGCTTGTCGCAGCACAATTGGAGACCACACAATACGAGGCACGCGCGGAGCGGCACCACGATGAATAAATAGTCCGCTATTTTTTGTAACATTCTTTGTACCGAGTAAAACTTGAATGTGCTGCCTGAGTGTCGGCATGACAAAACACGTGTGTGCACACGGCGGACGACCAGCATGCACGCATATCAGCCTGTTGCATGTTGCATCACAACCTCTTGCATGTTGCTCATTGCTTGCTGCCAGCTGCTTGCTGCCTAACACCACCTAAACACAGCTGACATAGTGACCATGACGTGCATGGCCTACGGTACATCTCGAAGGGTAATGCAAGCGCACGTACCAGCAGGTGACGTGCTCCATTGTACTTGGCTGCAATCCTAGGTAGTATTGGAAATCAAGGGTAGGGTACAACAACAGAGAACTAACAAGAGCTAGGTACAAAAGAGGTCGGTTACAAGAGAGGGAAGAGTGCCAAACAGCCTGCGGAGAAGGCTGGCAGAAATCGGCTCAATCAAGTGGCGAGTAAGCCCCCTTCCATGGCACGCCCAATCAGGACGTGAATCCAGATCTTGTCCTATCGCCAAAGGGCAGTCAATCCTGTGAATAGGCACTATAGCCAAGATCCTGCATCCCATTAAGGTACACATGCTATGGTACAACAATACTCTTGCAGGTGACAAAATGCAATCCGAAGGTGAGGAAGAGTTCAAAGCAAGATAGGAAAGAATGCTAGATTCTGCATGATCCGTGAACACCTGAAGCCTAGGGCAGAGATACGGCAATACGTCCCGTGCTAGGTAAGGCGGCTACCTTCTAAGTATCTCTCGACGTCACGAGCACACGGGCACGTACAGAAGTACGAGCCTGATATTAACTCCTGCTACCGCTCTAAGGGGACATAAAGCATACGGATCTCTGAAACGATCACCACTAGTAATACAACCATGACACAAGGATAACATGGCGGTACGAACATACCCACCGCTCTACAAACTAAAGAGGTAGGACCAAGCTGCCCCCTGGGACTTACAATACATTCATCCTGACCGTTAAATATACTGCGTCTACTGCATGATGACCGTATGCAGAAGCTCTCTGTACATACTTGCAGCAGCTCGTGGGACGAGTACGGCGGGCGTCCGTACTCCATATGGGGGTAAGATGCAGGCACACATGCAAATGAGACTCCCCCGGCGGAGAGGGCCCCGTGCCAACACCCATGCTTCAGTCCCGAGGGTACGTAGGCCCCATCCATGCCGCCATGCCACCCATGCAAGCCCCCAGCAGCCCAGCAGCTGCTTCCTGCCAGCTATCCGCGTCACAAACATACTTTCACCTCGCACGCGCCTTGACTGTGATCGCGAGCCACACAATCCACGGGCAGTTTACTTGGCGGCGGCTTTCCGTTCGCAAGCAGTGCCTTCCTCTCGGCTGTGCATATCACCACCGTAATCATGGACCAAGCAAGAGATCACCAAGCGAGTGATCATCACTTATCGGGCCGCTCCGCCCTCACCAGTCCACGCATGAGGTTACAGCTGCTCCCTTCGCAAACCAGACGACACCCATCTCATCACATGAGGAACTCCTTTGCAAGCACTAGGAAGTTCTCCGCGGTGGCGTTGGGCACGCCGCGGTGCATGTGCCCCAACGATGCAATCAGCACACGCAGCTGAGGCTGCTGCAGGGACGCCAGGCGCGGCCGGGCGGCTTCCACCAGTGCATCCATCCACCTGGCGGGGCCAGCCGGGGACCCGAACCGGAATGTATGCATCGTGTACCGGTAATGGGTACCGTTGACAAGTGTAGGGAGGCAGGGAATGTACATGAAATGTGGTGAAACCTAGTAAAGGAGCAGACAGTAGCCACACCCTGAAGCATTCCATTACCGCTTACCTGTAATCCGGCGTCACGACGGAGCAGCTGACCACAGCCCAAGCCGCGTTTACCAGCTCCTGCGCAGTCATTCGGTAAACCGGTCGAAAACGTGGGATACAAGGGCAATACACGTCGGAAAGAGCCACGTGCACCAGCAAAGGAGCGCGGAGGAGGAAGGAGTCAATCCCGACGTGGAAAGGGCCCGATGTGCTATCCAATGGGCCCAATACAAGACGCTCCTCATGTGCCCTCACGCCCAACCCAGTTCTCAAACCCAAGAGCCCCATGCCGTACGCCCACACCTGTGTATCCAGCAGCGCCATCCCCGGTCTGGACACGTCGAAGAAGCGCAGCATGAAGGCCGCCGAGGGGCGCTGGTTGAGGTTGTTCAGCAGCATCAGCACACGTGCCAGCTCGGCAGGCGCCAGTCGCGGCAGCTGCGCCTCCACCGCGGCGGTGTAGGAGGCGAGCCAGGACTGGCTGGGGCGGTGACGGAACAGGTGAAGGCAGCTGAGCACCTGCGTTGGGAAGAAGGAGGTTTGGGAAGGGGAGTGGTAAGGGCGGCAAGGCGGGGCAGGGCAGGGGCAGAGACAGGGGCACATTGCCCTCACCTGCAGCAGCTGGGAGGGCTGGAAGCAGACCAGTCGCGGCTGCGTTGCGGCGCAGAAGGCATCCAGCCACTGCGCGGCGGGCGACACCTGCAGCGCGTGCAGCATCACCAGCAGCGTCGACAGCTCCACGGCGGACAGCGAGGAGAAGCGAGACTCCAGCGACTCCAGGAAGCTCTCCCACCTGCCGCCCAGGAGGAGCAGGGGAATGGGCGGAGAGAAGCTTTTGCGCGAGGGAGGGCATGCGAGAGCGAGGAAACGTGGGGACTACGTGGTTCTGGCCACATCTTAGGCATAACGCGCAACCCGTGTTCCATCCTTTCCTCTCTCCAAGCCGGCCCTCTTCCCTCCTCCTCGTCTTCCCTGAAACGCCTCACCAGTCGTCGCTGGGGCGGTGCTTCCGCGCCACCAAGTAAGCCAGCACCACTGACATGTCCAGCGTGCTCAGCAGGCTCAGCTTGCAGCGTACGGCATCCATCAGCTCGTCCAACCACTCGGAAGGCGGATCCATGTCCAGCGCTGCCAGGCTGTACACCAGGCTGTTGAGCGCCGCGGCGGTAAAGGTGGGAGCCAGCAGGGCGGAGTACTGGGGCTGGTTGTTGGTTTCGGTTGTGGTTCCGGAGCGGCTTACTGGTAAGCTTCCGTGGGCTGCGGAGCTGGAGCTGAACGCGGTTGTGCTGGTAGCAGCGGCGGTGGTGGCTTCGGTGCTGGAGGAACCATCCACCGCGGATGCTTCTGCTGATGCAGCAGCAGCTACAGAACCCGCGGTGGTATTGGTGTTGTTGTTGTTGCTATTGTTGTTGGTGGTGGTGATGGTGGCAGGAGATGTGGTAGAGGCAGTTCGCATGTCAACATGGGTGCTGCTGCTTGGAGCAGCGCCGCCAGCGGCTAGGGATGCAGAAGGGGCGGATGCAGAGAGGTGGTCAAGTTGTTGCTGCCAGGCCGCTGCTGCCTGACGGTCTTCTGAGAGGTCTACCGCCGCGGTTCCAGGTTCAGTGGTTGCACAAGTTGCGACGGTGGCGGTGGCGGCAGCGTTAGAGGCGACGGGACCGACGGTGGTTGTCCATCGCAGCTTCGCTGCTTCGGGCTTAAACAGGCGCCTCCTTATGGCTCCAAAAAAGGCGGCTTGCCAAAGCTGACATGGCTTATGGTGTAGCGTCGACATGGCCTGCGTGCACCATTCAAAGAGGGAGAAAACGTTACCGGTACGAGTAAAGACCAGCGGTTGGGATCCTGGGAACGTAGACTGGTTATGCATAGACGTGAGGCAGGATTAGGATTAGGCTATGAGCACCCATCTTGACCCGATGGCCCTATCCCTCCTAACACCTACTGCCATGCCACCCCAATTACTCTAACCTCGTCCATCCGGGTCGCAAGCCCCCCGGGCAGCACTCCGGCGCTCACCTTGAGCACCATCACCAGCACATCCGGCTCCATGGTTCCCAGCTCCCGTACTGTTTCGTTCTCCCAGCTCTGGAACCACCACTTCGGCGCCTCCGATGCCACGCACGACACCGCCCACAACACGTTCGCCAGCTCAGTGCCTTCCAGCTCCCTCCAGATGGGCGTAGTGAAGAACTCCTGGACCCAAACATCCGGCACATGCATGCCCAGGCTGACGGAGCTGGTCAGCAAGGTGTACAGCGCTCGCGGTTGCATGTCGTGCATTTTCGCCCGGCTAGCGGCGAAGAACGCGGGCTGCCAGGCCAGGTTGGGTTTGTAGGGGACCTGCGCAAGGGACTGTACGACGGTGACGATGTCTGCGGTTGCAAGTTCGGGCAGCAGCGGTTGCGAGGCGGCTAGCAGGGCGTCCAGAGTGGCGGTTGGCGGGGGTAGGCCGGAGGCAGCGAGGGTGGAGAAGACGGGGGCCACCTCGAGGGCAGAAAGCCGGGTGCGGTTGAGAACCATCCTGTGGATTGTCGGATGCGATGTTTGAACAGCAGCCAACACGGCAGAGGCACCGGTATGCACTGCTAAACGCAACAGCAAATCGTTGCATGGTTAAGGAAGGGGAGGGTGAACGTGGAGGGCAGGTCAAGGCAGCGGAGTAGGTACATGTACAAAGGGAGGCCATAAGCACATAACCCACCGTTCAGCTACAAGCTGCCGCAGATCGCCCAGCCCAACTGTTGCAGCCGTTGCTCCAGCAACAGCAGCGCATTGCACGTTCTCATGCTGCCCCGGTTGCTGCTGTTGCTGCTCCTCTTCCTGCTGCCACTCTTGCTGCTGTTGCTGCGGCTGCTGGAATACGCAATCGGCCACGCCCATGGAGCGCGCAACGGCCAGCGCCCGCCATGCGTCACTCAGCTCTCTCACGCTCAACCCAGGCAGCCGCTCCGTTACCGCCGTGACCATTGCACTGCGCCATTCTACATATGGCAGGGGCATATCGGTGTCTGCAGGCAAATGATCCTCATCCGAGGAGGACCCGTACGACATGACAGAGGCAAAGTTGTAGTGCCTGGGTGCGACGGCTGTAGCTGTCATGACAGCAGGTTTGGATGCGGAAGAGGACTCTGGAGCAGGTGCTTCAGCTTGTGGAGCAACGGTCCCGCCTGTGGCGGTTACCGTAGCTGGTGCGGAGGAAGCAGCAGCTACAGCGTCGGCTGCTGCCAGGATCGCCAGAAGGTTCGCGACACTCATGCCATCCTGGTACTCCGAAACCACGGCACGGTAGTCGTCCATCCAGCTCTCCAGCCAGTGTTGCTGCTCCTCGGACTCTGCCCTCCCTCCATTGCCGCTGCCCTGTGAACCTGCTGCCGCCACAACCTCACGCTCCAGGCCAGGGGGTGCTGAGGAAGCCTGGAGCAAGTGCCCATGCGGTTGGGGCCGCGGCTGGGGCAGCCATGGGCCCGGGGCCAGAGCCGCAGCCGGATTCCCGGGCGGAGCCGGGACGGCTGCCTGAAGCGGCATCGCCAGCAGCAGGTCCGCCAGCCGCACCAGGTGCTGCACCTGCAGCAGCGGCAGGCTGGGCTGCAGGCTGAGCAGCTGCCGCCGCACCCACTGCGGCGGGGGTCGGAGGCCCAGCATGAAGATGGAGTCCAGGCAGGCTGTTCAGGAAGGGATGGGAAAGCCCAGGGAGAGGAGCCAAGGAGAGGAGGTAAAGCACGGCGTTGGTGCCGGGGTGGAGGGAGCAAAGGAAGGTTTGCGTTCCGTGTGTCAGCCGCTCCCAAGCCCTGCAGCCTTGTCCCTGTGTCGTGCCCAACAGCAGGCGTCTACGCCTGCTCTGCATGCATGCCGTGCACAGGACGCGCTTTGCCTCTCGCGCAGTTAGAACCAGTCTAGGGCGCTGCTCGCACCCTCCATCCTCCATTCTAAAGCGCCCACCCACCCACCCACCTACGAGGGTGTGCCCCTGCAGCGCCCAGTTGATGCCGTCCATGCGCGCGTACAGCGCCGCCTGCCAGCCGGGAGATAGCTGCACCGAAAGACGCGGCCCGTAATCCCAGCCGCAGTAGTAATCGTACATTGAGTTATAAGCGTTCCACTTCTCCGGAGCGCCATCGCTATAGTTGCTGCTGCTAGCCGTGACCACCGCGGCAAGCAGAGTGCTAAGGTCGCCGCCTGATAGGTCAGCTAGGCGTGGAACCATGGCCTGGAGAGGCAAGGAAACAGGGGGTCGCACACCGCGACCTTGTGAATGACCTTGTGAGTGGGGAGTTAGGAGTTAAAGTGTGGGGAGCGGGCGGCGGTGGAGGGGCGCAGAAACTGACCCACGGCGGAAGGAATCATCGGCAATCATCACCCCTAATCCGTAGTACGCCACGCCGCCACGCCCTCCCTACCTCCAAGAAGCCATTGAACCACTGTCCCTCCAGGGGCGCCCTGGCGGTCACCAGGTGATGCAGCATCGATACCAGCTCTCCGCTGCTGCGACTGCGCGACCACGCAGCAGACGCTGAAGCCGAGGCGCGACGCATGAGCCGCCACAGCACCATCCCCGGTCCCAGCAAACGCTCGGTAGTACCACCGCCGCCATCGATGGTATTGCTGCACTTCGCGGCAGCTGCGTTTCCGAGGTCTTGCTGGTTCTCGGGGGCGCATGTGCCAAAGGAGGAGGTTGCTGGCGGCTCCGTCGCCGCCGTAGACGCCCCAGCCAATGACGCCTGAGCCCGCTCCAGTGCTACGGAGCATAGCTCTTTGCGCCAACACTGTGGAGCAGCAATCTTGAGGGAGTTCAGGGCGACGGAGAGCATTTCAAGGTCGGTTGTCGTACAGTCCTTTAGCTTGCGCTGAGAAGCGCTGAAGTACGACTCGAGCCATTCGCCGTTAGGCCGTCTACGCAGCAATCCCAACGTCATCAGCACAGTGACCAGCTGGCCAGCTTCCCAGCCCGACCAGTTCTCGGCCGTGCCGTCGAAGAGGATTTGCGCGATGGAAGACCCCATGCCGTCCAGGGTTGTTTGCAGGCGGCGCATCAACGCCTGTGCGGCGCTGCTGAGCACATCCTGACTGGCACCCGTTTCTGCGCCTGGGTTTGGGGTTGGAACATGCCCTTCTTGGACGAAGCCGGAATTGTTATTCCCAGGGGCCCGCTGCGTTGCTGCAGAGAATGGGCTGGTTGTTGCAGCATTGGATATTGACGGCGCCTGGTCTACCACGCCCGTAAAAGGCTGACCGTGGGCATGAGCGGCTTCAGCCTGCAAGGGCCACAGGCCCAGAGCCGGAGTGAGGCTGATGATTGTAATCAGGATGTTGTAAGTCATTGCCCGTTGGATTTATATAACTATAGTGATGATCTGAGGAAGCAAGGAAAGAGGCAAACTGGTCCATGCAACAGTTGCAACACTTGAAGGCGACCGGGCAGAGCTTCATCGCAGATTCACAGGATATGCAAGATGTGTTTCTCACCTTCAACTCCGGGCGGATGTACGCGGTTGACGATCGCCACGGCGAGCCCTGAAAGGTGCAAGCAGCGATGCAAGCAACGGTTAGAGCCCCGTATAACCCTTCTACATACTTTGCACCAAAAACAGACCTCTGAACGCCCACTTGTGAGACACGGCCGTGCTTGGGGCGAAACGCAAGCAAGCGGTGGACTGAGCAGTGGAACCCTGCAATGCGGAAACGTTACCGAAGGACATATCGCTGAAAGCAGAAGTCAGACAGACTGACAGAAGGATTTCCATTACAGGAGTTGCTCCACGCACCTCTTTGGCGAGCTGAAGACTCCTGCTTGCATGGTTGCGTCCGCGGGTAGCACCTAGGCCCTAGTTACCATACGCAAAGGACTCAAACGTAAAGCTCTTGATACGTACTGCTACGTAATAACAGTCCTTATTTACAATCATTAGCAGACGTTTCCATACAGGACAGACATGACCTCAATCATGATCACGGAGTATCCCTGCTGAAATAAGTATAAGGGTCGTAACAGATATACTTACGAAGCTGTAGGCTGGGGAGGCATAGAGCACATAAAAAGCGGACGACGCTTCCTTTTCTGTACGTCTGATCCATGCGGAGCGTGCGTTGGCTACTTTGGTAGCATAAGCACGACTGCTGCTAGTGTCTAAAACAAAAAGTCCCTGTAGATGTGCTATTACTAATCAAACCTGGCCTTGCGGTCCGTGACGGCTTCGTTCTTACTAAGCACATGCCTCGGCTGCCTCGGACTTTCTCATAGCGCGCGTCGTGCTTGAACCAAGCTTGTTTGTGCTATCAACGTGCAGGAGTGATTGTTACACACTGACGACAAAGCCTAGAACTGCCCCCTTTCTGCCTGGTAACAACCAGTTAGGGGGGAAGGGTTGCGCATTTTCCAGCTGGAACCAAGACCTCGCGTTAAGCCGTTACTGCCGTGCATGCTTCCAACGCATCGCTTAAAGCAATTGTAACAGGGCAGTCACGACTTGTTGTACTGCTGGCAATCCTGGCATGCAGGGCTGCTGCTGGTAATGGGCGCCCATCGTGTTCGTGCTGCAGAAAGCTGCACGGTACGGATCGCCGTACCGTGCAATCTGGTATTACGTAGAGAACAGTTGCGCAGGCAGCTTTAAGGATGTTAGTATTTCATTACAAGGCACATGCAGCCAAGATTCACATTTGCCGTAACGGCAGTACACACCCATATCCCCTCCTCACTAGCTGGGCTGCACGCACTGAGAAACGAATGCTTCACCCAACCCATCCCAAGGCAGTGTTAACTCATCTTCTACGGCGTGAAGGGAAAATCTATTGTGATCTTTCAGCCTCGATGCACGGAGCCATAGAGACCATCAAACGTCCAAGTATGATACAGCAAATGCTTGAAATTGGCTTCGAAGTAAACGCTCAAAACGCTCGAAGTCGTGCTTCGGCTCACACAGTACGGGTACTGCCGCGTTCTTCAAAGACCACGTAGACTTCACGGGCTCTCTCTTAGCACTAGGATAACAGCGCTGTAGGATAACAGGATACATCACACAGAGCACGCAAGATGCAGATACGTGTTTTCTTCTCTCAATCTAATCAAGGGTCAAGATACGGTAGATCAACAACAACAACACAATGCGATGCAAGGGAGCACAGAAAGTTATGGCACTGGAGGCATCATGGTTGCTTCAAGCCAGGCAAATTGCAGCCTCTGATACCGTAATATATGCCTCTAGGCTCTTTGCTACCTCTAGGAGGGATAGGTTCAAACGGGAAGTTACCCCAATTCGGAATCCGACGACGCAAGCATCCCAAGCATCTCCACTTTGCACTGCCCGCGGCTCAGGCCTGGTTGGCAACACGCCCTCCACCACGACCCGTGGGTCACCCAGCGGGCTCAGCATACCCAACGGAGGCGGCAACAGCGACTTCGCCGCTCCCGTTGCTGCCGCTCCTTTTCCGCCACCACTCGTAATCACTTTCCCGCCATTGCCTTCGTTCGTGCTAACCCCGCTACCCCCCACAAACTCCAGAGTTCCCTCTTCCATGCTGACGACACCAGAAAGCACAGGTGCGCGACAAACACCCTTGCTTGCTTAGGCGCCAGATAGAGGCATGCGGAAAGTAGCCATGCCATTTGCCGATTCATTCGGATTTGCGCTACCAACTCTAACCCAACGAAGCCTGGGTTTTGAATCCTAGGCCAATCGCGTTCATCATGATGCTGCCCATGGCTCGGCCACAAGCACGCACTCCATAGCAAAACAGCCTGATGCTACCCCGCCCTACCATAAAGCCCACTACCTAACTGTGATCCGCTGCCTGCGACCAACCGCACCCCTTCCCCCGCCCGAGCTACCATGGGGGATGCATTAGCCTGCAGCCGCGCCCCATACCAGAATCATTTAGCCGTCAACGACAACAGCCCTGCTGGCGCTTTGCGCGTCACATGACCTGCGCGGCTTCTCTGTCGAAACGAACAGCGGCTCCTTGAGCATCTCTGCGAGCTCCACCAGGCACGCCAGGACCTCCTCTGCAGAGTCCCGCTGGCGAGGAGCCAGGTGCTCCTTGATGGCATCCTGGAGCTGCTCCTTGGACACAGGGGGCTCCGGCACGGGGTGCGCCACCGGCATGGCCATGCTGCATAGGGTGCCTACCCCTGCCGCCAGGTTATCGTACTTCGTGATCATCTTCTCGTAAATGACGTTGCCGTCCTGCTTGGCCCACTTTTCCACCTCCGCCAAGGTCACATGGCGAGCACCGTACGGTGACAGCTTGCGGTCCACCACGCGGGTGAGTTTGTTCACTGCCTGGGTAGCCATCTGCCGCAACAGCAGCACGTCGGCGTCGCCTTCAAGCTGCGACACCCTGCCCTTCAGCTGGGAGACATCCCGCTGAAGCACTGCAACCTGCCGCTGCTGGTCTGCAATCTGCCGCTGCTGGTCACGTCCTTGGCAGGCAAGCCCAGCAATTGCCGATGCTGAGCTCGCTAGGGTGCTCACTCTGCCACCTCGTCCATCCGGTACAGGAAGGGCAAAAGAAACAACCGCGTTCAAGTCGCGAGAATCAGGGTCCTGATCAAGCACCTGCAAATGTGGGGAAACATGTAGTGGACAGGGGTACGATGGTGACCCCCCCCCCAGCGGCAAGGGCAGGCGCGCTGAGCGGCATCATAACGCCGTCGCCAACAGCAGTCAGTCTTCCATTAAACGAGGACGGCGCCTGAACTGAGTGCTCGGTTCGATACACCTCTCCGGAAGCGAGCACGTGCATCATGCCAGGTTGCGCGCGGAACCATGGTGCAGAGCAAACAGAGTACAGGGGTCTTGCCTGCTGAGTAAATACGCTGTCCAGGTTATAGACATTTTCCTTGCTGTCAGTGAATGGGGAAGCCATATGAGCTTTGCTGGATGGGGAGGGCTGACGACGCGGTCGCAAGCGCGCAACAATAGTGGTTTGTGCCGAAATGACACCAATCACTTCCAATAATTATTGGGCAGCTAGTAAGGCTTTTAAAAGCAAAGAAAGCTGAAGAAAGAGGGAATTCTTATGGCTGGTGCCGTACGCCTACGTCGGGGGCGCCGGGCGGTAACGGTGGTCAACTGGTCATCCTTGGTCAACTCTTTCACCACGCACCGCAAGCCCTGTATTCTTTGCACTCATTGCATAGACATGAATTCAATATAACTGTAGATATGGTTACATAGCTGTGTTACGTACAGAGCACTTGCGCAGGCAGCTTAAAGGAAATTAGAAATCCGTTACAAGGGACAATCGGACGATGCAGCCGAGGTTTACACTTGCCGTTACGGCAGTACACACCCTCCCCAGGCATATCCCCTCCTCACGAATGCTTTACCCAACTTTCCCAACCCATCCCAAGGCAGTGCTAACTCATCTTCAACGGCGTGAAGGGAAACTCTGATGTGGTCTTTCCGCCTCAATCCACAGAGCTATGGAGATCATCAGGGTTGACATTATGATACAGCAAATGCTTGAAATTGGCTTCGAAGTAAACGCTTCAGAACTAAGCAACGCCATGCCTCGACTCGCGCAGTACGATACTCCCGCGTTTTTCAGAAACCATGTAGACTTCACGAGCTCTCTCTTAGCACGAGGGTAACAGTGCTGTAGAGCGGCATTGCGTGACACCGCAACAGCATACATCACACAGTGCACGCAAGATGCAGACATGTGTTTTCTTCTCTCAATGTCTCAATCAGGCGGCAAGGTAGATCAACAACACAATGCGATGCAAGGGAGCACAGGATGCCGGCACGCATTAAAAACCAATAAGAAGACGCCCTTCCCTCTCCAAACGTTCGCATAACTTACTAGGTCGTTTGGTTAATCCCAACCCAAGCTCTTGCTCTTATGGATACATAGCTACATACACACACACACACCGCTTCGGAACCCCTTCCTGTGATTTTGGTCAGCGCCTTAAGCCGTGGCGCCCTCCCTAGGCCCGCATGCCGCAGCCACACAACCCAGCAGCATGTATGTCACACCCCTCATCACACACCAGGCCCAGCCAGCCAGCACCTGCTAGCAGCAGCCAGGCTCCCTCGCTCCTATCCCTGTTCCGCTCTGCTTCTTCCTGCCGCTCCCTCACACTCCAAGGGTAGTCACTATCGTTCAAGGCACGGGCTATCTTCTTCCTTTCCCTTGCTCACTCCCTGATTTACTCCCTCCGTACCTCCGCTTACCCCTCTTTCGCTCCCTCTCTGATTCCGCTTACCCCTCCCCCCTCGATCGTCAGGTTCCTCTTTTCACCCCCCTCCCCTCACTCACTCCTCCGTGACTCCGCGTACGCCGCAATGGGCACCAGCGCCCCCTCCCGCGGCACCCTCTCCCAGCCCCCCCGGGAGCGCTGCTGGGCCAGGAAGTCCCACCGAGTGCGCGAGGAGCGCTTGCGGCGACCCACCTGATGGGGGGGTGATGGGGTGCGGTGGGGGCCAGGGGGCATGATGGGGGAGCATGAATGGTGGGGAATTGGCAAGGGTTTTGCCAAAGCACTGGTAGTAGAGTAGCACCATGGGGAGCTAAAAACATGCAGGTATCCCGTAGGGATGGGACGGATGACTACTAGGGATTGCGAGCGAGGGGACAGACAGCGGCCGGCGGGTTTCTTGGAACTATCCTACTGGGGTCTTTACATGCAGGAGGCTAACGGCTAACGGCTAACGAACGGTGGGCTACTCCGCACATCGCGCATGCTCCAGTCGTCGCAGCAGCAGCTGCACCCACACCACCACCCACACACCACCCCTCATTGGGATTCGTTGTTTCACTTATTTATTTTTTTTACCCCCACCTGCTTGAGCTCCTCCGTCTCCTGCCCGGTGGCCACCATCTGGTTCACGCCCGACAGCGCGGCCTCAAAGGCGCTCGCGAAGCGCGCGAAGAAGCCCAGGTGCTGCTGGGCCAGCGCGGCAGCGGCACGCCTGCGGAACCGCAGCACAGCCGGCAACAACCCAAAGCATGAAGCGTTTTGTGAAGTGCAAGCCAAGCCAAGCCAAGCCATGCATTGCAGATGCGGCAAGACATACGCGAAAGCCACTGGGACATGCTGGTAGCGTACCCGGCAAAAGCCGTTAGCGCCACACCGGTATGCACATCAAGCACCTAGCTTCGCCAACCCCATGCACGGCAATGACATGCACGACAAGTTCACCGACCCCACACCTCGCCCCCGCCCTCGCCCCCGCACCTGCGCGCTGCCTCCTGCTGCGGGCTGTAGTACTTGTTCGCAGCCGCCGCCCGCGCGCGTGCCTCCTCCTTGCGTCGTCGCTCCTTGAGGAATGACGCGGTAGCCTCAAACACATCCGCCTGCGCGCCCTGACCCGCCATCATGACCCCCACGTTGACCCGCTGGGTCATGCGGTGCTGCATGACGTACTCCAGCGCCGGCAGCTGGGCCTTATCCACCCAGTGGATGCAGCTGACGGGGCAGGAATCTGTAGCGAAAGTAACGAGCGGGAAGGTTGCGGACAGGTAGGGGCCGGGTACGCCGTGGGAAGGACTCGTGCATGCGTCGCGTGGCGAGTCGGTCGGGAACTCAAGAGGGATGTGCGAGATACGGGGCGTTGAAAGCTTACCAATCGCCGCCTGCAAGCTCTCCTCGCTGTCCAGCCACTGCGCGAAGACCCGTGAGCGACCGTGCTCCGGCTCGATACGGAAGGTGGCGGGGGCAGACCACACGCACTGCTTGCAACCGATACAGGTGAACTCGTCCTGAGGGATAACCACAGTTGGGTTTGTTGGGATATGCCATACAAACCCGTAAGCTTGCGCATATTGTTTCCCTCCAGCAGCAAGCCCTTTGCCGAGTATACAGATATGGAACCATGGTATGTGACGGACCGACCCATGGGTCACTGAGGGCCGGCACCGGCATGTATTGCCTCTTGCCGGTCGGAAGCTCATCGGCACGCGACAGCTGCATAACAGCTTTCTATTCCCCACGCACCACGAATACCGCCCGCCGCTCCGCAGGGTCTGTGTTCTTTGCCTGCGATAACAACAATGCGGCACCATGTGGCTTTAAACATATTTTTTGGAATGGTGGATAGGCATTAAAAGGGGCACCGCATTTACATGAAGGATTTGGTCAGGCACTAGTGTAAAAACTCACCATGCAGGGCTGAATCGTCGGCATCCACTTGCTTAGGGGATCACCTGTGAGGGCAGCAAAAGTTACGCAATGGTTCAGAAGCCGTCATTGCAGGCACACCTGAGAAGAGCTAGAGAAGCCACGTACCCGTGTAGTTGTCGTCCTCATCGACTAGTGCTTGCTCAAGCCTCAAGTTGTACCGTTGTCGTGAATCTGGGTCTGAAAGGATCTGGTATGCCTGCACATTGACGCACTTTCACGTGAAACCCTACTTGCCAACGTCAAGCCAAGAGTCAGGCCGTGCACATAATGCACATCTTTAGCCAGGTTGAGCTGTAGTACTGGGCCCACCTCGTTTAAGAGTATGCATATCTCATGACCCTTCTCTCCAAGGTAATCGGGGTGGCATTCCTTTGCTAGAGAGCGATACGCGCGCTTAACCTCATCAGCAGGTGCATCGTCGTCCACCCTGTCAGTTACAAGGTGGCATGTGCAAGCGCAGGTCAGGGAACGACAGCAATACGTTACAGTCATGGCTCTGTCGACCTAACCGAAACAGATAGGCGACGCTTACCCAAGGACCTCGTAGTAGTCCACCATGCCATTTTGAAGGATATATTGGTTGGTGTCTGTCGCGCCAGCGCGAACCACAAGCCGTTGCCTTAATGCTCCATTCGCGCCACACCCTACACCAACGCCCGGAAGCTTGGCCTTAATTTATAGGCACGCTACATGTGAAACAACAAAATGGCGTAACAAGCGACATACTTGTAACGCGTCGCGGAACCGAACGGCAGCGGCAGCAGTTCGCGAGGTTTGAGTTCAAGCGCGTGAAAGACCAGGCCATAGCTATTCGGTTCAACGCTTACGTTACAGTGTGCAAAGGCGGGAAAGTACAGTGTGTAGAGACGCTTCTGCGTTAGTATGAGCGAGCGACTCGCTGCCGTACTGCCTTTAGTTGTAGATTTCGTCATTACAGATCATCTATTCTTCCACGTACTATCGTAACCTATTTCTGTGTCATACGGGTCCAATAGCATTTTGCGCCTACGTGTTTTTGCAATTCACCAGCTGTATAGCTCCTATAGCAACATGTCAACGCAAGCCCAACCACAGGAAGTAATGGAAATGTTGAATACCCTAGATGAGTGCGTCGCTGAAATGCTGCCGCGACCCAACGATCCCTCATCTGGCGAGCGGGCTGCTGGTAGGCCCCTGAGTCCAGTACGTGAACGTGGAGTTAGTCCTGAACGGCATTTCGTGTAACAGATGCCGTGCGAACATTTGCTGGCGCCGTTGGCAAGATTGAAACCTTCCTAAAGCAGCTGCAGCAGCTGACGCCGCCACCGCAAGGGCCCCTCGCTGCCCAGGTGGGTGGTCTTTTACCCTTATTCTGGTTGAGGAATGGCCTCATGGTCCTTTGGTTCGGGTGTCTTACAGTTCACCAAGCTTTCTCCATGTACTGGATGGGGCTATGTTTGATACCCAGCTGGTGGCTGCACTCGGCTCATTGCTGTTTGCCACGTGCCGGTGCTGCAGGAACAAGAGCTAGCAAACCTGCAAGCGGAGCTCGAGGAGAAGGTGTGTTTAGCCTTATGGCATGCTTTGTGGGGCTCCTGGGATGAGAAGGACCCCTCCCACATGTGCATTGGAAGACAAGGATACACCCACAACGTTGCCCAGGGTATCAAAGTTGCACGTGAGCTCTTTAACGCATGGTCCACATGAACATAACACTTACAGCGTTGCGCCCGACCTTACGTGTTCTGCTTTATTACCCCCACAGGATCGGCTGATCGCCCACGCGCGATCGCAGATTGCTCGCTGGCAGGACGTCATCCAGCAGCAAGAGCAGCTGCAAGAGAACACGCTGTTCGCTGGCCTCGGCAGCTGAGCTGTTAGCCCGCCGCCCACTGCACTGGCCAGCAGCTAAGATGCGTGTTTACACATAAACGAGTGACAAGGAGTATTGTCTGCGAGCTTGCGGCTACAGGGGGTGATGAAGGTCTGGACTGGATTACCGTGCAGCACGCAAGGGGTGTACCGAGCAGTTGAGGCAGCAAGCAAGAAGTCCAGGCTATGATGCAGCGCGGACTGGGCTTCAACGGTGCTACGAGGGTCAACCCCAACCCGCCTTGTACCAGCAACCGCATGCATGCGCTGATGCCTCCTTGATTCCTCACGACTATCAGACGTCGCCGCCGCCACGGGCCTTTCCCTTCCGCTACTGCTATTGCTACAGTCCTTCACATGCAAACCGCAGCACAGCATGCGCCAGGGCATGCGCCGGCAAGCTTAACCACATGAGCGACATCTGGAGGTCCGCATCCGGGCCACCAGCGGCACCAGCAGGAGCAGCAGCAGCAACACTATCAGCTTTTACCGCGGCTGCCGCCGCCTCGGCGCGGCCAATGCCGCCGGGCCCGCTCAACACCACTCGTTCCCGCCTTGCTTGGGCTGCGTCCTCCTGTTTAAGGCCGCTCAACAGCCATCGCAGCACGTTAGGCCGGGGGGCCTGCGTGGCACGTGTTGCTAGGTAGGCAGCTACTTGCTCTCGTGTAACGTAGGCCGAAAAGAGCACGGCCCGGCGCTCGGTGGGATTGGATGACGAGGATTGAGCTGGAGTCGAGCTGGGGCTGGTGGCTGCATGGCCACTGGACGGGAGGGCGTCCGGGAGGTCGGTGATGGGTTGCTTGGTAGCGTCGCGGGTTGAGTTGCCCGTGTTTATGTTGTTGCTGTTGGCGTGGACGTGAAGCATGACGCAGTAGCAGTCGCCGGGACGGCTGAGGATCTGCATGCGGGAATACGCAGAAGCTTGTGCTTGGCCTTCCTTTACATGGGAAGGCTGCGGTGAAGAAGTGGGGCCTTTAACGGGTTGTTTTCTTGACCGGCGCATTGGGTTTAAGTGCGTGCAACAGTACCGCGCGGCGTTTAAAGTGTCAGAAGTGTAAAACTGCTGTGACCCCTGGGTCTCTCTTCAACCCCTGTTACCTACCATGTCTTGGAACGCGTCTTCAAAGTTGTCCACCGCAAAGCACACCTCGGGGTAGCAGGGCTGCGGCGGCTTCCCCTTCTTGACGTCATCCAGGTTCACAGCCGCGGCCATGGGGCTAGCGTAGACTCGCCGCTGCGACACAAGGGCTTGCTGCTGCTGGTGCTGAGGCGCGATGCCTTGACCAGATGTCGCATGCGTCTGTGCCACCGCCGCAAGCGCTTCCTGCCTGCAAACAGTCGCATGCAACCGGTGCCCACTTTGCATCAAGGTTCACATGCGTGCTATCATTCTTTACCGCAAACACGAAACGGGTGCTGCATGGTGCAAGGTCCTTCCAATGGTAGTCGCATTAAACGCACAATGTGAGCTTGTGGCATCGGTGATGGCCGCCCCGCACCTGCATTGTACGACTGTCAGCAGGTACTTGGCTTGCAGTACCAGATTCAGCTGCACGCTGCGGCACCAGTCGACGGAGGAGAAGCCGGAGCCGCCGGGGCGCAGCTCCCCCGGCAGTTCGGCAGCGGTGTTGCGTCGCAGCCATACTGTAGGCGAGTCTGGGCCCAGTGCTGAGGCTGCCGTCACGAAGAAGAGCATGTCATCTTGGTGCTCCAGCAGGGTGTGGCGTGAGCCTGGGGAGGCAAGGAACTGTGGAAGAGGGAGGGGTCCTAGATGGCTGTTGAATTGGAGCATGGGTTAGGGAACCACTAGGCAGTATGTAGATGGCGTTGGAGTTCAGAGATGCAGTGTCACAGCGGTTGGATTGGGTGAAGGAAAGGGCAGTGGAGTGGATGGGGCAACGCTGGCGCGGGAAACTAGCCACTGAGGTTCACGGAGTGCCTTACCAAGAAGGAGAAGGCCTCGCACCACTGCTCCTGCGACCACGCCGGCTCAGCTGAGTCTGGTGACCCACGCGACGCTTGCCGGAGCACCTCCTGCAGAATGCCATTATTATCCCGTCCCAAAGTACTCATTTAACGAGGGGTTATTACACCATAACTACATCTCAAGTAACGTGAACCAAGAAGCTATATAATTGGATATAGACAGTATAATAGCCGAAATTGTATTTGCAGCGAGTGTTCAAGGTGTCGGCAATAGCACGGTAACTGCCTAGGGTTCCCATGAAAGGATCCAAGCGGATCCAAAGCCAGAGCGTCGCGACTTTTTATGCAAGGCGACAAAAAATCCTTGCCCCAACTTTGAAAACCAATAAACATTACTTTTAAAGGTGGTAATAAATGAAAGGTGCAGCGTTAAGCTGTCCGTGCAATGGGCCGAAGCGGACCGTTGGTATTAAATCTAAAGAATGCTTTACCATAGCCATACTATACTAGTAGCACAGGAATGGCGACAGCTCGGGAGCGCGTGCAGGTGAGCATCGGGCTGACGGGACATCCTGCTACGAGGACCTTTTGACAGCCTGCAACGGTCCCAACGCAGTCCCTTGATACTCGACTTCGTGAGCTTGAGGAGCGGTTCAGCAACAGCGGCATAAGCCAGCCGACTGCTGCGCAGCTCCCATCAAGCGCTGTGCTAACCAGCGGTGCAGGCCAGCCAGCTAGCCTCGCCGCGCTGCAGTCTGGGGGCCAGCACCAAGCGACGAACGGCCTGGCTCATGGGTTTGGAAGAAATGAAACTCCTGTTGAATCTGCCGCTGCGCTGACGGCACAAACTGCCCCTGGTTCAGCACGGACGGAGCCTGCACCTCATGTTGCTGATGCGCCAGCACCCTTGCCATCCGCGCTCCCACCACGTCCAAACAAGGCTACAGGTAAAGCCCGATCATACACCTCTGGGTCAATCATGGGCGACCCAAAACCCCGTTGCCGACCTGGTGTGAACCAGAGGACCTACATACCAAACGGATAACTGTCGAACCCCGTTCCTAGCAAGCCTTCTTTTGCAGAACGTTCATGGATAACTACTCTGCATGCTTTCACCTGCACACTGCAGAGGTGCCTCTCCGGCTTTACCGTGAGGGCCTGCCGCACAGGGACCTTGGCCCACCACAGAGCGTCTGGGAGGCCGACAAGAATGCAGCTGTGTTGGCCCTAGCAGACCGTGTGAAGGAGCTAGAGCATCAGCTCCAAACCCAGCAGCCGCAAGGACAACAGCAGCAGCCAGAGGGTAATGATGGCGGCGTGGATGGTGTTCCTACGGCAGCTGGGCGGCCGGTCATGCCCCCGCCATCTCTGGAGCTCTTGCCAGGGCCCCGCTCGGTCCTTGGCAGAAGCAATGCCTCCCATACAGCTCCCTACGCTGGCAGCCATCCTGGCGGGCCACCACCTGCACCGGTTAAGTACTACCCTCCTGCGCCGGCGGGCCAGCCGCTTTCAGCAGATGCCGCCATCGCGCGCTTGCAGGCGGCGCAAGGTGCCCGGGCCCATGCCCGCGCCTTCGCCGCGTCCGTAGCCGCCTCCGCAGCTGCCACCGTACCTTCCATTATGATGGCAAAGAAGCGGAACGAAAACACTATGCCGCCACGTGGGGACCATGCCTCCGAAAACCACCACGGCGCAACAGGGGCTCCGCAGCCCACCCCTTTGGCAGGTGACGGCGGCAGCAGTGTGGGCGTATCAGCGCCGTTGGGATACGCCAGCGCTGCCGCTAGCGCGGCGGCGTCGTTCCATGTGGCGGCGTTGCGTGAGGCAGGGCCGCTGCAGCCGGCGGGGCAGTACCCCATGGTGGCTGCGGCTTTGGCCGGGGGCGCACCTGGCACCGGCAGTAGCACGTGGGAGCAGGGGAAGATGCGCGCACTCGTGTCACTGGAGCAACAGCGGGATGCGTTGCGGGCGCAGGTGGGTTGCTGTGTACTCTCATACCGCCTGTGTTGAGTGCATGGCCGAGCGCCATGCATGCAACAGTATAAAGGAGGACACCTGTGATGAGCACACTTTCTTTGGCTTTACCCTGGCGGGGTTGCTTTGACAGGTGGAGTCCTACCGCGACATTGAGGACCGCCACCGCCGGCAGCTGGTGGAGCTGAACGAGCAGCACCGCCAGGACCTACGGGATGCGGCGGTAAGCTAAAAAGCAGTTAACAGTGCACATAATGAGCGCGAGAAAGGAGAAAAGGGCAAGCCATGGACGAAACATGTCTATAATGGAGGGCGGAAGAGCGGCTTTAGCCCGTATGGGGAAGCCTCGTCGGCATTGCGCGAGTTGTCCGAAACGTTCTCAACTAGGTCCGCTACTTTCATCCGCTGCTTGCTGCTTTGCTGGCCGTGCCACAGGGCGTTGCGGGGCGCAAGCTGGAGAGGCTGATGGGTGCAGCATGGGTAGCGTACGCAAGACGTCTGCTGGTGCTGCGGGTCAGTCGCGCCCTACAGGCCTGGCGCCGCGTCACAACCCGCAACCGTCGCCTGCGCTGGGCTACAAGCGTGTGGCGGCAGCGGGAGCTGGAGGCCGTGTTCACGGAATGGCACATGCTCGTGTTGACGAACAGGTACGTGCCGGAAGACCCTTGGGTCCTTAATGTGATGTGTGCAGGTTGGCAGGGCGCGCGCTTCAAGCGCATTCCCTTCTTCCTCTTTGCCTTGTATAAACAGCTTAACGCCGAAAGCCTGACACCTCCTCGAAACGCCCTGGTAGTACAGGCAAGAACGGCAGGCCCGCAGGCGTGCCATCGTCCGCTGCCGCCGCACGGTGCTCCTGGCTTGGGTTGCAGCAACCAAGGACGGCTGCAGGCTTCGCCGCCTGGAGCGCAAGGCTGTGCTGGTGCGCTGCCGCTGGCTGCTAGCAGCGTGGATGCAGCGCGCGGGCGAACTGCGTTGCAAGCGCCTGCGGGTGCGGGCGGCAGCGGCCCACCGCCGGTCTGTGCTGCTGAGGAATGGCTGGCGAGGACTAGCGGGAGAGGTGGCTCGGCAGCGCGAGGCGGAGAGGGCACTGGAGCAACGGCTACACCGGCTGCTGGTGCTCTCAGCTTTCCAGGTTGGTAATGATTGACGGAACATTCTGGACACGGATGCCATGCTTGGACGATGGAGATTGGTGGCCAAAGCAGCTTGTTCGTGTGCAGAGTCGGACGCTGCATCGGTTCAAACACACGCAATTGGCGTCCTTCTTGACCCGTGCAGGCGTGGGTAGCTCAAGCTAGGCTTGGTCGCCGACTGGACGCGCTGTACCGCCGGGGCCTGCTGCGCACCGTGTTGCGTTGCTGGGCGGCATTTACGGCTCGCATGTGCATGCTGCGCCGTAAGCTTCGCGGCCTAGCAGGCGTGTGGCGGCAGAGGCGGCAAGCAGCACTGCTGGCAGGATGGGCGGCTGCAGCCCATCGCTTGGCACTGCTTGCAGCTGCGGATGCGGCTCTACGCTCCGCTGTTCGGTAGGTAGGAAGGTCTACTGGGCCCAAATGGAAAGCGATGTAAGGCATGCACCTGGCGATACAGCGAATGGGAAGGGCTACTAGCTGTACGCACCGCCACTTTATGGCTCTTGGCCCAGTTCGTCTCGCCCCCTAAGCTTACTCCCCTACCGGCCCCTTCCGCATCCAGCCGCGAGCTCCTCTCCACAGCTTTCACCGGTCTGCGCCTTGCGCCTCGGGAAAGGGCCTGGGGCCGCCGCCGGGGCGTTGCTGCATTACGGGCATGGCACTCTGTTGCGCGCCGCTGCGCTCGCAACCGCCGCGTCTTGCAAGCCCGCTGCCTGTCTCGCAACCGGGCTACCCTTGCGGCCATGTTTGACGCATGGCGGCTTCTAGGCAAGGCAAGGTCTGTCCGCCTGCACCTGCGCGAGATTCACCGACTTCAGGTACGGCCCGTGGCTACCGGTGGCTGGGGCGAAACGGGATTCCCGCCGTTTGCTGCTTTCCAAACAGGATGCAAACTGCTGCTGGTCGCCCTTGCAGGATCTCGAGCCCTCGTACGAGCACCAGATGGAGCTCGTACGACAGGACCGTGCTGCCGTACAAGCCCACATGCAAGCCGTCATGGCCGAGAACGGCATGCTGCGCGCAGAGCTGCTGCACAGCTTCGTCATGACTGCGGAGGGCGGCCTGCTGGGCAAGCCCCTGCGCTGGCGCTGCCTGCTGCCTGACCCAGATCAGATCCTGCCACCGCCCCGAAGCCGCCATAGCACGCTCTTCCTACGTGGGCTACAGCAGCCGCTTGGCGCGGCGCAAACCGCCATGGCCCATTCCTCCCAGTCTACGTTCGTGCATAATGCGGCCCGAGCACCCCTGGCGTTGCCGGGGAGCAGCGAAAGCAGCATGGGCAGGGTATCAGAGCAAGGGCAACAGCTGTCGGGGGCGACAGGCAGGAGGCAAGAGCCGCTAACGGAGACACAGGCAGTTATGCCCAGCATGGCGGGCGTCCTGGTAGTGTTCGGAGGCGTCAGTGAGGATGAGTGGTTTCGGGACCTGCACGTGCTTGAAGTCTCGTATACAGGTGGGCAGAGGCGCATGCACCGATAGGCGGCATGCTTTACAGGTACCGGTACACCGCAACCGATCGTCGCAGCAGTCGAGTCATGCAACGTGTTAAGTGTAACGCCATTTGGTTAGGGTACAGGACATGCAGCAGTGCTCACCAGTACATAGCACCGGCATCAGCAAAAACACTCCCAACGCCTCACGCCCCGCCCCGCAGATGACGGCGCCTCCTCGTTCCGATGGCACCCGGTGGAGGTGCGCCCGGAGGTTGAGGTGCTAGCTGGCACGGGGACACTGCAGGCGCATGTGCCCGCCTTGCCGGACGCGACTGCCGGAAGCGTGGCCTCGGGTTGCAAGCTGCCCGTACACACGCGGCGAGACCATGCGGCGTGCGCCGTGAGCCCCAACGAGTTTGTGGTGGTGGGCGGCTTTGACGGCACCTCCGAGCTCATGGACATACATGCAGTTACCGTTCGCACCTCCGGTAAGCTGGCTTTGATAATCTTTTGTACGTTGAGCTACCGGTGCTCGCGACACCATCCATCTCAACCTGTCGGACGCCTACCTTCCGCCCTTCGCAGGGACCGGTTCTGGCTGGAGTGCCAGCGTACAACACGTGCTTCCACGCAACCGGTCGCCGGCCGGTCGCTCGCACCATACAGTGACGTCCCATGGGTCAGGCAGATCGCTGTACGTGTTCGGCGGCTACATGAGCTCTCGCGGCGCCCTCGGAGAGCTGTGGGCCTTCCACCTCGACCATCGGGAGTGGTGGCAGCCAAACACTACGGGTGCGGTGGCTGTGATAAGCTGATAACGCGGGGAAGGTCTTACCAGGCTTTGGTTTCTTATACAAGCACGGCCCTGTCCTTCTTACCGTTATCAAATGACCCCCTCAGCGCCGTACATGCTACCTTGCTGCTGCGTGTGTCCTCTAAGGAGCGCTTCATCCCTTGTACCGTATTTACCGCCGCAACACAGGCGACCAGCCGCCGCCCCGCCGCAACCATGTGGCCGCGCTGGTGGGCGGGCGCCTCTACGTGCACGGCGGCTTCAACGGCGCCGAGTGCCTGGGAGACACCTGGGCGCTGGACCTGCAGAGCTGGCACTGGGAGCGGCTGAACACCACGGTAGGCTGCTGATGCAACTTTGCATCTTGACTAACCAGGGGTTGCATAACACGTGCGTTGCAGTACAGCACTACCTTCCTGTCCCACCACGTGGTGCCTTACAACTACCGGTACAAAATTCGCTGCTGACCGTGTGTCACCTTTCTCTTCCGCCGTATGCCCTGCAGGGCTCACCGCCCAGTCCCCGCCGCGGCCATGCCGCTGAGGTGGTGGACGACCGCTACCTGCTGGTGCACGGCGGCTACGACGGGTCGGGGCTGCTGGCGGATGGAGCAGTGCTGGATACCGCCACAGGAGTCTGGAGGGACCTGGCAGCTGCAGGTAGGCCGAAATTAGGATAAGCCGGGATTCCCAGATTGCAATTGTGGCCGTGAACAGCCGCAGGAAGTACGTGGCTCATGCTCCTAGTAACATGTACACCTTCGGCCAGCTTTCCCTGACCATTGCGCTTGCCGAATCACCGTGATTGTTGCAGGTGGTCCCGAGGACATGCCCACATCCCGCGCGCATCACAGCCTGACGCTGATGGGTCATGTCATGGTATCGCTAGGAGGCAGCGGACCCATGGGTCCGTTGCTCGACGTGCACCTGTTGGAGTCCCCGCCCCTGCTGGCTGGCCTTGCGCAGCAGCAGCGACTGGTGGAGACCGCCGCGGTGCTCAGCGCAACCCAGGCGGCTGTAGCTGACACGGAAGCGGCCCTTGCGGTCACCCAACACCGCGCCGAGATGGCGGAGCAGCAGCTGCAGGTAGGCGGGGAGGATGGTTACAGCATGCCGTGCAGGAGAGTCTCCGGTATGGGAGGCCGCATGTTCCCCGTGGTGATGCCTGGCTGGCAAGCCCTGACTTTATAAAGGTTCACCTCGCCAGTGTTACGCGCTTAACCCCTAAGCAGTGCCCTTCCTGGCTTCCTCATATGGTTTCCCGTTCGCCTTTCATCATATGGTTTCCCATTCCCTCAGGTGCTGCGAGAGCGATCGGCCGAGCTCCTGTCACGCCACAACGCGGCCCTGGCTGACATCAACCGGCTTAAGGCGCTTGTGGCGGCGGAATCGGTTCGTGTGGTGGCGGCTGAGGCGGCGACTGCGGAAGCGCAGCTGGCATTGGCCACGGCGGAGCGGCGGCTCCGGAGGACACGCGAGGGCGGGCAGGAGGTGGCGGCGGCAGCACGCGACATGCATGATACTGTGTGCGACCTCCGTGAGTTAACAAGGCAACCTCGCGCTGTGTCCTATGTAATCAGTTGTGTCATGTTGCCGTCGTCGTGCATCACAGGCTGGTAAGCCAAGCTTATCTACCGGTAATTCGCTGTCCGCAGGCGAGGAGGTAGCTCGGCTGCGCAGTCAGCTGCTGGCGACCACGCAGCAGCAAGGCCATGAGGCTTCACAGCTCGCGGCTGCTACGGCCGAGCGGCAGCTGCTGCAGCAGCAGCTGGCGGGCTCCCAGCAGGAGGCGGCGCTGCTGCGCGGCATGCTGGCAACGGCAGAAGCGGAGTTCCGTGCGGCTCTGGACCGGCAGCGCAGCGCTGCGGAGGCTGAGCTGGCGGCGGCGGCGGAGCACGCCAAGCAGCTGGCGGCAACGGCGGCGGCCACAGCTGCAGCGGCGGCCACCGGAGGCATCGCAGGTAAAGCTACCAATACCGCGAACAATGAGTCAATAACAAAAAAAACCCGATGCCATCGTCTTGCTATGCCGTGTGATGTCATACTGCCACTTGAACTTCAAGAATCTACCGCGTGGCAAGCTTAGACGCTCTCACGCCCTGTTGTGTGTACACCTGCACATGTGTGTCGTACAGGTTCTTCGGCAGCCGACTTGGATCTTGTGGCGCTCCACCAGCTGGCCACTGCCACCTCCAGGGCCGAGACCGCGGAGCTGCGGCTGCACACCCTGGAGCGCGACCATGGTGTGCTGCAGGCAAGTCTTACTGTTTACGGTTTACGACGCCTAGCATTCATACCATTCCAACATAGTGGGCGGCTTGGCGTCACCTGATTGTGAACACCGGGGATCGCACGTTTCCGTTTTATTCCAATTTCGCATTAACCCCGGTTCTTCCCGCCCGCTGATGCCACCCTGTCCTGACAGGCCGACGTCGCCGCCCTCAAGCGCCAGCTGCAGCAGCAGCGCCAGGCGCGCGAGGCCGCAGAGGAGCGTGCCGCAGCCGCCATGCAGCACATGCACGCCTGCGAGCTGCGGTACATGTCGCAGGTGGAGGAGCTGCAGCGGCAGCTGGCGGAGGCGCACCGCGAGCGCTGGAGGCACGACTTGGGCCTCGAGCCGCCACGCAAACGAGTGTCTTCGGGGCCGGTTCGGACAACGGCGACCACGGTGCATGCACAGGCGTCGTTGCTCTCACAGCAGAAGCAGCAGGAGCAGGAGCAAGAACCCTCGCGGCCGAAGCCATGCCTGGATGCTGAGTTAGGTGGTGGCGGGAAAAGGAGTGGCGAAGCGTGGTTGAGCGGGGAGCTAATCAGCGAGGTTGAGGGTGTGGAGGAAGCAGAGAGGCTGCTAAGAAGTGCGCATCCGCCACCGGAAAGTGTGGTTGGGGGGTATGAGCAGAGGGTTGGGATAACGGAGGAGGCGGAGGGGCTGGATCCTTTTGGCCCGGATGCACGCTTCACAGTACAACACGTCGAGTCCTTGGTGGTGGGAGAAGATACCAGTTTAGAAGTCCTGCCGGAAGTGGCGCGTCTCTTAGAGCTGCAGCGCCGCATATCAGGCCAGGCGTAAGTGGCACATGTAGGTTCCTGCGTGTGTCCCGGGGATTACCAACCTCACGCTTCGCCATGTGGATGTTTTTTGCGGTAAAATGCATGCTGCCAGGTGGTGTTTCTTTGCTGCGGGCAGTGCTGGTAGATAGAGGGTTGTATGGCTTGGGGGTTCTGCTATGCGTTGCTGGGTGGATGCTGGGTACTTGCGGGCTTGGTTGGGGCCCCCCAACTCCATATGTCATATGCCGCACAGCTTTCTTCCCTTGCTCATGCAATGCAGCTGGTCAGCGGAGAGATATGTTATGCACTACGGGAGCTTTCAGCTGACCGAGTCGCACCGTGGTATCAAAGGCGCAGGGTTACGGCGAAAAGACGAAAGGCACTTTAAGCTATATCCATGTGCCTTCACAGTTTATGTAAACTTGAATTCTGCTAAGGGAAACGGGCAATCGGTGCTTATGTTAGACAGGCTTCTGGACGCTCGTACTACGTCGTGCATTGTGAAGTGTCCTCTTGGACTCCGTTGGAACAGGTCGTTAGCCAAGTCTGCGCCTTTTACTACCCGTTGCCGTGTGTACAGCTTGCGGCTTTGCGTTGCCGATTGGGGTCTACTCGGGGCTTCGATCGCAATGTGTAGACAACGATGGGTCGCGCTGCTTGTACTATTAGGCCTCCTGCTTCAAGCCAGTACAACTTTCGCAAAGGATTATTATGAGCTTTTACAGGTAGGCTTAGATCGCTTTCTTTATGGCAGCAGCAGGCTTATACAATGATGCTTGCGCGGCGCTCGCAGGTGGCTAAAGGAGCAAACGAAGCACAGCTTAAGCGCGCGTACCGCAAGCTCGCGCTGCAGTACCATCCGGTGGGTTCCACTGTTCACGTGCAAAGTGTTGCAGTTTCCGTGCATTCACTAGCATGCCGATGGTCGTGCACGCTCGCTGACCCCACAGGATAAGGTGACGGGCTCTGAAGAGGAGAAGAAGGCGGCTTCACAGAAGTTCGCTGACATTAACCACGGCAAGTAGTCGGCTACCCAGCAAACCCCGCAACAGTTGCAGCGGGACCCGTTTGTGCACACCAGTGCTGCATTTCTATGACTTCTGTCGGCACCTCATTTTGCTTCCACGCTCATTCACAGCCCCTTACCACCTTGTCATACTTTCTATTAGCATGCTTAGCACCTGTTCCCTGGGCCACCTCACATGCCCCGCGAACCGTGACTGACAGCCACCTGCTGTTTTCAACCCCGCAGCTTACGAAGTACTGTCGGATCCTGAGAAGCGTAAGATCTACGACCAGTATGGCGAGGATGGGCTTAAACAGGCGCAAGCACGCGAGCAAGGCGGCGGCCGTGGCGGCCACGATATATTTGACATGTGGGTCGGGTGGTTCAGTACATGCCCATACCTTGGCATTCTGGCGATATTTTGGGAACACAACATAGTGGGCTCTGGGTGCATTAAGCTGCATGTGCTGCACGCATGCGGCCAAAGCACACCGCCCACACCTTCCAGGACCTGTCAGTCCAGTCCAGTTCAGCTTCCTAACCATTTTAGCTGTGGCTGTTGCATGCCGCTGCATGTTTCCGCAGGTTCTTCGGTGGGGGCTTCGGGCACGGGCACCACCAAGAGGAGGAGACCCGCAAAGGGCACACCATCTATGTGGACCTGCCAGTATCGTTGCGGGACTTGTACGTGGGCAAGGAGCTTCAGGTCAGTGCCGTGCTAGAACATGCACGCAGTGAACGCAAAACGCCAAGCATGGTTAAGCAACACGCCTTGCACTGGGGCATTGGGGCACTGGCGCATGCCTACACAAGGAATCCTAGTTCAGGAATCCTAGTTCGGCTGCGCATTTAGGAATAGCTCGGTTGTCACCATACGCCGCGCATACTCTATTACTCTTCCTCTAGCGTGCGAAGCACGTATTACCCTAACCAAACCATATTTTTCCTCATTGCGCCGCTTCTTTCTCCACTTCTTCCTCCTCCTATTGTCCACTCCGCCTTCAGGTCGTGCGTGACAAGTCGGTTCTCAAGACTACCAGCGGCACTCGCAAGTGCAACTGCAAGACCAAGATCATGACACGCCAACTGGGCCCGGGCATGTTCCAGCAGTTCCAGACCCAGGAGTGCGGCACCTGCCCCGCTGTCAAACTGGAGCGCGAGCAGGTGCCCATCAACGTGCATGTGGAGCCGGGCATGAACGACGGGCACGTAAGTACAACGCTTGCGAACGAGGGGTACGACAGACGACATTTGTTCGCGATGCCGGCGTTAACGCTGCCGTTTTACGGTAGTATCCGGGCCCCCTTATTACCGCTCATCAATGGTTGCAAGCTCGTAACACACAAGTACCCTATCCTCTGCCCTCTACGCTCTTCCACACACAGCATCGTCCCAGCACCCTCAGTAGCTCTACGCATCTTCCTGTACCCACCCTTGCCTCCTCCCTCTCACCATTACATCTGGTGTTCCATTATATGTGTTCCTTCCCATCCCTCCCCCTCCCCACACAACCAACAGCGCATCGAATTCTTCGAGGAGGGTGAGCCCCTAGTGGACGGGGAGCCCGGCGACCTGGTGTTCATCGTACGGCAGCAGCCTGACTCGCGCTTCGAGCGGCGCGGCGCCGACCTGCTGCACAACTTCACCATCAGCCTGGTGGACGCGTTGACGGGCTTCAGCCACACGTTGGAGCACCTGGATGGACACACGGTGACGCTGACGGCTAGCGAGGTGACCAAGCCGGGCGACTGGCAGCAGGTGAAGGGCGAGGGCATGCCGATTCACGGGCAGGAGCACCGGCGCGGTGACATGTGGGTGCAGTACACGGTGGCCTTCCCGCCGCGGCTAACGGAGGAGCAGAAGGCGGCGGTTCGCAAGCTGTTTGGGTGAGGTGGTAGCTGATGCATGTAGCGTTGGTGTGGGGTGGTGAGCTTTGACGGTTTGGCGGCATGCCTGCGCTCTTCAGGGGTTAAGGGCTATGCAGATGAAATCGCAGGTGATAGGGTGGATGCGATGGGAAGGTGCAGGGTTAGTTTTGTGTCCATATCAAGGCATGACATGAGGGTGACCCATGTGTCTTCCCGAGAGGATGGTAGCGCTTGGTGTGACCAGCGGTGGACGCTAAACGCTGTTTTGCTGCTGTCTGTGCTTGACTTGGAAATCTGGCTTACCTCATAAGTGCTTTGTATGATGGGAGGCCTGCGGTAAAGGCTTCGAAAGCAGCGTTTTACAGGGCATGCAACCGAGTGGAGTGCTGGTTCAGAGTGGGTGTGCGTGCGTGCGTAATTACATTGGTGGTATCCAGAACTGACCAGTTTCCGTGACGGAGAGCATACGGGAGCGTGAGCAAAGCTTGCAAACTCCTCATCGCCTCATTCGTTCCAGTTCCAGCACTAGAGATCTGCTATCGACCTGCCCTGTTCGGCACGACGTTCAGACGTTAGCCAAACGCTCAGGATTTCAGTCACCGACCTGAATCTCGTTACCTTAGAGCTCCTGCTATGTAGTATGTACAGCACCCTGCCACCTAAAGCCTACCAACCTCTCCACACGTCACGTCGCCGGTGCTGCGGGCGTTGTTGTAGCTGCCCGCGCCTCTGCTGCCTCCTCCGCGAGTGCTGTCACAGCAGCCTTCTCCCCTGCCGCCTGCTCCTCTTTCCCTTCCTCCTGTCCCTCAACCGCCGCCGTTCCTAGCTCCGGAACCGGCAGAAGCCCGGACGCCACCAGGCTGTCTTCACCAACTCCGCCGGAAGGACCGCTGGCAGAGGCAGAGCCGGCAGCTGCGGCAGAGCTGCTGCTGCTTGCACCTGCGCTCCCAGAGGTCGTAACGCTGCTGCTGCTGCCTTCCTGTCCGCCTGCCCACACCATGGTGCTCTTCATGAGCAGCTGCTTTGTGCCGTTGTCCGCTGTTGCAATTTGTTGCTCCACAGCGCCTAGCTGCTGCTCAAGCCTGTGATGGATGAAAGGGACACATGATGGTGGTCAAGGTGGCAAGGCAAGCGTTAGCCATGCGAGCGAAGGCGGTGCGTAAGGTGACCAGGGAATAGCTGCATGAGAGAGTGAGAGACAGCGCGATTCCTTACTTGTCAAGTTCGCTCGCCAAGGCAAGCTCATCTGTCCCGCCAGCAGGGTTTGGCGCCGCTGCGCCAAGACGTCCCAGCGCAAGCTGCAGCTCGAGCAGCTTTGCGCGCTCCTCGCCTAGTTGTCCTCCTGCGGCCGTCTCCATCTGCACGTTGACAGGTTAAGTAGTCATTGCTGCTGCCATCCGACACAAATTGCCGTTGTCCGCCAGGAGTCGTAATGAAACCCACCGCTTCTAGCGTAGATTGCAAAAAGCCGATAAGCGAGCCATCATCAAACAATCCTTGTTGCTTGTTCGGCTTGCCAGGCATTTCCCCAAACTGCTCTCTGTTAAAATCTGCCGCAAAGCACTAACAATGAAGTTGTCTGTCCAGTTCTTTGCTGCGCTAGTGCTAGTAATGAAGCACGGACCTAATTCATCATCGCCAACGGAATGTGTACGGAACACAAATGAAGACCCTGCAGGAATCTGCCGTTTCCGCCCTCCTACGCTGACGGTACCAACTTCAACGCATTAAACGGCGCTTGTGCTCTCTATACCTAAAACCTATCCTTAATTAGCTCAACCCGAATACACATGCCGCGCGCCGTACGAGGCCGAGCCCGCAAGGAAACAAAGGAGGAGGCTAGGGCGCGCAAAGCAGCCAATCGTGAAGGACGCAAGCATGCGCTCTGGGTGCGTTCACAGAAAGCAACACACTGGTGTGTTCGTGGCTTCCGGTTTGGGTTGTCTTATGCCCTAGATGAGGTTTGTCGAGGTTTGCTGAGGGGCCCTTTTTTGGCTTCTACCCTCTTGTTTCCCTCCTGTGGTTTCTTTTAGGGCTATGTATCCCATCTTGTGGTGCTGTCTCTACGGTTTGTTCCGTTTCTTTTGCAATGTAGGGTTGGGTTCATCACCGTGTTCCCTTTTAGGGCACCATTGTAACGGTCATTCATTCACACAGCACCACATTTCCTTTCCAACCCCACACCTAGTCCCGTCCTCCTCTTTCCTCTTTCCCACCCTGCAGGTTCTGGCTGCCCTTGTCTGCGCATTACTCACCACATTTGTCTACATCGCATGGCAGGCGTCTACACCCAAAGGAGACCTTCCATCTTCGTCCTCACGGCCAGGCTTCCGTAGTTTGAACAGGACAAGGCCTTGACGAGCTGTCAGAAACCCGCGTCTTTTACGGAGACGCAGCATCGACGTCATTCCAGCAGCCCTGACTGCTTCCTGGTATCCCGTTACCCGCGCATGGGCTTCTCATTGACACGCTACCATCGCACGTTTGTACCATAGCAAGCCACATACGGTCTGAGTGTTTGCGCGAGGCAGCATGCATCTTCTGCTTCGAGTACGGCAGTTCCCACGTTGGGGCAGCGGCTGCTGGGGCAGCCGGCTAGGGTAGAAGAAACATATTGTTGTGTGGCTACTACTTTCACCGGTAGGCTGTGGGAGGAGCTCCTGTGTACTGCAGGGAAGGGAGTCGGCTCACAAGGAGAAACTTGTGCAGTTATGTTGAGAGGGGTACTGAACAGAAACTGGCTGGCCGGCATCCAGCACAGCTCCGGTCGTGGCCTTGGCTGTGTAATCAATGGGTTACAAACCTCTAGCTTGCAGCCTACATTAACTGCATTGTGCTGCAGCCGACGGTGGAGGGCAAAAGATCATGTCACGTTGCATGACGCCAAACTCAGCCCTGGCAGCCCTAGCTCCACACATCTCGGCTACTTTAGCGTACAGCCAGGGTCCCTACCAAGTCCCAGCCATGCCCAGCCACCAACGCCACAAGCCGTTTGGGACCGGATACGAGCATGCAGGAGGCGCCAAACAAGTACACGAAAAAGTGGGGCCGCTAATATTGGGCCACGCAAAGAGGCTTCTCCGGTTCGCCCCTGATAGGGAAGACCCTCCGCTACCTCACCTCCGCTGATAGGGAAGACCCTGATAGGGAACCTGAAGACCCTGATAGGGAAGACCCTCCGCTACCTCACCTCCGCTCACAGCTTCTGATGTTTTACGCTCACGCTTATCCTGACACCCTGGTACGGCGCTCGCTGCAACAGTCGGCTTAACACGCCACAAAAAGGAATATAAGGGATGTACGGTAGCAGCATCTTCGACAACCAACGAGCTTCCCTTCTTCGCCGAACGGTTCAACTTCCCTGCTAGCAGTTCACATGACAGTTACCATGCCTTCTGCCCTAAGGGCCTCCCATGCCAAAGTGAGGGCCAATCGTGCAGCAGTATTCCATCGCTGCCCCCGCGATGATGCTTAAAGGGCCTCAATGAAACAATGCAATCTCGACGATACCTACACACACTCTCCCAAGGTCAGTGTCAGTTTTGCAGTCTGTCAACGTTTGACGTAGAAACCTCTCCCAGCAAACCAAACCTACTCACCCGTAATCTATAAAAAAAAGCAACCCTTAAGCTCACCGAACACCACGTCACTGCATCGAGGTCTCAACAGCAATAAACAATCCAATCGCCAAGCGTCCGAGTACCAATCACTGCCCAGATCCGCAGCTCGGCGCCCACCTAGCACACGGCATGGGTGATCGCAATGCACACACATCCTGTAGTGCATTGTAAGCAAACCTGCCCCTTTCCTTGTTCCTTGTTCTCGGTCCACCCCGCCACCACCAAAACATGCAGCCTTGCGCAAGAAATTCAACACAAAGGTCAAACACTGCCTTGGCGCTGGGGTGCCTCTATCGGCATTTTGGGCAGCCACTTTCGGTGAAACCTTGCTCCTGTTGCTTGCTTAGGCAACTGCCGCACCGGCATTAACAGCTGCATCGTCGCCCTCCTCTTGCTGCGTCTGCAGCTGCTCCTCCTCGCAAACACTGCTGCCGCAAGTGCCGTACTTCACAAGCAGCCTTCCCATAATGTCCTTCATGCGCTGCTTTTTGCTCAGCGCCGTCGCAACGCTCTGAACTGCCGCCGTGAAGGCATGCAGCTGTGCCAGCCGCTGTGCCGTCACTTGTACGACATCGCCTCCGCCGCCTCCGCCTCCGCCAGCGCCTCTGCCGCCGGTGGCGGCTGCGGCCGCATCCGCGGGCGGGCCCATGAGGGGCGACGTCGCCACCGCCGCCAAAGGCTCAATTGAAGCTCCGGTCGCGCCGCCGCCGCCGACGGCGGCGGCAGTGCCGCCTTCGCTGCCCTGCAAGCGGCGCTGCCGCTGCGTCGCAACGCCGGCGGCAGATCCTGGAACGGACCTGGGCGACGGTGGCACCAGCTCCGCCGAGTGACCCATGGGTCCGTGAAGTGGTCCCGTGGGCATCATCCCGATCGGTTGGCTCCTGGTGCGCCGGTGGTGGCCTCGTCCAAATGGCCAAAGGTGGTGCCCGTGGCCGTGGCTTTGACCCTGGCCATGCGAGCTCGGTGCAACGGCTGCGGAATGGGAGTTCTGTCGTACACCGTCAACGCCATCGCCGCCGCCGCTGACAGCGGCGGCTGAGGAGGGTGGTACGACCACTTGCAGCGGAGGCGTCGGCGGCGCGGAGGAGTCCGAGGTGTGGTTGTCCGTAACAGGTCGGGAGCGACTGCGGCGGGGACTCGTCGCTGCTGGTACGACAGGGCTGGCGGCCATGGCAGCTGGCGGAAGCCCCGTTCCACCTGCGACGCCCGCGCTTCCGCTGCCCGCTGCTCCAGCGTCGAACAGAGCCGGCGGAGGCGGAAGGGCTTCGATATCCGACGAGGCAATAGAAACCAAGCTAAAGCGGCCGCGGCGTGGGGCGGACGGCGGCCGCGGTGGCAGCGCCGCCGTCGTCGCCAGTACGGATGCCGGCGCCTCACTCAACGGCAGCCCTTGCCCGCTGCCGAGCGGAGGCGTGCCGCCGCCGCCACCGCCGCTGCCCCTACTGTCACGGCTGTGTCGCCCCAACGGTCCAGCATGCGTCACGATATACGCATTGCTGTTGCTAGCGGGACGGGAGCCAGCAAAGGCCCCGCCGCCACCGCCGCCGGTAAGCGATCGGTGTGAGGACCGGCGGGCAGAAGTCCCAGCGCCGCCTCCGCCGCCGCCATGAGACGATGCTGGAGGCAGCTTGTGGAATGGAATATGGAAAAGCCCGTGTTGGTGTGTATGGGATGCTGGACTAACAGGTGACGTGGGCGCGCTGTTGTTTGCCTGGTTGGGCGAGCTGGGAGCCTGATGGTGGTGGTGATGGCCGTGGTGGTTGTGGTTGTGGCGGGAGGGTGCGGGCTTGAGAACCTCCAACGGCACAAGTTCGGTGACCCGTGGGTCACCAAGTAACGCCGAGTGGCAGGCCATGTAGCGCATTTCCAGTGGAGAAGCCTGCAGGAATCCAATATTACAGACACAGTCATCGCGGTATGTTCCGGCTTGCAGACTATTTTAAAATAAACACACGGTTAGCCGCCGCCGCAGCCGCCGTACCAAGAAGCGTTAGCAGCCTTCACATCTGACATACATTATTACATGCACACGCGCGAACTAACACGCACAGGGCAAGATGCAATCCATTATGCAAGGCACACCGCACACGCAAGCCTCCAAGCCCGCCACCCCACCACCATCCGCCACCCCCCGCAAACCCTGTCGTCTCCTATCCCCATTGCTTTGCCTTAACCTGCGGTTTCCTATGGTATGGTATGGTCTTTGACCCCCCGCACACCTGTAGAGCCGCCAAGCTCCGCTGCAGTCGCACCGGGTTCGCTGCAGAGCTGAACCCGATGTCAGCACTCAACAAGTGCTCCGCAAGCTCCTCCAGCAGCGCATGCGCCAGACGGGAGCTCAGCGGCTCGTGGCACAGTTGCAGCGCCACACTAGCAGCCGCCGCAGCACCCTCCGTGCCCTCGGCAGGCGCCGCCGCCTCAGCAGTCGCCGCCGCCGCTGCCGCCTCTTCGCTACTTGTGCCTGCAGTTGTGGCTACAGCAGCAGCAGCAGCAGCAGCAGCGGATCCGGTGTCATCACCCCCAGGAGCTGACGAGGACACAGCTCTGGCGGGGGGCACTCCTGCTGCAGCGTCCCGGTCGGTAGCACCCACTGTTGCTGCCGCTGGTGCTGCTGCTGGTGCTGGTGCTGGTGCTGCCGCTGGTGCTGGTGCTGGTGCTGCTGCTGCTGCTGGTGCTGGTGCTGCTGCTGGTGCTGCTGCTGGCGCTGTTACCGGAGCCCCTGCGCTCGCCCTGAGCGGCGCATTCCCCTGCCCATGCACCTGTCCCTGCCCCTGCCCTTGCCCCTGTCCCTGCCCTTGCCCCTGCTGCTCCTTCTCCTCGTCGTCCTCCCCTGCTGCGTCTGCTTCATCCTCGGTGTCATGCACGATCACAGACCCCCCCTCGCTGCACCCGCTGGGAAGCCCGGTACTTCCGCCTGCACCACTCGTGACGGAGCCCGCAGCGCTAGCGGAACCGGCAGCAGCAGCAGCAGCGGTAGCAGGTGAAACCCGAGCCCCAGCCGTAGCTGTAGCAGATGAAGACGCAGCGGGTGCACCGGCTGACGCCAGCTGAGCGGCGGGCGGCCGCGGTGGCAGCAGCGCCCTAGCAGCTGTTGCCGGCACCGCCGCCGTCGCTTGCCGTACCCCTGACGGGTGCTGCAACTGAGGGCTGCCGGCACCACCTCCCAGAGCGCCGGTGGAAGTCTGGATGCCGCTGCTTGCAGTTGCTGCCGCTGTCGCTGCTGCTGCTGCTACCCCAACCGGAGCCGCCACCGTCGCCGCTGCTGCTGCTGCTGCTGCTGCGTCAGCGCCTCCAGCCTCCCCACGTTGCCCTCCATCGTCATCTCCGGCGGCAGCGGTGGAGGCGGCAGCGGCGGGGTGGGTGGGTATCCAGCTGGGCTCTACACCAGCCGCGTCACCCAACACCTGCAACAACGCGAACCAGGGATTACAGTTGATGATCACAGTTACCGTACCCCGCTTGTACGTTTCCTAACACGGCAGGAGGAGGGCGCAAACCACTAAAACCATGCCACAATATTCGTATACCTCTGCATCTACCTAGGTCTTCGTACAGTTACCCGTACGAGGTACGACACCCATTACCTGCAACAGCGCGAGCGCCGGCAGCCCAATGAACAGATACGCCTCGCTATCCGCTAGATCGCTTCGCGGCACCCAGCCCCACGCCAGGGTGCGGTGTACGGCAGCGCAACAGAGATCTTCAAACGTGGCCCACGCCTGGTCCTCAGGCGAGGCGGGGGGTTGCTGGGAGGGGACGGCGGCGCCGCCGGGGCCTCCGGCTGCGGGTACGGTCTCTGCTGTCCATACCTTTTATGGCAGTTGGCAAAGGGTTGGCAGGAGGGAAAAGCAGCGAAGGAAAAGAGAAGGAGTAAGGGCCCTACAGCCAAGACGACCCTGCATCTGAGCTACATCAACCTGCGTTAACCTAAGCCGTAAATTACCGCTGCTACCAGTCCTACCACTCTATCAACTATGTTAGCTATAGCAGGCGCCCCTGTCCTCCTCGCAGCCCCCCAAACCTCTCACCGCGCTAACCGGACCCGCTGTGAAGCGACGTCCGTTCCAGCGATGTGACGGCGGCGGCAGCAGGCTGGAGGCACCCAGCCCCGTCAGCCGTACGGCAGCCTCATCCAGCGCAAACACGTGTGAGTACATGACGTCCAGGGCGGTGAAGAGGGACCGCTTGGCGCGGAGGTAGGGGCTCCGGTAGGGTACGGGCTGGGCCGACCTGCATGCCCGGTGCATGATGAGGTATTGAGGGTGTAGGAATGGTGTAAGACAGACATGCGTTGACTTGGACACATGAAGAGGTGTGCTCTGGAGTCATTTTGTGTTTAGTGCACGGTGTTACTGCTAACCGTATGTGACTGCGACGGTATGGAGGACCGGGTGCGGTGTTTGCCTGACGGTAAAGCAAAAGGTGCGTACTGCCGGTCAGAGATGACACGAGTGCCGTACTGCAGCTGCACATGAATGCATTGAAAATGCCGTACTCACGCGCTCATGTACGCCACCACTCCGCATGTAGGGCCCAGGTAGACGCAGCAGCCCAGCAGCAGCAGGATGAACCCCAGCAGCACCCCCACTGGGATTCCGGGTACGGCAAGCACCCACAGGGGCATCCACAAGCACATCAGGCGGGTGGGGCAGGCCGCGACCTTGGACATCCACTCACCCAGCGCCCTGCAAACCCGAGAGGATGCAAGGAAAGGAGTATGCACACCCTTTTAAGGATAGGAATGAGGATAAGGCCCCCCCCGGGCACAAACACGGACGCCAACGGTTCATCAGGCTGGGTCATCAATTGAAAGATAATAGAAGCGGGTGTGTGCGAGGCTCGTTAACAGCAGTGGGGCGCGTGGCCGCACTGCATGCAACACACGGCTGTCCTCTCCACGCCGCGACGTCACACATGCAGCCCAGCCCAACCTCCCTCCTCTACTCCCCAATCTACCCCAAGCGTGCACCTCCCCCCACCTGGCCACCACAAAGGGCAGCCGCAGCAGCCCCAGCACCAGCACGCAGCTCGCCGACAGCAGCCCACACAGCAGCGCGAGCAGCACTGCGCCCGCCAGCCGCCCGGGGGACATGTCCAGCGGCTCGCCGTAGTAGGGCCGCCGCAGCCCCTCCAGCAGCGAGAAATAGGCGGCGCTGCTGAAGCGCCACACCTCCGCGGCGCAGGTCTGTGCGGTGGGGGGTGGTGAGGGGTGAGGGGTGAAGCAACTGGAGCCCCATTCCCAGACCCCGACTCATGCAGTGAGCGCATGCGGAGACACCATCCTAGGAGCACGCAACTCCTAGAGGTGAGGGGTGCGCCATGAGGTTGACAGGAAGAGGACTGGGTCGGTAGCAGGACCTTAGTACCGTTGTTGTCGGTCGCTCCACGCCCGCCGCACCTCACAACCCCACCCCACCCTACCCTGCGCGACTTCCCCCCCAGCTCATTGCTTGCGTTCCTTCCTGTTCCACCACACCCCACCGACACCCCATTTCGGCTCGACTCACGGTTGTTTCCACCAGGGATTGTCAGCAACTTGTATCATTATCACACCACACATTGGAATTTCTTCTTTACCGCACAAGCAACACCACCCACCTTGGCCCACTCCAGCGGCTCACGCACAGCCACCCGCAGCGGCTGACCCCCGCCCTCCACCGCCCCCGGCTCCCCTCCGCCGCCTCCGCCTCGGCCTCCGCCTGCTCCCCAGCCTGCTGCTAGGGTGGCTAGCAGCGGCCACAGCAGCCCCACTCCCAGGCTGAAGAAGCAGCTGGCGAGGGCCATGGCGACCGGCCATGCCACCAGAGGAACCGGCAGCAGCAGCAGCACCAGCAGCCTAAGACTGGTGCCTAGGCGCTGAGGAGGAGGAAGGGGAGGGGGAAGGAGAGGAGAAGAGGGAGCGGGAGGAGGGAGAGAGGGAAGGGAGAGAGGGAAGGGAGAGAGAGCGGGTGTGAGGGTTGTGTTTTGCGGGGGATGGAGGCGTGTGGTATGGAAGAGGTGTGGTAAGGAGGAGAGAATGACAAGAGGTTGTGTGGTGGTGGGGGGTGTAAGGACAGGTCGGGGTTTACTCACCTGTGTCAGGGCCACCGTGATGAAGGTGGCTACGACGGCGACCTGCAAAGTGGAGGGCAGAGGGGAGGGAGGGGTGGGCCGGTATGGCTTGTGATGTCGATGAAGAGATTGTAGCAAAGCATGGGAGTAAGCACTCGAGAGATGCCGGGGCTGTATATGCAAATTTAAGAGCAAGTATCATGGCCTCTGCACCTCATACACCGTGGTATTGACATCATGATGGCTTGTGAGTAATCGGTTCGCCGTCGACAACTCGTCTGTGATAGATGGTAGACCGTATTTGGGTAGTGAGTGCCAGCACTGCTGTACTCACGGGCCAGTATATAACTGTTACAAGCGTCCATGTCGGTATAGTAACGAACGCGACAGGGATGAAGATGACGACTCCTTTGATAACCCCAAGGGCTGTTATCAGGAGAAGCTTCCATAGAAGACGTATTCCGGTGATCGGAAGCTGAAAGTATGTCGCCAGTGAGCGACAGGCGCCGCTGCTTTGCGGCATTTACCGGTCCTGTTAATGCAACAGGCGCACACGTATTTTCCTACAAGGTTACCCAAGCATTTGCTGGTGTTGTGTGGACCGTCGACATCTACAGTACTGCATTAGCGCAGACTATGCTTGCATCGGAGTTTACGATGGTCCGATAGCAAGGGTTAAGATACTGAAGAGCGGGCATATGGGTTTGGCCCATCGCGCATAGAATGTGAGAAGGACGGAAACGTATCTGTTAATGGTCGCCCAAACCATTGCCAGCATATCGGGCTTCGGTCATATGGGGCATCCGAGCCAACTATCTAGAATCTCAAAGAAAACGCCAACAGCGAGGCCACATTCTGCTGTGTCATGCAACGCTAACTGTAGTGCGACGACATTCACCAAGAGTCCAAAAGGTCGATTTATGGCTCCGAGACCCGTACGATGAAGCCCAAACTACTCCGATGGGCCCGCATTTCTCTCCGGTTGGCCATTAGACTGCCAATAGGGCGCAGTACTCCTGCTAGCATGTCTCTACTTTCGCAATCTGCCCGGCGTATCGTCGCTACGTCAGTCAGCCGCTCTCGTCAACAAAGGTTGAGGTGCATGGTAGGCTTTACTTTGCGCTTTCTAGTAATGTGGTCACATCACTTGAACCTACCTCTACTAATATGTACGAGCACGCGAAACGCTCACTCGCCATGCCGCCCCGCGTTTGCTTGCCTTCCCTGTGAACCATTTATATCAACCCGTTCCTCCCGCGCGGATGCTTACCAAAGCCCCGTCTGACGTACACACCTCCCCTGTGCAGGCTTCCGCGGCTGCTCCCCCGCCCAAGTACTTCCTCCTCGAGTACAAGTGAGACCGCTTACAACAGCCCCGTCTTCGCACTTTAGCACGTGCGGAATTGCCACACCCCGTAACACATCTGCCAGTATCGACTGCCTGCCATACCTGTCGGCCCTTTGGCTGACAGCATTCTTCCCAGCCCACCCTCCTGGCACGCTTGCGTTGCACGATCTATCTGCGTCACAACAACAATGCAAATGGCAAACAAATAATGCTTCAGCCACGGCGTATTCTCATCGATCAACCAGTGCTCAGCATTAGGCGTGCCTCCCAGGTGACTTGCACAATATGGTACCAGGCGCCTCCCTGCCTGACACTCCTTCAAGAGATCAAGACTGAGACCGCCCCACCCCGGCCCCCACCACCTCCGCAGGTATGTCCCCGACATTTTGGAGAAGCGCACCCCCTACCGGGCGGCTCACCTAGATGGTGCCAAGAAGCAGGTGGGCTGTGTGGGTGAGGGGAAGCAATAAATGAGAGGTGGAACCCCTAATGAGTCCCTATCCCGTACCCCGAACACTCAAGAGCAAGCACCGCTTCGCATCACCTACCGTAACACCGGTGACCTGGTGGTGCCCCAGTTCCTTATTGAGCTCAATCCAGTAGTAACTGTCTCCAACGGTATTACGGATTTACAGTACACCTCCGCTCATCTTACTTCCTGCAACCCGTTTGGACTACTACAGGCTGAGGCGGGCAAGATGGTGATGGGTGGAGCCGTGGGGGAGACGCCGGAGGGCGCTTTGTTTGTGTTCAAGGACATGTCGCGGGAGGTAGGCGCAATGCGCATGCCCTTGTGCGTGCTGTCTGTCTTGCAAGGAACAGCTGGTGGCGTTTCGTGTGAAGGCTAGCAATGCATATTAAGCTGGCAGTGCAGTTAACCAGTGATGTGTGCCTTGAACTACTGTAATGGCCGCGCATTGAAAGAGGGGTGTTGTCGACGAAGGGGTACTGCACGCGTTGTCCTTTCCTTGCTGCGTTCACACCCGGGCATACTGGGCACATGGGAAATGAAAAAGATCCTAGCCTTGGCACTCTGATAAGCCTCTGCTCTGAACATTTCTTCCAACTGTACCTGCAGGAGATCGAGCAGTTTGTGCAGGCGGACCCCTACGTCCAGAACGGCCTGGTGCCATCTTGGTGGGTTGGGCGGGCGGGAATGGAATGGACATTGCCAGCAGTTGTCAGGGGTGGACTGCTGCTGGTTAAGAGATGTCTGACAGATTGTCGAACGGTCCTCGGTCGGTCGGAGGCTGAAATCCTCGGCGGAATCAGCGTCTTACTTCGGGCGAGTTAGCTTCTGACTATCCATGTTACAGTAGTTCCCACACCTAACTTGCTGACTCACCCTTTAAACAGGCAAATTAAGCCGTACGCCGTCGTCGTGGGCCCCATGTGAAGGCGGACGGAAGACAGGCAGAGGCGCAAGGCGATGGCGTCGGGCGCCGATGGTTGGATCAGAAGGCATCGTCTCAGCGGCAGCCATAGCTTCATGTTTTGCTAAGAGCTCTACGTGAGCCGCATGAAGGTCCTGCGTGGTCGCAGAAAGCGTCTACGTCTACGTAGACATGGTCGTGCTTATCCTTGCAGCTGACGCAGCCTGTAACGAAGCCAACGGCGAAAGCCAGTTCCTTGACACAATGCCATTTACCTTTACATGCTACAAGAAAGGATTGCTGAACAAGTGATCCACCTGATGGAGTACGGTAGGCAAACCGGTGTCCGAGACCGCCACGACAGGTGGTTAAACAGTATTGTGCTGCATTTGCTTTAGGGTACGTAGGTAGCATCCATTGTCGAGCATGTCGGATAACTCTTCAGATAGCGTACTTATACACCTCGCTCACTTGTGTAGGAGCTGCTGGCAGTGCCAGAAGGACACTAAAGCCGCTTTAACATAGCTTTATTTCTCTTCCTTTTCAGCAACGTAGTATTGCGCTGGGAACATACTTTCAGTAGGGCTTGCTGAGCTATGCAGGACTAGGCGAAATGTCTTGCTTTTGGTGCTTCGGGGCTCAGCCCAATGCTACACAAAGCGAAGCAAGCGTATTGTCAGGTCCAACGCAGAAAAATGGCGCAACCCAGTCTGTTGAGCCATCGGCGCCGGCTACTCGTCCTCCTCCTCCTACCAAAGCACAATCACCACCGCAACCGATTGTTCATGCTGCAGTTCCACCCGTTGTAAGCCTATAGTAGCCCCAAGGAATTGCGGTTGCCTGTTGGCCAGTCCGACGCGTTACTATTTGCCGAGAGCGCACGTGGCTTGTTCACTGCATCAACATGTGTTTGAGGACATACGTTTGGGCACTTTACTTTGGTTCTTTTGCATGAATTGGTAGTTGGTGCGATTCATGATAGGCTCGTTATTCGTGCGTATTCTGGGTCCAACAATCGAACGTAGGCTTTTTGTTGTCCTACGAAGATTCGTTGCCGTGTTTGCAGGTTCTGCAATTGCAGCGCCAGTTGGCTGCCCTACAAGGGACATGGATCAGTCGAGTCGACTTGGCTCTGAAGTATACCATGGAGTGCACTGGTGCTACGGCCGTCAGGTAGGAATTTCAAGCCCCTTTCCTTGCAGTCGACACGGATTTGAAGGGCTTGCGATGCTTAGTTTGGAAAGCATGCCTGGGAAGAGAACTGGGAAGAGCCGGTTAGTCACCGGACGCATGGATTCTGCCCTACTTCACAACCAATTACCATTCCAAAAGCCACTACGCTTCCCTAACGTGAAGTTCACACTCTACACTTTTCTCCCCCATTCGCCCTCCACATCTACACATTCAAGCCCCCACCCGCCCGCGCCCCTTCCCTTCCCTTCCCCTACTCAGCCTCTCTATGCTATCCCAAACGCACGACTGTCTGGTTGTGCTCGCTCGCCGCGGCCCGCAGCACCTAGTGCTGCCGCCCGGCAGCTGCATTGCCATCAACGAACCTGGCGAGACATCGACGCAGTCGCTCGACAACCCCGAGCAGCACGCCCTGCAACACCTCTACGCCTCCCAGGCGGCCGTCATAGCCTGCGTGCCACCGCCACACAGCTCAGTAACCCCGCCAGCAGCAACAGCGACCAAGACGCCGTCGCAGCTTAACGGCTCCTTAGCCTCTGCCGCTGCAGCCGGCGGTGCCGCCGGTCCCGGAAGCGGCATCAGCATCAGCAACGCGGCCAGTCTGCCGCTGGACTGGGCGCACCTGCACGCCACCTGCGGCATCACACACTTCGCCGCGGTGCCGCTCTACCACGGCAACTCCCTGGCGGGTGCGCTCACCATCCTGGGGACATCCTCCTCTCCCTCCTCACCCTCTTCCGCAGCACCCCCATGCGCATCCCCCACGGTTTCTTCCGCACGCCCGACTCCCATCCCCTCCCTCACCCCTCCAGCCCCGATCTCAGCTGCATCCACAGCCACGGGCGTCGCAATCCCAGCCGGAGCACCCAAGGGCGGCAGCGGGCCCCTCCCGGCTGTTGCTGCTGCTGCTGCCCCCGCGCCCGGCGCCTCCTCCTGCTCCTCCTCCGCCACCGCCTCACTGGACCCGCTCTTCCGCGCGCCGCTCTCCCTGGAGCTGGTAGCCATGGCAGTGGCTCAATGCTGCCTGGGAGCTGACATGGCCCTAGCGTGTCATGCGGTGGAGATGGTGCAAGCCATGCATGCATGCGCCTCCATTCAGCAGCTGGTGGCGGGCATGTCGCTGGGACTTCAAGCGCTCATGCATGCGCGCTTCTGCTTGACGCTACGCTGCAGCGTGGCGCTTGCGGTTGAGTTCCAGCCCAATGCCATTATGTTTGAGGAGGCGCCGTTGTGTCGTCAGGCAAGCGGTTCGGGCAGCCATTCCTACGAAGCGAGCCAAGGCGGAGTTGGCAGCATGGGAGCGCACAAGGCAGGGCACCCGGTGACAGGCCGAGCGTCAGCGGTGTTTAGCGCGACGGCGGAGGCGTCGGCGGGAGGAGGAGGGAGGAGGGAGTCGATGGCACGGTTTGGGTCGGGCACGGCGACAACGGATGGAGGCGGGCCGGGGACGGGACGTGGGATGCGCAATAGTGTGGAGGTGGCTGGAGAGCCGGCGTGGGGGGCGTCTAGCGGGCATGTCACGGCCTCTGCGCTGCTGAATCAGATTGTGGGGAGGAGGTACAAGGTGCGTTGGGGGCGGAGGGGCGGGACGAGGGGAGCGCTCGCGGGTAGCATGCGAGGTTTTGGATTGGGGGAGGCGGGTGGGATAAGGGGACGTCGGTTTGTTTGTTAGTATAGCGCGATGGAGACGTAGAACCTACATGCCGGCGGCAGCTTGTCTCATCAGGCAAAGGCGCGCCGGTCATGTTGCATTACATGCCCACAGCCGCCTACCATGCCGTCTCCTCAACCTCACAACCCATTCCCCCCCCATGCATGTCCGCAGGCACGCCCCTTCTCCGTGTACCACACGCTGCTCATCCGCACCATCCACGAGCTGGCCGCCTCCTCCTACGGCGGCACCGTCATCACGCAATGCCATGACCACATGCAGGACGCCAAAACGCCCTCCCGGGACATCTACGCACTCGGTCGCGGCGCCGGCCAGCCGCCGCAGTCGCTCGTACTATCCGTCACGCACCTCCGCCCGGCGGACGACGTAACGCCCGGCGGCTCATTGGAGGCGGCTGCCGCCGCCGCCGGCGGCGGCGGCAGCAACTCTGGGCCGGCAGCGGCCGGCTCGGGCCCGTACGGCCGTAGCAACACCGGCAGCGCCGCCGCCGCCGCGCTGGCGACGGCGGTTGAGTCCGCCACCGGTACGAACTGCAGTGACGCGCCGTCGCACGCGCATGCGATGCCGCCGACACCCGACGCCTTCACCACCTCCTCCGTCGGCCAGGCTTCGGTCTCCGGAACCACGGGCACTGGCGGCGGCGGCGACCCGGCGGCGCCGTCGGAGCCCCGGACGTACATTGGGCTGTACATGACGTCGACGGAGCCGCTGCCGGCGGCGCTGCTGGAGTTAATCCTGGTGGAAGTTCACTCGCTGGCGTGTCACGTGCTGTCACCGTTGGTTCATCGGAAGCTCTTGGTGGGCGAACTGGCGTTGGAGTGGGCGCTCATGCAGATGGTCACCAGTTCGAGCCTTCCGCAAGACAGCGCAAGCACGCATGGACGGCCCTTCCCGCGCCAGGGCACGTCGAACCTTGGCGGCGGCGCAGCCGGCGGCGGTTCTATCGGAGGCGGGAGTGTGGCAGCGGCAGCGGCTGGCGCCGTCGTCACGGGTCGCGGCGGCAGCAGCCTGGACGTTATGCCTATGGCAGTTGGCGCTACCGGAACCACCGGGGCCTTCTGCACCCCGGGATCCACCTCCGCCGGGTCGACGGGCGGCACCGCCGTTACGGCGGCGTCAACGGCGGCCGCCAGCCCAATCCTAACGGGCCCTGGCGGTATCGCCGGCGGCGGCGGCGGTGACGGGGGCGGCGGCTTGCCAACGGGGCCGTACGGCACTGCCAACGCCGCCCGTCGCGCCAGCATGCTGGCTCCCAGCGGAGCCAACTCCCGCATGTCCTCCCTGCAGCGTATCATGGCGCCGTTCCTAATGGCGGATATGGTTCCCACCGAACCCGCCGTCGGCTGCGGTGCCTCGGCGGCGGCGTCCGGCGGCGGCGGCATCGGTACGGGAATGGGCGTCGGCTTCGGCGTCAACGGCCGCCGCAGCAGCGACATTGTTTTGGCGCTCACGCACGCCATGCACCACCAAAACAGCTCGTCCTTGCATGGTGGCGGCAGCGCAATGTCCCCTGGCGGGACCGCGGGTAGCCTTGCGAACCGCATGACGGGCCCTGGGGTAGCAACCAACGCGGCGGCCGCGGCGGTTGGCATTCGCCGTATGCTGGCCTTAGACGGCAAGGGCGGTGCCTTTGCAAGCAAGCATGGTGTGCACACTGGTTCCCATAATGCCAGCATGAGTGAGGGATCAGCGCGGGAGATGATGGTGGCGGCGGCTGCAGCGGCGGGGCTCGCTTCCGGCGGCGGCGGCATCGCCGGCGGCGGCGGCATCGCCGGCGGCGGCGGCACGGGAGCCACGAGTACGGCAGACAAGTTCCTGTCCACTGAGGTTACGACGGTACAAGACACGCACTCTCAGATGGGCCTGCTGGTAGCGTCGTATAAGGAAACCCTACATAACATGACGATGGAACTTAGTGTGGGTGCCGTACAACGACAGAGCTTGGATCTCCACGCGGACGACCCCGGCCGGTTGGTGCTGCGAGAGGTGTTGGGCAAGGGAGGTCATGGAGTGGTGTTCAGGGGTAGCATGCACTCGCTGGAGGTGGCAATCAAGGTACGCGCGGGAGGGGTTTCGTTTTGGAGGCCAGGGGTGCGGGTGTTAAGAAAACTTTGAGAATGCCGGAAGGTGAAGTCCACACAGAAACGCCGCAGTGCAAGTAGAGCCCTTTGGTTATGACAGGCAATAAGGACAAAATGCCGGTATGGAGTCAGTGACCCATGGGTCGTTGGCTAGCCGCTAAGTGCGGCTGGGCTTCGTAACTGTTTTGCTCCTCCAAGCAGGCCACTCCTACTGCGTGTCCATATACCCTTGCCGCCTGCCTTATCCCTGCTCATCCCCAAACCAGCCATCAGTGTACCGGGCCACCCCACACGCCCAGTGCTTTGCCCTAACCTGTTGTTCTGGTGCATCTCTGACCCCTCACGCCCTCCTCTTCTTCTCTCCCTGCCCCTGGCGCCGCTCCACAGGTCTTCCAGACCCCCGGGGAGGACGAGCCGCTCGCCGCCGGCACCGCCAACCGGCCCGAGGTGCTGGCGGAGACGCTGCTGCAGCGGCGCCGCGTGCTGACTCGCGCCGCACTGGAGCTGGCCATCATGTCCTCCGTCAGCCACCCCAACATTGTGCAGGTAGGGGGTGGGGTGGGGGGTAAGAGGGGAGTTGGGTAACCCGCACTTGTCGGCACTCAGGTGGGGAGGGGAGGGTAGAGAAGTACTGGAGTCTCATGGAAGAATCCATGTGCTGTGTCCTGAGCTCCTTCACATGGCCAGTTCCTACCTTGCTTTGCCCCAACCTATGGTTTCCTACGGTCTGGTCTGGACGTTTGACCACCGCCCACCTCCCCCTCCCCCTTCCCATCCGCCCCCCAGGTGTACGCCCAGTGGCCCACCGCGCTGTTGGAGCGCGATGAGACGCAGCCCTGCCGCCGCCGCCTGCGCAAGCTGCCGCCCGACACGCCCCCGCCCGCCAGCGGGGGACTGGTGTGTGCGGTGATGGTAATGGAGTACTGCGACAAGGTGGGGTGGGGTGGGGGTGGGGTGGGGTGGGGGAAAAATTAAATAAGTGAAACAATGATGGGGATGGGGTAAAAAATATATTGAGACACTGACACTGGGGATGGGGTGGGGGAGCGGGGGGGTGGATGGGGGTAAAAAGAGGAAACAACTGACGAGCTGTATGTATGACGAGGCTGCGCTGGACGGGCGGGCTGTGGAACCGGAGGCTGAGGGCGGCGGCGGCGGTGGCGTTTGCTTTAAAGGGACGTTACTCCACTCCCCTCCTTCATCCCTCCTCTACCTCCTCTGCCTCCTCCTCCTCCTAATGCGGAATACGTATCCCTATCAACACACACCCCCAGGGCACGCTTGTCGACGCCATCAACCGCGGAGACTTCGTAACGCCCGCCCGCGACGGCAGCGGCTTCAAGCCCAACTACAAGGCCATCTACACCACGCTGCTGGAGGTGGCGTTGGCGCTGCGCCACCTGGCCTCCGCCGCCATCACGCACTGCGACGTGAAGCCCGCCAACATCCTGCTACGGTCCAGTCCGAGGGACCCGCGCGGCTTCACTGCAAAGCTAGCGGACTTTGGGTGCGTGGGTGCAAGGGGGTGCAGGGGGGGTGGGGTGCGGTGGGGTGGGGTGGGGTGCAGGGGGGTGGGGTGCAGGGGGGTGGAGGTGGAGGTTGCGGTGGGGTGGAGGTGAGGCCGAGCAGGGTTGGGGGGGTGGAGGTGGAGGTGGGGCAGGTAGGATGGAGCCCCAAGCTGTGGGGTCATGTGGATACGGTGCGGATGGTGTGTGTTTCGCTGCCCCTGTGCACTGCGTACACGCCTCTTGCCGACCATGTTCTCCCTGTGTTCCACCTACTCATCCGCACTCCCATCGTCCTCCCATCCTCCTCACGTGCGCCTCCTCTCCCCCCCGCTCTCACCCTCCTCCTCCCCCCATCCTCCTGCCCACCCCAGCTACGCTGCGCTGCTGCGCGACAGCTCCCCCGAGGGCCACCGCAGCGTGGTGACGGACGAGGCGTGCGGCACCGTAACGCACATGGCGCCCGAGTCCTTTGTAGAGGGTGAGAGGACTGGCGAGGAGGGGCGGGATGTGTATTGGGGACAGCAGCAGCGGCGGCAGTTGCAGCAGCAGTTGTAGAAGCAGCGGCGGCGGGGAGAATGAGGGGTGTTGGGGTTTGGGGAATGAGCAGGCGGCAAGAGGGGGACTCAGGGGTGGCCTGTTGCGGGTAGCGGTATCTCGGTAGCATGGGTGGCTCTTGAAGGCACGCTGTTAACAGAGCCTTTTGTGTGCCAGGGCGTCGCGTGCCGCATACGGTTTGGTTGCGCCATGTCAGCAGGGCATGGCAGTTGTTGCCCCCGTGCTGCTGCCTAGCTGTTTCCGTGCTCGCCGCGCTTTCCACGCCACGCCTTAACCCTCCACCCACGCCTTAACCCTGCACACATGCCTTAACCCTCCACCCACGCCTTAACCCTCCACCCACTCCTTAACCCCCTCTTCCCTCCGTGTAGGCGAGCCGGTGGACAGCAGTGCTGACGTGTATGCGTTCGGCATCCTGATGTGGGAGCTCATCTCCGGCAAGCAGCCCTACCACGACCGCAACCTGAAACAGCTGCCGCATGAGGTTGTCAACAAGGGGCTACGACCCACCTTCCCGCCCAACACCCCGGAGGTGTACAAGTAAGCGGCGGCGGGCCGGGGTCAGTGAAGGGGCGGGGACATCTGGCTGCTGGCTGGCTGGGGGGCAGGCGCATGTCACAGTTGCAGTTGCAGTCTGTGCGTTGTAACTGTAACATCTAACATCTAATAACATGCGTCTGCCAGCCGGCCGGGCTGTGCCCCTGTAGCATGCATGCAGATGGCATGGGCGCGTAGAGTGCCGGCAGCGGGCTTGGTAGCGTGTCTTCTGGTGGCTGGCAGTGGTTGTCCATCCCGGGTTTCTGCACATGCACAGGCTGCGTGCATGCGCCTATGTCGTCCTAACCCGACCCCATTTCTCCCCAGTCCACCAAGCTTTTCCTAAAGAGGACCTACTTTGGGGGAAAAGCCGAACCCAATCATCACCTCCCACGCCATACCAACCCTCACTCCTAGCACCCTAGCACCCTAAAACCCACCTGCCGTACCGTGCCGTACTCGTTTCCTGTCTCCAGGGCGCTGGCCAAGAGCTGCTGGAGCCCGCTGCCGCGCAACCGCCCCTCCGCCGCGCAGGTGGTACAGTCCATCCAGGCCCAACTGGACAAGATTGAGGCGGTGGCCCGACTGCTGGGCAAGACGTGAGTGTGTGCGCTGCGATGGTGAATGACGGGCGGCGTGGCGTGGGGTGGGATGGGGTGGGGTGGCGTGGGGTGAGGTACTGGGGGTTGCATAAGTGAAGGCGCCAAGAAGCGCTGGGGTCTGGTGAGGTGTGGGTAGGAGGGGCGAGGTGAGGTGCTGGTTGGGAGAGGTGGGGGCACGGACTAGAGGGAGAGGACAGATGCTGGAGAAAGAAGTTTGGCTGAAGGGCGAGTGAGGAGAGAAGAGAGGGTGAGCGGTATCGCGCTTCCGGTGGTTGTTTTGTTTGGGCGGCTGAAGAAGACACGCTTAGCGAAGGCGTGAGGGAAGGAGAACGCATGCTGTTCACATTACCGGTAAGCGCGCAGCGCCTGTCTTCTGCACGTTTCGGCCGTGCAGCTGATCAATCAAGTAGAGGCGCTTGAGATCTTTCCATCCATCATGTTTTGCGGTTGTGGTGCGGTCGTTCGCTTGGCCGTTGGAAAGCAGTCAAGGTGCCTCTGGAGTTGCGTGAGCCTTACGTTGTTGGTAAAGGGCTGCATAAGCGGGGCATGATGCGGCACGCAAGGCAAGGCTGGATGGGAAACGTGGCTTGGTTGGGTTGCAAGGCGAGTGGACAGGCGCGTTGCGACACACGCATGCGAGCAGCAGGCAAGAGTGAGTGAGGCGAGGGGAGCGCATGCCATGATTTGTCATTAGGCATGGTGGTGGTGAGGAAAACAAACGCCTAAACGCCGCGAGTATTGCTGCTGGTGGGGTGGTGGATGAATGGCCTGCGGGTGATGGGTGTATGCATAATTGGAGTTTGGAAGGTCGGTTGCAGGGAGAAACAAAAGTCCCATTGCTTGGCAGCAGTGAAGAGCGGCTTGCCGGAGTCGCTTAAGGTGTGGGGAAATGTTCAGGAAGAGGCAGAGATGGCTACCGAACGGTGAAGAAACGAGGAGGCAGATGCCTGGAGAGGGACAGAAGTTGTACGATTTTGCGACGGCAGTGGTGCCTGCGTCTTCCCTTCGGAAGGGCATGCGTGTTTGTATGTAGGATTTGGTTTTAGTCGGCGGGTTCTACGCTTTAGGCTTTGCGCTGAAGTCTGTCATGCCGTTACGGCGTCATGCCGGCTTTTGTCTGCGTCTGAACTCACTACGTTATGCAATACCTACGCAAAGGAAGAATCCAACCTCTACGTATACAGCGATAGCATGAATGAGACAGAAGCACGGCTTGTGCTTTTGGAGCTTTTTTGGATGAAAGATGTGGGGTGGGTGGTCTGCTTGACTCATTCATCGGTTGATAAACAATTTGGATGGGCAGTCTGAAAGGTCCTGAATATTGGTCTCCATGCCGCTCTTGGCTCAGGTCATTTCCCTGTTTTGTGTCCTTAATGGAAGGGTGGTTTGCTAGCTGGAATATACTCCAAATGTTCCGGATGGTGTTTCCGAGAGTGCCTGGCAGGCTGGGTGGCAACACACGACGCTAGGTGGCGAGTCCTGATGGCGGCAGGCTGTTGTGACCCATGGGTCACATTTTATGGATTCAAAAATGCGTTGTTTGGCTGCCTGTTGGGCAGCCATACTGGGCTTGTGGGGTTGAGGGCCACGGAACAACGTATGGAGCCAGATTCCTTCAATGTGGGATGACTGCCCCCAACCGGCCTTTCAATGTTTTGGAAGAAAATGTCTGTACGTCACGCACGGAAGGAGTAAGGATTTTATTTGCGTAGTAGGGGTGTGTGTTTACCGAAGACCACATGGAGCCGCTTCTGGTCTGGAGTTGTCCTCTTTCCCTTCCTTGCGTGCAGGAACTGCGCCGCTAGTGCGCCGTTCCTCCGGTCATGCATCCCGGCCTGGTCCGGTGCATGCATGCCGTAACGATGACAGCACTACATGGTTTGGTCGGGGAATTGAGCATTTACACGTCACCCATCGTGTGTGACGCGGCGCTGGCTGGCTGACGCAGTAGGCTGTCTCCTGAAGAGAGAAACATGCGGCGACTAATAGTATTATTCATGGTCCATTTGGGTGTTATTGCGGATGTTGTCGTTACTAAGCGCTTGGGGGCTTGGTCATTATACACCAGATGCTCATTATAGCCACCAGGGAAGTATTTTGGGTCACATGGGTAGCGAAGCAGGTGTAAGCACCTGGATGTGTGTGTTGACAATTTGTGCCTTCGTGGCTTACTTGCACCCCATCTGCCGTGTGTATGCTCCTTTCAACGAGTGTCCCCTATGCGTAGTTTTCGACACGTTTTAATACATGGATACGCTGCCTACGTTCTTCACGCACACGATATTACGGTAGTTACGAGCTTCAGGCACGGAGGTTGTGTTGTTTGCGCGGGAGCCGACGCCCCCTGCTTGCGTGTGCACATAATGGTAAACAGAAAGTGGTCCGTGGTCGTAGCGGTGAGCGTTGTGCGTGCTGCATGCAACAGGAAATCGCGTCAAGCCCGACCGTTTCTTGGCGCGCCCGTTCCTCTTAGCTCTGTATGTATTTGTTCGCTCAACACACGCGCACGTATGCTGCACGTGTGATGTGCCGCGACACGCGTGCGCGGATTTTGAGCAGCAGTGCGCCGCTTTGCCTGAGCTGGTGACATCTTCACCGTAAGCAGGCGGCGGCAGCTTGTTGTGGCGTAAGCGGCAACTCGGGTTCTACAGGAAGGCAAGCTAGCAACATGTATGTATGTATGCATGCATGCATGCAGGTACATGCGCGCAGGATAGGCGGGGTGGGGTGTGAAGGAAACTTGGCCGGAAGCACAGGCCGAAACCGAAGAGGAATACCGGTATGGTATGGGAGGGACGGTTGTACGGAACGGCGGAAGAGGATGATTAGATAGGTAGTACTGAGATTTATCGCGTACTTCTGCTTTCCACAACATGTAAAGCCACCGCATGTAAAGCCGCCGGTTGCCAAAGCAGCTGCTGGGCTGGTTTGCCGACGGATGCGGACTCCGAATTTAGCTTTTGAGATAACAAAAATTAGGCGCCTGTCCCACATACCAGCCAGTAGCTGCTTGGCAGTGCAATATACTGGCAAGGTTGGGTTCAGTTTGTCGGTTCTTCGTCCTACGCAGATGTGCCCATCCCTATAGCAGTCGAACCAGGTCTTACCCCCCCTGCCAACCCGGTTACCCCCTCGTCGGGTCGCCAGGTAACCTGAGCACCAGTCCATTACCCCTCGGTCAGGAACATGATTCTGCCGGAGTCGGCCCTATGGGATATTGCATGTTCACTGTACTACGGCGGCGTCAATGTGTTGCCGGCGGAGTGCTTGCCACTACCGTGCATGGGCTATCTGTAGATGCCATTGCGGCTGTGACTGAGGTGGCAGGGGCAAGGGTCTTGCAGTGGCAGGGGCGAGGGTCTTGCAGTGGCTGGGGCAAGGGTATTGCAGTGGCAGGGGCAAGGGACTTAAGATGGCAGGGGCGATGGTCTTAATGTGGCAAAGGCGAGGGTCTTACGGTGGCAGGGGCGAGGGTCTTAAAGTTGGCAGGGGCGAGGGTCTTAGGGTGGCAGAGGCGAGGGTCTGAAGGTTGCAGGGGCGAGGGTCTCGCAGTGGCAGGGGCGACGGTCGTGCAGTGGCAGGGGCGAGTGTTTTAAGGTGGCAAAGGCGAGGGTCTTAAGGTGGCAGGTCGGCGGCTGCCAGGTCGGCGGGTGCCAGGTCGGCGGGTGCCAGGTCGGCGGGTGCTAGGTCGGCGGGTGCTAGGTCGGCGGGTGCTAGGTCGGCGGGTGCTAGGTCGGCGGGTGCTAGGTCGGCGGGTGCCAGGTCGGCGGGTGCTAGGTCGGCGGGTGCTAGGTCGGCGGGTGCTAGGTCGGCGGGTGCCAGGTCGGCGGGTGCCAGGTCGGCGGGTGCTAGGTCGGCGGGTGCTAGGTCGGCGGGTGCTAGGTCGGCGGGTGCAGGTCGGCGGGTGCCAGGTCGGCGGTGCTAGGTCGGCGGGTGCTAGGGTCGGCGGGTGCTAGGTCGGCGGGTGCTAGGTCGGCGGGTGCCAGGTCGGCGGGTGCTCGAGTCGGTGGGTGCTCGGTCGGCGGGTGCTAGGTCGGCGGGTGCTAGGTCGGCGGGTGCTAGGTCGGCGGCTGCCAGGTCGGCGGGTGCCAGGTCGGCGGGTGCCAGGTCGGCGGGTGCTAGGTCGGGCGGGTGCTAGGTCGGCGGGTGCTAGGTCGGCGGGTGCTAGGTCGGCGGGTGCTAGGTCGGCGGGTGCCAGGTCGGCGGGTGCTAGGTCGGCGGGTGCTAGGTCGGCGGGTGCTAGGTCGGCGGGTGCCAGGTCGGCGGGTGCCAGGTCGGCGGTGCTAGGTCGGCGGGTGCCAGGTCGGCGGGTGCTAGGTCGGCGGGCGCCAGGTCGGCGGGTGCCAGGTCGGCGGGTGCTAGGTCGGCGGGTGCTAGGTCGGCGGGTGCTAGGTCGGCGGGTGCTAGGTCGGCGGGTGCCAGGTCGGCGGGTGCCAGGTCGGCGGGTGCTAGGTCGGCGGGTGCTAGGTCGGCGGGTGCTAGGTCGGCGGGTGCCAGGTCGGCGGGTGCTAGGTCGGCGGGTGCTAGGTCGGCGGGTGCTAGGTCGGCGGGTGCTAGGTCGGCGGGTGCTAGGTCGGCGGGTGCCAGGTCGGCGGGTGCTAGGTCGGCGGGTGCCAGGTCGGCGGGTGCTAGGTCGGCGGGTGCTAGGTCGGCGGGTGCTAGGTCGGCGGGTGCTAGGTCGGCGGGTGCTAGGTCGGCGGGTGCCAGGTCGGCGGGTGCTAGGTCGGCGGGTGCTAGGTCGGCGGGTGCTAGGTCGGCGGGTGCCAGGTCGGCGGGTGCCAGGTCGGCGGGTGCTAGGTCGGCGGGTGCCAGGTCGGCGGGTGCTAGGTCGGCGGGCGCCAGGTCGGCGGGTGCCAGGTCGGCGGGTGCTAGGTCGGCGGGTGCTAGGTCGGCGGGTGCTAGGTCGGCGGGTGCTAGGTCGGCGGGTGCCAGGTCGGCGGGTGCCAGGTCGGCGGGTGCTAGGTCGGCGGGTGCTAGGTCGGCGGGTGCTAGGTCGGCGGGTGCCAGGTCGGCGGGTGCTAGGTCGGCGGGTGCTAGGTCGGCGGGTGCTAGGTCGGCGGGTGCTAGGTCGGCGGGTGCTAGGTCGGCGGGTGCCAGGTCGGCGGGTGCTAGGTCGGCGGGTGCCAGGTCGGCGGGTGCTAGGTCGGCGGGTGCTAGGTCGGCGGGTGCTAGGTCGGCGGGTGCTAGGTCGGCGGGTGCCAGGTCGGCGGGTGCCAGGTCGGCGGGTGCTAGGTCGGCGGGTGCCAGGTCGGCGGGTGCTAGGTCGGCGGGTGCCAGGTCGGCGGGTGCCAGGTCGGCGGGTGCTAGGTCGGCGGGTGCCAGGTCGGCGGGTGCTAGGTCGGCGGGTGCTAGGTCGGCGGGTGCTAGGTCGGCGGGTGCTAGGTCGGCGGGTGCTAGGTCGGCGGGTGCCAGGTCGGCGGGTGCTAGGTCGGCGGGTGCCAGGTCGGCGGGTGCTAGGTCGGCGGGTGCTAGGTCGGCGGGTGCTAGGTCGGCGGGTGCTAGGTCGGCGGGTGCCAGGTCGGCGGGTGCCAGGACGGCGGGTGCTAGGTCGGCGGGTGCCAGGTCGGCGGGTGCTAGGTCGGCGGGTGCCAGGTCGGCGGGTGCCAGGTCGGCGGGTGCCAGGTCGGCGGGTGCTAGGTCGGCGGGTGCTCGGTCGGTGGGTGCTTGGTCGGCGGGTGCCAGGTCGGCGGGTGCTAGGTCGGCGGGTGCCAGGTCGGCGGGTGCTCGGTCGGTGGGTGCCAGGTCGGCGGGTGCTAGGTCGGCGGCTGCTAGGTCGGCGGCTGCTAGGTCGGCGGCTGCCAGGTCGGCGGGTGCCAGGTCGGCGGGTGCCAGGTCGGCGGGTGCTAGGTCGGCGGGTGCTAGGTCGGCGGGTGCTAGGTCGGCGGGTGCTAGGTCGGCGGGTGCTAGGTCGGCGGGTGCCAGGTCGGCGGGTGCTAGGTCGGCGGGTGCTAGGTCGGCGGGTGCTAGGTCGGCGGGTGCCAGGTCGGCGGGTGCCAGGTCGGCGGGTGCTAGGTCGGCGGGTGCCAGGTCGGCGGGTGCTAGGTCGGCGGGCGCCAGGTCGGCGGGTGCCAGGTCGGCGGGTGCTAGGTCGGCGGGTGCTAGGTCGGCGGGTGCTAGGTCGGCGGG